ATGCGTTTAATATTTTGAATATGTCTTTTTACATGCGTTCGCGACGAGTCAATTTCGTTTGATTCTATAATTAATCCCATTTTTCATAAGCTGTCATAGGCCTAAAATAATAATGCACGATCAGTTCATAGTCCAAATAAATTAGGAAAAAACTGTTTTGTATTATGTAGGCCTAAATGGCCATGCTCTGTTCAAAGGTACACATAGACTTGTTCAAGATTGTTTGTTAGTTTTCTTTCACCCTTGATGTTATGTTCTATATTATGAAGCCCGGGAAGGGACAGGGTGCAATTTTTTTATTTGGAGTTTGCTAAAAAAAAAAAAAAGTCCACCCTGTCCCTTCCTGGGCTTCATACTATATTAATTTTTGGTCGTGTTTCCTAATAAATGGCCGCACTTACTAGAACTCCTCAACATGTTTCGTGGATCACTTAACTGTCTAAATAATTCTCGAGAACTCTGTGATTTTTTCAAGTTCCCCTCCATCCACATCTCCACCGAATAATAGGAATTCTCGGTTTTCGGTTTTGTTTGTTTATATGTTTATCAATTGTGAGGCTTTTGAAGCTGAAGGGCATGGTTGATTACGTTTGTGGACTTTGACGCTACGGATGGTTCATTGTCAACGTAGACAGCACCGTAGAAAATGTTGAATATTAGACTGAGCAGGAAGGCACACAAAAGAGGCAGTTCGACAAGTTGCACAACCCCTGCGTCATCGCTGGCTTAAACTGGAATTGCTTAATTGTTAAACCGCCTAAATACAGTATTTTGGAAATTACATTTCGACTCGCGTTCTTCACCAAAGCAGTAAAACTTCAGCCACTGAACTCGCCCATGCGATTGATGAAGGAATATAAATTTGAAATGGCTTCGACTCGATTTCTTCTTCGTCTCGTCCTTTTGATTTTGCTGAGTGTGATGCAAAATCAATGTAAGTACATGCACATAGACACTACCAACCCATAGATTGCGGAATCTTTGTCAGAATTATTGGAAATAATGACTGGATAATGATCGTGTAACCAAAGTCGCGACTGGTCGCGAATCTGATCGAAGAGTGATTTAAGTCGATCACGATCTAAACATGTTCTTTATTTACCCTTTTTTTCTACCCGCCGGAATCGATTTCGGCCGCACTGTCGACTGTGCAATGCATAACTGTTTTGTTGTCTAGTTGAAATTTGATTCACGATGCAGAATTTTTTGATCGTGTTCACTGAATTTTATTTACACGTACGTGATTTTGTCGCGCGATAATGTCGCGCGTATTTTATACACGTAAAAATCAATAAGTGCGTAAATTTATGCAACAAAGCAAAGTCATGCGAAAAATCGCGCAACGTTTCGCTTACACGCGTGCGCGACAATGCTGCGCGATATAGTCGTTGCGACAAAATCACCTTTTATTTTGTGTAAAATTTACACTTACGTGATTTTGTCGCAATGACTATTTAAATGGCCTTGTAAACTGTTGAATGCGATGGCTTTTTATGCACTCCAAGCCTCACTTTGTGGTTTTTTTTTAATGTGGCTTAAATATCAGCATATAATTAATCACACATTTAAAACGGTTCATTAGAGCAGACTGGTATTTAGTTGTAATTAACATTTTATATAACTTACATACAGATCCTTATCATTTAATTGGTGGAACTCACATAACGTTACATTCGTTATTACTCCCATTCACGCCGGGGCTCAAAAGTCCGATTCGGCCATGGGGAATTGGAAATATTATATAAGACCCAAGTAAATCCTTGTCATTTGATCAGGGTTGTAAGTCACGCCTCATTCATTAATCGAAACATAACACAGCCTACGTCAAAGCCGTGCCTTTTTTGGTTCCATTCGCCGTGCATTTTCGTTCCATCCCTTATATTGCACGACGCGCAGGGGCCCGGCGCCGACGAAAGAGCTCCGTGCGCCGACGAAAGAAGGCGCCCTTTTACCTAGCAACGACGTCCCATGGGTGGGACATTTCGCTGGTTGACGCGCACCGTTCCTTGTGTGTGACGCACATACACCAGGGGATTTGTTCCAAGTACACGCAGTGGCTGCGCTTCGCGGCAAAATTGAATTGCAGTCAGGCAAGATGGCGTCGGTCGGTCACCCCCAACTGTACTCTCTTTGCCGGTGAGGGGGTACTTGTGAACGGAGCGGATAGCAGTTCACAAGTTGCCTTCGAAGTTGATGCAGTTACCTTCATGATTTTTTTGCAAATAAAACTTTTAAGAACAAAAAAAACTCACAAAATTGTATCATATCCACTAACTTTTTTTTCAGCTTGTTTAGGCTAGCAAGGGTTGCGGTGTTGCTAGCAGAGGTTGCGGTGAATGGAACCAAAAATGCACGGTTTATGACATAGGCCGTGCAATGGTTCGAACAATGAATGCCGCGTGACCTTCGTCCAATCGAATGACAAGGATTTACTTCGGCGTTATATAAAGCTCCATGGGTAATACGCACGCACTCCATACTCCTTCAACCAAATGGGACACCAAACTGAGCGTGCGCCTCGTCTTTGAAAACGGGTGCAGCATGCGCCGGAGCGTGGCACCACCGCGGTGAAAGCCTCTCATTCTGGTCGGCGGTTTCCACTGTACACAAAAACCACTCACATAGTTACGAAAATAAGTCATTTGATTTTGCAGATAAAACCAAAGCTCAGACTGCAACTTCCACGACAGATGTAACGACTGGTACTTCACCGACAGGGCCAACGAGTGGTACTTCACCTACAAATGCGCCAACTGGTACTTCTACCACACATGCAACGACTGGTACTTCACCGACAGGGCCAACGAGTGGTACTTCACCTACAAATGGGCCAACTGGTACTTCTGCCACACATGCAACGACTGGTCCTTCACCGACAGGGCCAACGAGTGGTACTTCACCTACAAATGGGCCAACTGGTACTTCTGCCACACATGCAACGACTGGTACTTCACCGACAGGGCCAACGAGTGGTACTTCACCTACAAATGGGCCAACTGGTACTTCTGCCACACATGCAACGACTGGTACTTCACCGACAGGGCCAACGAGTGGTACTTCACCTACAAATGGGCCAACTGGTACTTCTGCCACACATGCAACGACTGGTACTTCACCGACAGGGCCAACGAGTGGTACTTCACCTACAAATGGGCCAACTGGTACTTCTGCCACACATGCAACGACTGGTACTTCACCGACAGGGCCAACGAGTGGTACTTCACCTACAAATGGGCCAACTGGTACTTCTGCCACACATGCAACGACTGGTACTTCACCGACAGGGCCAACGAGTGGTACTTCACCTACAAATGGGCCAACTGGTACTTCTGCCACACATGCAACGACTGGTACTTCACCGACAGGGCCAACGAGTGGTACTTCACCTACAAATGGGCCAACTGGTACTTCTGCCACACATGCAACGACTGGTACTTCACCGACAGGGCCAACGAGTGGTACTTCACCTACAAATGGGCCAACTGGTACTTCTGCCACACATGCAACGACTGGTACTTCACCGACAGGGCCAACGAGTGGTACTTCACCTACAAATGGGCCAACTGGTACTTCTGCCACACATGCAACGACTGGTACTTCACCGACAGGGCCAACGAGTGGTACTTCACCTACAAATGGGCCAACTGGTACTTCTGCCACACATGCAACGACTGGTACTTCACCGACAGGGCCAACGAGTGGTACTTCACCTACAAATGGGCCAACTGGTACTTCTGCCACACATGCAACGACTGGTACTTCACCGACAGGGCCAACGAGTGGTACTTCACCTACAAATGGGCCAACTGGTACTTCTGCCACACATGCAACGACTGGTACTTCACCGACAGGGCCAACGAGTGGTACTTCACCTACAAATGGGCCAACTGGTACTTCTGCCACACATGCAACGACTGGTACTTCACCGACAGGGCCAACGAGTGGTACTTCACCTACAAATGGGCCAACTGGTACTTCTGCCACACATGCAACGACTGGTACTTCACCGACAGGGCCAACGAGTGGTACTTCACCTACAAATGGGCCAACTGGTACTTCTGCCACACATGCAACGACTGGTACTTCACCGACAGGGCCAACGAGTGGTACTTCACCTACAAATGGGCCAACTGGTACTTCTGCCACACATGCAACGACTGGTACTTCACCGACAGGGCCAACGAGTGGTACTTCACCTACAAATGGGCCAACTGGTACTTCTGCCACACATGCAACGACTGGTACTTCACCGACAGGGCCAACGAGTGGTACTTCACCTACAAATGGGCCAACTGGTACTTCTGCCACACATGCAACGACTGGTACTTCACCGACAGGGCCAACGAGTGGTACTTCACCTACAAATGGGCCAACTGGTACTTCTGCCACACATGCAACGACTGGTACTTCACCGACAGGACCAACGAGTGGTACTTCACCTACAAATGGGCCAACTGGTACTTCTACCACACATGCAACGACTGGTACTTCACCGACAGGGCCAACGAGTGGTACTTCACCTACAAATGCGCCAATTGGTACTTCTACCGCACATGCAACGACTGGTACTTCACCGACAGGGCCAACGAGTGCTACTTCACCTACAAATGCGCCAATTGGTACTTCTACCGCACATGCAACGACTGGTTCTACACCCAAAGCTGCAACAACTGGTACTTCACCTAAAGCTGCAACAACTGCAACTACACCAAAATCTGCAACACAACGGGAAGTTACAACTTCTGCTGCAGTTACAAGTCAAGTTTTAACAACTATAGGTAAGCGTTTAAATTTGAAACTAATGTTATAATCGTTGAAACAAAATCCAATCCGGCATGTTGCCTTATTATAATGAAGCTAGTGGATTGTATGCACCTACATAATTGTTTTTCTTGTTTGGTGGAACTATACACGTATACTTTGTCAGACGTTCGTTGTGAGCACACAAGATGTCAAACACAGAGATGGTCTGCTTGTGAGTTAAAAAAGACCAAATTCTCATGCCAGGTTGTCTATGAACCTGATACGATACATCTGTATTCAACACGATTGTTGGGTGTATTCGGATGGTTTAAAATATTGTGTTGCTTCAAAAGGGGATAAAGTGTTCAAGTGCGATGCAACTTATGTTTACTTTTGTATTTTTTTCCCCAAAAGGATGTGCACTGAACCCAGATAGTTGTGAGAACAAAGGAGAATTTCTGAAAGAGCCATGTGAGTGTCTGTGCCCGATTGGATTTGCAGGCGTTTATTGTGAAGGTAAGAATTGGGCGCGTTCTGTCTGATAATTAAGTGTAATACATATTCAGTAGGACCAAAGCACGCCCCGAATATTTTTTCCCAAATACTTAACGTTTTGTTTATCTTCGTCTACAGTTTCAACTGCAACCAATCCTTGCGTTGTAGACCCGGACTTGTGTCCAGGAAAAGGCCAGTACTGCGAAGCAGATACCAAGGTGACTAATGGTGCCGAGTATGTCTGCAAATGCAACATTCAGGGAGGCTATGCGGCTTCTAAAAAGGAAGATGGCACATGCATCGGTAAAAATCCGTATTCCTTTTATTTACCAATTTGTGAAGCACAAGTATAAACACTTGATGGAAATTGGTAGTGTGCAATGTTATCAACTGTTTATACAGGAGGGGAAACGCTTTCTTCTCTCCCCAGCCCGCCTAAGGGAATTTTGTTACACAGTGATGTAATTAGGGGGATATCAGAAGACTTGGAAGGAATGAGCTTTTCATTGTTGCAATCTGAGTGTTCTCTACGGTAAATGGAGCCTTAATTATTACCCTAACCCTCTAAAAAGTCTCAGGTCTTATTGACCTGAAATCTAGGTCCAAATTCGCATAACCCTTCGGAGCCAAAAATGCCATTTTTACCGAGACATGACCCCCAAAAGTGTCATTTTTGACCCGGAAAAGGGTTTGGCTAATTTGGACCTGGGGAGTCAGGGTCTATCTGGCATACTGTTATTGGCCTGCCTCGCAGTTGAACCTTAGTTAGGCTACTACTTTTGACATCACATTCAGTAAAGATTTTCTTAGTATCCTTTTGTTGGCAATGGAATAACTTAGGAGTACCTGTAAACGTCAATGATACAATTTAACCAATGAATGATGTGGTCATAAGTTGGTTTCGGAAAACAAAATATGGTCATAGGTTTTGTGAAACACAGCCTGGTAATGTTCTGGTTACGCATTTTGTGATGTGTCAGTGATTGAACTTTTTTTATATCTATATATTTAACTAATGCAGAGGTCAAGACTCTGAGGTCGGATCTCCATGTAACCAAAATCGATGGAAAGGATGCTATATATAAAGATGCATACCGGGATGTCAACTCTGCCGATTCTATCAAGATTTTTGAGGGGGTCAAAAACGTTGTAAGTAATATTAAAAAAAAGAAGAGGTATTAACACATCAAATACAATTCACTATCTAACCTGCCTCAGTTGTTATCGATGCACACATGCATGTTGTGGTTCGTCACTTCAGTTCATCCACTCGTATATAACTGCATTTCAATTAAAAAAAATATGTTTTTTAACTAATAATATTTGTATCGATTTTTGCTATTGTTTTGGAGATGCCACTACTTAGCTCACCGAGCAGCTCCAGAATCCAACTCATATTCAATTTAACTGAGACATGATCATCGTTGAGCACTAATGATTGTGGGGCAGATATGGGAAATATTTGGCGGAATTGTGCCATTCATGATACAAGCATGGAATTTGGCACACATTCATACTATGTCTTAAGAAAGGTATTTGGCTATATGGCCCTCGCAGATTTGTCCTTAATAATACAGGTAGAATAACAAGCAATCTTCATTTTCAAAAAGGCTGCGAGCTGCCGATGCTTGTTTTGCAAGCCAGATTTTTTGGGACGTGGCAGAATAACATTCCCCATATTAGTACTGGATCTTGCGCGATGTGAATGCTGTTCATTGATTCTAGTGAATTTTTAGCAAGGTAACTTGGAACTAATCCTGCTAAACATTTAAATGCCATAGATGCTTGAAGCCTTGAAGAACAATCCTGCCACCGAGAGAGCTGAGGACGTCATCCTCATCAGTATCAAGAACGGAAGTCTGAAATTCGACACCGCGCTCGTCTTCCCAAAAGATGACGACGTCACAGAGAACAGCGTGAAGGATGTGCTGCTGAACGACACACTCGGCAATAATTATTTAGATGTGGATCCCGATAAGTCCACTGTCAGTGGTAAGAATAATATACCCACCGTAATACGTCAAGGGTCAGATTTGACCTGGGGTCGATTTGACCTGCTACTTTGCATTGTCAAAATGACAGGGGGGCAAATGAGATCAAGTTTTCCGATTCAAACTAACCCGCCCCGGGTTCAGCCCACTCCGGGCAGACAATTCAGTTTTATCAAATTGGATTAATTCGGTTCTCTGTTATGAAGAGACGACCAAAGACAAAAGCAAATACATTATCATGAAGACAAAAATGACTTGAAATGCACATTTCTGGCATTTTCCAGAACCACCGCCTACGATTTGCCCCGATGGTTTCTGTTCCAACGATGGGACCTGCCGACAAGGTGGTACATTCCCTGACCTGAAGCCGATTTGTAGGTGAGTTCTTACCTAAAAAAAACAATGTTGATGGTAAATTACTTCGCGGCGGCAAAACTGTTGTCCTATACGAACCCCCGCTGTATATGCCTTCTGTCAATGTTATATGACTAAACGCTCTTATTTGGACCTTAACATTGAGGGGGAAAGGAAATAAAATAAAGTATCCAGCGTTTCAAAAATGTTTTTGTTATTGCCGAAGCTACATCAATATCGGAAATCACAGGAATGTTTTCTGAAAATCAATGGAAAAAACCATTACTTAGTTTGAGGCTTTTTCCTCATTTTTCATTGCGAAACTGGCACTTCAAATTGTTCTGGTCAAAAGGCTTTGTAAAACGAATGTTGTTGTTTCCTTTCACAATGGATAAACCGAAGAAATTTGTAATTTGTCTCCGGTCCTTTTTTTTTCGATTTATAGCTGTGCCAGGGGATTTTCTGGAACTACGTGTGGTTTTACGGGTAGGTATTTGATAGAAGTGGAAAATGTTGACAGGCTGGGTGTAAGGTGGAACAGTATAACAGTACTTTTTGGAAAATTTCAATTTTTTATCCCGGATTTTCACACCCCCCCCCCCAAAAAAAATGTTTTCACTAAAAATTACTCACAATGATATTTTAAGTGCCCTGACAAAAAGTTAGGGTCTCGAGAAGCAAACACAGTGTTACAAGAGTACTCGAAGACATTGGAAATTCAGAACAGCCCCCGACGGGTCCGCACAAAATGCATCAATTTCTGGCATCGTAACACCCAATCTCAATCGTAACGAAAACTAAATCGTTAGTGATTTAGCGCGGCACGTCCTCGTACATGTAGTCAACCTCATCCAGCGGGCTTACTTTATTTTTAAACATGTTTCCAATAGTAACCCCTAGGTAAAAACCTCACTTCCTGTATCCCGACTCGGTACAGCAGCGAGTAATGCATGTATTAGGCCAAAAAATAAATATATTCGGTCTCTGGTCAGACCAAAGTTCCGGAATTGATGCGGTGACGCGTTTTTTTTTTTTTTTTTTTTTTTTTTTGGCCTTTTTTTATATATTGTTTCAACTGAACAATGACAAAAAACTTAAGTGACCGAAAACTTTCGCCAAAACAGAGCTGACGCCGTTCGTCATTGCAATGATCGCCTTCGGCGGCTTTGCAGCCCTAATCCTAGCAATGGTCCTCGTGTATTGGCTGTACGTGAGAACAAGGCGTGACAAGGGAGGAAAGGTGGACCGGGAGGATAGTACGTTCGCCCCTGCCTGGGGGAGCTCCGACGATGGGTTTGTCAACAAGGGGGTCGACAGTGAGAGTGGAGACTCCTTTGAAAGCAACGAGAGGATGGATCAGCTGGCGAGAGATTTGAAGCAGTCGAACTTCTTAATGAAGGTGAGGACACCCACCGCTTTATCGTGTCGTTGGAGCATGCTTGTGTTAACTAATACTGCTCTTGTTACTGTTGCTGTCATTGCTGCCATGATGCCGCTCTTGCTGTTATTAAGCTGCTGCTATCTCTTGTTTTTGCTGCTACGGCTGTTGCTGCTACTGATACTGTACTATTACACCAAAACATCGGGGGATCAATGCAAAAAATATGTACTTGAAGAGTGTTATACATGTTCCAATATCGCACAAAGACAACTGAGCGTCTGGCAATGTGAACAGTGTCTTTTTAATGTATTCTCTTCTCACGCCAGGACTCATAAAGCTTCACATTAACATAAATTGCTGCAAGGTCTAAGTGTAAACCTCACACTTTCATTACTTAAGACTTCATGCTTGTCTTCTAAGCAATTTTATTAGCAGAAGGGAAATACGTTTAGCCCATGAAGAATATTAATTCCATTACAACCAAGTTTAAATCGTGCTCTCGGTTTTCAAACGTGAGGAAAGAACAAGTAACGTGACGTCATTAGTCACTGACACCGTTTATGTCATTATTTCCAGAGAGCAAAGAGTGTGTACCAGTGGGGGAGTTTAAAACATAGCAAGGCACAATCACAACCTAGTAGCACCGGAACACCCGTAATGGTGAGTTGATATATTTCTTATTATCTCAAGCAACTGTTATATCTTATTGATACATCTAGAATAAAAAAAAACCTACTGAACCGAGCTGAACTTAATTTGTCCTCTACAGGGTGAGTAAGGTGAGTAAAAAAAACAAAACAAAAAAGAAACACAAGTGTTTTAATGCACGATTTTTGCACGAAGGCAAGTGTTCTTACAGCAAAACGAAATCAAATCAAATACTTCATGTAGGCTACGTTATGTAAATTTGTAATGGTTTTTTTTAATCTGTAAATCATGTACAAGTTGGCCTTCGGGCGACGACTCATGAGTTTCAATAAACCAATCATAATAATAATAATGATAACAAAATATGGATGTGTGTGAATTGTTTTCGTTTTGCTGAAAGAACGCACACCTTTTTTTGTGATCCGTGGACAGAACTTTAAAATGGTGGTTGTGTTTAAAATTCCGTAATTTTAAAAGTACATATACGTGATTTGAATGATTCTTATACTAAAACAAAGTTTATGAATTGGGCTTTCATATCCTTGATGTTCAAAGTTCTACACGCAGAACTTCACTAAAACAATAGTCCCGACATTTGGGTTTCGCTATTTTTGACTCATCCTGTACGTGGTCCCAATATTTAGTTTCTCTTAGGCCCTATATGTCACGAAGCTGATTGAAGCTAAATTAAGTTTGCCAAGCAGATAGTGTTTGCTCTGTCGGCAGAAATCAGTTGGGAACTAGCCAAATGGCAAAAACACGACACACAACATTTAAAGCGGTAAATCTTTTGTTTCTAAATCGTTTCAGCTGGAACTAAGAGAAAGCATTGCAGATCGGCGCTGGTATACAGCCTCAAATATCTGAATTGAACAGGAGTCCAGGACTGGAATCAGACAATACGTGGACAGTGTCATTAATAAACTATGTTCAGATATCGCATGTTTAAATCTTAATTTAATGTTTAGTTGAAATATAAATAGGAGTCCCAGCTGAATATATACGACCGAAGATATATTCATCATATACCCAAAGAATTATATGGAAACATGAGAAAAATGTACAGCGCTTACATCCCACACAAGTTGTTATGGTTTGAGAGTTATTGGTTTAACAATATTGAAATAACTCTACCTTGTTGGCAGACAAACTGTAGCGAAGATTGGTTAATAATATATTATGGCTAAATTGATGTATAGATATATACGAAAATCAACTGTGTTCCAATGCCGAACATTAAAATATGACTGTATAGTTCTAGAATTTATATAGCTCAAGTACTACGACTGCAAATAGTCATCATGGAACCAAGTAATTATGTATGGATTAGACGTAACAAACACAGAGTAATCCGACTTAGCCACACATTAACTTTAATGCTTTGGGGGGTCATTAGGTTAACATTTTATTAACAAACCTGCCTTGTTCAGACGTTATAGCAAAGAAATGTTAGTAATACGATCTCTAAATAGACTTGATATTATATAAAATAATCTGTACTTCACTGTTGTCAGTTTATGGACATGTACGTTTAACTGGCAAAATTCGGTTGCTTGATGTTTTTGTATTAGCTCATCAACTGAAATAGTAAGAGAGCTATTTAATTTGTTTTACAGGTGCAGCTCCAATTACCGTAAAATGAGCTGTAATGGGTGGGACTAGATTTTCAAACGTACAACTGCTGACAAGTATGTTTATTAACGAGGCTGTTCAAATGAAAGTGGCATTTCAGAGTTTTTGTAGGGAGGAGTTGTAGCTAAAATGCATGCGGGTGAGCGAATGACCAAAACGTCGCCCAGAATTGTAATTTTATCTTCAGTCTTCCATATATATATATATATTAGGCTGATTTTGATGTTGCTAACGATTTGCGAAAGCCTGCCTTATTCTTTACTTTAGCCACATTACAGAATTAGGGATTCATTACCAGATATATGTACATAAAGCAAAGAAATTCTCCAATTTATTTCAAATGCGGTTGATAATATAAAAATCATTATCACGCATCGTTTACTGAAAAGGAGTGCTTTGCTGTTCTAACAGAGTTTTGAAATTCAATTTCATGGTTTTGAAACTACATTTTAGGCCTAACTTTATGTTCATGAACAGAATACATTTTGTTACTTAAAAATATTCTATAACTTTCTATCACTATTTTGACAACTAATGAAATGTTGATATAAATTATCAAAAACCTTATATTTGATTAATTAACATCCCCCCAAAAGGTGGCAAGTAAGAGAGACTATAGACCATTATCATGTTGCGGCCATCTTGATTTTTCCCATGCAAATCAACGAAACCAAAGCGAGGCTGGAAGGAAAATCGTCTGGTTCCTTTTGGCACGAAAAACATTGTCATTTGGTACTGTGATTGGATACAGGGACATGACTGAAATAGTGGGAGCACTATAAAGTTCTATTGACATCATTTCGAGGATGAACTCTCTAAATAATCGTCGACGTGGACAACGAATAACTATCGATAGTGGAAGTGAGGTTTTTAGTACAAACAACTTGAAAAAACTTTCATTAATTTCATTCCTTGAATATTTTAGCCGAATTACCCCGATAAGCTTTCTGACACCGACGTTGATCACTTTTCCAATTAGAGATTTTGCATTTGCATGAATTAATATATTGTATAGTAACAGAATATTAAATAGCAATGTGTCATCAATTTGAAGATCCCTTGTATGTTTGGTATGTCCTGTCAACACCGATAAAGTATTACAGACAAAAACACGTTTCAAAGTATACATTTTCGGTTTGTCTTTTTCCACTACCAGAACTAAGGAGAAATCGATTCTTCGAAATCGGCATTTTAAACCGGTCAGTTCAAATGCACGCCATGTTGCCGATCGAAAGTCAATGTGCTATAATTCGTGATGAGCATGTAGCATCATATTTTCCCACGAACATGGGCGTCGTCAACTTTTTTTTATGGGGGGGGGGGGCTTATCCCATTATTTTCCGAGATCCTTGTACTTTCTCTAGCAAATTCTCAATTGATCATTTTTTTTTCGAGGGTGGGCGGGGGGGGGGGGGACATTTGCCCACTGCGACCCAATTGACAGCCCTGGGGACGCCAATCTTGTTAAATGTGCATAAAATTACCAGCAATATGACTTCGCCCCTCGTCTTTTTTATTTTCGGGGGTGGGGGGTGGCAAGCGCCCCCTTGACCCCCCCCCCCCCCCCTCGCGACGCCCATGCCCACGAACGGTTATCCATGCACGATAACAGGTAGCAGATAATCATTCATAATTGACAGTTATAAAGAACAGTTAAGCAAGTTTACTACCGTTCGATTCTCAGTTTTCGTGACAATTTGAGAATGGTAAAGATCCTAATCTTTTTTTCTTTCGTCGCAGAGTCCAGATATCACGCACGAGATCTACTTAAGCACTCCACTAGCGCTTGATTCTGTGCAAATACTTGAAACTTTGCGGGGTGTTTGCGTGTCGGTTGGCTTGGTATATTTGCTGCCACTACTCGGTTCACTGGAAACCATATCAGATCGTTCAGTTAAGGGTGGAAAATAACTTGAACTGAGGAAGCCACCTTTTTGTCGGCGTCCTGGCAACACACCGCGTAGCGAATGAAGTTTTAAACGTTTTATAAAGCAAGGGGTTGACACGTTTGCCATACCAACGCCTGAGTAATGCATTGGGTGGGGCCTGTGAACATGACCGGCAGTATTGACGGTTTAGACCACATTAAGTCTCACAACATTTTGCAACCTGTGACAGTACTGTCGACAAAAAGCGCACAGTGACAAATTGGACAGCAACAAGTTCTCACTAAAGGCAACTGCTATACATTGATATATCAGAATGCTGGCCCGCGCAATGAGCAAAAAGAAGTATCACGCTTCACAACCTAGGACCGTACAGATAGTAAAGTTGGATGAAGTATAGCGCTCCTGCGTCAGTGAAAAGATATTACTTTTGTTCCTTATTTTTCGTGTGCACAAAAAAGTTTAGTTGACAGTTATTACACCTGAAATTCATTTTAACACACTGAACATAATACACTTTAAACTAGCGCTGTGAGATAGCACAGTAACTCCATTGCAGCAAGACATGTTAGAGTAACAAAAATGAGAATAGTCCTGTACACTGCGGAGCAATAACCGGCGTCTAAGCGCCATGCACAGATTTAAATAATGTGATTGATAAAATTTACTTTAAGACGGGAAAATGATAATGTCAGTTAAGACACACCTTCGAATGACTAGCATTTCCACAAGTGAAGTCTTTAAGTTTGGTCTCAACTAATTGGTGGCGACCAAAAAGGTCACAGGTCAGTACTTGAATAGCATGTCACCTGCCTTGACATGTGACTGGATTACCTGGTCTGGGATTGACTTGGGCGGACTTGACTAGAAAATTTGGGTGTGCCCTGACTTTGAAACTGACCTCTCGGAAGCAAGTGTCCTCGTGCCGGGAGCATTTGGTTAATTCGGAGACAAAACCTGTATCGGGTCCATTCCTATTTTAATGAACAGACAAACGTAAAGCATTGGCATGTCAACGTAGACCTATCGGCACAAACGTCAGCAGTTTTGCCCGCAATACGATACGAGAAGGGTGGAGTTGATCATCAGAAACAGGTCTCGAAGTTCCTTTGCCACAAATCTCTAGGTAAACACAGTTCATTCGTTATCGATGACCACTTAGCTGTTATATCAATATAGCTTCAGTCCTAATCAAAAATAATGATTGCATCCGATAATTGGATTTTGTATTTCCCAAACGGCGGTATCGGAGTCTCAAAAAGCGGAGCTTTCTTCAATTGCCCGCTTGACGTCATGCGTGGAGCATCCAATTACGCGTTTAAAATACAAATATTTACCCTACCATTATGATTCCATGAGAACTGTATATACCAGCATATCTTGTATTTGTTCACTTAAGTAGAAAAAAAGCTATCAAATGCCCACCGCGAGTAGGACAGGATTGCGAAACTATTCGCCAGAGTTCAGCGTCAAGCACCTCGTGCAGTAGAAATACCATACAGATAACCGTATCAGATAATACGATTTGCTGGGGGCTTGTAAAGTTTGTCCGCGTGTGTCAAGTTGCACAGCCAGAAACTTCGACGAGTTGGTGTAATTGCTTTTCCGTTGTTACCACTACTGACATGAAATCTGGTATTACACTGCGGTCAGATTGGAATGCGGGAAATGCGGTTTAGAAGAGTGGCAGTGGCCTAATATCCGCTACTGAAAGGGACTATACAACATAATGCAAACATCAAAAGCAAAACTACCAAATTATTACGAAATACATTACTGGACTGTTTAGAGAATGGCGGTCTAAAGCATCCTGTAAAATCATGACACACGGTGTGCTGTCATTTTCAAGAAAAGTGGTACCTTTGTGTCAATTTCCAACGCTGATCAGCCGACCAGCGTTGAAAAAAATTTAAACAGTGACATCATTATGGCCTCTTTGTTGCATCTAGCCCATCAAGCATTTCCTGAGTCCAAGTGGCGGCCATTTAATAAAAGCTGGCAGCCATCTTGAAAAAAAAGTCCGGCCGGTCGTTTTGGAAAATGGGTCCGGCGGCCATTTTGGAAAAAAGGGGCCTCCTCCTTCCTTTTTTATTTTAAAGGCAGGACGCTAAACATGTTTTTTTTTTTTTAAGTGTAAGCGTGTTTTTATTTGACCGATCCCCATTTTCTATTTCCCGGGTTTGCAAAGCATTGCTTATAGGGACCCGGCTGCCCTTGCACGATTATTTTTCTCATGCTCTGTCAGTATTGTCTTCTTACTTTGTTGTATATAATACGAGAACTCGGGAAAATTACCTGGGTAACGATCGAAAGAAAATAAACCTGACAAGTAAAGTTTTTCGTGTTTATCCCGTCTTGGGCGCACAATAAAGCTGCAACCTGATATCGTTAAGTTGTACAATGCATGGCGAATTGAATCCGACTGCTTATATCAATTTGCCAGAGCCAGGCCCGTATTCATTGATCCGTTGACATAGGTCTGAGGAAAACCGAGCACTAGGGTCAAGTTGAAATAAAGCAAACCGGATCGCATGGAATCTGGCTTTGCCCACTGCGGTAGATGTATGGCAGGGACTGAAGTTTAACATTTTTAAATCACCCAGGCTTTTAATGCCGCTAGCATGAAAATACTGCATGCCCTAGAACTTTTTTAATGGCGACAATTTTGTTCTCTAGATGTTCAGAACAAAATCGTATTGGTACTTTTAAGGACATATGTTTCTCATTTGAACAATGAAACCTCCAACACTTTGCCGACCCTATACGATTTCAGTTCAGTCGGTGAAAGTATAACTGCAGCCATGAATAAATATAAGTACAAATGGTCACAGATGTATTTAATTGTTTTTTTTCCTGCCCATCAGAGAAGTGTTTTAACTTCAAGGGTTTTTTTTGTCCGATAGTTTATTATGCATTAGATCTGGGGCCAATTCCGAAATTCGATTTTCTCATGAAAAGGGACGGGTTTATATTTTATTTTATTTTTTAAGACTACGTATTTTGAAGGTATGTACAGCATGAGATTAATATAGAGTAATTTAAAGTAGGCCCCGCCCCCTAAGAGTACTACGAAAGTATTTAGTGGGTATTGTCGTGACCACACCAGGCAGCTCTTGGGGGGGGGGGGGGTTGAAGGGGGCATGTATCCTCCAATAACATATTGGAGGATACATGCCCTGAGTATCCTCAGATACTCTATTCCAGTGCGTACAGATTTTAAAATAATTTACCTCTCCACTAAATTCCCGAATTCCAAAGTTGAATAGCTCTGAAATACATTCGTTTGCCTCCCATTTCGCGAAAAGGCAAAAGTAAAATGCGAATAATGGTCGTAAACGCACGTTTAACAACCATTTTATTCGAATTTGTTGAGAGGAATTGCCGCTTTTGTAGTGGATATCTCCAAAACAGTTGGGTAGGGGGAACGCCCCCCCCCCCCTGCCCCCATCCCAAATGTTGTCCATATGCCGACACGACCTTCGACCTTGCCTGATTGGAACGCCCAATCATGACACATTGATCTGTTAAACATGATCAATAATTACAACCACACACCGACCACTGAATGGTGCCTTTTATCAATACACATTATTATAACGGGTTATCTATTAACTTTTTAATCCGGTATTCTGATGAAAACTGATGTTGCAATAGCCCGGATGCTCATTTTCGATGCGGCGTCAAAGTACACGAGCCGTCATTTTGATCTGTATTCTGTTAAGTGTAACTCACGGGAGGACATTTTAGAAGCATCTGCGTAATTCTCACGACACTGGCACCAGCCGAAACGGAATCACTCAAACCGGCAAAGGGAATATTGTGATTGGTTTCAAGGACGAATATAATGACGACTGATACCACGATGCGGTTGGTCTTCACGGTGATGTTGTCTGGACTAATGGTGACCGGCCTATTAGGTAAGTACACCACAAAAAAACGGATTATTCTAAATGTGTAGTGCTGTCTGGATGCGTTTAATATAACTATATGTATATCGATTTCACGCTATTCTCTTAACCATAACTCTCGGAAGTCGTTGCCAAGTTGTTCTCTTGACTGAGACGTACTGCTTTCCATGTACGTTGGTACTTAGTGGTCAGCTAATGTCATCACTAATTACAACCGTAACAGTGTTTCGAGGGGAAGGTGCAGGGGGCGATTTCCTACTTTTAAGCTAATTATCTTTCCTGAGATTATGCACACGACAGAGTCGATCATATCCCTCATATTCTCGTGTGTCCAAGATTTTATTGAGGTCCAATTGTTCGGGCTTATCCATTAAAAAAAATCCCTAAATTGAACTACTTTTCTGACGAAAAAACCCCAAACCCTGTGTTCGCTGAATGTGAACAAAAAATCGGTCCTTACATCAGTCACATGAAGCTTAAACCACGGATCCTATAGACAAGGACAAACGATTGTTCTGAGCTCCAGTACAAAACGCACTGAGCGTTCTTGCCTTAATTGGTTAGACGCGTGATAAAGGGCATTAATACCCATTGGCTTGCAATTTTTTTTCTTCAAAAATAAACACCAGGATATAGCAGATGGTATTGTGCAGTTTTTGTCGTCATAGTTGAAGTATTTACCCGGAAAATAAACGTCAATTTTCGATGAGAACACCGTTTACCTAAATTTTGTTTTTAATTAGGCTTCCATTAAAATGTTTTAGACAGATAGTCACCGACACCACGAAGTGACCTTCACCCCCGCAAAGTGGAAAATGTGTGTTTCGAGATACAAGCGATTTAAGTTGACGATGTTTTGAAACGGTGATCAAAATGTCGTTTTAGCCTCATATTCTGTTACAAGCTAGAATCTCGAATGTCACGTTAATGAATGTTTTTTATTGAATAAAATTACTATTAATGAGTTATGAAACTAGTTAACCATAAGGTCACTTCGTGAAAACTCAAAATTCAGATAACGATGTGTTCGAGTTTTCACGAAGTGACGCTAACCATGTGTATTAGCTAATGGGTTAGCGCTAATTCGTGAAAACGCTAGAAGTGAGTAGCGCATATCATTTGTGTCACTTCGTGAAAACGCAAAACCCCTTTTTGACGCGTAGTGTGCAGGCACTTTACACGCGAAAGAAAACGCATTTTCCGGTTTTGACCCATTAATCTGCAAACGTTAATTCATGTTTTGACAAAACTAGTTAGCTAAGTGTTTATTAACTTCTTGAGGTGATAGATTGTAATTAATCACAAATCAGGGGAAAAAAATCGAAAAAAGCGATTTTTTCGATGTTAGTATCCCTTCGTGGTGACGATGACGAGATGTGATCCTGAACCGATAAAATAAAAGCAACATTTCACTGTTCATTTTAAAGCTTAAGATATGTGCTCGATTAACATGGTTATAAGAATTAAGTAATAAAGCCAAAAAAATAGACTCATGAATATTCAAAAATATAATAATAATCGGGCGCAGAGCCATGCAAATCTGAAAGCCACCGTGCGCAGGGTCTTTGTTGACAATATTCATGGTATTTGCCACCAGTACGGGCCGTTATCACGGGTCCAACCAGGAGTTTGGCCGAGTCGTTGATCCTTGTGTGTAGGATCCATGCTTAAACAAACTTTGATGTTGGACTCACTTCCATTGCCTTCAAAGTAACTGGTCTATTTTTAACTTTGCTTGTCGATGAAACAATTTTCCCCCGGTAATAGCAGTTTAAAAGAACGCAACTGCCAACTCCTGTTAAATATACCGTGAAAGGCTTCTTCCTGATTTTGACCATGTAACTAACTAACAATGGGCCTTATGTTCCCTGAATGTATGTCATTAATTGTTAACTGTTAAATTGGATGACGCCATAATGCAGCCATATTTCACAGTCATTTTTTTTTCGAACCACAGGGGCAACGACTCAAGCAGCTAACACAGCAGCAACGACTCAATCTGTTACTACAGTAGCAACCACTCAAGCAGAAACCACAGCAGCAACCACTCAAGCACAAACCACAGTAGCAACCACTCAAGCAGAAACTACAGTAGCAACGACTGAAGCAGAAACTACAATAGCAACGACTGAAGCAGAAACCACAGCAGCAACAACTCAATCTGCCACAACAGTGGCAACCACTCAAGCAGAAACCACTCAAGCAGCTACCACAGCAGCAACCACTCAAGCAGAAACCACAGTAGCAACCACTCAAGCAGAAACCACAGCAGCAACCACTCAAGCACAAACCACAGTAGCAACCACTCAAGCAGAAACTACAGTAGCAACGACTGAAGCAGAAACTACAATAGCAACGACTGAAGCAGAAACCACAGCAGCAACAACTCAATCTGCCACAACAGTGGCAACCACTCAAGCAGAAACCACTCAAGCAGCTACCACAGCAGCAACCACTCAAGTAGAAACCACAGTAGCAACCACTCAAGCAGAAACCACAGCAGCAACCACTCAAGCACAAACCACAGTAGCAACCACTCAAGCAAAAACTACAGTAGCAACGACTGAAGCAGAAACTACAATAGCAACGACTGAAGCAGAAACCACAGCAGCAACAACTCAATCTGCCACAACAGTGGCAACCACTCAAGCAGAAACCACTCAAGCAGCTACCACAGCAGCAACCACTCAAGCAGAAACCACAGTAGCAACCACTCAAGCAGAAGCCACAGCAGCAACCACTCAAGCACAAACCACAGTAGCAACCACTCAAGCAGAAACTACAGTAGCAACGACTGAAGCAGAAACTACAGTAGCAACGACTGAAGCAGAAACCACAGCAGCAACAACTCAATCTGCTACAACAGTGGCAACCACTCAAGCAGAAACCACTCAAGCAGCTACCACAGCAGCAACCACTCAAGCAGAAACCACAGTAGCAACGACTCAAGCAGCTACCACAGCAGCAACGACTCAATCTGTTACCACAGTAGCAACCACTCAAGCAGAAACCACAGCAGCAACCACTCAAGCACAAACCACAGGAGCAACCACTCAAGCAGAAACTACAGTAGCAACGACTGAAGCAGAAACCACAGCAGCAACAACTCAATCTGCTACAACAGTGGCAACCACTCAAGCAGAAACCACTCAAGCAGCTACCACAGCAGCAACCACTCAAGCAGAAACCACAGTAGCAACCACTCAAGCAGAAACCACAGCAGCAACCACTCAAGCACAAACCACAGTAGCAACCACTCAAGCAGAAACTACAGTAGCAACGACTGAAGCAGAAACTACAGTAGCAACGACTGAAGCAGAAACCACAGCAGCAACAACTCAATCTGCTACAACAGTGGCAACCACTCAAGCAGAAACCACTCAAGCAGCTACCACAGCAGCAACCACTCAAGCAGAAACTACAGTAGCAACGACTGAAGCAGAAACTACAGTAGCAACGACTGAAGCAGAAACCACAGCAGCAACAACTCAAGAAGAAACCAAAGCAGCAACCACTCAAGCAGAAACCACAGTAGCAACGACTCAAGCAGCTACCACAGCAGCAACGACTCAATCTGTTACCACAGTAGCAACCACTCAAGCAGAAACCACAGCAGCAACCACTCAAGCACAAACCACAGTAGCAACCACTCAAGCAGAAACTACAGTAGCAACGACTGAAGCAGAAACTACAATAGCAACGACTGAAGCAGAAACCACAGCAGCAACAACTCAATCTGCCACAACAGTGGCAACCACTCAAGCAGAAACCACTCAAGCAGCTAACACAGCAGCAACCACTCAAGCAGAAACCACAGTAGCAACCACTCAAGCAGAAACCACAGCAGCAACCACTCCAGCACAAACCACAGGAGCAACCACTCAAGCAGAAACTACAGTAGCAACGACTGAAGCAGAAACTACAATAGCAACGACTGAAGCAGAAACCACAGCAGCAACAACTCAATCTGCCACAACAGTGGCAACCACTCAAGCAGAAACCACTCAAGCAGCTACCACAGCAGCAACCACTCAAGCAGAAACCACAGTAGCAACCACTCAAGCAGAAACCACAGCAGCAACCACTCAAGCACAAACCACAGTAGCAACCACTCAAGCAGAAACTACAGTAGCAACGACTGAAGCAGAAACTACAATAGCAACGACTGAAGCAGAAACCACAGCAGCAACAACTCAATATGCTACAACAGTGGCAACCACTCAAGCAGAAACCACTCAAGCAGCTACCACAGCAGCAACCACTCAAGCAGAAACCACAGTAGCAACCACTCAAGCAGAAACCACAGCAGCAACCACTCAAGCACAAACCACAGTAGCAACCACGCAAGCAAAAACTACAGTAGCAACGACTGAAGCAGAAACTACAATAGCAACGACTGAAGCAGAAACCACAGCAGCAACAACTCAATCTGCCACAACAGTAGCAACCACTCAAGCAGAAACCACTCAAGCAGCTACCACAGCAGCAACCACTCAAGCAGAAACCACAGTAGCAACCACTCAAGCAGAAACCACAGCAGCAACCACTCAAGCACAAACCACAGTAGCAACCACTCAAGCAGAAACTACAGCAGCAACCACTCAAGCACAAACCACAGTAGCAACCACTCAAGCAGAAACTACAGTAGCAACGACTGAAGCAGAAACTACAGTAGCAACGACTGAAGCAGAAACCACAGCAGCAACAACTCAATCTGCTACAACAGTGGCAACCACTCAAGCAGAAACCACTCAAGCAGCTACCACAGCAGCAACCACTCAAGCAGAAACCACAGTAGCAACGACTCAAGCAGCTACCACAGCAGCAAAGACTCAATCTGTTACCACAGTAGCAACCACTCAAGCAGAAACCACAGCAGCAACCACTCAAGCACAAACCACAGTAGCAACCACTCAAGCAAAAACTACAGTAGCAACGACTGAAGCAGAAACTACAGTAGCAACGACTGAAGCAGAAACCACAGCAGCAACAACTCAATCTGCTACAACAGCGGCAACCACTCAAGCAGAAACCACTCAAGCAGCTACCACATCAGCAACCACTCAAGCAGAAACCACAGTAGCAACGACTCAAGAAGCTACCACCAGTGCAACGACTCAATCTGTTACCACAGTAGCAACCACTCAAGCAGAAACCACAGCAGCAACCACTCAAGCAGAAACCACAGTAGTTACCACTCAAGCAGAAACCACAGCAGCAATCACTCAAGCAAAAACCACAGCAGCAACCATTCAAGCAGAAACTACAGTAGCAACGACTAAAGCAGCTACCACAGTTGCAACGACGCAAGCGGCTACCACTACACCTGGTTCGTATATATTTTTTGCATTCTTAATCATTTTAATTCACTTCACTTAAACGCTTTGAAATATACCGTCGGTACAAATATTGTGATTGCTGTTGTTGGGTTTTTTTTTAAACCTTTTTTTGTGTCACTTTTATCAATTGTATCTGAAGCTTGTCAGCTGACCTGTGAAAACGAAGGAGTGCTGGACACAAAGTACTGTGAGTGCATCTGCCTTCCTGGATACTCCGGAACAAAATGTGAAGGTATGGACTCATTTAGGATCCTCTTGACGAGTACGAACACGAGTTTTGATTACACTTACGGACTAATCAATAAATAAATTCAAACAACCGACTGAAAAAGAGCATATTTGAGACCGTTTCAGTGAGGCTATGCGGCTTCTCACCCTTGCCTTGGCAGTCAAGCACTGACAGTATATTTATTGATAAATGTCCAATTGTTTAATGGTCCTGCCGCCGTCTTCGGGAATGTCCGGGGGAAATCGTTAATTCATGGCCAAATACATGTTGCCTTAAAAAAGTCAAACGCCCTCCACAAGAGGTTTTCTCTTTCCGGAGTGGAAACTCTATATATTTGTACATTTCTTTACTTAATTTCCCACTACAAAAAATAAGACCCCTCCCACAAAAGGAGAGATCTTCTACTGCCTTGAAGCTATTTTTTCTATTATCGCATTTGAACTTCTTCTTTTTTGACAGTTATTCCGGAAGAGAACCCATGTGCAACAGGCGAACCTCAATGCGATACAGAAAGCGAATACTGCTCGCCAAATCCAACAGACCCAAAAGGCTACGAGTGTTTATGTCGTACAGCGGATGGATTTGCGCCAGACGAGGACGGAAACTGCAGGCGTAAGTTGAATTCAAATCTTTTACAGTCGAGCACATGCTTCCTATCCCACTTTAGAATTATATTTTTAAATGAGCTGTGATGATCGTTGGGAAAAAAAGAATCACCTTTTGTCTGTGATATAGCCCAATAGTTTCGTAGACGTTAACATTTAGTAAATCCTGACAAAGTTCGTTCAATTATGATGTTTCCCGTGTCCACATTTTCAAAAAAAAAATCAAATTTTACTTGGCTGTATAATGACAATTCAATGAGCCAATTGCCCTACGTCGACACTCATTTTTGTATTCACTTTTTAGCCAAGAAGAGTTTTACTGCCGAGCTGCGTATAACAGAAATAAACGGCGAGCAGGCGGAGTACAAGCCAGAATATAGAGACATTCACTCAAAGGCTTCGCAAGAACTATTTGGCCAAGTGACACCAATTGTAAGTAAAAGACTTATTTCACGAGTATGAAATTTAATGGTACAGCGTGAAACAGTACAAATGAAGAAGACAAAAAGTGCAGTATGATTTTAACCGACTTTAACTCCACCTTGCTATACCACTGTTCAGATTTTTTCCCCCAGAAGATTAACATTTTAAACAATGTTGGATTTCTTATGTGAATATTGGTATTAAAGATACAATTCTAAGCTGGTGTTACTTTATCTAATTGTACCGTACCGACTTCTTATCTGGGGCAAGCAACTCCTGACAATGAGGCAATCTCCTTGGTCAATTTTCAACATTCAATTGGTACTTCATCGTTATATTTGTTTGTTTGTTTGTTTGTTTTTTTGGCAACTCATGTTCATCGTGATACTTCAAAGGTTGCACTCAAACAATCACGCGTCCTCATAAACTCATCACAATTAGGTCTCATCCAGTCTCAAATCAACCCAAAAGCTATTGGAATAAACTCTGACAAAAACATTTCTTTGTCATTGTTCGTCTGCTTTTACTTGCGACTTGACTTGAGAAACGAATTGTGATGTACTCTTATTTGACTTGTGATGGTCTGCTGATAGACGCGACTGCAATACTGATTTTGTGCAACGCAACTTTCTAATTATTCATGTTTATCCTGAAATGTGCCACAGATACTTCAGTCCCTGAAGAGCAACCCATTTACATCGGCGGTCGAGAGTGTCATAGGTGTTGGGTTGGAGGCAGGCAGCGTCATCATCAAGACGGCGGCCATTTACAGTTCAAACGAAACCGTCTCGGACAATCTCATAGAGGATGTTTTGCGGACAGATGCGTTGGGAAACGCCAATTCGTCTCTCACTCTGGACCCCGACGCGTTTCAGGTTTCAGGTATGAAATCACTGAGTACTGTTGTGATGTGAGTGTATTGAGTTGTTTAATACTTTGAAGTGCCAACATTGCACCGTTGGAATACCACCGTTCGAAATCACTGGTGTATTACATCGTATGAAGAATATACGCTCAACCAAAAAAAAGAAAGTGCCCCCTTCAAATACTTTTTTGTCTAACTCAAAAAATACTGTTCACCTCTCGCTCAATTAACGACTAATCAGTGATAAAGTGTACGAATTTATGCAATTTATGACCAATGATACCGAAAGCAGTTGCACTTTAGTATACATGCAAGTTGTGGTTCACACTCGCCTTGCACGTATACAAAAGTGCAACTTTCTTTTCGTTACTATTTGTCATAAATTGCATAATTTTGTACAAATTACCACTGTTTTGGGGCCAAACAAATAGTATGGCTGGATTGCTAAGGCATTTCTGTACTGATCAGTCGTAATTTGAGCAAGATGTGTCCAGTAGTTTTTGAGTTAGACAAAAAAGTATTAAGGGGGACTTTCTTTTTTGGTTGCGTGTAATAGAACTTAACTGACAGTAATGCGCTTCGCATTTTAGGGTTTTTTGTTCTTGAACACAGGGTAAAACCATGACACATAGGCTAAGCACCGATAACAAACTTGAAGAAGAAATCTTATGAACGAAACAATGATACAATCCCCTGTATCCATGCTGCTCCGACGGTAGATTCTTGCAGATGTTTGTTAAATCTCCCTTTATTTGATACTGCCCTAATTATTTGGCATTAAACGAATTTAAACAAAAATACATACAACCTGGTAATTTCGGCAATTCCGGTGTGATCTGTAACCCGACATAATTAACGTTTGCGCAGTTTGAAATATCTAGACACCACGGGGCTTGAATTCACAATGCCTAGTGCGTGCCTGCCTTGCACTGCGATATCTCAACTTGAATTGTCGTTCTGTCTTTTGCAATATCAGAGTCGACCACCGCCTGCCCATCCGATTTCTGTTTGAACGTTGGAACATGTGAAGCGACAGGTGACTATCCGCAATACGTCTACAGATGCAGGTTGGTGTCGAGTTTTGTAGGGGTAGGGGTCGTGAATAACTTTAGTGTGTCCAATAATGCAATCAGCATGCCCTCAAACACATATTTTTATGGGCCATTAGTAGTGGCGGATACCTTTAAGTGCAATATGTATGAACTAGAGGGCAGATCCGACGGGTGGTTGTGATGGCTGACCAGCACAACTACCCCTCGACTGCACCAATGTTAATTCCTTACATAATAAGGAAAAATGGGTTTCCTTACGTTCCCTAAACAACGTCATCGCTCAGTATTGCAAATGTTGGTTCATTGCTTCAGCCCTTTGATCTTTGACTTCAAAACACCACCTACTCCCTCAAGTGTCCTGTTAAAATCAAGAATCAATCATTTTTGGCACAGATGGCCATCAACGAGTGACAAAGAAAACCTACTTTAGTGTCACTTCGACCTGACTCGCTGATCACCTAACTTGCCTAGCGTGACCCATCCAAGAACATCCATGCCATAACTATATACTAATTTGCACACTGGATTATTAAGAAAACCTGGATTCTCAACTATATTGCATGCAGCGATAATCCCTTATAACGTGTAATGAAAAGTAATGTGTTGCTACACTAGTGATATTGAATCAAATCGATTCGAAATGCAAATGGGCCTTAAAAAATCAAAGTCTCGGTCTAGCGATGCATGCTAATTGTTTCTGCTGGAACTGTTGAATAACGACTTGCACAAGTGCAATGCATATGGATTGAGCACATTAATTGTTGTTTAAACTTATCATATTCCAAAGTCGATGATACAGATGTGTTTATCATATAGGCCTAGCTAAATCATCTGTGAGAAAACCAGTTGTTGCGGGGTTTTATTTGCAGAAAGAACATTACGTGAAGCCAAATTCCTCTAGACTTTACAAAATAAGATAATATAGCCTACATACTTTGATTGTGGGAATCTGGGTAAATTCGATATTTGCCTAGGGCAAAGTGGGAATTCCAACACTGCTGGGCAAAGTGGGAATGTTGTTTTACGTACTATTAACATCAATAACTTATCGTAAAATCACATAAGAACCCTTTGCTGCTAGAGGGAGGTATTTCAATATTCTACGGCTTTATTCCTTTATTGTGGTACCGCCTTACCCGCAAAATGTTTTGGGTGTCATTCGTAAATTACTGCATTTTAAACTCGGAAGGAAGATCTGGTTGAGCAATGGACATTCCTCCTTGCACTAATTACGAATATATCCAGATTTCAACTTGAACATCGTGCTACTACCGAACCAGGGCAACGAGGGAATTTCGTTCAAGTTTGATGTAATTTGATATATGCAAGGGCTGTTAAAATTACCCATTGGTAATATTCCTTCATTTTTCTAATACTGAACCTGGGCAAAGTGGGTATTTCCGTCAATGGATGTAAGTACATGCTATAGTTATGAGGTATACATTGCGCTACTACTGAAACTTTGCATAATTGTCAATATGTAAGTTTTGGATGTATTCCTACTTTGCCGGGTAGTATTAGAATTCCAACATTGCCAAGCAAGACAAAGTCGGAATTCCAACTTTGCGCGGACTCCCACTTTGCACGCGACAATTGTCCGCATTTGATGGCCCTTAATGATAAGGACACATCAAGCCAGCCATGAATAAATGGAAAATGTTTGTTTCTTTCCAACAGTTGTCCGGAAAGTATCAGCGGTCCCAATTGCGAAAACATTGATGGTAAGGATACATTTGACCAAACTTTGAAAAGCCATCAATTTAAACAAAGACAAAAAAAGGACAGACTATTGACAATTCCAAACGTATGTTCCAATTTACGACGGTTCAATTAAAATCGAGCACGAATTGAAATAAAAAAGAACAACGTTTGGAAAAAAAGCTACGTAATATACATTTTAAGGATTAATTGACATTTTACTAACGTGACACTTTGCATTTTCAGAATATTGCAATATTTCACAGGTTACCTTAGACACAATACTTGTATATTTTTTTTATTTTGGGTGTCTAAACAAAACACCGCATACACTTCTGAATGTGATTGACTTGGGGTAAGCTGAACAGATGCAAAACTACTTTTCGCTGAACTGCGATTCGATTTTCATATTTTTTTTGTCAGGTTTGTCACCGTTTGTCATTGTCGCGATCGTCTTCGGCGGCCTTGCCCTGCTACTAGTGGCAGCGGTGGCCGTCTTCTGCCTGTGCGTCAAAACGCGAAACGCAAAGGGTGACGAGGACTCGGTCATAGAGAACGGGAACGTGGACTTGCGAGCTAGGCCGGAGATGTACGGCGAGCACCAGCAGACCACGTCGTTCTCCTCCGGGGAAGTCAACCAGGCGCTGAGTGAGGAGGAGCCGCGAAGATCACGGTCAGTCTCTGACGACCTCTCGCCTGAAGAAGAGAGCCAAATAAGCCAGATAGCTGTCTTGATGACACAACCGACAGAACAAGCTCAGGTACTTTTAAAACACGGACAGTGGCGGCGCTACGGGCGGGGGGGGGGGGGCAAGTCTGTCCTGCCCCCAGTTTTCCCGAACACTTTATTTACAAGTAAAGACATACTCTGCAACTTCGTTTCGCACGGTTTTTAAATGGCTCCGTCACAGTGTACGCAGATGGGTTTTGTATAATGAGCTAGCGTAACCATTTTTTTTTATCTAACGCGGTTATAACTTTGAACACATCTAAAATAAACTTAGTCTTTCACATAGACTTCACATTCACACTTCGAGTACACAATCTACTGCTTCTTCGCGGCAAGGCACTTTTGTCCGTTAGTGATGGTCCTTAGTGCACTAAGGACCACTAACGGACAACAAATTTGACAAATCATCTTGACTGTTGGCAAGAATCTTTATAGAAGAGACTTGGAACAAAGTTATAAGGTTACTGGCTTGGTCTGTGGAAGGGAAACCTTGAAATGTACAACCAATATTCAAATTATACAAAATAAAACAACTTCACACCCCCCCCCCCCAAAAAAAAAGGTAAAGTGGGACTCGAAGTTGAATTACATATAAGTTCTGGTTCCTGTTAAATAAATAATAAGATTACCTCTTCAGGGGATAATTTTTCCTTAAAAGATATATGCAAGAGAAATGATATCTGCAATGCCATATTATTGGTTATTTACAGGGAAGGGAGATTAACAACCGGCCGCCAAGTCAGTACCAGTGGCAGGGCATAACACTTCCCAGAGCCAAAATCGACCGTCGGCCTGATGAGGAGGCCGTTAGGGTAAGTACATGTACTTCAGATTCCTTGAACAGTTTCCTTTACATCGTGCAATGTCAGAAGATAAAAATATACAGCGGCAGTGACATTGATCAGTTGTCTTACAGTTGATGCAATGGGTCTTTCCCCTCTGAATGGCCCCCTCCGTGAGTGCATGTCCTCGGTGAATGACGCTTTTAGGTCCACTCTTGCCAATTTGAGCATAATGAGGAACTTCAATAAGACAATGGAAAATGCAAGCACCCTTATGCTCATGGGCGTCGTGATGGGGAGAGGGCAAGGGGCGCCTCCCCCCCCCCCCCCATCCCGGAAAGTCCCCCAAGAAAGGAGAACGAAAAGGGGGGGAAGGAAAAGAGGTGTGAAGTCAAATTGGTTATTAATGTAATACACATTTAACAAAAGAGGCGTCGGCAGGGGTGTCAATGGGTTGAGGTGGGCAAATGTCCCCGCCCATCCTAAACAAAAATCAACCCTAAAAAAAAAGATCAGTTCAGAATATGCTAGAGACAGTACAAGGATTTGGGGGAAATTTGCCCCGCCCACCCAAAATCCTGGCGATGCCCATGCTTATGCTTACAAGCATATCTCGCATTGCTCTTTGAGGAGGGTAACGAGCGTTACATAGCACATGTGCATAGATAACATGTGCTACATTTAAACAGTGGCTTCTGTTGTGTGGGGAACTCCCTAACTATAAGACTATGGGTACTTTGTTTCGCAACAAAATTATTTTCATTAAACCAAATTTCTCTTGATGTTTACAGATTGAACTCAATGAAAACGACGGAGGAAGAACGGCCGGTTACTACTTCTCCAATATTTAATCTAGGCTAGCATGATCAGCAATCGTCTCCTCGGCTCACTGAGATAAATGAAAGGGGACAATAAATAGGTTTGTAAATTCATCACAAAAAGTACAGATGACAAATAAGTTACAAGTATGTCAAGATAGTGTCAGATTATTCCATCATCATGATGCCAGAATTTAGAACTTTAAATCTTTTTGGGTGTTATACTGACCTTCTTATGTTCCAACGTGCCTTAGATTATTTATACCTCTTCCACTTTATTTGTATTGACGTTTTTCGTAATTGTATACAAAATTGTGCCAATTTACAAAAAAAAAAGCAGGCCACCTAGCTGCATGAAGCCAGCTTCAAATCCAATTTTACAAGAAAAGAAAAGTACACTTTAATAGCAATTTTTGATTAGATTCATTGAGATCTAGACCATATAGTTACGTGATATAAGGCATTTTCTCCCTTGCGTTGACCTTATGGTTCTATGCATGGCCAGGTACAAAATAAGAATAACACATAAACCAGTATAGTTTTGTAAATAACACATTTTAGAGTGTTTTATTTATTCATCGGTTCATAAGAAAAAAAGTCTTTCAGGATGCACTTTTAATTGGAATTGTACATATATTTCAATATGCATAATCTCTTTTTTTCAGAATTTGTATTCAACTTTAAATTGATCAATCCGTTTACGCCTAAGATATTCCGTATTTATCACTTATTATCTTAAACAAACTGGTCTAAGTATAATTATTAACATCAAGCTTAAAACATTCATAAATATTTTATCTGATATTTTACGTTTAAAAAAAAACCTCACTGTGCTAGCTTCAAAACCAGTCAGTCTTCCAAATGTTAAATGTTTGTGTAGAAGTAATTCAGATTCAATCTTAACATCGTTACATTGCTTCTTTTCTGAAGGTTCCATTCAAGTTGGCTAAACAATTTTTGACAGGTGTTGTAACATTTTAATTGATGTACATGCTTCAAACTGCAAATTATAAATTGATTTTCCCGCCAAATTGTTTTGGATACAATCTCGGGCAAAATAAACTAGGCTTAATCTAAAAGACATCTACTAAAAATGTCATTTCTACAAAACAGATGCCTTCTTCAACAAAATATTAAAAGTGTTAACTTTAGGCCAATCGTCACTTACTTTTGTATTCGTACTTTCATACTGAATACAACTAATTGATTGTAACCTATACGAGGAGTGGAACTCCGCCTGTAGATATTGCAGGCAAGTTGTTGCACGGTAAGGCAATCACGTGAAGGTCCATTTCTGGTTCGGATCCAAGTTTCGGCAAAGTCTGATCTCCACTTCCGTTCCCTTCTCAGGTTTGTTCACGTGCAGGCAGAGCTTTGTGGGAACGTGCTTTATTCTGCCGCCCTGGAAAGACAAAATACACATCATGTGAAATACTTTGAATCTCAATTAAGGGCACTACAGGGTGGTCCAAAAAGAAGGCAACCCACTTTTGACAGCATTGTTCATCTACTTGTTGAGCATAATTTCAAAAATTCAATTAAATTGTATTAAACTATTGGTCTTTAAACATAAGTGACGAAAGAAAAGATTGCAAATGAATATTTTGTATCTGAGATATGGTAGTTTAAACATTTCGTATGCCAAACCTGTTTGTCCACGGACGGCTTATTCTATCCACTTGACTGAGCTCCGGGGATTGATTTGAAGACAAAAAAACACTACTCTAGACACGTGGACAAAAGTGATTTTTTGTGACCTGTATTTAACTTTAAACTATATTTCTAAGATTTATCATATTCATCTATTTTTACTTGTATCTTTTTATAATTGAAGCTTTTATAACTATTTTATGAACGTAGGAGGAATAAATGAATCATTCAATGGCCTTGATTCAGACAATCTATTGAATTTATTTAGCTTTTTTATTTGGAGTTTGGAGAGTCTTGAGTATTTGGTACCTTTTCCTGATATTCCCATGTTTGGTGGGTCAGTCTCTTGCCGATGGGGGCGCACTTTTGTAAGAGTACGTATCGATTGAGGTTATCAGGCTCAAGACAAAGCTCGTCATTGCGCAACTGACCCTTGTTGGTCAACTCGAAATACTGAAAATAATTCCATAAGAGAAAAAGTTTACATATTGATAAAGTTTTAGTTCAACATTAGTTTAAATACTGATCAAGTTTTAGTTCAAGCTCCAACGGGTCTTAAAAGTCATTGCTAAACAAATCACACACAGAAAACCCAAGTTCCTCTTCCGGTATTTCCAATTATACTCACGATCGATACATTAAAGTTGGTATTTACATGTTTTTTTTCAAAATTTCGATTTTCTTTTCCGAACGAAATTGAGAGGAATATAATGTCCTGTAACGAATAAATGTGCTTGTTTGTTTTTTACTGGCCTTTATACAGTTTCAAAAAGTGTTTTTACATGGCGCGCTGCAGTTCAGAAATTGCGCACATTATTGAGAACGAATTAGGAGCGTCCCACTCTAAATTCACAAGTTGAAATTAATTAATTGATTACTTTTCGAGGGCCGATTTTTTTCGTGTGATGTCTCATTGGAAAGCTCATAACTAATGTAATGCTAGACAATTGTCAATTCAATTTGAGAACCTATTTTGCAAGGTGCCACACCCCAAAAGCACGTATACACCAACTTTTATGTACTTAAACTCTAAATATATAACGACGCTCTCTTTCCAACAATTTACCAGATAATGATACCAATACTTATTTGAGGGAATGTAGATTAGATCTCATGAAGCACTAATAAGTACAATTATTTGCCACATTCAAACACGTGCGGCGGCCGTTAATTTTGACTTCAACTTTTTGGGCATTATGCACTGAAACAACTTTGTTAAAATACTGATAATGGTTTCTCTAGTCGTTACGGGGGGGGGGGGGGAAACAACTAGACTACAGTTAGTCGTCAATTTTCAAGGAAATAATCCACTCTAGAACAGTTATTTGAATATTCATTTCTTTTTATTACCAAAATTTGACTGATTTTCTATGTACAACAGTCTAAGGAATGTTTTTAGAGTACCGATCATAAATCACATGCACGGGCAGTTACAAGCGAAACAAAAAGTCCTATTTGATTTTAGTCTTATTCAGTTTTTAAAGAGGTTGTGGAATGCTCGAAAACATTTCCGTCATTGGTAGCCTAAGGTGTGATGAAATAAAAACGACTATTGTGTCTGTCATGAAATGAGTACAAAAGGTACTTTTGAGAGCTGTTTTTCAGGTCCTGTTTCGACCCGAACGTGCAATTTGTGTACAAGTCGTCGTTGGGGGCAGCAAACAAAACATAGTAAATCGTGACGTGATAAACAGGACTCCCGATGCAGCGTATAAGTATAAACGAGTCCTGTTTATTACGTCATGATTTACTATGTTTTGTTTGCTGCCCCCAACGACGACTTTTACACAAATTGCACGTTCGGGTCGAAACAGGGCCTGAAAAACAGCTCTCAAAAGTACCTTTTGTACTCATTTCATGACAGACACAATAGTCGTTTTTATTTCATCACACCTTAGGCTACATAATTATACCCAAAAATGACGGAAATGTCTTCGAGCATTCCACAACCTTTTTAAGTGAGGTACGTCCGCTATGCTTACCTGATTACCACCGAGTCCATGACAACCCCACACGATCAACCGCTTCCCGGTCTGTCCGTTCTGATCGTTGGAATCCAAACAAACTCCAGATTTGCTGGAAATCTGCAAGTGGGGATCGTAACCAAAAAGTGATCTCTCTGAAATATCAGGCCGGGATGAGAAGAGCCTAGCTTACATCGTTAACCTAAATGTTTGGGCTGACACCGAGACAGAGAGAAGAAAGGACACTCGACAGTCCTCGCCGCTGTGTGCCCCAGGCAAGCTCGGGCGGTCTCATGCGAAGACGCTCAGGGTATGTGCAAATTGCAATGAAATTTTGGTCGTGCGTATTCTACAGGGTGAGTCTGGACCCAAGTTCACCATTTTTGTGTGGCAAATAGAGTATAAATAGTCATGACGGGATCGAACGAACGAACCAACCAACCAACCAACCAAGTGTTCCCTTGCGCTCCCAAAGCTTCCCCCAAACTCACCGAAGCCGAATACTTCTGCATGTCGTTCATGTCTGGCACGTACAGCTCCTTGTACACGTTCTTCAGGTACCACTCGAAGCTCTTGCAGCCGAGTCTTTGCCTAAGCTGGCGGCGATCCTCCACGTCGCCGAAGTCTTTGCTCCGCAGGTGAGGGAGCCGGTTGTAAAAGTTTTCTTTGTACTCGTCAGTCCACACCTGAGATAAAACAAAGCGTTCATGATATTTGAATCCTTTCCCTGGATAGGTCGCTGCGTTGACCATACAGCAAGCTAAGCCCAGGCTTCTGTCTTCGTTTACTAATTATTCTTTACACTTGTAGCAACAATGAGCATCTCTTTGCAATTTTCCTTCCCTGATTTCATTATCATCCTCCTTGCACAGCTGCTGACCTTGCAATGTACAATGAAGATGCAGGGAAATGCGTTCGGCTTTGGCTGAACCGAATTTAGCCTTGTGAAGTGGATTCGATAAGAATTAAAAAGAAAATGCATTATCATTATTTAATCCCCTAACGACATTAAAGGCATACGAACCGGAACATTATGATGTCAACAGCACTGGTTATTCTCAGACCACTCCTTTTTATAGCCACTCCACAAAATATCCTCAATATCCTCAACTCTCATTCCCCAACTTGAGTAAATATCCCTCGAAGTGCAATCGGATAGATTTAAAGGCAATGTCCAAATGTTCACTAAACTGACAAAAGTCTTTAAAACGACGTACCATAGACCTAGCTCAGAATGTCTCAGGCTGCTTTTATTCCATTTTGACAGCGTCAGGAAGTAATGACTTATGGAGTAACGACTTATGGATGATTAAATCTTCCGGAATATAAAGAATAATTTGTACAGTGTTCTTTCAAATATTTCGAAAAAAAAAAACGTTTTCGCCTAAATACTGAAGAACAAAATGGTCTGCGGAGTAGAATAGGTACGGCGTTAGTCGGCGTATAAGTGTTTGTTAGTTGTCCCGCCCACATTCACCAATCTTCGTAAACAACGGCGATCGTGGACCCTCTATTGTCCCTAATCGTCGTTCCTTTGTTTGTACTCACACTTTTTAGCAACAACTCTCATTAGTTTTTCTACACGAATTTCAATCGTGGACTATTGGTCAATCGTGGACGTATTGTTTGTGCCCTAACCCTTTTGTCCTAGGTCCACGATTGCCGGTGTTTACATACCCAATTATCCGTGATGATGGTATTGTTAAGTGTGAATCAATTAAACTAATCCTAGAAGGGCGAACCATTCATTCTTTACCTCCACAACTCTCATGGCGTTCCTCTCGGCCACATCCATGGGGCTCTTGCCCAGAAAGGAATAAGGGGAACGGTTCCGGTAGATGTGACCCACACGCGAGCACGGAATGATCTCTATGCTACCACCGCAAGTCCAAATCTATAACACAAAAATGGAAATACAGAAAGGCACGCTCATTGGGTTTTGTTGAGACACTAGTCACATTCGCTAGCTGGGTGGAGTCATATAACTAATGCTTGCCAAGTAGGATATCCCCGTCTCTCACATTGTTATCCTATGTATATTTTTAAACACTAAAAAACTCCTTGGATAAAAAGGGCTGTACGCATTCAACTGAGCTAATCTCCAACCCAATCGACGGATGTGCTCACATTCTCTGGGAAGAAAAATGTGATTTCAAGCTCTAAGTACGTCTGAAATAAGTCTAAAACAAAAATAACAAGATAGGCTCCGAGTGCTACCTTGAGAGATTCCTCTAGGTTCTCCCCGCCCCAAATTTCCATTCCAGGATCGTAGCCGCCAAGTTTGGTGAAGAACTTCTTGTCCATGGAAAGTAGACCTCCCGGCATTGCGGGGGACCTTTGGTAACCAAAAAACAGAAGTCAATTTCATTTATACAAGAAACACAAACATGTGCAAAAGTTGCCATCTGCCAAGTTGCCATGCATTGTGCATTAAAGGGTGTAATTTTAAACAAACGATTTCAAATCATTTTCTCAGAAAAATTCAAACACAACAATAGGTACCGAACCGTATCGCGTCCCAAGAGGCACCTCTTACCCCCTAAGGTTCCCATTTGCGTCTGGGTCTAGGGGATACTTTGTGTAACGTGTCTTGCCAAAGGACACAACTCCTGGCATCGAAACCTAGATTTGCAACAAATCTCAAATCGGGAGCAGTAACGTTCTCTCTCTCTCTTCCGGTGAAATACAGTCCGCCATCTGGTGTATTACTTACTGCGTTCATCTATATCCAGTAATACCTGCATCGGAATTTGTTTTTCGCAAGAATCAGACTGCTTTATGAGTGCTTTTGGCATAAATATAAGGTTGTGCTAAGAAACAGATTTGAGAGCTTAAGATTCGGAAAAGCAACCTCCAGAAAACAGGTGCTTAAATGAAGTGTCCAGCCTGAGACAGAAGCCATTCACCCTGTTTTGAGGAAAGGCAAGCTAGACAGTCAGCCCTACTCACCGTATGGGTTCTGCCTTGGACGAGCGACGGGCGTACCCCGGATCCTCCACCCACCGGTACTGGAACCGCCAGTTGAAGCCGCCCCTCTGGAGCGGTTCAGGGACCACTCCGTACTTGAGGTTCTCCTGGCTGATCTCATCAACCACCGGCATGACGACCCGCGTTCGGTCGCCGGCCAAACGGGCAAGTAAAGGCTCTAACCAGCCCACCATTACCTATTGAAAAAGGAAAAGATAGTACAGTTGAGTCTCGTTAATACAAAATTCTGGTTATAACAAACATAAAGCCTTGGTCCCGTATGTGCACAATGAATGAGACTGATATATTCCTTTTAATACGAAATTCTGATATAACAAACAATGTGGCTAGGCCCGAACGAGTTTGTATTAATGAGACTCGACTATATTACACAATGTAGGCATGTACGGTTGACAACAGATGATGTTAATGTTTAACCTCAGTTGTGGGAAATGGTGGGTTTGATAAATAACTTTTGTTCAGTATGTGGAATGAAGTAATGAGTGTTCAATATTCGGATTTTAATCATGTACGATGGATATATTGATACCCAGGAATATATTTTGGAGTGTGCATTTTTGAGCGAGCTCTTCATTTGCTATGTACATGTACATCGAATGACGCCTTTTTGTCACCAATATCGTGTCGAGTCTAACTTACATACGTCATGTAGTTGATGTTTGTCCACTTTGGTTCTTTGCAAGTAACGTTCATGCTTCGTACCTCAACATGACTTTTGTGTATAGTGACCTTTTTATGTGTGAAATGAAGATTTGGCAATTGTCAACGTTGGAGTTTAATATGATTCACACATGGATACCCAGGAAAAATACAGTTTATTTTGGAGTGTGGATTTAGTGCCCTTTCTTATGTGTGTGAAAGAAGTTTTTGTGTCAGCAACAGATATTCTTTGCAAGTACATGTAAGAGTATTTTCTTACTTCAATGTGCGAATCGAGGAAAGTGATGATCTCTCCTTCCATGGCGTCCACACCGAGCATGCGCGCTCGGATCAATCCGACGCGCTCAGGCGAGCGGACCAGGCGGATCCGCGCCTCGTGTAGCAGGGATATGTAGTCCTCGAGTGGTTCCCTCAAGTGCTCTGAAAGACCGACCAAAAAGGAACCTCAGCTAAGTCGACTGAGGTGAAACGTCGAATACAAGTCTCAGAAAGAAGTCATTTTAGGGTTATCCTGTTGGCGATTAGGGATATTCAGAGAGAGGTAATTTTTATCTTTACCATTATCTTTACCTTTTTACTGCGCTGCAAACTTATGTTTTTTTTCTCTCAGGAAATATTTCAAATTATTGTGGAATTAAATGTGGAGTACTAAGAAAAATTAGATACCGACTTAATGATTGTTTTATTTGGGCACTTCGAACGAAAGTCAAATTTTAACTGAATGTCCATAATTTTGAAAATCTCGCATCAATCAAACTTGTAAAACTGCACTGTTGCCTACATTGATTACCTATTTCTTTAAGAAACGTTGACGAGGCACCATACGAATGGGAAAACCCCTCGGGCAAAATAAGAACCCCGGTAAGCTATAAGACTATTACATGTATTCACTTCCCTCCCATCCCAATTCTGTATCAGCTTTCGCCTGTATCTAAGAACCCTACCAAGATTACTAGCATCATCAACGAGGACGATTTCATGAATCAGCCGCAGGGGTGACCTGTCCAAGATGCTGTGAATGGTGCGAAGGAGAGTAGACCAAGCCTCGTTGTGGAAACAAATGATGATACTTGTCTTGGGGAGATCGTGCGGGTATGCAAGCTTCTTGCACCTGCAAAGTGGCGGATATCGAATGACGTCATTTGTTACTTAGACAACTAACAGGTTTTGGGTAATTCCCGCTATTGCAGTCTGTAGTATTATGACACAGATAGGACCTTGCCCGAGGAAGAGTTGTAACCCAAATTACAAAGGTGCGTTATTCGGGCGATTTCAAACTGTCTATGCATGTACATGTACATAGATTTTGAGTCAAGCGATCCAAGTTATGTTGACATGAATTCACGAAAAAACCCAAAAATGTAACAAATATGAGAGCGGAGACTATCTAGCATGAGGGGGGGGGGGGGCTAAAATGGCAAATGGGTGATCGTGATCAGTCAAAGTCTCAAATATTGTGCATGTTTGGGTATTTTTTCTTCTTCGATATTTTGTACGCAATGTTAGGGGACTCCACTATAATAACCTAAGTTTTTATTACTGAATATTAAAGGAATGTGCTGTACGAATCATTTTTGTATGGGTATCTATAAATATATTGAATACACAAGGAGTGTACGCATGCCACTGATAACGGAACAAAAGTAATGCCACACTTCTCAAGTTGAAACTTACCCTGGGTATCTTGCATCGGGCAGCGTCCGATGTAGCGACGTCTTGGAGCTAGCGTACTCGTTAAAGGCGTGGTTCTTCTTACCGAGTTCAAGCCTCTTCTGGTCGTTCGCCGATAGGCGGGCGAGTTGCACGGCTTCCCCCATCATTCCGGGGCCGTACCGGTCGGCTTTTCGGGCATTGTCGAAGTGCAGGGAGTCTTTAGATGCCTTCCCATCCTTACCGTCGTTAGCATTCCCAAGGCCGTCCTTCATCATCTTGTCGTTCTGCTCGGCTGGTTGCTCAATTTCATTCTCGTTGTCTTTCCGGACGTTTTCCCCTACAACCAGTGGCACGTCTTTGAATTTATCAGCCGGCTCAGGTTGCTGGAATTCCTTCTCTTCACCGACCACGATTTTTCCTTCGCGGAATGCCGCGTCAGCTTTTTCTCTCATCAGCCTTTCGTTGCCCCCCAGCATCTCCTGGACAGGTTCGACCCGTTCTCGATGTCTGCGGATCTCTACCAGTCCCTGATTCTCTTCTACTCTGTTTGAGTCTCCATGACTCTGCTTCAAACCGGTTCGATCTTTAGCTGGTTTGTTTAGCTGGCCGTACCGGTTGACATTCACGTCGGCGCCGTGCTCAAGGAAGAAATGATGAAGAACGAAGATGATGTTGACGGCTAAGCAGATGAAGGCCAGAAGATACAGCCTCCGAAGAGCGTTACTTGCCCTAGCCATCTTGAACCTGGAGCTGAAAATTCAAAGCATAGTCGAATGGTGTACGTGTGATGCAGAAAGTATGTGAACTGTACGACTACTGAATTGAATGTCAACTGAATTCGTTATTAATATCATATACACGTACATGTACATGAAAGTGTACATTATTGGATTGACGAACTACAACATTAGGTGATTTTTCAATTTCAATCTAAATTGAATGAGCCAGCGTTAAATGGAAAGAAAACTTGGTGAAATCGGCCGGGAAAACCAATACACTGCAGATGTTACTGTGAAGTAGGGTGGTAAAAAAATTCATTAAATAACATGGATATAAAACAAGCTCAATCATACTCAGTCCAAAAAAAGAAGATTTTTCTCAACTAAAGAAGATACACAACCATACTCAGGACGTGAAAAAATATATATTTCAGATGTTACTTTAACCTGCATCCACTTTACACCTGAAAAAAAAAACCGGTCTGATTATATACAGAATCATCACACATTGTTTAGAATATTGATTCTCAGTTGGAATACAACAACCGTCGCTGAGATTTTTTTTTTCATTTCCTAACAAAATTGCATTACGCGAGAAACAAGCACTCATCTAAATTCAAAATCTACATAAAAACACACGACAATCTTAACAATTACTTGATATATTATTAAATGAAATTATAAATAAAGAGAAATCAGATTCACTCACTCCTGTGGCGATGATTCCATCTGAAGCAGCCAACTCGGTCGTAGACATCATGGTGATTGAAAACAGTGTGAACGATGCAACAGCTGCAACGAGTATCGTGGACTACGGTGCACATGGCGCAGCGCGGCTGAATTTTATCGATTAGTGTACAATTCCAAATAATTATGCAACCCCAAGCACAGCACAGATTTCAGTACACAACACCGGCTACACGTTATGCACAGGTAATCAATATTATGTATACAATTATTTTAATATACAGCAAGCCTTGGATGAAATATCTCGGTAAAAATGCGTGTTCTTTTCCAATAAAGTTTGTACATAATTTCCACCAGATAATCCTTGTATCTCCTCTGACCATAGAGGTAACCCATCAGTGCAAATGATTGAAATCAATACATGCAATTTAGCTCAAACAGTCTCTAGAGGGGAAAATAATTATGAATCTGGCAAAGGGAACTTCAATGTTTTGCTTTACAACGTATAATAAAACTATCATAAAAAACCCACATTACACAATTATTTATATACTGCTGTGTCCGATATTTGTATCAACGCCCTCCAGCAAAAAGGCTCCAACTGCATCACGTTAGAGTGTAGGAGGAGCTTCGAACTGTTCAAGATTTGAGACATTGATGCCATTCTTTGATGACCACTATTCAGGTTTTGAGGATTACAGAATTAATATTAATCGCGTGAAGTACATCACGTCTCAATACCAACATCACAATTATTATCCAAATTTCATAACAAAAACTGGTGCAACAACGACTACATATAACGCATCGTCATCACGCTCAGTTGTTCAATACACTTATAGGCCTAACCCATATCATTGTTTATTTAAATTGTTTTTAGAGATAAAAGGGCTGGGGCATTCTTTACATTGGGGGTCAATTTTCTTCCTGTTCCTGTTACATCTGACATCTAATTCTGGAGGCACTTCTTAATGTATTCTTCCTCCAAGAGTGATTATATGATGAGTTCACACATCTTCATTTAATACTTTTCAAACTTCTCTGTCATTATCTCTGTTCTTCAGAGTCGCTTCGTATTTCAATAGACTTCGTCTGAAACCGTCGTTTGGTCCGACAGCCGGTCGCAAACCCCTCAATTCCTGATAGACGGCTTCGAAACATGCGCCCTCTTTGGACATAATGTACCCGATGACGATAGAGGGCGCGCGAGAAACACCAGCGTTGCAATGAACTAGTACCGTCCCTTTAATATCTCTCGCCACGTCAAGGAACTGAAAACACTCTTCGAAATACCTATACAAAATACAGAACATACAATGTAAACCCGAATTTGTCAAGTGGATATTGTTCTAGTTCCCGTAATGTATCATTTATATTTCAAACCTCAGCCTACAGATACGATGCTGTCTTCGGGTAAAATGGGCGTCGTTCAAAAAAGTAAACCTAGCTTGAAATGTAATCTGGAAAATCGCTAATTGATAATTCTAATTGAAGAAATACAAATTTTGTATTTCCGTAATTTTTAACTACACAAAAGAAATTTGTGTGTACAAGAAATCCTGTTCTGACAAAACTGTTGGTCTCCAGTAGCCCCCCCCCCCCCCTATATCTTGCAAAATCTTGGCAAGGATCCATAATATTACTGGGTGTGTATTTCTTTAGATATTAAAATATTTTTTCGGACAATTTGCTTGGTGACTTACCCTGTTATTTCTGTCTCCGGCAAGTCCAAAATCTCCACGGTTTTGTACACGAATGTGTCCGGGAAGACATTGCTGATGCCCGTTGCAACGTTTAGGATGTGTGTCACGCAATGTTGATTAAGCAAATCGAGGTTCGTTGCAACATCTTGGGAACCTGATCATGAACATCAAAGACCAGCAGTTTTCTTTAAATATTACAAGAATTCTTTTTTTTTTTCATTTCATTGAAAATTAACGTTTACAAATGTATGAGTTCGTTTGAAAATATATTCTATGTTGATTTTTTTTTGCGTGGGTGGTTTTGTTTTGTTTTTGTTTGTTAGTGCATTTTGACTTCCTTTGTTACGTTTACGCTTTTAAAGAATTGTTTAGTTGTTTTAATAATTAGTGTTTGCTTTTTCAATTTCGAAACACATGCAGTTGCAAACAAAAGTCATGTATATTTCACAAATCCGAGATGAAGAAGTCATACCACAACTTGAGTTGAAATCATACTTTTTAAGTGAATTGTATAATAAACTTCCGTAAAAAACGTTAATGGAGATATATTTGATAAAAAGGAAGGTATTGCCTTTAACACATTACAAGACATTATTTGTAAAATAAATGAAGGCTGGATATGCTCAAAACGGCTCAAATAGTCCCGAGAATCATCCAGATTGTTTCTGCATCTATCATAATTATTTTATAGCTATACTACTAGTACTACTAGCTATAGATGGTGAGCTATTTTCCTTTGATCGACTTACTAAGCAGAAGACCGGGCCTCACTTCAACAACTTGAAAGTCCGGCTTCACATCACCCACAAATCCTAAGCTCTTTCCCTCAACCGGCCGTTGGGTGAAACTCCCGTCCACTCTGGTCTCAACAAGAACTTGGCCTGCTGGTGTTGTTACTTGAGTCTCCACTGTCTTCAGGGAGGTTCGAGAAAATGAGGCGATGTCCCCAAGGAAACTCATTTTAAACTACGGTTGAATCAGAATAATGGAACTTGGTCTTGCACCATATTGCCTAAGTACCACCGTGCCAGTTGTCCACGGTCCTTTCTCGGCGTAGACTGATTTCAAATTACATTTTGTAAATTGTATCGCGGCCAATTCCCTGACTAAAACTTAAAAGTAGTCGCGTCAGTCACGAGCCCACACACATGCGCAAGTTGTACCATGTGTGTACGCACGGGGTTTAACAGGTTGTGAATGACTATGCCTATTAATAAAATGCCTCCTTGGGGTGGTATACAAAGTTCAGATTGAAACCTGCCAAAATCTGGTATTAAAATACAATGTGTAGACTAGACTCTCGTACACACGTTATTTAGCAGACTTAAGTTCGCGACTCATGGGCGCTGCCATATTAGGCTCTTTCAGCATATGTAATTAATGAAACTCATGGCCTTTCGTTTTCAGTCTTTATATAAGTCATATCAAAACACTAAAAATATTCGAGGCGTGAAATTATACTTATTTTGATAACATAAGCTCTTAATATTAAAAAAAAAAAGGATTAATATTAATAATCAATCATAATCTACGCGCGTACAAAACTAATTAGGTGAACGTGTGAGGGCGCAATTCAGACCACTATTCAAGATGTCTGCGCCCAGTCCGAAACCAACTCGTCCCCGAAGTACAAGGATAAAACGAGCAGCAAGTCCTGCTTCAGCAGTAGTTGCCACGAAAAGGAAAAAGAGTGTAAGAACCAGAACATGCATGTCTGGTTGTTTGTTTCTACAGTGTCCATATTTTGGTTAAAGGGAAATAAAGTGCGAGAACCATTCGGTTGATCTGTTGATAGTCTGGTTCCAAGAGCCAAAGATCCTGCCGTTGAATATTGTCAGGTCAGGGAGCCAGACAGTTGACTGCGAAGCCGTAACGATGGCCATTGCATTTTTGTTATGATCAAGAGTGATGCTGTGAGTGTAGGAAATGGTTGAGGAATTTCCAGGCTGAGTAAATTTTGCACTGTTCTTCTACTTTACTCTTGACTCCAATGCCGTGACGTGTGATGGCTCAACAAACTATTGACAATTGTACATGTACACTCATTTGGAAATGGTGAAATTTTCCACTGAAGTTGTCTGGCTTGTCAAACTTCCAGTCATTAATGCTTAGTTTGAGTCTGGCTGTGTTCATTTTTTGTTTAGGGCACAATCAGCAACCATGTACATGTACATGTTGTATACAAGGAGTCGCAATCAATGCAATACATGGTGCCTTTTTCATCTGCCAAGTCGCAGTTCATGACACCACTCTAGGCCACAACAGTGCATACATGATTTCTAATTATTCTGTAAAGGCTTGTTAATATATTATATTGATCATAATTGTTATCCAGCCATTAACAGAATCGAAGAATGAAACCGAACCAGCTGAGCCTGCGGCACCTGCGATAGAAGCACCAGCAGCTACAGCAGCTCCTGAGATTCAACCGCAGCTAACACCAGCAACAACACCACAGGCTGCTGCTGCTGCTGATGCCTTGTTACTGCCCCAGCGCCCTGTGCTACCATTCAAAGATCCAAATTTCATGGTAAGTTGATGGGATGCATATTGACATTCCTTTTGTAGCCCAAATGCAACTAGCATCTTGACTATGGGCATGATCCCTGGCTACATGTACATGGCATATATGCAGGTTTATGGCTTCTGGCAAGCCCCCCTTGAATAAAGATATTGACAAAAATGGGGAACCACCAACAGACGGTAGGGCTTGATAGCTCAGTTGGTAGAACACTGGAATGGCAGTCTGAAGGTAGCAGGTTCAAACTCCAGTTCATTTCATTGTTCAACTTTAAAATTATCATACTCATTGTATATGTGCAGTTTCCCTATGTGGTTTATTTAAACAAAAAATTGAGTTAATTTAAAAAAAACAAGTTAATTTTAAAATCCGTTCAAGACAGAACCATCCAGCCTAATTTAAAAATGAGTCAATTTAATTAAAACAAGGTAACATTTGATTTTTACCTTCTCAGCACTCTAGCAAAGGCCTGGCAACCAGTAAGAAGTCCAGAGTCTGGAAGACGCTCAAACAGATCTCATCAGCCGAGAGAGCACTGCCCTGGAAACCCGATGATGCTACTTGTAAGCATCTTAAATCTGTGGTAAAAAGATAGGAATGATTAAGATTGGCATGTTTTTTATTCATGTTAGAATGTAAAAGTGATGGACATGTATTTCTATCCGTACAGATAGCAGTATTGAAGCCCCACCCTCCATCAAACCAGCAAAGAAGTATTCTGACCTCTCTGGTTTTCCGGTAAGCCTCTCTGCTTTGCCTCCATTCTCAACAAAAAGGAGTAGCCTTAAATCCCTTTGTCACAAAAGGTGGATGTAGAAATGATTAAGTATCAGTATTGGTTCTAATCCATGTGTCACATGAAGTAAGGGATAAGGTTTAATCCTCCCCAATCCCCCAATTTGCAATAATCTAGTTGCGTTTTCAACATTTACATATATAGATCTTAGATCAAGGGGCATTGGCATTCTATGTCCCTAAATCTTTCTGTGTCTTCCAAAATGTCCTGGAGGATTTTGGAGAATCTGGCAAGGGAGAGTTACGGTTAAAATAAGTATGTCCCGATAGCTCTTGCACTCCTTGCCACCATTCTTTATACCTGTACATGCTCATGTATTTTCTCTGCAAGAGCATCTTAGAATTTGATAGCTACTAAGTCAAAACTGTCATTGCCCTTCTTCAACTGTCAGATGCAAACCTGGATTGGAAGGAAAAGCATCACTAGAAAATTGTCTTGCTCAAAAATAAAAGCAAAAAATGAATTAAACAGTTTCAATCTGTAATTATTCCGATCCATTGTTCTATCTTGTTTGTTTGTCATGCTATGCCTTGGTTTCTCTGTTCTGTTAAACTCCCAGGCAAAATACACGGATCCCCAGACGAAGCTGAGATACGCAGACGCTGAAGAATTTTCACGAACCAGGATGCTGCCCGCGGACATTGTAACAGGATTGTTGACTTTGAGGAAGGCTAACCCAGAATTGCAGTAATCAGTAATTAGTTACTTGAACTGATTGGAGGTGGGCCTATTTGGGCTTGGAGTGACTCAACTACATGGATAAGCCCATTTAATATAGTCACAGTATGGACTCTGCAAGCACTGTGAATAGTACTGAATGATCACTCACGTGAGCTCTAGTCTGTGTGAGACATACAGTTTGAAGGCATCTGTCTGTGTATTATGCGCAGAGTATGCATGACCAGTTTTCATCTGATAGTGCACAAACTGTAGCATCTTCGTGAGGTCTACTGTAACAATGGCAAGAAGTGTTTTGTCATACCTCCTTCTGTCTCACCATGGAGGGGTACTCGTGCAAGGAGTCTGCGGTCCTTGGACATTACTGCCTGATGTTGCTCCAGTTGCTCCAACATCAGCAGGGAGAATGCTCCACTGGTTGACAGTCCTGTGTGAGAAGAAGAGTTTTCTGAGTGTTAGCAGTTGAACTTACGGTGATCCAGTACACTGGAATAGACTGAGGAAACAAAACAATTGTGCAGGTTCAAGGGCGGATCCAAGGGGGGGGGGCCAAAGGGGGCCATGCCCCCCCCCCAACGAAACCAATTTTTGTGTTTTTATGTGACATCGCAATAAAGGCAGGCAATGAGTACACCACCATCTTTTCCTCAAAAAAACATTGGTTAAAGTGGTCAGAAATTGCCTCCGATCGCACCACAGAGCATCTAGAATCTAAAAAAAAATTTGGGGCCCTTAAGCGGGCCCCGAACCCCACGCCGTAATTTTGTTGACCCACTGTTTTGGGGCACCAAAATTTTTTTCGGCCCCCCAAAAAATTGTGTTCTGGATCTGCCCTAATGCAGGTTGTGCATGAACATGATAGTAAGCATCAACTGTACTTCCTTCTGGGCTGAATCAGGCTTAATGGCATAAGTCTGCTTTACCATAAAATCTCGAGGTTCTAGGCGCGCGAGTACAAGGGCTCTGTAACTCTGAATCATTTGCGATAAGGGTTCGAATCCAGCAGTGTACAAATCCAAGGAAAGCATTTAGAGATAGTCTTGTCATCATCAAGTCTCTGCAGTCACTAAGGATGACATATTTCTTTATACATGAATAACATTACTCCTATAACAGTTCATGAGCTAGTCGTCTTCCAAAAAAAATGCTTACAGATATTTCATGTCATTGCGTATTTGAAATGTTATACATCAATATATTTATGTGTCCTTGAAGATCCACTCAAACCACTAACTGTTAGACGTGCTTGAGGCCTCGGGCCTGTATTGGTGTAAGCATGTTATCACCTAAAGCAAACAGTTTCTGAACAATTACCTTGATAGCCAGCCTCTAATTGAAATAACTATCTTTTTCCATATCCCTAAAGAGGCTTGTATGCATATTTAATTATATTATGTGAGAAATAATGCCAATGTTGGGTTCATTACGATAACGATGTGCCGTCGCCCATTCCTAGTTTTATAATGCCACCCCAGGCGCAACCAGTTGGATATTTTATAATATGGGTTACTAATTGTATTAAAAGTGACAAAAACTGAAACTGTGTCTGTTTATTCGATGAGGTTTACTAATTTAAATGTATATATTTTTCAAGACTGTTGTTGGAAATGGATCACCTTGTTCCTGAAGTATTTGTAAAGCAAGGACAAAGGCACACTGACTTTTTTCGCGCCTATTCTGATCCATATCTCATCCAGTATTCATCACAACAACAAAATGCCACGATGAAATAAGTCACATGGGAGCACATCCTCTGGAGAATGAGGCCAGCTGGAGTGCCAACGAGGTGTGTCAAGCCGAAGGCATCTCCATCGCAATAGCTCCTCTGCATAGAGGGCATCTACATCAGTAACAACGAATGCATAAAAGGGGCACTCATGCATATCCCAATAATACAAAGGCACTGCCCTTCAAAATGGCTGCTGCCCGTAATTAGGGCTACTCTCAATTCTTCCTGACCAGCCTACCCCTTGTGAAAAAAAACAAAAGCGCCAAAGTTTTCTGTCAAACAAACCCCAGCCTAAGTCTCTAATATTGCAACACACTGGTTGAGATTACTGAAGCAATCCGAAAGACTGGAAGAAGGTAAACAGCGCCCTCAGTCCTGTCCAAAGCTTCCATATTTTAGTTTAAACCGAAATACGCTTTATCGCTGTACTACAAATTCTATTATTTCCTGGTCTACCCCCCCCCCCCCCCCCCCCCCCCCCCCCCCCCCCCCCCCCCCCCCCCCCCCCCCCCCCCCCCCCCCCCCTCCCCAATACGTTGAAGTTTAAGGCTGTGCACTGAACTTCATTATGATCCTTAAAATACGTAAGGGAAAACGCCAATTGCGGAAGGCATATTAAATACGGGTTCTCCTAGGATAACTGCATTAGTCTCAAAAATAAACCGTTCCGGGTAGGACTGATTAGGGTTACTGATGGCAGGAGCACTGTCCTTTTTAAATTAAAAAAAAATCTCTATTTTTTTTTTTCCAAAAGTGTTCAGCATCTTTCAGACTTTAACGCAAATTGCTGCCAAATTTAAGAGCCAAGGTCTTATTCCCCCGAAACTCAAAATGTAGGCATTAACCCCCAAATAGTAGTTCAGCTGTCGACAATTCGACTATCTACTTTTGAATCTTTCAGCTGTGGAGCCTTTGGCCTATCCATCAGAGCTCTCTCGGGTATACACACTGCAGATTCATGTCTTGGATTCGGAGGAAATAACCGTGGTGAATAGGCACTATATGGGTCATTCAGATTGTTTGCTGAGATAGCTCCACTAAAGGTCAGCTTATTTTCTCCCCCACCCGCTCCAGGAAATACTGGATATTTACACTATAGCTTAGTATAAGTTTTCGGTCAGAAATGACCTAGTCAAGATAGCCTTCATTTCTTTCAGGCTTTTTCCTTTCATGGGAAATTATGTAATTTGTTTTAGCCGGACTTGGCATTACGATTTCCGGCTATCCTCAGTGGCCGACTTAGTCGTTCAGCTGGCTCAGTTTAGAGTTGGATGTACAATATATCACAATCTGGTAATGGGATCATGTGAGTTCGCAGACGAGAGTTAAAGACGTCAGAAAAAAAGTACACGCTGGGACGTGAAGTCACGTGGCGTTGCCTTTGATACTGAGGGAAAAAAACTGCATGGAAAATAAGCCTGAGCTGGAGCAGCCGGTATTGGAGTCAAACACAATAAATATTGCTCGTGTTGCCTTGGCCTTTTGCACGTGCTGTGAGTGCGACCGGGCCACGCGCAAAGGAGCTGCTCACAATCCGTTACTGAGAGCTCCCACACAGACAGTACTCTGCAAGTGGCCGGGGTAGTACGATACATAACACCGCGAAACCAGAGTATTTGGTTGCGAGGATTTCGACGGCACGAGGATTTCGACGGCACTGTGGAAGGATGAGGAGGAGGTGGTTTCACTGCAGTTACATCAACGTACTACTTCTCATCCCACTCTGCTGCTGGCTGCCTCTCCACTTGTATCTACGTCTCGGGTCACGCACGGGAGGAGCTAGCCCGCATCCCGTGAGATCCAAAGACAGCGAAATCTTGGGTCGTGTCAGTGATGTACACCACGTTGGAATATACACGGGCAGCCACGGAGAGGACGGCTGGGAAAATAATGCAAAAAAGTGGCGGGGAAATATTCCGGGGAATATTGCGGACAAGACTGGAACGAGCGCAGACGAGACTGATGATGTAAAAAGGCGGGAGACGAAGCTCGCCAAAGCGGCAGATTTGCATGGCAACAAGCCAGACGTTGTGAGGCTCACTGTGAGGAGAAAACCGGAGTCGTCGGAGGTGGATAATAATCCTAAATTTGATTTCAAAAGAACGTTGGAGTCGGCCAAGAAAAACATCAAATCAGATTTGTTTGGCAAAAAGGCACAAATCCCAGGTGAGGATAACATAACTTTGAGCATGGAGTTCTATCTCCAAGCTTTCAGTTGAAAAATATAACATTACTGTGCTGAGTGCATAATCCATCATGCATTTATCACATGTTCCTTGCTGTTAACAAAAAAGCAGGCTGGGAATAGAAACTAGAAGTGCAACAATAACAGGGTTCGTTGGGCCCATTCGACACAATATTGTGTATCTATTATGTAGACGGGGTCACATTTCACAAAATGTGGTTGTATCTGTATGTTGTCTGGATCGATACCGGTGCCTATATGCCGTTACAAAATATACATAGGCCCTACTAACGGTTGTTATAATAGTGAAAAGAAAAACCCAGGGTGATATGAAAAGCATGAAAGGGTGTAGTTTTTTAATTGTGTGGCAAGTTTCAGCATATTGGCCATTTCTGGAGCTTGGATGTCATGCTTCAAAACACCCTGACTGGGCATGATACTCGGGCCTTGTTTAGAATATTGTATAAGTGTAGCCATGAAGGTGTATCACAATTATTGAATATCTGCACTAGATAGGCCTACCCGTACCCCTGCTGATAGCCGGACTACCATTACCACGAACAAAAATGAGTGATTTCCACAAGCGCAGTATTTATCCTTATAATTGTATACGCATAAATTCAACTTCAAAAAAATTCTAAGGTGCACAACAGACCTAACGGTGTTAAATTAACCGTGCTATAATCCCTCACCGTTCAACGGTTGTTAATCGTAATTCCTCAACACAGAACCAATGGCCTAGGTTCAAAAATCCTTCCCTATAACGAAGCACAACAGTTCAAGAGCATTGTGGTTTTTAAAACTTTTGAAAGAACAGTTGTTCAAGTCCCCTTGAAGTAATCCGAAGATATTTGTCGAATGGATCTAGCCTTTAATTTTGAAATAAAGTGACTGATAAGAAGGGACCCCTTTTACAAACACTCCTTTAAAACTAACTTCCGCAGAAAAAAGTTCGTGTTTGTTTTCTCAGGCGTATTTTGACGTAGGCTCTAGTCTAAGTCCGTTTTCCTTGCTCCATGGTTCCATTGACCGCGGGGGCGCAGGCCAGGGTGTCGAGCTTTCGATGAATGAAATCATATAGCTCCGTGATGAAATGCATATGCACGCTGAATCATTGGAGCAGACTGTACTGAGCGCCAGTAGCAGTCGCAATGCAAGACGGGACATACTGTTTTGATAGTTGATACCAATTCCCCAAGAGCATCGACCTTGGATTAGGTACGTGCTTACCACGCAGCACAATCGGAGTTTCAAGGATAACACAAGTTCTCACGCTGTCACTAGATTTTTGCGCACATTACGCGATCCCCGAGCAAGTGATTTCAGGCGTACTAAACTGTAGGGATAAATCCCTATATTATGACAGGGGAATAAGAAGAGGTATAAGTTGACAAGTAAAAGCAGTCTGGTAACACAATCCAAAATGTCGGCCTCAAATTGCCGAGATTCGAACCGAGATCAAGGAGATGCAAGGCAAAGATGGACCCCTGCTCCAACCCGAATCTCCGATTAAGCGTTGGCAATTTGGAGGTTTGCTAGAGAAGTCTGATTTTATTTTCGTTCAGTTTTCAGTGCAGGTTCTGTTTTGACATTCTGCAGTCAGAATACAGTGTCATTTGGATCCTGATTGCAAAACGGCCCCGGGTTTAGCATTGCAGTAGTAGCTCAGCTTCACTACCCTGTTCGGCTTATTAGTAGTGGACGCTCAGCCTATTGGTTCCAATCCACGTTTTTGTGGATTGTTCCTTCAGCTTCATCATCATCTCTGACTCAGTCAGAATCATTGTAAACCTGAAATGTCCACACCAGAAGAAACACCATTACAGCTCAGTGGCTTACTGCATAATGTTACCCTCGCATCACAGAATTTACTGGTTCTAAAGCAAAGCCTGGGCTCATGTTGTGTCAGAGCCCCTTAAGTCAAGGGTCCTCACCAAACCAAAACTCAAGAAGCGGCAACACGGAGACGAATCCTGGGTTTGAAAAACCTTTTTGGGGCTTGAAAAATCTTCGTTAAAGTTAAGCTGTCTATTATTTTTCTTTCCACTTGAGATGCCAAAAAGATTCCACTCAGTGCCCAAGGCAACAGGACTTCACCGTTCCAGGAACCAGGGTATAGATGGCAACGCGACGGGCCGGGGGAAAATGGTAAACCGGTTAATTTGTCACCGCTGGAGGAGCAAAACGCTAACGCTAGTTTTGACATAAACCGGTTTAATCTTGTGGTTAGTCAGCAGATCGCCTTGAACCGTAGTTTACCGGACGTCAGACCTCCCAGGTTAGTGTGTCTTTTTGGTCCCAGAGGGCCAGCCTAGTGTCCTCTTTGTACCAGACTGACTTACCGACTCAATGACTGACCGACTGACATATGGCCAGCACGATATGTGACAGAGGGGTCCCCCAATCTCCCTATACCCTATACACATGCACCCTAGACTATTGTTACCTAACACATCCCCCCTATAGATATCTCAAAAGAATTCCTAAAATACTGGTAACACAATGACCAACAAAAAAGAAGAGGGCGGTTCCCTTTGTCACATATCGTGCTACGTATGAACTGACGCCCCAGGTACAAGAATGTTGCTGAAGTTTAAAAAAAAAATCAAAAAGGCCTGCTGAATGTTGGTCAATTTATTAAAGCCTATTTCCAAGTCAAAAGCAGCTATTATCAATAGCAACTTGTACATTGCCTCTTGTTTCATGGTCCTGTAAGGCTATTTGGCAGAAATAGGACAGCAAATGGGGGTTTGAGAGGCTCAGGGTAGCCACACCGCTTTCGCTAGACCAATGTAACGTTACTGTAAAAGTTACCAAATTTCGGGAAAATTAAGTCGCAATGTTACAATTATAGCGAATCTCGATTCTTGCTAAGGGCCTTTGGATGGAGTCCGTAAGAGTTGACTTCAGCACCTTAGCAACCCCTTGAAACCTTAGACTTTAACACCAATATGTGTCCTGAATTACAAGAAGTTGTTTCTAATTTTAAGTCAACGAGATTTTAAAGAAATGTCAATTTTGGATTTTGAAGATGCCGCTTTCTAAGATACCCAGTGACCCTTCCCACGACCAGCGTTATCATAGTGTTTCACAACGAGGCTTGGAGCACTCTGCTCCGCACCGTCACCAGCGTCATCAACCGATCACCCAGGGAACTACTACGAGAGATCATACTAGTTGACGACGCCAGTCAACCCAATTTCGGTGAGTTAGTCTAAAAGCTGTAAAAGTTTAAAACGCGAAGGTGAAAACTTGAAACTGATGAATGCACCTGTTCCATTCAAATAGAGACATGTAGTTCTTAGTATTTAGAATACGATGGTAGATAGACCAAGGACAATTACTTTGAAAAATGAACTTTGTCTACAATGACGTTGAGACGAAGGGGTGGTTGTGTCTGAACCACTTAAGAACCCTCACCTACCGAACCTCAAAAGGAGAGAACGTCGGGGGGGGGGGAAGAAAATTTAAAGAAGAGCAAGAAAGTAATTTGAATTAGAAATTCAGGTTGTTTAACTGTAATATCTGTCTGGAAAAAGCACCAAACGTTGTTATACATGACTTTTATATAAATGTGTCAGTGTTTTGCTGTGAACAGCTATCTCAAGTGAAAAGACCCTTTAAGTCCCAATCAGATAAGTTCAAGCTTCAACCCACGTCATTTGTTTTCCCACAGAAGATTTGGGTCAGTCTGGGGATGCATACATGTGCATGTTTGTCGATTGTAGACTAAAAACAATACATCAGTCAAGCAGATCAAAGGTGTTTCAATTAATATCAAAACCCAAAACCGCCTTTGAAGTGAGATTCAGTGGTCAGACAAAATAAGAAATATTTTTCCCCTCGATGACAGATTGGCTACAGAAACCACTTGATGACTACGTAGCAGGTCTTCCCGTTTCAGTTCGCGTGGAGCGTCTGAAATCAAGGCAAGGGATCGTAGCTGCCCGCCATTTGGGCGTGGCTGTGTCTAAGGGGGAGGTGTTGACGTTTTTGGACTCCCACTGCGAGTGTACCAAGGGCTGGCTGGAGCCACTGCTGGAGAGGATAGCAAGAGACAGGTATAAGTGTTTTCTGTTCGAGTTCTAGCAGTGGCGCACCCAAGATTTGGCTTGGGGGCTCTCAATGTTTTGGTTTTTATTTTCAATTTTTTTTTAGAATTTATAATTTTTTTTCTTAAAGTTGTGCCCAAAATATTTGGCTGCAAAATTTTGTTTTTGTTTTTTGTTTGTTTTTGTTTTGTTTTGTTTTGTGTATTTGTGGTTTGGGGGGCGGACTATCTTGACGTTGGTGCGCCATTTACACCTCGATTATACTACTCGAAAATAGGCCACATACATATCACCACGGTCAGATAGTGGGACTGAAAAAAATTGGCCTCCCCCCCCCCCAAAAAAAAGAAACCTCGGGGGGGGGGGGGGGGGGCTAAGGCTTGGGCGATATCTTACTTATCAACCACCTGGCTAGCTGTATACAGCTGGTTGGCCACATTTAGCTATAGCTGTTTTGTCAATTGACCGTGGCTGGCCTAATTGCCATCTCCCTGCCCAGCTTGCGGGTCGGTCAAAAGAAATTATGAGAAATAATCTCGATGTGCCCTCCTTTAAGAATCACTCATGAACCATAATTTACTTTATTTTTGAACCATTGCGTTTGTTTTATTTCAGTTCAGAATAGGCTCAGGAAAGTCCTATGAGTCAAAACGGGTTGGTGGACATATAAACGACGTGATGTCCTGGTGGTAGCTGTGTGCGTTCATAAATCGACTGCTGGGATTATATCCCAACGAAAATATACTCGACTCTGCGTTTAGAACTTTATTTTGCTAAGGTGCCTGTGAAAAGAGTTGTTCAGAAATATTTTGCAAATATTGCCTCAATCATGATTGTCCGAAAGAAGTCTGGTTTGCATAGTGTTTTATGGTACTGTGAGGTATCCGTATACTTAACATAATAGATGCATTCAGTTTTCGACAGTAAATTTACACTCCATTTTACGATCTCTTTTATGCTTGCAATATATTTCTAATCTTGTTTTGTATGGCAACTAGCCTTAGGGTCAATCGCCAGTAGGGGGTGGTCATTCAGAAATTTCTATTCAGTTATTTTATTGAAAATGGGTTGCGTGACCCAGACATCTGGTACACTACACAATAAACCACGAAGGAACAAAAAATAACTGCCTCAGCTCCGTGAAGAAACTGCATTCAAAATTGGCAAAACCAGGTGCACAAGTGCGATTGCTATGAACGCTTGGCCAGAAATGACCTAAGGTCTGATGCAACATAAGTGGTTTACAATTTGTTACCGAGGCCCGGACAAATACTAGTTAACCATACACCACCAAAAGTACAAGCCATTTATTTTAAAATAAACTCAGATGAAATATAAATCATGACCGGCATGTTGTACATCATTCGAAAATTGTCAAATAACCTACAGGTTTCCTCTTCACTTCATCGTTGCAGTGATGCACATTGCACCTCTGCCTGCAAATTGATCGGAAATTGGTCTTCCGCAAATAGACCAGTTGCATTTCTTGGACGAAAGTTGAGGCTTAAGGCCGATCCCCATACGTTGATGAGTCACGTATCCAACCCCAGAGCCCAACTGCCCTCAGTTATCTCCATCGAAGTTTAACCCTGAATTATCGCTACCCTAGATGCACTTTCTTTTTAATACCAAGACAGACCAGAAAAAAATAGAGGTAGAAATGAATATTTGGTACTAGTAGGCCTATACAAAAAAAACTGGTCAATGTTGAAGTCAAATTCAAAGAAAGATTTGTGCAGTAGTCGATCCCTTTCCGTTCCCATACTTACTATAAATCCACAACCTATTCATCCTTTAAATACCAGGGGAAACCGTCTGTAATTTATAGCTGTGCACTAATTGCCCCGAAAAAGTCAGAGGTTAGCACACATTTTACAGAACTGGTTCAGTCGGACAATCCATTATACTCGGCTGGCTGTCGTCAAATTTTCAAAGCACATGAACAAAAACATAAAATATTTCTAATACCGCTGATATTTCAACGGCACGCAGTTGCACGTCCTAACTCACTGAAGGAGGACCCACACTACTGAATCATATACATTCAAACCAGACATAATTATGAGATCATACTGAGTGACGAATGTCAGCTGGGGCAAATACCACAGAGCTGCCAAAAGCAAAGACATTTGGTTCCATATAAGCAGTAAAACTTTACACACAGTCTATCTGTCCTCTGTAGCAGGGCATTCACAAGTCAAGGGCGTCAATCCTTTTCTCATAAGTGTGTGCGGGGCAATACCTTGATCAGAACTAAAGCGAGCGCGAAGCACAAACGCAGCTTGGGGTTCGGGGCCTGCGTAAAAGGGACCCTGAAAATGTTAGATTATAGACACTCTGTGGTGCTATCTTAGGCAATTTCTGTCCACTTTAACCAATTTCTTTAAACAAAAGATCATCATTTAAACATAATTTTTGAGTTTGGAGTTATGGAATGAGCTATCATAGTATTCTGAGCTATAGAATCAAATGTAGGCTACGATTTATGTTTGTGGACGAAAACAATTAAGTTTGGGTGGGGGGGGGGAACGATATGATATATCCCTCACCCTCACTTAAGCTTGAATACTTGACTTTCTGTTGCCTCAAACGAAAAGAAGAAGAACCCTCACTTTAAGAAGTGGGGGACTATTGTCCCCCCCCCCCCCCCCCCGTCCCACACCAATTGACGCCCATGACCAGTATACTCGGCTGGCTGGCGTCACATTTTCAAAGCGCATAAACAAATACATGAAATATTTCTAATACCACTGATATTTCAACAGCACGCAGTTGCACGTCCTATAATTCACTAAAGGAGGACCACACCACTGAACCGTAATCCTTCAAAACAGACACATAATGGGATCATATTGAATGACGAATGACACCTGTTGGGAAAATCTCATGGAGCTGCTAGATAACCAAAGACATTTTTTTTCTGAGCAGTGAAACATATTTCACGAAGTCTGTTCTTTTCTCTTGAAGAGAATCTTTGCCAAAGTGTAGCAGGGCATTCAGCGCTAACGGTTATTATAGTTTCACAGGCAAGCACGGAATTTCGGCTGGTGAACATGCGATCCTCGCGTAACCTGTGGCGTCGCCAAGGGGGGGGGGGGGGGGGGGGGGGGGGGGGCAGGGGGGCACGTGCCCCCCTGGAAAACCTAGTGCCCCCCCCCCCATCAAATGCTAGTGCCCCCCTATCCTCTGCAAAATTCTGCGCGTTGTTAAAATCATTACCTCAAAAATAGCAATTTCTTGAGATATCTTCAGATCGAATTTAGCATCAAATGTGGCACCATTTTGCATCTAGCCCATCCTCCGTATGCGAAAATTTTCCAAAGGGGAGGGGGGCACCCCCTCCCCTTAGACCCCTCCCCCAGGACGGCGATCCGTATCCACCTAAGTGCCCCCCCCCCATCAAATGCTGGCGCCCCCCCTGTGCCCCCCCCCCCCCGACTGAAAAGTCTGGTGACGCCACTGCGCGTAACCAAGAGTTGTGCAAAAGAGCCCGATTAACCAAAAAGTTGAGTTTTGAGGACAAAATTAAGGAAATCACAAGCCAAGGTCTACAGTTCTGTGCCTAGCAGAGCCATGGAATGGAATGCAAAATATTGCAACTGGCCCAAATGGTATGAACTATATGAATGTAACTTAGTTGTCTGGTTCTCATCTTACGATTTCTTTAACACATACATTTGCTATGAATTGAAGCATATAATTATGCTGTGCTTTTAACAGCATAAAATCTGGACCCGGGGTTAGGGAAGGGAAAATTCACAATGCCATTTGAATACAATAAGAAGAAAGTGCCAATGACCCACGCTGATAACCCAACCAAATGAACCAATACTTTGACTTCAGGTAAATCTATATTTCCATGGGGATAAAGCTGCAGTGCAATCCGTGCGATCACCACGTTCAAGGTTCGCCTGGGTTTCGGAGGTTCGCATAACCTCACGCGCCGCCAACGGAGTCTCTTGAGAAACGAATTGACTCTCCAGCGCTTGAGTGGCAGCGCCAATTATTTTGAAGGTTAGCGAGAAAGTTAGGTGGCAAGGAATTTCACTCCCCAACTCGGAGTCCTTTAGAAACCTGCCGTCGCGTTTGCTTCCCCGGAGGGGGATTTTAAAATTTAATCTAAATGACGCAGAGGGGTCCGTTCGAACGTGCCACTTCCTTAATCCAACCCCCTCATCTCCCCACTGGAATAAAAATATCCCTTTATTACCCGAAATCCATTTATATTTGGTGAATTCCTTTTCCCCAAAACAACATATGCAAGAACACTGGCATATGCTGGCCATTATGTGCAATAATTATGTGCATCAAAATATTTCACTGCGTAAAAAGTAGCTGCACAGGGTGAGTCAAAAAGAAGGGGACTTAGGCGTAATGAAAGAAAAAAACTATTTAAACAAATATGTGACTCGCACGATTTACTAAACATAAAATAGAGAGACAGTACATATTTTTGGCTAGTAACTTTGAAAGTTTCAGGTAATTTGCGTACCTTGTTCACAAATTATGTCTACATGTATTTCAATAACAAGCATCACACAATTCAGCTGTCCACCAATGATCAGTTGCCGTTCAAATATAATGAAGCAAAGACAATATGCACAGGACAGACAAACATCACCATTATTATTTCACAAAAAAAATTCTTCATATTCAAAACACAAAATCGAACAGTTAAATAATGTTTCAGTCTTGTCAAAAATTTAACACATCTTATTTGTATCTGAAAGCTTGTATGTATAGCAATCTTTGGTTCTCACTTAGCTCAGCTTCAAATGGTATTCCATTCACAGCTGTAAAAATTGACTCTTTTAGTAAAATAATGCAGTAACTTCTCATAGCATGGATCAATTTCAGTGGTTTTTTTTCTTCAAATGAGTGTAAGAACATACTCGCTTTGTGTCCAATTTAAATCCCACCCTGCATTTCACCAAATACCCATGTCACTTTTTAATTAATTGGACACGGTCCGATCGCGGTATTTACTCTCGTAGCAGGGGTAGACAGTAATGATGCCATCGGAGGTCATGTCAAAGGCCCGATATGGGGTTATTTCTCTTGGAGGTATTTACTTTCGTCGCAGGGGTACCGTGATGGTGTCACTCAGGTCACGTCAGAATCACGATCGGGGGTCCCTATTGAGGGCAGTACTGCTATACATAACGTTCCGGGATGCCCCTTTTGTTGTGAAATTCCATCCAATGTCGCTGAGTTGACAAACACATTATTAATCTGTTGAGCAAGATGCCCCCAGGAATATGAATTGTCATGCAGACAATAACCCTGCTTGTTAGGCACATAATTGAGAAGCAAGTTCGATCAAGAACATCATAGTGGTTAGTCATTCTTCGACTAATTCTAATCGAACGCACGCTACACCTAAGATGGTAAGCAAGACTGGCCTGAAGTTTTTACCCGATTCAAACTGCGAATCGCAAAGACGCTTAACATATAATTCGTAAAATATGACCAAAATGTGTGGCAAACTTATTTGGTTTGCCAACAAAGTTTGCTATGGATTTTGGACGTAATAAAGAAGTCAATGAACCCATTTTGAGAGAGGAAGCAACCATTTGTCGGCAGTTAATGTTCGGGAAATCCTGTAGCAGATATTCAATATTTTGATTTTAAAGACGTCCGCTCAAAGGCCATCGTTTTAGTATGGTCAAATCGTTTTCAAAAGCCTGCAGAAATGTTAGCCTTTTTAGATATCATGCGGCAGACACATAATGGCATAAATTAATTGTATACCCACTAGTCAAATGGCACTCTTCCATTGAGGTCATCATATCTCAAAGGCAACATTTGCTAACGTAATGCTAAACATTTAAACACCCCGGCTTTAAACAGTGCGCGACTAGACTGCGCGTCACATGAAAAACAGTCAATACATATCCGAACAAAATCAGGAGCGATCCAAATTACTACGTTTGGAATAGCCTAGGTCAGAAACTTGAATGAATCAAAGGAAACGGGGGTAATTCTGTCTTTCTGTAGACAGACGGAAGGGAATTGTGCCCACACTTGAGAAGTAAATGTGTCTAGAACGTGACGTGTTGATCTGTCCGGATAAACACTGGGACTTTGTTTCACCCTCCCGGGAAATGTATGAGGTCATCGGGGGAGACCCGCACGTCTTAACTTCCCGAGGTACTTCAGCCTGAGAGCTGTGAAAATGAATTGTGCAGTGTCTGGTGGAAGTCTTTAGCGATTACTGTCCACATATGGAAACACGCTGAAGGGGAGACAGATGTGCGATTTGATTATGTTGCTGCTAGTGCTATTTCACGTTCTTCGCCAAAATGCAACCATCCAAGAGTTCATGATTTCAAACGAAGTAGATCTGTCACTTTTCTGATGCATTTGATTTGGGGGGCAACGGAGGTCATGGCCCCCCAAAACGAACCATTTTTTTTTTTTAAAGTGACGTTGCAATAAATGTAGGCTCTGCGTAGGCATACACCACTATCTCATTGTTTCTTTAAAAAAAAATGGTTAAAGTTGTCAGAAATTGCCCCGTCATCACAGAACATCTGGAACCCAAAAGTGGGCCCCGAACCCCACGCCGTAATATTTTGGACCCACATTTTGGGGACCAAATTCTCCTCCCCCCCAAAAAAAAAATAAATAAATAAATAAATAAATAAATAAATTATCAATTGTGTTCTGGATCCGTCTTTGTTTGATATAGGTTTATTCCTTTTGCAGAATATATTCAGTTTGAATATTGATGTTGGTGGAAGCATTAATAACAAAGCCAAGGCATGTAATCGAGTTATCGCATTTCAGTCACACCAGTATCACTGGTCAAACCCAAATCAAGCAAGGTCACACTCAAGTAGGCCAAGGAAACAATAACAACGTCAAAACTATGTAGATTTACCTAACCAGTCGTGAAGCGTGGAGCGATTCAAGTGAAATAATGCTCCCCGTAACATGATGACCTGACATGCGATTTGACCCAACAATATGGACTTCTAATGAACCGTGATGATTTGAAAGTAATTTTGACAACTGTTTCTCGCATCAGGACTCGAGTTGTCAGTCCCGTGATCGACTCTATCAGTGACCGTACCTTCAGGTACAGCGCCTCCACCGGCCTGCCGCTGATAGGTGGCTTCTCCTGGCTGCCCGAGTTCACGTGGACGGTGGTGCCGTTGCGAGAGCAGCGCCGGGTCAAATACGATATCCACCTGCCTCTCAGGTGAGCAAGAACGACATTAATGAAATTATGGTTCCCAGGGTACACTTTCAACCTCGATGAGCACAAGAGCAGTTTGTGGTAGAGTACTGTTCTACGCTCCAGATGATTTATTCAAAGAACGACATTAATGAAATTATGGTTCCCAGGGTATACTTTCAACCTCGATGAGCACAAGAGCAGTTTGTGGTAGAGTACTGCTCGACGCTCCAGAGGATTTATTCAAAAGGATGTGAAGGCCAAAACAAGGAATTGACAAAGCTGTCATTTTTTAATTTTTAATATCCCCATCTCTCATATAATCGGGGTTATTCGACCAACAATTATCCTGTCTATCTGTAGAACCCCGACCATAGCTGGCGGTCTGTTCGCCATCCACCGTGAGTTCTTCCACCGTCTCGGAGGCTATGACTCCGGCCTGAAGATCTGGGGCGGAGAGAATCTGCAACTCTCCTTTAAGGTATAGCCTAGACAACACCTTTGGAGTAATATAGACCTCAGACTTAAGCCTTTAACTCAACCTATCCGATATCTTCGTTGACATTTCTGGAGACGACTTTCGAGCGTTTCATTGACGTTTCGTATAGTGAAGGTGGAAAAATCAAACAAAAAACTTGGAATCTATCAACTTAATTTCCGTCATGAAATGATGGTCAGGTCTAAACCTAATCATTATCTATTGAACTTGAAGTCGAGTCCCACTTCCCATCTACTCGTCGAAAGTACTCTAAATTTATACTCATGGGTTGGTATTATTCAAAATTCCAGGTTTGGCAGTGTGGTGGCTCATTGGAGATCGTACCCTGCTCCCACGTGGGGCACGTCTTTCGCTCCACCACCCCGTACGACTTCCCCGGAGGCGCTGAGCCAACGGTGCTCCGCAACACCAAACGGGTCTTAGAGGTCTGGGCCGATGCCTACACGCGGGAACTGTTCTACGCCATGACGCCGGTCTACCGTAGCGTGGATCACGGCGACGTGAGGGGGGAGATCGCGCTGAGGGACCGGCTGGGATGTAAGGGGTTCCGATGGTACCTGGACCAGGTCTACCCCGAAAACGGACTGCCTTTTGAGTTCAGAGTTCTGGGAGCGGTATGTTAAATAGATGTGGAATAAAAAAATAGTGGGCATGGCATACAAAAGCAAGTATCGTTGTGGGAGTACCCGTCCCAAAATTTGATTCTTAATTCGGGGCTTTATTATTTTTTGTACATGTACTGCGATATTACGATATTTAAATATATGAGGTGGTACATTTTTTTCAAATGTTGGCAATGCATAGCCCCCCCCCCCCCCCGGGCGGGGGGCGGGGGGATAAACTGAATACAGAGTAGGTAACTTGTTTAACATCACTGGACTACGTAACAAATTTCCACCGCTGTGTGGAATGTATAAATTAAACTACTACTGAATAATGAAACATTTTGTTATTAGGCCAACCAGACAAAATCTCCCCATGCAGTTTAACTGAAAATTATGTTTCTCTAAAAATGACCTACTTCTTGTCTTACCTTTTTTTATCCTTTGGCTGCGGCATGAGTCTGTCTTGCAGACTTGAATCAGTGAATGTCAGGCACACAAGAAAATAATCAAATCCGGCGTATACACTCGAGAGATCTTCGTCACAAATTTCCTGAGGAAGGAAGTATCAGAAGGATCCACGTCGTCTCGGCTGAGAAAAATTATAGCCGGAGGCGAAAATGAAGTCATACAGCGATGATTCATCCTTCGTGCTCCTGTAGACAGAAGAAACATAACTCCATTGACTCTAGAAACACTTTAGTGTTGATAAATTGAAGAATGTTATGAGTAAATTGTTTGCATTGCCAATTCTTCAAGCTTGAAAACCCGTGACAGTGTAATCCCACTGAAAAATGCTCTAAAACGAAAATAAAGATTTTACCATCATGGAATTCCTGTTTCTTTCAACTAGATTCCGGGGCCAATGAAATCGACTCCTTCCACCTGCCGCTGTCGATGATGCCATTTATGTCCTTTCAATTTCGTGCCAATCAAAGTGCAAATGCCTACACGTGCCTATATCGAGTCAGGTTATAAGCAACAAAGGCAAAGGAATGCCTTTGACACAGTTCCTTTGAATAGCTTGTCGCTCGATTGGGGACCGGACGACAAATAAAGCTCGTTGGCACTAACTTTTATACATTGTGTATAAATCATGTAAATGAAAAATCTCGAACTTTTGTTTTCTTTAGATTAAGAATGTTGGGATCAACATGTGTCTAGACGGTGTTGCATCACGGAGAGGCGGCAAGAGAGATGTATACACGGATGCCGCGTTGGAACTTTGTCACGGCAGTGGGCCCGGCCAGGTATGAAAATAAGAAGTTTTATAACGGTATAAACAACACATTTCAGTTGGTGCATAATATGGCATCACAGTTTCAAGGGCGGATCCAAGGGGGTGGTTAGTTAGGGTGGCTAACCACACCCAGCTCCACCCCACCCCTACAAACTGATGCAGGACTACTCTACATTGTTTTGATATTGCCTCACTGAATAATTATTGCAAATATCGAATCATTGCCTCGATGAACTTGAACCAGTTTTAATGATTTTGAGGTTGTCTTTTCTAGGTGTTTGCCTACAACATGAGGAACCAACTGCAGCATAACCGACAGTGCCTTACTGTCGTTGAGGGCGCTACAGTGGCCCGTCTGAGTTTCTGCATCGCAGACGAAGGGAGGAACGCAAATCAACGCTGGAAATACAACAGCAAGGTACTGTAATGCTCAAAATGCAGAATTATTTTGGTTTTTTTTTTTCGAAAGAGAACTATCAGTTTTACACATATTTCCACGGTAAAAAGGACCGGTGCGCTTAGTATAACAGACGTCCAGGTATGCAAATAAATTCCTAATTTTAAGAAGAAAAGAAGTAATGTTAAAAAAGTTTCCATACTAGTTTTAGTAGCCTCTTGGAACAAGTCGATCTTGTACTTTGTAGATCAAACTCCTGAACGGTCGACCAGGGACTAAAAAGTTGACGAGAGTGGATTAATGTCTAGCGGGGGCTGTGATGTCTTTCTTGGTTTTGGATGGAGCTCATCCAGAAAATTCTATGGTTAAACGCTTTAGAATTCTTCTAGCATTTGGGCCCACCTGCGCCAAATTGCGCAGAGAACTGAACATTTTGGAAAAAAGTGGTTTAACCTAAAAATGTCGGTTTCGGGTGCAGTATTTTCAATCAGAGCAAAATTTGTCAAAGTTTCTTCAAGCAGGGGAAAAAGCATACAAGCAAGACAATGGTGCATTTTGTTCGCATGTCATCACGATCGATCGCGAGCTGATGATGCTGGCAAAGAAGCCCAAGGCTGCTATTAAAATAATCATTGAAAAAGAGTTGAAGTTATTTTTGTGATACTTTCCACTGTTTTTTGTTTGTTCAGGAGATGACACTCGTCAACATAAGAACTAAGACTTGTCTGGATGTGAAACCTGTGGAAATAGAGGAGGATCTTTTCTTGGCGACCATGAATGAGTGTGATAGCGCCCTCTCGCAGCAGTGGACAATGCACAATATCACTATACGCGGAGTTAGTTGACGTGACCATAACAAACTAACCGAGAACACTATAAATTAAGAAGCAACACCTCATATTTCAGTCAGTTTTGTGTGTGATTCGCTGATTGCGGAGACGCATCGAGTTAGCAGCTTCTCCATCCATTTGGTACTGGCGAAGTCAGGACAACTGATACTTTCAGCAAGTTTTGCGGGTGTGTTCTGGTTGAAGCTCGCGTATTAAAACATTCGGGAGAAATTTAGGGCGGGATCAAATGCAAGAAATTACCGCAAGAAAGTGCCTCCACCGTATGGTTTATGCACTGATGATGGGCTGCATGGACGGCTGCATCAATTTATCAATTTATCAAATAAAACAAGCAACGAACTGGAACAAACTCTAAATACCTTTAAATCAATATTTATCTTTACTTCCAAAATAACATCTTCGGCATTTCTGATTACAAAGTAGATTTTCATTTTACAGAACAAAGGAAAAACAATAATAGTAAAATCAATTAAACGACAGTACTGCAATTACTTCTCTCACAATGTTTTGCCGCATGAAAAATGAGAATGTATACGGCATCGGTCACTTTGCGTAATTACACATCAAGTTACATGTATATTGACTGACAAAATAAAACACGCTAATCCATTTAAACGGTGCACGTTTGGATTTGAAGCGCCAAACTTCATTGGGCTATATACCCCCCCCCAAAAAAAAAATCAACCTGTACTTTTTATCTAGCACAGTGGGATATTACTCTTGTAAGAAAATCAATTTGATCACATGGAAATGAGTGCATAGATAAGTTACAGCATGTGTATGACTATGATGAAGTTCAGCTGACGAAGGTGGTCAAATAAAACACACAAGCTGTTAAACACATAAGAATGGGGCCCAATTTTAACAGCTCTGCCTCCTGTCAAGGGCGGATCCAGAACACAATTTTTTACCCCCAAAAAGTAGGTCCAAAAAAAATACGCGTGGGGTTCTGGGCCCGCGTAAGGGCCCGGAAATTTTTTGGGATTTTTGGTGCGATCTGAGGCAATTTCTGACCATTTTTTAGGAGGAAAAGATGGTGGTGTGTGCAGTGCCTGCCTTTATTGCGACGTCACTTAAAATAAAACCAAAATGGGTTCGTTGGGGGGGGGGGGGGATGGCCCCTGTTCCCCCACCCCCCGTGACCGCCCTTGCCTCCTGTAAGCAACAAATACCTGACATGTATCCGCTCCGTGCACAAGTAAGTATCCCTTCACCGACAAAGGAAATTGGGGGTGACCGACCGACGCCATCTGCCCGACTGCAATTTTGCCGTGGCGCGCGGCTGGTGTACGTGCGTCACACACAGAAATCGGTACGATGCGCGTCAACCAGCTAAATGTCCCGCCCACGTCGTTGCTAGGTAAAAGGGCGCCCTCTTTCTATTCTTTCTCTTTCGTTGGCGAACGGAGCCCATAACTTGAGAGTATTCCGCCCAGCGGTTTGCGTATTTCTCATTTACAGCAAATGATTAACTCTCCAGTCGGTAATTTTAAGCATTTCGTGCTTACGGGGTACGAATTTAGAAAAAAATTCCCATACCAGCGCTGTAATAGAACAGAGTTTGGATCGTAAGCGCCAAATCTCGTGGTCAGCATGCAGCGCAATGAACTTGGGCCCATCTATCCCTTAATTAATTAGAGTAAATAGAACAGAATTGTGGCAGCGTCATTAAAATTTGGCCCCGGTGACCAAGAAAAGCAGTCTCAAGTAGCTGTGTTTGAAATGTCATATTTAAGCCATCTTGTTTGTCCATAACTAGAAAAAAACTAAAACGTTACTTTGGTATAAGAACTTAATTAATAAGCCTCTGTACTGATGACGTCACACTTTGTTTACGTGTGTGCTTTCCTATGGTGCTCACTGGACCGTGGGCCCCCACTGGCTCCATAGGAAAGTGCACATGTAAACAAAGTGTGACGTCATCAGTACAGAGGCTTATTCCTTATTCCATCCCTGTCACTGAAACCATTAACACGACGTGAAAATGCGTGGGAACACGTGAGTCAACTCTGGTTTCTGATTGGTCAATCTTAAATTCCATTGAGTACTTTCAACAAAACTGCATCGTTTTGGTTAATAGTAGTTATGCCCTATAGAACACGTTTATTTTAAGTACATTTTTAATACAATTATAATCATAAATTAAACAGTACATCTGAAAGAAACTTGACAAGAAAGTAACTTATGATTACAAATTCATCATTTAAATTACGGTAAAAACAAAATCATGAAAGACGATTTGGCCAACAAGAAAACAAATAATAAACACAATGACTAAAACAATCGGAGCTCTGCACAGTATCGCTGTATTGAAGGAAAAAAAAGTGCGGAGGCTGCACTCTTAGTATTCCAAATAAAGAAATATTTTCTCATTCCTATAAGTTTCACTTAATTGTGAGAATCCAAGTGACCGAAGATGGGCAGTGCCAAAGGACCCGTTCAGCTGCAGCTTCGACCTCCTGTGGCTGTCTCATCAGTGTTGTGATTTGACAAAGCCGTGTCAAAAACCTGACCTGCACATAACACCACGACGATTCCAATTTTTCTGTTGTATAATCTTGCCCCTACAGAATATTAGTAACATTTCGTGTTATTAATTTTCCCTCAATCAGAAATATAGAAATGTTTGTAACAGGTTGAGAAAATAACCTGGATGTCAAATAAAAATATTGCAGCAAGTCCTAAAACTCCCTGCATGGCTGAATTTGTCCTACCGACCAACTAAGCACGTTTCTTGAGCTAGGAGTCTATACGTACTTTTAGCCAACCATCGGCAAAACGGTGGCTGGCAGTCACTGCAAAGCAAAATAATAATACATGTACTAGTATTAAACAACCTTTAATTGAATAATCAATAGTCACCACCAATGGCAAAATAGTGACATCGAATGTGCTACTCTGAGCCAAAATTTGTTTCCAAATGCAGAGTTTATGCAACCTGATAGACACCCATACAAGATGGCGCTCCGTGTTTGTAGACGACGTATCGTCCGTACCGTATACTTTGCACAGTCGTGTTTGGACTTTTAAACTTAAAAATGAGTGTATAAACTTAAGTTCGAAATTAAAACAGACTAACTAAACTGAGTTGAATCAAAAGCAAAACACAACATAAATCTGATCAACATCTGAAAGCACCTCAGTTGCTATAGATAGAACACAAAAAAACAAAAATCATAAATCTTTTTGCTGACGTTGGGTTTTTGCTGAACAAATATTTGGTGGATTTTTTGTTGTTGTTGTTGACAAATTTGCACTTTTACAACCACATCAAAGGCCAATGATTGTGTGTTCAGCACCATATGGTGCTCAATATGAAGGTGAATAAAAACAACCAAATGAGAGTTGACAAACATTCATGTGAATAACCTCACAAGTTGACGTCTCTCCCTCATTTTTTCTTCTTTTTCTAGTATCTTAACACTTAAAGGCACAATGACAATTTTGAACTGAACTGAACGAAAAACACTGAAAAAAAAATCAAAATTTGAAAATCCACAAAACCAGAATAGAAATGATCCAAACTGCTCACTGTATATTATTTACACTTGAAAGACATGTAAATTACTGAAAGCTATGTACAAAGAACTGTGGTGAATCGTTTTCAAGTTACTCTTAAAAATCTGTTGCGAAAGAATTGAAGAGTCATGCAAATATAGACATTTTGATACAAATCGTCACCTAGCATTTTTTTTAAAACAACTAGGTGACCATTTTTGTTTCACAGTTATTACATTTGTTTTTTTGCATTGCACTTTCGGTCAATGGGAGTGAATAAAGAAATAAGTTGAAAATAACCAAGAACTTATTTTCACATTGAACAAAGATTTTGCAAACGCGTCAACTTTTCATATTGATATTTATCACAATTTCTTAAATTCCGGCAGATGAGAATCTTCTTTTGCATTTTAGTTCCTTGTGATTATTTCTACATTTTGTTGCGTGATTTTTGTAGGCAAACATTGACAACTTTAATTTTCAATGGCCTTTACTTGGTATCAAGGTTTAAGTATTTTCCATTACAAATGTACTTTTTCCCAGGAACCAAACACTTAAGATTATCCTTAGTTCGTTTTCAGCCAAAAAGTGCATTAATTCTGGCGAGTTCCCATCTCTTTGATTTGATTCTGGAATCAGTTGCATTTGTTGGTAACAGATCCATTTTTTAACCTAGTGGCTGAAGTATTGAAACAATATGCCCTTGTATTGATGATGATCAAACAAAAAGTGGTAAAGTAAACTGAGCTAAACTTTACACCGCTAGTGATTATACGACTGGCAGGAAGAGACTTTGCATTTTTGTATGAGACAAAAGTGACTTTATTGTCAGAGAAATGGTTATGTGAAGTAGAAGTACTGAAAGAATTGCAGTAGAAAGCTAAGGGTTTCAACTGAGTACTTTTATGGGCTCTGTGCACAGGTACCCCCTCAACGGTTACAAAGGGAAAGTCAGGGGAGACTAGTGGTGTGCAGTTACGGGTCGTACAGGAACCAAATACCCTATTGAAGTGAAACACGGGTACTCAGATATCCGTCAAAGTTACCGACCCCAAAATTCAAATTCAAGAATTTGTCAGAACGGCCTTATAGCTTTACAGTGTAAACTGCAACTTTCGCGAGGGTCATCTGTCGCGCGCTAAAATGCACATAAATGCGAAATCTGTTTTTGTTTTGCATGTAGCCTGATTTTCATTTGAAAAAAATCCCCATCAATGGCATTCAAAACTTTGTTTCATTGTCTGAGAAGCTACTGAGTAATTTGTAAATTGGTTACGGGTAAACTCGATCCCATAATCTGGAACCGGTTCCTGACATCAGTTGTTGGGTTCTTGGGTACTTGGTTCCATTAGGAGGACTTTCAAATGCATTGCCGACAGAGCCTGACGCTGACGTGAAGACTCCAAGAGTTTGTGTAGATTCGGAACAAAACTTGTAAGTACACAGTTGTAAGTACTCTGCGCCACACGCCCACGAATCAGTACGCGCACGTCGTGTGTCCTCCTATAGAGTACCGAAGTGAATACATCACACGCACAATTATGTGTGTAAAAGACATAAGCGCGTGATTCAGCCCGTGAACCAACACGCGCGCGTACTCCATTCGTTTGCACTACACTTCCCGGTTCAATCTGACGTCACACTTCGGTACTCTATATGGGGCTCACAAACCACCCACTTCTGTTCACGCACAGAGTCTATATGTGCCTATTAGATTCACAGGAAGAAGCTGACAAATGAGCCAGAAAGACAATTTTTTCCCCCCAGATCATCAAGCTGCATAAAAGATAGATACCCGTTAATAATTACAAAAAAAAAAAAAAAATCCTTCCAGTTTTAATAACCTAACTATAAAAACAAAAACAAAAAAAAACCCTATAAAGCTACCACTATGATGTCATGGGAATTTCCACCAGTTGCCATTGCTGTGAAGACGAGCTGTTGCATTTTGCAAGTGTAGGGGTGTCCTTCGCTTTGTTGGACTTGTCGAGACAAAGGCCACTTGGAACGTGAGTGATAGTTTTTAACTGCAAACAAAACAAGAGAGGAAAATTGCTAAAATGTGACTTGAACCAATGTTTGCAGTCAACTGCCACATGAGTCAGATTTGTCTTTCTCAAAAATTGGAACATGAAACAGTCATTGAAAATGTCAGCTGTACGGGATCTCAAAACTGAACGCACCAAAAACAAATGCTCCATTTTTCTTTGACTCTTGTGTTTCCAATGTGTGAGCAGGCTGTTTCTCAATTATCACAAATGCTCACTGAGAAAGCCTAGTCATTCATGATTCTAAAAAGCTCGTGATCAATGTCAACTCATGGGGACATTGCTGCCATACCATTGTGGCCGCAACTTTACAAATTAACCATGGTCACCGCATGTTACAGCAAAACTGAAGTGTCCCACAGGTGCACACGAAAACCTGGATCTTGCCAGTATTCCGAATATAACATCGAAAGTATTTCTATGTTTTCATCAAGCTTGTGGATGACAAATTCACACTGCTCACTTTGGGTTTTAAAGCAGGACGCATCTACATGTATCCCCTAGAAATCAGATTGACTTCATTTGGATTTCAAATGTAAACCATGGCATATTATAAACTTCACAAATAAAAAATGGGGGAACAAAGATGGCTGAAGGTTGCTTCACTAGACACCTGCTGTCAGCCAGTCCAGAAGGCCCCTGTTCATCCTTACCTTTGCATCGTATCTCCATTCCTGGTTTCCACGTTTGCCGTGGCACTTCAGCATGACAACGTCCTGGAATTTGGTGTTGCCCGACGCGTCCAGACAAAGATCGTCGTGTTTCAACTCGTCTTGTTTTGTCATCGCAAAAATCTGAAGGAGTGATGGGATATCAACGATTAAAGCACTGACAACACTGCTGCAGGTCCCATCAAAGTAAAAAAGAACAAATTGTTTATTTTTTTCTCACAGTCACTGGGGACAACACCAAGTATACAGCGTTTATAAATATACGTCGTTGAAGGGCAAAACCGAATATTGAAAAAAACATCTGGGTTGGTCTCAGAGGACTCTCAGACTTGTCATGCTTGTACTACAGTAGTACATGAGGTGTGTACAGCAAACCCAATTTGAAGAACTTTTATCAAGCATTTGTCTCACCTGATTGCCACCCTGTCCATGACATGAGAAAAAGCCCACTTTTTCGTTCTCCTTCCGACCCATGTTGTCAAGACACTTCTTGGTTTCTACATGCTTGATCTGAAAACAAAACATTCAAAGGTCAACAAATTACAGTAATACTAAGACTAAATTTATGTTTGTGGACAAACACATGACTGTTTCGGCATTTTGTTATTACGCACATCATGTTATAAACATCCCAATGTAGGTACATACCAAGTTACAACCAAATCAGACCTATAGTTCTGTTAATATAGGCCTTAGAAAAATGCACCTTTAATGTGATGTCACATGACATGTGATGATGTTATCTATAACACATCCCGGTCTAGGTACAAACCAAGTTTCAACCCAATCGGACCTTTAGCTCTGTAGATATCAAATATGCACCTTTAATATGATGCCATTATGTCTAGGTACCTGTTACATACATGTACATGTTCCCATTTTCAACCCAATTGGACCTGTAATTCTGTTGATATAGGCCTCCAAAATATGCACCATTAACGTGACATCATGTGACTCATGATGAAGATAATGTTCGGCGAACATCTGCAGGAGCTGTTCTACATGTAAGTGTATGCCAAGTACAAAGGCAATCAAATTGATTTCAGTGCCCAAATTGCCATGCAAGATAAAAACGTGTACAAAAAAAATATGAAGGTCTTGGTCTTGGTCTCGGAGCTCCAGGTCTCGGTCTCGGAATATCTGGTCTTGACTGTACAAAACTGATAGTATAGTCATTTGCTGGTCTTACCTCCCCAATGACCTGGTAGTCCAGCCTGAATTGCGACTCTGGGTAGATGTTATCCAGGTACCACGCAAAGCTTTTACACTCCAATTTGTTCCGCAGATCTTTCCGCAACGAGACATCACCAAATTCTGTTTTCTTCACACCTGACAAGAAATACCGGTATTACATTTATTCAGTAAATATTACACTTATTTAGTTTCCATTTCACTCGGCTCGTGAAATGGAAAAGTCCAGATTTTACCTTGCGATAATATTCCTCCCAATCTACTCTGAGCCACTCAATATATGTATAACAGTTCTTAGTTTCTCCATGCATACTCAATTCCTTCCAAGTTTCAACGTATACAATGTTTGTAATGTACGATGTATTGTATCTCGGCTCATGCATTTCAGAATTGGATAAAAAAAAAAAAGTTTCTAAAATGCTGGGTTTTTTTTTTCTGGGGCATTTAGTAGTCATGAGTTCCTAGAAATTATCATCATACACTACACGTAACCGTTCACTCAAAATGTATCATCTAAATGTATGAGATTTGAAGGTTTGCATGGTGGAAAGATACTAAGACAAGATAAGTTTGCGGTAGCACCATGTGAATAAATCTCTTTTGTGAGTATGTGTGGTTCTGAAAAGAACCGGAGGGACTCAACGTTGTTACAATGTAATAAATGCATTTCTCGATTTCAAAGACATCCACGTGCATTGTACATTGCACAGGTAAAGCCCTTGGCTTTTCAGACATCCTTGCACAGTTACATATACGGTACATCTGCATGTATCCCCTGTCATATTAAACAGCAAGTTTGTCTTGCATATTGGAAAACGATCTCTCACTCAAGTCCTCATCAGTAGGCAGACACACACACAGTACCAATTCCTATAAATCACACTTAACTCCCACTTGACCAGATTACAGAGTCAAAAATAAATCTTTGATTTTTTTGTGAAAGGCCTCTCCGCCCGGATGAGTGACACCTCAGAGATCGTGCACGCCTCGGAACGCTCATCTCAAGATGGGGTTAGGTCAACGATCTCTCCAGCTGCGTACATGATGCGGCGGACAGTTCCATTGCTTCAGTTCACAAGGGCCAGCCAGCGTAAAGAAATACCCTCCCACTCTTGCTTTCATACGTTATGCTTTGTTTGCATTGATTCGTCTGTGGGGCCATGCCATTTACAAAAATATAATAACCCAATAATTTGATACATGTACAAGTTGTTTTTTTTTGTTACTGCTGTTATGGAAACATTTCCCAGTGGCAGACAGCAGTACAGTGTTTGAGAAGAGACAAACAGAATTAAATTGCATTGAATGGTCCCAGTACATCGGACTGTTTGAACCACATTGAACCACGCTGTGAAGAAAAGTCTACCCAGGAAATCAAAGAACAAAATTGAATACATGCATGAAATACATGTAGGACCACATATGAAAATGTTATTACTGATGAATTTCAGGCACTGAAATTTAGAACCTGTTGCTACAGGTTTGTGTACATGTACATGTACCGGTACCTTAAAATATGTGATGTGATCAAGCTAAATGAGTCGCTTGTCGACCCTGGTCAATTTTTATTTTATATCCTCAATGTGGTTGTCTGAATAGTGTACATTTTTACCTGGTGATATTTTGTAGTAAAAGTTTTTATAATCGTCCATCCAGACCTCGGCTAACCGCTGGTTGTTGCGGTTGATGATTTTACCCGTTCCTCCGGGGAAGGTGTAAGGCGTGGATTTGCGGAAGACGTGGCCCACGTGAGAACATGTGACTATCTCTAGCGTCCCTCCGCACATCCATATCTGTTGAGAGAACATTTTGTTGTCGTTGTCAAGTTTAACAACACAAAAAGTCAAGACAAATCAGAATTTGATGAAAATGGTAGTGAATCAATGAAATCTTGTTGAATACTCTATGATAATGAATGGAACTACCGGTACATGTGGGTCAATATAGACATTTAGGGTCCAAATTCTGACAAATTCCCTGTCCCTGTTATCTCTAAACTTAATAATTTGCCATTGGAGTACAATATAGCTGTGCTCTACATACTTTTTCAGACAATGCCTGATGTAAGTAACACGACACATTTTGTAGAGAGACAAGTGATGAACAGGGAAAGCTTTTGTGATAAGAAGACAAGATCTACTTCTTACTCTTTCTCCAGGTTTTCTTTAAGAAAAGGTCTGAGCTACTCACTCTGAATGAAATCTCAAGGTTTTCCCCGCCCCAGACATCCATTCCTGCATCGTAAGTCCCTATCTCCTCAAAGTATGCCTTACTGATGGCAAAGAGACCGCCTGCCATGGTCGGCGACCTGTACAATACGGAAACGGAAGGAAGAAAATAATCTGATTATTATTTCTAATCATTTTGCAAGGCAAGTCATCTTAATGGTAAATTTAAAAGCCGTTCTTTCCATGCAGAAAAAAAAACCTTCATCAAGGTTAACGGTGGTACTAATGCTTCGGGCTCGGCTGTTAAAGTCTCAACCACTGAGATGGCCATGGTTGGCTGGCTGGTTCAAATCTGTTATTTTGCATGATGGCGTCAGGCATGTCAGGGAGATAAATTCATTATTGGGCTTTAGGCACTGCCCTGACTTCTATTTCGTACTCTCAGCCTGTCCAAGAAAAATATTACACAAGCTCGCTCGTGATGTGCTACTCGAACCCATGAATCCATGATGCATTAGTAAGCAGGAGGTCACGGGTTCACTTAGCCCCCCCCCCCCCCAAAAAAAAAATAGGAAAAAAAAATTGTGTGGTGCATTATTCGGGGTTCAAAGCTTATTTGGGAATTTTCTGTTGAATTTTTAACCTACAAGTCTGGCTGCATGAAGACAGGTTTCCATCTACATACGTGTACAGAAGATCACGGTCGATAGAGCCAAATCTGATGCTAACTTCATTGCTAATGCAAGAAGCCAACACGTGCCCGCAAAATCAATCACCTCCTTCGTTATCAGGCCGAAAAATCATGCAGGTTGAATTGTGCACTCCATCATTAATGCAAAGAAGAATTCCCGGTTATGAATTCAATCTGCACTTGTCATGCTTGTCGCGTCCCCGAATGCTGTGCATGCATACAAAATGTACAAGTACCGGTATACAAGATGGTGTGGGACAACTGCAGCACCTGCAGCATCGATGGCACAATTCTGTCAGAGACAGTTCGAGAGAGAGATCTGCTCTTGCCGCTAGCATATTCAGTGGTGTGGATGCGTTTTTGTGCACGGTGAAGATAATTATCTTGAAAATCAGTCTGCCCCTGGATTATACATGTAGGTACATGAACATGCACACGTACGTACATGCATATGGGCAACTCCACGGTTACTCACATTACATTTTTGATGTACTTTTGAGTTTCCTTGGGCTGTAATAACCTTACTGAAAAGCTTTAATAACTGTTATCCCCATGGTAGATAGAGCAGACCTAGACCTACCTAAGCACCAAAGATGACATCCAGAAAAATGTGTTATGTACATGTATGATAAACAAGATGCACAAAATCGGTTACTCACGCATTTTCGTAACGTCTGCATCTTTCTACTCGAAACATTTCATTTTTATTTTCTCTCAGCTCTACTTTTCCTACCTTTTGTGTAGCCATCACCTTAAGTCCTTAAAATAAATATAAATATGTAGATTCTTTTGTCTTTTTAAAACTTCTGATCATTTTCAAAAAGAACAAAATGGCAAAAAAAAAACCTAACAACGAATTCCTAACTTTTAAAGAGCTTATTCCTAACTTAGCAAATCAACTCACAGGGGTCATATAATAGAGGGTCCAAAGTGGGACATTTTCCTGTCCCTGTTACATGTGCCTCTAAGCGTTTTTAACTTGCCGCCCGAATTTCATTATTAATGAGTTTCAACTACATGTATCGGTATTTGTTGGGTAGGCAGTTTGCAAAACACAATCACTCTTAGGGAGGGGGGTGGGGAAGAGACATTATAAAGTGTGCATTGTGAATTTACAAAAATTGTGCATGACAGGTGCAACATGGCACAAAACAGTAGCCAGAAATGTATACATTAAAACAACGTACACGCACATGTATGTACTTGATCACTAAGAAAGATATGCAGCATTTAAAGCGGGGTCTACCGGTACATAATTAGTACATTCAATGTGACAGCTTTCGAGGCCCTTGGGAGACTCACATGTAACGCTGTCACATTAATGATTCATATATCTCAGGTACGAGGGGCAGAATGAAAGCCTCTTGGATGTCTGTATTACTGATTCCTTCAGCGTAACTCTCTGAATCCCCTTACGATGTATGCACCAGAGATTATCTGACAATGTAACACTGAATAGTTGATGTACACTGACCCAGTTTTGCAACACGACCCTTGATTCACACCCAGCCGCCTCTGCTTTGACGGATTCGAGCTGAACAAAAAAATACACCCCAATGAAATGAAAACGACCTTGTACATGTATGTGTGGAACGAGCCATTTATTCTACGGTATTTCACATCAACCGTAAGGTGACTGTGTTGAACATCTGGGTTTTCAAGAATGGATTCCGATGGCCAGGGCAAGGGGGGGGGGGTGGGCAAGCCCATTAGACCCCCCCTCCCCTCCCCCATTTCTTTCTAAAGAAATTCAAAACGTACTGCAAATTTATGTAGGGAGCGTGATTAGCTAATTAGAAACCTCGATCTGCAATATGGCCCAAATGCATCATCTAACGGTCGATCACTCTGTGCCATCAGTCAATTCACCTTTTTGTGGCTCTGGAGGATTTTGTTTTAAAAAGAAGAAGTAAACTCTGAGAGTTCATACAGCTAGGATCAAACAATCACGCAATTGCATTTTTAAAAGCATGATCTGATTGGACGATAGCAGACAAATGTTGACTTCTCACACTTTGACAACCACACCCCCCCCCCCACCTCCCAAAGAAAATGGCTTCAAAACCCAAGCTAATCCCCTTGAAAAATCCAAGTACTTCCACTGAAGACGAGAAGATCGTCTTGCTTAATCGTGTTGAAACCAACACGGGTCTGCTTTCAGTGCACCTGGGTCTGATCGAACACAGTGGCACACCGATCACACGTACACTGTACGTAGAGCACTGTTTTTGTAAAACAGATAGTTTGCCATGGTGCAAGTTTTTTAGGTTGTGTGTCAATAGAAAATGTTACAGTGTTCTATCAGAACCGAAAAAAAAACACCCCAAAATAAAAAACCCTAAATTGTAACTAAATTTAACTAGAGGCTAGAGCACGGTCTACAGAAGTTCATACTGCATGCATTTATCCATGAAGCTCAATGAAAACTTGTGAACAAAATTCTCCTTGCTGATCAGAGGATCCTTTTTTTTTTGTTCTTGCTTCACAAAAAATCCCATGGACCTCTTTAACCCTTGATTACAAGAACTGCTCAACTTGAAGCACAGTCCTGCTTGATTGCGCACATTATTGGGTACTAGTAGATTGGCTGATCTAGGCCCTGCATGAGTGGACTTGAAGGGAAAAAAAAGGGAATCGCTTCCATGATTGCTGCCCGACAGCTCATCCCCAGAATTCCTACAAAAGTCCTGCCACGGCCTCTCTGCATGCAGACGTGCCTCCAGGCATGACACTGAATGACGGATGAAGTCGAGAATAGTCCCCTCCGCCCAGCGATTAAATTATGCAAGCCGTCACAGAAAGAAAGAAGAAGGAAGTCAACCAAAAAAAATAAAAGAAGAAAAAAAGGAAAGAGAAAGCAGCGCTGCCGTCAATATTAAATATTAAATAAAAAAACTGGATACAGCCATCGATCAGCTGACGAATGGAAGGTCACTGTTACCGTGGTGACGCATCCTGCATGTCCTGGGATGCAAGGGAGCCGTCAGGCTGAAATAACACCGTTCGACGTCTTGGGGCAAGGTAGGGGGAGAGGGGCCTTGGATCAGACTGACAGAGGAAATGGCTTCGCCCCATCTGCCCCCTGACCAATCATTCTGGCATTCCGGAATGGCTGCGCGCAACTAAAAGGTCAGGATCAAAACCATTATTTTTCGGACCGAAAGAAAAATCAAAACAGTTATGAATTGTTGCTGCTGGGGGAGCAAATTTTGCTACATCTGCAGTGCGTCATGGGAAATAAGAGGTCGTCCATTTCCTGACTGTTTAAAATGGTATTCAGTTTTTACAAGGAAAGTTTTAGCCCTTCTTGTAAAATATTAATTCATCAACACCTATTAAAACAGTTTGTCCATTTCTATTGGTCGAGAGCCTGTGACATGTGGTTGGTTTTAAATTGCCGGTAAAACACTGCCACGTTCTGCGCCACATCGCACAGTACGCGCTGCGCGTGCGCCAATCTCCATACATGTACATCTATATAATGGAGTGTCCAGCTCGCGAGTATGATGTAAACAACTCCTTTTATGGAGATTGGCGCGCACGTCGCAGATACTGCGCGATGTCGCGCAGATGCAAGCTGTGGTGAGTGCGTTGTGAATTTAGGACTATGTTTTACAATTTTTAATGGCGTACGTGTGAAGTGACGTGTGAAGTGACAATCCAGGAAAAAATCGCCTGATCCGAAGAAAGATGCATGCCTAATCATCCCATCACTTTCGAAAGACAGGCTTTTCAAGGAGGCTTATTACAATGTAGTTTTAAAAGTCATGGTCAGAACCTGAATGTCAATTTGGGTTGTAAACTAACATACGGTACATGTACCGTATGCAAATAGGTCCAACCGAGTCAACAGAAATGAGCAATTTCCTGCAAGGTGCAATTAATGATGTCGATGTCGTCTTCTTGTCAACGGCTGCATTCAGGTGGAAAAGCCTTTGGCGCTCAGAACACCTTGGCCTCAATCTGTATGGGTGAAGCCAACGAAGGTCTAGGGCCACAAATTGTTCAATCTAGAATCCGCTGATCCATGATCCGAAAAACCTGAAAACTAAAGACAGGGAGATGGGAGGCAGGATCGATCTTGGATGGAAGGGGTCAGTTTTATAGAGTTTCTAGCGCTGTAGCATGTCTAGGGACAAAAGATGGCAGGGTTTTGGTTTCCTTATATTAGTCCGAGTACAAATGTACACCTGTACATTCTGCAGGGCGAGTAAAAAAATTCCCTTTGGATACGTTCTTGTCTCTCGCAAAAAACGGGAACAATACAGAACATGCACATTGCACATTGTAACAGTTTTACATAGTTCAATGTGACTGAGCACCAAGGTATCTGACTTTGTAAAAATAAAACCCCATAGGTTACAACATGCAAAACATGTAGTGCAAATGAAGAAGCAAAAAATGCTGCATTTGGCATGTCTCAGGGAAATGCTCAACGATTTCCGATAAAATTTGAAGGTTTGCATCCATGGGTGAAGTAGCAATAAAATTGACTTTACGCTTGCACAGTTAACAGATCTTTGGTGAGTTTGTGAGGTTCTGAAAAGAACCGCGGAAACTCAACGTTTTGGACAATTTTGCTCTGCCCATCGCCAGGAGACAATTTCCTTACAAGAAAATGAGCACTGTTGGGAAAAAGAGCAAATCTACAAGGTCTTTCATTACGTACAACATGTACAATTACTGTCTTGCTAGCCAAGCAGAAATTCATTGGTTGTAAGGTTGCGGATATATGTGCAGGTCCTGTACATGTTTTGAGAGATCTACACAATGTACGATATCCATCCTAAGAAACCTTCCCAGAGGTTCTCTTTTCAGGCTTGGTTGGATAATGATATTGACTATTCTCTCCCGCTTCCTGGCCTTTAGAGGAATGGCTGGGAGGTTAATTCACTCCCTCCTTCCGTTCAGTTGTAGAAAATGTTTTCCCCTTATTACTTAAGGAAGGTTATCAATTGCAGTATGAAGATGATCAAAACGTGCCTTTGAAATGAAGGAAGTGATTTTCGTAGCTGATCAGATCTACTCTATTCAAGTGAATAGTTTTGGCGAAAACAAGCAACAAAATATGTATTAAAGATGTTTACGAAGACGATTTGTAAGAGATGTTTATGAAGAAGATGAATGAAGACTTTATTTGTGTGTGTGTATTCCGTTGCTCTTGCAGCTGTTTTTCCACCTTTATTTTCTTTGCTCCTTATTGTCAAAAGACCGTTTGCCGGAAAAGAGCAAAAGAAATCTGATCAAGACATTTACAATGAAGAAATGTTTGTATTATTTTTGTACTGCACCTGAAAATCTGATTTTTTTTTACTTTCCTTAAAAAAAAAAAAATGTCTATGGTGAAACTGGTCAATAAAAAACACAAGCTAGTGCAAGCAAAGGCACAGCAACAGACTAATGGTGACATTATTTGTACGCTGAGCCAGCCAAGTACCGTACCGGTACTAGTACAGTCTACGCGTATTTGCAGAAGCTCGGCTTACATGTACATGTATGTACAAGGAAGAAGGACTGGAAACCCTCAAGGGCATTTTGGAGAGGCAGTGATAGCCCAGTTTTCTTAGGTAAAGCTCTGAACGCCTCCTACTTGCGGTTTGTTTTTATATTGTTTTTGTTTTAACTGTGTCAATACCATACTGTTGTTTTTAGAAGCAATACAAAACCAAAACCTGGTATTTGGCTGTACATGTACATATGTATTTGAATGCAAGAGCTTGACGTTTTTAGGTTAAATAAATGTCATATTCAAGAACTACTTTCATAAGACAAAATGAAAATGTGCATGACCTACATTTTTTGTACAAATGTAGGCATTTTTGCAATGTATTTTTCCAAGCTTCTCAAACTACCCTTTGCAAAGGTCTTGTCCCTGTCTGTGTAATATTCCCCAACGGTGGGTGAAGAGGTTAACATGCAGCAACTAGGTTTTTTAATAACATGAATAAAGGGAACAGCATTGTAAATTAGGCCTCCATGGGCCCTCAGTGATCGCAGTCCCAGCCAGCAGATCAATACATCAATCTATATACCGCAAGCCTGGCCACTCTAGAAAATTACATTTGAAATTGAAATGAGAAGTTATCCTGGCCCAACTTAGGGCACGCTGGCCACTTAAAACATTAAACTTGTTAAAAGATGTAAATCCATACTCTGCAACCTGCAAAACAAATTAAGCTACGTACATGTACCGATAGTTTACATGTACTGGTATATGTATGAATGTCCGCAATACTACACAAAAATCAATAATAAAATTTGGAGGAAAACAAGGCCACAGGAAAAAAAATTCTTGAATACTTCAAAAGAAATATCAAATCGATGTACTGAGCATGAACAATGTGCAGTTGTACCTGTACGATGCATCAAATACATTTTTTCCAACCAGTTACATGTACATGTACATAGGCCCTAGATACATGTAAGTTTTTATGTATAGCCAGATTTTTGCTACTGCGTATTTTTGCTAGTTTATTCTCTTTGGAAAAGATGTGATTTTTGTAATGCAATCAAAACTTCCAAGAAACCATCAGAAAAGTTCCCCCTCCCCCCAAAAAAATTTTTGACAATAAATATTGCAGATGTTTACTGAAGAATACCAAACTGACGTGTTTACGTTATAATTATTCACTCGGGCAAATGTACACATACTCCCACATTTTCTGGTCTACTCCAATAACTGTCCTATTTGTAGCTCTTATACTGTAGCTATAAAAAGGGGCAAATTTAGGGCCTAATTCCTTTTTATAGATTTCATGGTTGATGACAATCTGTCCAGCAGAGCAGTGGGACAAATTTTCAATTTCTATGGATTTTTTTCTCGAAGACCATTTTCATTTTCAGACTTGCAGTTGGAAAACATATTCAGTTCTTAGATCTTTCGCAGGGAAACCTGCCAAGGGAGATCCTCGAGTAGATTGAGTTGTCAGATAATGCGTTTTTTTTCACCTGCGCCCTGCAGAGAGTAGTTTTTTTGTTATTTCTTTGGTCCAGTTTTAAAGGCGTGTTAAAACAGACCAGGACTGACGTTATCAGATTTGAATTGACGAAAGAAACACTGCGAGAATACCAAAGCTTGTTTGGCACAGCTGATAAAAGAAGTGAACTCCTTCGCGAACGAGAACGGCCCTAATCCCTCGCTGTTTTCCGGTTAACTTGGCCAGCGTGGCTGAGACAGTTGGCTTGTCCCTCAGGGTTCAGATTTGTGTAAAATGCAGACAGCGAAGGAACTTCTTGAGGCCATCTCAACTCGGTCATGCTTAATAATCTGTGTCAAAAGCACCTGTGTTCTACATGTACTTCAATTGCTTGTACTTGTACATGCACTGGTACACGTGTACCCCATACATGTACAATTGATACACGTCATAAAATACAAGAAAGAGACACATGTATGCAAATTACGTACAATGCTATCTAAACTGTTAACCCTTTATACATGTGATTTCTTCTTATTTTTCTGTTCAAAATTAACTTGGTTAATGGTAATATTCAAAACATTTGCTTTTGCTGCAATTTTCAGAAATGGATGGATTTTGGGCTTAGAATTTTATAGCATAAGTTTTGTGTGAATATGAATGCTGGGAAAAAAAAAACAGAAAAAAAAAATGCTGTTCTTGTAATCTGGTTCCCAACCCTACTTCAGACAAAACGGAGCACTGAGTGTCAGGGAATTGTCAGGCCAGGGAGCCAGACTAGCTGGCTTCCACCCGTTCAAGTTTGAAGCTATTCTTAACCCTAATTACCACCCAAATCCATCAAAATGCCTTTCCCCATTTTGGGAATTTTGGTAGGCAAGCCATCTGTACCAAGTCCATCAAAATCCACCTATAGTAGTGGTGGTCTTGTGGTGGACTTTTTCCAGTCGATTTGGTCCCAATGCATTCTGTGAAGCAGGGTCAGTGATGGATTTTGGTGGAATTGGTCCAGTACTTAGTAAAAGACACTATAGGGAGTTAGGGTTGTACCGGTACTAGAAAGGCAAATTACAAGGCACCAAACTTGTCAGTGACAGGAAAAATGTCACACTTTAGACCCTAGTTTTTTATTATAGAACAACCTATTGGTAGACGAACAGACACATGTACATCATGTTCAAAAGTGTGAAAAAAGTTACAACAAGCAAATTCCTTTGTCGATGCAGCTCAGACGCAGAAAGTTTTCATAAGGCTACCAAAAACTGACAATAAAGTCCCTCAAAGTCATGTATGTATTGACCACAGTTTCTTAACTAACAGACCCATGTAAAATATTACGTACATGTACTGTTCTGGCTATGATGGCTACACACAACTTTTTTTTACAACAGAAAGTATGTCAAGCTTGTACATCATGTACAGTAAACTAGCTGGACTGGAAGGCTTGCCTTAAAGCTATACATGTAGTCCATCATTTGCAGCCATCCGAAAAGTAACTGTCGTAATTATTGTTGAAAAACAAACTTGGATGAAAGATAGTAAGTGAACTAAACTCCCTGTGAAATTTTTCTTTCCGGGAAGCTGTCATTTTAAAGTAATCAACGAAAGAAGGCATTTCCAACGGTGATTCTTAAGAAGCACCGTAGGAAAATTTAAATTAGTAGTTCGTTTTGTTATTCAGCGCAGCGCGCACAAGTATTGGAACGATGCACACGCGCGCGCAGTTGTTATAATTCGTCGGATCAGTGCGCGACGTCGCGTATAGCTGCAATTCAAAACAATTCAAAACATGATTCAGTAACTTTTGATTTGAAATTGAGATCTTAGAATGCTGTTTTTCTCGGAATGTACAGCTGAAGCTTAGCTGAAACTTCATCAGGTTAGTTGCTCAGTATCCTTCATTAGATTTTGAACTCTTTTGTTGCTTCAAACGAACAAAATGCACTAATTACAAATGATGGACTGTACCTTTAAGCGTGGACATAACAGAAGTTTGATTGTCGCCAAATTTTCATTAAAAGTTACCAACCTGAGGGGCTCTGTCCTGTCACCATGTCGCCTATCTGTCTCCCTCTGTGGGACAGGGTACCAGCGGAAGTTCAGTTTCCAGTTAAAGCCTCCATAAGTCAGGTCGGAACCGGTGTGAAAGGCAAAGTTTTCGTCGCTGATGACGTCAATGATTGGGCAGACTACATTTTTCCTGCAGGTCCAAAAAAAAAAGAGGAAGGGAAAAGAAAAAGAGGGAGACACGGTTTAATCAAAATGGTGGCAATGCTTACAGACAGTGTTGACAGGGATGCACTGATGCTTGCATGAAACGCACCTGCTCCGATGCATGTTTGCAAACTTCCTCATCATGATCAAATATGCATTTCTTTACAGTACAAATGTACATAGCAATGTACACTGCCAAAACAAAATCTCACATATTATACATGTACCAGTACACACATGTTTACGTTACATAACTAGTGTGGACATTTCCTTGATTTCGTGTAGGTAAGACAAGGCTCTGAAAACACTCATTTTACTCTCACTGTGAAAACACTTTCAACCCAATTTTTTGTCTATGATTCCCTTTAGTGTTTGAAAAGATTGTGATTGAAAAGTTGCAAGTTTTCTTTATGTCCAACTTGAAAGAAATATAAATTTTTTTCCCCTACGACTTAAGAACATGCACAACCCATCCTCTTCAAAAGTACCGGTATGTGCATGTATCCCAATGACTACGGAAATTGGAAACCCATTCTCTGATTAGGATGCACACAGGATACCATTAAAAAACATTCCTCTGAAATTTTCAGAGAGGAAAAAAAGGTGCAGTCAAAACATTATCATTAAGGAGCATCAATTGATAGGTCCACAGGTGGCTTGGGCACGATCCAAACATGGCTCAGACTGTCTCCGGGCCCTCGGGATGTGGGGAAAAAAAATACCCTAGCAACAATTCCACACCATCATCAGTTGCTTGGCCAATACACGTACTGTGCACGCATGCAGACACTGAGTAAGATGAACCTTGCATCAAGTGAGTCTGTCTGCTACATGTTCCGTGGCAGAGTCTGAAATTTCAGTCAAATGTTGGACATACATGTACATGTACAGTCAAGTCTCGTACCTAGCCAATTTTTTTTTTATGTATCAGAATTTTGTATTAAGAGGAACATCAGTCCCATTCATTGTGCACATAAATGCACAGTTGCGACCAATGCTTTATGTTTGTTATAGTTATAGCCAGACTTTTGTATCAACAGAGTTTGTACTAACGAGAGTCGACTGTACATTATATTTGCCAACTCGTGTTCAGTTGGAACCAACCAAAGTTTGCGTGCTTAATAAGTCAAGGTATCCAACAAACATCTGGTGCCAATTTCAAGGCTCTGGTTACTGTTGTATCTGACTATTACGAAAAATCGCTGCTAATTATAGGGCGATTCTTCAGAAATGGAAACTAAATTAATTTTGAGGAGAATTTTTTATTTTTTTTTCATGTGATGTGATACAAATGATTATTGTTCAGCAAAGTGTTGCAAGTAAGAAAAGATGCCGTTTTCTAAAAATGTTTTATAAGTTGGTCTTTCCATGCATAAATTAGCGTAATTATAAAATGTTACACACATGACTGATCAAAATGTCACACACATGACCAAACTTTGATGACCCCTCCTACCGTACCCCTATTTCGGCAAATTTGTCGAAACAGTCAACCAGTGAAATTTCACCATGATAAATCAAATTACATACTACGTGTACAATATGTATACATCGTGAAACCCAGTTCATACATGCACTTCATGCGAATGAGCATGCGAAGCGATTTGACGTCATGAAACATTCGCTGCAAAATTCGCCCGAGTTGAAATATGTTAAACTTTTACGAATTTGCAGCGCGAATACTTGCCGAGACGTCACAACTTCGCGTTCGCTTAACTGTAGGTAAACACTTCATGTTTCAACTGGAAGATATATCAAAATACAGCATGTTTACCAACCGTTCTTTCCCATTATGTTACCTTTCAAGAGAGTAAGAGAGAGAGAGAGTTCTATTCCAAGTGTTATTTTATCAGCAGACCGGACTTCTGTAACATGCATTTTCGCTTTTTTTCTGTAAACTCACTCTCATAATAAAAAAGGGGGGAAAAAACCTCAGGATATTAAGCTTGCACATTGTACATGTAACATTCATGTGTAAGGTATACTTGGAAGATATATCAAAATACAGCATGTTTACCCAACCGATCTTTCCCATTATGTTACCTTTCAAGAGAGAAAGAGAGAGAGAGAGTTCTATTCTAAGCGTTATTTTATCAGCAGACTGGACTTCTCCGACTCGCATTTTTTGTATTGATCTGCACATGCAAGATACTAACAGTCCACAGTTCTTCAGTGCTACTCATCAGCATTTAGCAATTCAAGTACATGTAATTCAATTGCCTAATTCAATTGCCCATTCAGTCATACTATTATCCTCTTATGTTTGTCGAAAGCACAACAAAATTAAAAGCGCTTGTCTGGCGCAGCACACCCACCCGTCTGAGTTAATAAACCGAGGAAAATCACACTGAAAGCTGAGACACACATCTGCAAGCATTTCCCCTGAAGCTTTTTAACGTTTTTTTTTCGCCCTTTTTTTTGTTTTGTTGGTACTGTATCTTTTTTTTCTTTTCACCATCTCCTTCGTTCTTTGTGTGTCAGCAGCTATCATTACCCGATCAATACGTGAACGGGCTCTCCAGTTACCGTCAAATGAAGACAGTGAAAGGCGGGCCGGCGTGTGTTGTCGCGAGGGGCACGTCGCGTGAACGCAACACTTGAGCACAGAGAGCGTGAGTGGGAGTGCTGTTAAACTTGCAGCGAACCACAGGCGATACATCTGTCGCCCCCGCGGGGCACTCGCATTCTAGCAAAACAATTTATTCTGAATGCATTATTTTTTTTTGAATAATGGACAAGTGCCAGACTTTGCAAGGACCACCACAGAGGCAGACTAAAGGGAAATTATTGTAAAAGGCAAATCTGTATGACTATACTGCCGAAGCAATTAATCATCCATTACTACCGCTGGGCGAGTAACTCGATTTATACTCGAGTACTCGCGAGTAAATGCTACTCATTGTTCTACTCGTGGTTTTTCATCTACTCGAGTGCTCATCCTTGCGCGAGAACAATGTAGGTACTCGCGACTTTTAAAATTAACTTTCAATATAAAACCAACTACTTTGTAATTTACTCATATTCAACACCAAAATGATATTGTAATTTCTGAATTATGAAATACAGCAGTTTTTCTTTAATGTAAACTCACTCTCATAATAAAAAAGGGGGAAAATACCTCAGGATATTGAGCTTGCACAGTGTACATGTTCCGGTACATTCATGTGTAAGGTATATGTGAAACTATATATGCACTCAGTTGTGGATTTGAAAAAAAAATGTGTCCTTCAATTGAAGGGAAAATGTCACTAAATGTATGCTTGACAGTGTAATAATGTGTGCGCAATCTTATCTTTGTTCAATCCGGAGCTTCCCCTTGGATAAGAGCGCTTCTGTAAATTCGTTGGAGCTTAGCAAAAACGCCAATCATGCACGCCTGCAATCTTGTTCAGGGTTCAACGAGCACTTCCTCAGAGTCCAAAGTGTCAACTACACCGTATAGCTACTTCTCATTTGTCACTATACTCGACACTTTGCGGCATTTCAAACCTGATTTGGCAAGCCCGGAGGGCCTTGCGTTTTTGAACACTTCTGCTACATACAATGTACATGGATTGATGGATAATTTTGGTTTTCAGTCCCTGCCTGATTCATGGGTTTTAGCCAGAATATTCTTCTGGGGTTTCCCTCCCACCTCTAAAACTGTAATTTCTTCTCATTGTCTTGTCTCTACATTTGTCTTCAGGCTTGCGAGCTACCGGTACAGTGCCTATAGGGAACTTCTGATGAATCCTTGGTTTCATTACGAGAAATAGGCCTATTTACTAATAATACATGTATGTACATGTATACACAGAATAGGTTACAACAGTGACACTCTGGTTTAAATGTCACAAAGATGAATCGAGTGCTTCGATGTGTAAATGCACTGTTGGGTCAGATTTATATGAATCCCCGTCCACTTCAAAGTAAATCTCATAAAAGCAGAAAAGTGCATATTGGGGTTTGGGTCTCAACATGATTATCCCACTTCTAATGACAGCTTCGTAAGTCATTAAACCACTCCAATCCCTTAACAGCCACTTATACTTATTTGCAAACAGTCAGTGCTCCTAAATTTTTATTTTTTTTCACCAGATGCCTGCCTCCGTGGTGCAAATTTGCACTTTGTGTCCCTTCGTCTTGGGAGAGCGGTGAAAAGCTTGTTTGCGTGCTGATGCGTCAATTGCATTATAGGCGGGATCGGAGCTGCGCAAATAGATAAATGCCACACGGAGTGACATTAGGAACCCGTCGACCCATAATCAGAAGCTGGGAACATCCAAGTGCTGCAAAATGTGCAGTGAGGACTTTAAGTTAAAAAAAAAAAAAAAAAAAAGCAGCTGCATACATGTACATGTACAATGTATAAAGTAGACCGGCCAAATTTTTTTATAATTTAAACTCACGGATTTTAAGACATAGTGTACTTGAAGTCCACTTAATACAAGGTTTTAGTTATGTTGGCTTTTCCAAAAAAAAAAAAATATGTAACTGTAGGCCCTACATGTAAGTGTTGGTTTGAAATTTCTGTTTTTAGGGTTGTTTTTTGTTTGTAGGTCTTTGGTCATTGGTTTTAGTCTTTATTTTTAGTCTTTGTCTTCAGTTATTGCGTCCTGATTTTCAGCCCTTGCTTACGTGTATATATTTTGCTCAGTTGTTTGCTGTTGTAATGTACATTATACATTCCTTTTTGTTTTGTGTTTGGTTTGAAAACTAGAATTTTGTGTCTAGTGTCTCTATTATTTCAGTTCCTCGAGACTTTTCCCTTCAAAGATCCTGAGCTTAGTTTTGTGCGAGTTCCCCATACCGTGTAGTGTGCCGTTTTTCTAAGTACATGTAACACGTTATCGTTTCGGTTTGCGGTAACACCATGTGGTAATAACTACTGCTTAGAAGATATTAGTTCTGAAAAGAACTTGTCCTGCTTATTACCAACTTTGCTAAGTAGTTTTTTGTTTTTTTGTTTTCTGTTTTGTTCTGATAAGAACAGTCCTGCTGTAAGTTCTAAACGAACTTGTCTTTGGTTTCAACGTTTCGACTAGCCTGCTCTAGTCATCGTCAGGAGACTGACCACATGGTGTTACCACAAACTGAAACGATACCGATACCCCACCATGCAAAGCCTCAAATCTTATACATGTAACACAGTATATGTCTGCTGCATTTGCACATGTACCGTATCATACAATAAGAATGAATATTGCTTCAATTCCCCCCTCCCCCCGCCCCCTTCACACAACGGTCATGAGAACCCTCAAAAGCCCCTCACTGCAATCACAGCCTCTCCACAATGCATCCATGCTCCCATCAGCCAGAACCACTCCTGCCGTCTCCATCTCCTGCCAAACCTCTTCACACCGCTGCAGTCCTTCGTCAGCAACCTACAAGGAGCCTTATCTGATGGCCTCCCGTTCATCCTCCAGTGTCATCAGCTCTCACCACAAGGGAAAGATCAAGGGGGGGGGGGGGGAGGGTCAGGAGGCGAGACAGAGGTGGGGGGGGGGGAGTTGGCTGAAGAGGGTTCAATATTTTCAGGAGCAATGCCATGTGTCGTTTGACAGATGCAGCCATTCTTATCTGATGGCCTGTGTTTAATTTTTCTAATGCACATCCTACAGTGCGTGTTCATAGGTAATGGTACATGTTCTGGTATGGCTTTTGTTAACAGACACACAAATAAAAATCGGACCGTGTTTATTATTACAAACAAAATTCACAAGCCCCAATTTCAAATTATTGGCTGCCAGACAACACGCGTATACAATCAGTAATTTACAGACCGGGAGCAAGTCTGCTTGCAAAGTGGATCTGTTTGTGCCCAAATCTAAACCCTTTTATTCCAGAAAGTTGCAGACATAAAAAAAAAATAAACAAAGGAGGTGGCTGACAGTCTCTGGCTGCAAACACCTCATTTTTTTTTTTTTTTTAACATGAGCATGTAACAAATTGTCAGAATCTTGATGAACAAGATGGACTGAGTTTTTGTTTTGTTTTGTTTTCCTCTTATAAATACAGTATATAAAGTACCGGTAGCTTCTGTTTACATTGGTTTAGGCAACAATTGATGTATTTTTGTCTTCTTCAATAAAACCTGATCCTTTTGATATAAAAAACGTATAATTTTTCCAAAATGAAAACTGATCTATACCCGTACATTGCCAATTTCATTGTAGGCACAACTCACTACAGAGAATTCTCAAATACATGTAATGGAGGGAGTTGAAAAATGCAGCCCTAGACATACAATGTCACTTTCACCAACAGGTCTCCACCCACTTAAGATTTAATTCAGTTATTATGTGTACCAGTATTTACTTTCGCACTTGACTTTGCCCGCCCAACCTTGAACAGTGTCTGCCCTCAAACCAAATATTTTCACAACTTTAAGTTCCTTCCCCAGACATGCCATCCCAACAGGCATGTCTGACCAGGGTACACAAATGTTACAGAGGCTTGGCCACAGAAAAAGGTTAATCGATCCATGTATTTGTAAGACTAGAACAGACTTTTTTTGCCTTAAATGCATAACTAGGGTCCAATTTTGTCATGTCCCTGTTACGTCTATGCGTCTGTAATTCTGGATGCACTCGTTAATGTATTCTTCCTCCAAGAATTATGTGAAGCAAACAACCTACATGTACCCAACAATTAAAAATTAGGTGAAGTCATTTTTTAATGACGCTTGAATGGCAAATAACAAAGTATCAAGGTACTAACAGGGACAAGAAAAAGGTCGGACTTTGGAGCATACATGACTGTACAACATACTGTACCGGTATGCACGGTACCATTTCAACAAAAGACAATGTTAAAAATTATTCAAACCTGAGACAGTTTACACATTCTTATTGGTCGAGAGCCTATCACGTGGGTGGTTTTTAAACCACCGGTAAAGCATCACTCCGTATAATTCTGTGCCAATCTCCATTAATAAGGATATTTTTAGCAAGTAGAAGTACATGTACATGTACGACCACGAGGCAAATACCATAGACATGGCCAGAACCAGAAGGGTGTTTCACAAAACATGAAGTAAAACAAAATTGTTTTTGACTTATTTTGACTTTTTGACCAAAAAGGTATTTATAAATAGGAGTAAATATGTGCTTTGCCAGTTTTAATCAAGTACGCCTACGTTTAAAACCACCTAGGGGCCTGGTCGTGGATAAATTGTATCTGCGACAGGCCTCTAGCCAGTTGAAACATACCTACATGTATCAGTACACTTGTTTAAAACTGGCCAAGCACATATTTATTCCCTTAATAATTAACAGCTGCAGAATTGGCACAACACACTGTGTGTATACATTTGACAGACTGATTTCAATTTGGTTAAATTATAACAATGATGCATGATCATCTGCGTAATGCATGTTGTCTGACGGAGTTCATCGCAATATCCGCAACCGAGGCACGCGGCTGAATACTTTTGACGCCACTCACAAGCCTGAAGCTTCATTGAGACCAAAGTGGTCCTCTTCATGTTGTTGTTCGCCATGGTAACCAGACATGATTCCATTATTGCATCAATCATCAAATGTTTGTCTGCACGCTACTAATGAACTACCCATAGAGCAAAATTGAAAAGATAAGTATCCATTATAGAATATCGTAGAAATACTGTAAGGTGGATGAGTGTTACATGTACCATATTTTTCCCACCCTGAAGGCATGTATACAAGTACATTGTACTATGTACATCATGTACATTGTCAATGCAACTATTATTTCATATATTGTAGTGTTTACTTGCCGGTACATAAAACAACATTTCTGCACTATTTATTACATGAAAAATACGTTAACATTTAAAAAAAAATATTCAGTTGATTTTGTAGAATAGTCACTTGTTTTGCAGAAATATTATGTACATTATTGATCTTTGCGGTTACTTGTAAAATAGTTTTATGCAACTTGCTAACCAAACGTACGGTACATGTAAGTGTAAACTTTAAATGAAAAAGTGGTTTTCCAACAAGGGGCTACCGGTATAACTCTCCATTATTAAGGTGAATTTCTACCCACCAGAACTCTTAAATTGACATGTAGATGTACAGTAACCTTTACATGCACCGTATAATCCAATTTTCACAGTTTTCCCCAAGCCAAAATGAAAACAAATACGCCTGGGGCAAATAAATGGATGTTTTCAGTTTTCATCAGCAAAGACAAGTCCCTCCGGTTATTTAGAACACGACAAATAAACAACAGTCTATAAACAGAAGCCGCCTATATCCTCAAATCGGCTGTTAAATTGCTCCACCGGAGCCCCGCGCTGACGCATCCAAACCCCATTACCAGTCATTTGAGTCAAACTTGATTATCGGCTGAGCTGTTATCGGACCCCGCCAGAAGGGTTTCAAATTGCACGCGAATGGCCGCCGTGCATTACGCGGCACGCACGAAGATTCTCTCGGAATTGAAATGGATCCGCGGCCGTTATAAGAAAAGTCAGCTTCTCTTTTTACGGTCGGCGGCATTTTGTTTACACAAGAAAGTCAATTTGGGGACGAGATTTTCCAGTATGGATATGGAGATGGATAGGTATTGACCCTACGCGGATGGTAATAATGTACGGTCCGCTGCGATGATTTAAGCCTTAATAGCGATATGAAACGGATACGTTATTTTGTATCTTTGCTGGGTTTAGGCCATGCACACACAAGATCTCTCATACATGTTTACAACTTGATGTAAGAAATTTGGTAAATTTATAGTGTAAAGCCACCGAAGCACAGTTTGGAAAATGAGATCACCGTCTGGGATGATGAACTGAAACTCGGTCACCCGAACGATGTCACAGCTCAGAATGCTGCCTTGAAATTGACAAACGGAGCAGGCTGCTCCTGGCGTTCATCCATATTTCGATACACGATGCAGGCATCATCCAAACTGCGTGCGTGCAAAACTGACTTGATAACAAGGAGACATCTGGACATAGTTGTGTAAGCAGAGGGTGAACTCAGGGACAGACATTTTTCTGAGTGTTTACTAAATTTGTCGAAACAAAAACAGATGTTTTCTAAGTCAAATGTTGTACGATAAATTTGCATCAGTAAAAGAAAATGATACACTGCGTGGGACAGCTCAAACTTGATCTGTGCTAGTTCCTTTTGTCCATTCCAAGCAGTTTTTGGTTCTTATTTCATCCTCATTTCATTGCATTTTTAGAAGTTTGCTTTACCCGGACATTGCAATATCAGAGTAAGCCAAAACTGATGATGAGAGCATCTCGCCCATTGATTTTTTTCCTAAGTTCTTTGGCATGCGTAAAGCCTGTGGGCAAATGCACAGCAAATCAACCTTTGGAATCAGTATTAGCTGTTCATGCATGTATATTTGCTACGCAAAGGCAGGTGTTGGATTTGCAGACGGACTAAGGAGAGTTATGAATAATGAGAAAAGTTATGAGCCAAAAAGCCCTGTGAAGGCAATCCTGACAAAATAACTTACATGTGCGCCAACAAAAATGATGAAAAAGCAGCTGATAATGAACCTACCTATCTTTGTGAATACGAGCTAGTAATGGTTCAAGCCATCCCTCGGTGCACTCTATATGGGCGTCGAGAAATGTCAAGACTTCTCCCTTGGCGACTGACGCGCCGCGTAACCGGGCTCGTATAAGACCGCTGCGCTTCCCCATCCGCTCGACGTGGGTATGCACAGAAAGCTTCTTGACGTACTTCTCAAGTTCTTTCCCAAGGAAATCTGCAAACGATTAAAAACAGAAGGGGGAATTTTCGATGTTAATATTGTTTGGTTAATGCACTGCGTAGGAATCAACTGTATCAGAGCATTTGTGTTCAGCTCTCTGATTAGGGTCCAACATTTATGTTAGCAATAACATTTTCATGTATAAAGATAAATCAAATTTGATTCTGCAACACAACTGAAAGCAAACGTGAAAGTACAATTGAATTTTGTTCAGTTCAAAGCTGAAACAGTGTTCACCTCCATGTAGTTCAGTTTCTTTTCCCTTAAAGTACTTGTTTAACTTCTATTTTTCATATTGCTTGTAAGAATAAATTAATGAGATTTAAAAAACTCAAGACCAAATTGATATTATAACTTGCTAACTTCTCTTCTTAAAATCATTTTATAGTGACCTATGGTACATTGTACATGTATTTTGTCAATAAATTAAATGAAGTACATGTATATAAAATAATCTACCTTTTTGTGTTCACACTTCAAAAATCAATTTTGATTTTGACTGCCAAACTAAAAGTTATACTGACATGTTAATACAGACTTTCCCGCAAGCAATTCCATTCAATTTGAATTTCATCTTGTCCCCCCCCCCCCCATAATGACTGTATCCAGAAAAAATAATCCTCCTATAAATGTCACGCATTGAATAAAATATGATTTGGTCCACGCTTTCCCCGGACACACTGGAGCAATAAATCCAGGCCTGGATCGTTAATACCGCTGCCCGGCCGGCGCGGTCTAGAATAGTCAAGTCAACGCGCATCATAAATTGCACATTAGTTACTCAATATTGCTTCGTGCTGGCAGTTCATACACGCGGGTTTTTTTTTTACTCTCTAGTGATTAAGAGCATCCCTTTATCATAGCATCTATGGAAGCTGTGCGTGCAAAGTAAAGAAAAGATTAGCATATATAGCAACTTGCCATCTGGCACACACCTGGCAAAATACACGTATACTTGTACATTGTTCATTGTAAAAATGCAATATAAAAGATTTGATTTGGCATTGGTGGGACTCTGAATTACTGACTGGGGAGTCACTTTATATTCGATCGAGCCTTGCCTCATGTACATGTTCCTATGTACCAGTGGTTGGTGAAGATTTACTCAAGATCTCATACAGCACTGCTGCAAGGGAACCTCAATGTTACAGTACAAGGGTCCATGTAAATGTTAAGCAGCATCCAGGTTATCCACACACAAAAACCCAAAAATCTGAAACAGTTAATTTCCCCCTGATTTCTACACATTTTTTTTAGAATTTAAAGACTTGTACATGTATCAGAACTCCTGGTGCAGGCCGCTGACAGACCAGCATGGAGGAGGACTTCGGCTTCTTCTGCCCTCAGCCCCCCCCCCCCCCCCACGACCGCAACAGTCAAGGGAAACGTAACGTAACGCAACATGTTTCATTGAAGTATCATTAACCCTCCTACTGTTTAAACAGTCGCACAGACAGTCAAATATTCCACGGTGACAGCATCTCAAGAAAATGCACTCCTGAGGAATTGACTTTGGACAGGGCTATTTCATCGCTATGTCCCAAGGGTCCATTAACATTTGATGGATGCAACTCTATCCAACACAAACTGAGACCTGCACAGGCCTGAGCACCATGTACACATACATGTACATGTACAATGTACACTTGGTGTGTGGTTTTGCTGAACACCTTGCTTTAAATTGTCACAAATGGCAACACCCAGCTGAAGCAGGTGCGATCCAGTCAGTTTCAAGTATTTCCAAAGTCTACCCGCTTTTTTTTTCCCCAAGGGTAGTCTCAAGTGAATAATTTAACGCAACTCAAGTTTCTGAGAGTTTGGCGACATATTTGTATGGAAAAAAGGAGGGAAATGATAGAGTCAGTATTGAAGTATTTTAAACAGGGTCTTTTTTTTCAGGGATCCTTAGCCACGCACATAAAACAGTCATCATTATCATGAATTTGAACCCCCCCCCCAAAAAAAAACCCACAATTTCAAAACAACTTTTTGATTTGGCATGTTGACATACATTGTGTACAATTTATGTATGTTAATGTACAACATGTACATGTACACTGTGAATACAAGTGATAATGACTTCCTTGGAGAAAATTGAACATTGAAACGACTTGAAAATGACTTCATTGCAGATCGGGACAAAACAGAATTGAAAAGTGAAAGACAAATTCCAAAATTATAGGCACACTGTACTGGTACAGTGCATGTACATGTATACGTACATGTACATGCATGGACATGTATACGATGTAATGATGACAAACATCCCTACCGGTATGAAGTAAACACTGTTTTTTTTTCTCTTCTTTTTGAATTTTAATTTTCACAACAAACTCTGATGGGAATGAGATTGCAAACTTAATAAAAAGTCTGAAAATTGGATGAAGAGTCTAGTAAAAGAAGCCTTTCTTTCTATACTGATTGTGTCTTTTTCTCGGTTTCAAAAGATCTGATTTCAGACACAAGTCTGAAAAATCCCGAGTCTGCTGATATCCCATAATTAATCATCGATATACGTGTAGATAAACAGGGGCAGGTGTAAACTATGGATGGGTCAGTATCAAGCCTTCTTAGGTCTGTTTTGACAAAATCTGTCCCAGGAACAAAATCCAATTAAAAGCCAGCACACGGATGTTTGGTCAATCGCAGCAATACAATCGCCGGTCAGTTCAGTTCAGGGAGTGATCATCGCGGAGTTTCCGGGGCGATGTCAGATAATCATCTGAGCAAAGGTCTCATCCAGACTTCCCTGGATTTGGGCCGAGTTTTCCCACAAGGCACATACGGTACATAAAAAACAGCCGCCGCGAGTGAGACATGATCTGACACTTTCAGTTGAGACAAGCCAATTAAAAAAAATCTGTGGACTTGAACACGCTACTTGACATGCCTGGTACCTTTTCAAAGTCCAAACGGATGCACTTTGCTAGGAGGGGTTAAATAAATACACCACCATTGAGTATTTGTGGGAATAAGCAATGAATATGAAGGGCCCAAGTTTTCAGGACTAAACAAAATGTGAACATACTAGTCCCCAAAAAAGTGTTCATCTGGAAAATTATTGAAAATAACACAAGTAGGGGTTTAGGCCAAAGATTACGATACATCTAATCAGACAGATGGAATGGTCCATTCCACAAGGCAAACCGAATGAAACTATTCTTTCCATTGCACTAATGTGAAACATTCATTATTTGTTTTACACAACACTTGAATAAATCTGCGTCATCTGATTGGTCATATAGCCACGGTGACCAATTGCGTGACTGTGTAATGGAAATTCTATACTGTGAAATGGAACTTCTATTTTTGCAGTGAGGCCGCGTCGTGTGTTGGGACGAATAATTCAATGACAAGTAATCAAAAATTCACCAATCAGACGACTGGGGTTATTCAGGCGTTGTATAAAATAAATTGGAAAGAGGAAAAAAGACCAATTGTCTTCAGCACGCATTTCCATTCTCCGGACATTCTAACCCTCCATTAGACCACTGTCCCTAACTTTACTGTACCTCTTTCACTTGCATCATCTACCAGGATGATCTCTTCGAGGAGTTCCCATGGCGACCGGTTGATGATGCTGTGGACGGAGCGTAGCAGTGTGCTCCAGGCCTCATTGTGAAAGACGATAATGACGCTTGTCTTTGGTAGGACGCTGTGTGGAGGATACTCTTTTGTTTTGCATCTGTAGGAAGGGTGAAATAAAAGAAAAAGAAGAACTTATTTCTTATCAAGTTTCAAAGAAATGAAATTATACTTGAACTCTGCATGTCTTTACAAGCATATCAACAAAATCTCTGGGCAGGTGGGAAGGCAAGCAATAAATCAGATTTGATGATAACCCTTATCTTCTGAGATCCTTCACAAAGTCCCCCGGGAGTTTGGGGATTGAAGAAGATTGACCTCAGGACTTAGGCCTGATGCTTTTTTAAAACTTTAAGCACAAACAATGGGTCAATGGTTTCTTAGAAATGCCCAGAGAAATCGAATTCAATGCATGCATATTTATATTATAAGCCAATATATCCCTTAAGTATTGGTACTCAAGATGCTATTGATGTCATCATTATTACCCCTGCTCACTGAGCCCATTAAACATTCAAAAGATCAGCTCTACGAGGAGTATACAGCTTGATTCTACCAATTCAGTGCAAAGTAGCTCAGAAAATCAATCACAGTAACAATCTCTGCCTTTGTACATGTATGACCCCAGGCATGCCAGGCTGAACCAAGCACTGATAAGTCGTGTTCCTTGGTTAAATTTGCTGATGATTCGGCTGTGGTTAGTACTTATAAAACAGGACGATGATGGCAGTATTTTTATTAACCAGATTGACTGATTCATTGATTACTGTGATCGTAATTATTTAGAACTTAATGTCAACAAGACTTAGGAAATTTTGATTGGATTTCAAGTTAAAAAGTCTGTGAAAATCAAGGACAGTGAGGTTGAAAGAGTATCTAAATACAAGTACCTAAGTGTGGTAGCAGATGACAAGTTAATGTGGCATGATCTTGTGAATTACATTGTTCTGCTCTTTGAAGTTCGCAAGAAGTCAGAAATACCCTACCCTTCCATTCTGACATCTGGCAGGGACCTGTTAACCGAAATCATGTCGCTGGCCAGAAGATTAAATTGGTTGATCTTAAACATCTCTTTCTTCTTTTCTTCCTGATCTGGCGGGATGACCACTGCTTTGCCCATCTCGCCCGGACCGTTCTTCGGGTGGACGACCGGGGGCGGTTTCTCATGGGCAACCGGAAAGCCCCCTGGGACAACAACAAAAAAAAAGAAGAGAAATGCAATTCTATCAAATTTTTTTTCTAAACAATCTCGAAATGATTTTGGAAGCTGCGGGCCAACGAATTCGAGTACATTATGCATGAGTGAGGTGATTGGAAGAAGTAGTGTTTTGAGTACAAAAAAATCAGGTTTATGATCCCATGATGACCTTTGACTGTCAGTGGAGACCCACTAAAGTGACACAAGGGAGGGCCAGGGCCTGAGGGAGGAGTTGATATACTCCCATTGCCATGGTCTGAGGGACGAGTTGATAGTCACTCAAGGCTGTCATGGAACGTTTGTTACTAACTAATGGCAAGACACGATTTGTTGAGTTGACGTCCACAGCTATATGTAAAAACATATCTCATCCAAAGCAACCTTATTTGAGGGGTTTGGGAAGAACAGTTATTACAAGGTTATTTTGACCTTGGCTCGGTAATCACACAGTGTGCATCCTAGTGGGAAACCACAGTCCAAATGGGATGACACTGCCTAAAGATAACGCGAATTTTGCAACGCAATGGGGCGTGATGTAATTATGCAAATTAGACATGCACATTCAGTGTCACAAAGCTGTAGGCATTCCATAGAAATTTGGCTGAAAGCGATTCACATGGTATTTATCATTTTGTCTATTTTCCTGTGCATGCAGTAGGAATAGAAGACGATGCAGCCAAAGAACAATGTACATGTACTATACCAAAAAAGTACTGTAAGCATAACCGGTATTGTGTGTCAATGCATACGGGTGTGCGCAATGCACGTATTGTTCCCAAGCGCTAGCGCTACTAATAATTTGGTATTGAAATTGAGAAATTTACATTTTAATTACATTTAGATTAAATTCATCTCTTAAAATCAAACAGAATCTGTATGTGGGTCCAGTTGTTATGGAACAAATATTGACTGCTTTAACTAGTGGTATAAATAAAACTAGCCTCCCTCATTGATCCATAGAGCATTCTATTTTTTCCGAGGCCAGGCTGGATCAACTCGGGAAGCTAGTTTTACTTTATGTACATTGTCCCGGTACCACTTAAAGCAGTCAGTATTTGTATAATTTTGTATTTTTGTGAATTTGGTTGGGCTTCACTTTATTAAAGCTGATGCAAGAAAACAAATCCCAAATCACAAAGGTTCGTTTCAAAGCCTTGTGAATCCAGGGATATGAAATTCAATGCGATGCCATGCATCTTCAAAATCGCATCAAGGGAAAGAACGAGGGAAAAAAGAATAAGCCAGAATTATGCAGGGGCCGGCTGGAGGGAAGAAAGAGATCTTTTTCCAGCCGAGCAAAATCAATAATGCAGCAGAGCCTGGCTTCATGTAGTCTATATGTACGTACTGTATTCCAAGGGCATGGGAGGTACGGCTACTGTAATCATGGCAACATATTAATGACTCATTATGGCATTGGCTAAATAACAAATTTGGACGGGCTGTTACTGTACATACATGTACTGCGTGTAGGTGTATACTCGGCTAGAAATTATCCTCCCAAAACCGTAAATGCAGTCATGACAGTAATTTGTACCCCTTCCCCCTCCCAATTCCTTCATTAAATAAACTTGCACAAATCATTCAGCTGTTGTTGCTGGCACTGCACTCATTGTACATGTACATGTAGTTTGTACAATTCAATTCAATAAAACATTTATTTCCACTCTGTGGAGACAGCATCATAAAAAGCCGAAGGTTGAGGTGGATGTGCCAAACAGTACAAGACAAAACAAGACAAACAACACTAATTATAGAATTTGAAATAATAACAGTTGTTAAATATATAACATACAATTTATTTCATCAAATTATTGTTAGGGCTTCAGGTAAATACATTTGTAATATTTATACTTTGTGTACAACATTTGCAAACATCAAGAATACAAAACTACCAAATTATTATGAAATACTGGTACCTTACTTGACTGTACATGTACTGGTACGGTATAGCATCCTGTGAAATCATTACACCTGGTCATGCTGGTGTGCTGTCATTATCAAGAAAACTGAAATGTTTGTATCGACGTATTTCCAATGATGGTCAGCCGACCATCATTTTCTTTTTTTTCTCTTTTAAAAAAAAAAAATACTGCCCCCAATTTCCCAAGTTTAGTTACATTTAGTCCAGGAGATATTCTGCAAATTTTCATCTACAAAATGCACTTTTATTTGTTTTGGACACTATTGATCAATCATGCTATTAGTTCCAATATCATCCATTCACGTTAAGCAAACCAATGCGTGCCACGCAAGCAGTATCTCCAAAAAAGGGTGTATTTGCACTTAAATTGTAAACTTCAAACAAGCCACGGCAGAACGTATTAGCCGACATCTGTCACACACTTGTAGAATAAAAGCAAACCGTCTCACATTTGAGAAAACAAACGTGACAGCTGGTTCCAGTTTGTTTCATTTTATTGTTTTCCTTTCAGACTTTTCAGACTATTGAAAGTCCTCTTTCGTTTTCAGTTTGACAATCTTAGCTTATATTCAAGAATTAAAAAGAAAAGGTAATTGTAGTACATACATTGTACGGTACCCCTGTTGCCCATGATTAAATTTAATGGCTGAAATATTGCAAAGTTCTGAATTATATAAAGTTGAAATGCTGCAAACTGTGTGTGTTTCTGATCCCAATCGTGTACAGTAGCTTTCAAGCAGACCCAGGTGAAAAGTAGAACAGTACCGGTAGGATCAAACTTAGAGAACATTAGAATTCAATTGCTATACACCAATGATGCACATTTTTGCGACACTAATGAATTGTGGTCCACAAAACTTGTGAAACTACAAAATGAGGAACTACAAACAAGATGAGGAACTACAAGATGAGGAACTACAAACAAGATGAGGAACTACAAGATGAGGAACTACAAAAACTGTCTGTTCTAAGAAAATGTCCCTTACATGAATACAATTGTAAGTTCAGCACGTACGGCAAGGAAACACTTTTTATGCACACGTTTCAAGAGCAACCCAGTGAAAGATCTTTGCAAAGGCATCATTACTTAGGCCTACCGATAATTGTTCAATTCAGAATGCAATTAAATTGGAAAGCTACGTGTGAAAGAAACAATTACACTGAAGTGTGTTCAAGTAGTGAAAAGTGCCCAGACCTGTACATAACAAGGTTTGCGGGTACTCCACTCTATTGTGGTCGCCACTTTGTACTAGTATGGCATCTACATTACATACATTGTAAACAAACGTATTTTCATTGTAATATCGACACTTGTAAAAGTATACAGGTGTGCACAGAACTGTCGGACAAAACAATATTAACTCTACCGTAAAATACATACAGTACCCTACCATACAGTTCATTTACCGGTAGACTTACTTGTCACAATCAGGTTGTATGTCAGTACATGTACTTGTAACATTTTGAAAAGGGACCACAAATAGCTCTTCCAAATACATGTAAGCAGACATGGCCAGTGGAAATTGAACTGATTTTTTCCCCCTAATACCCAATTTTATGCACCCCCCCCCTTCGTCTTTCATAAAGTTTCAAGTAACATTTTACACTAAAAAAAAAACACCATTGCAGTGCCGCGTGCAGCTGCAAAGCATGCATGTTTCTGCAAGTCAGCTACATGTAGCTGTCTGCCAGTAATGGCGCACACGCATAATATCTGGAAATAATATTTTTATTGAGTTAGCTGTGAGTTAGCGAGCCCCAAATCGAAAGCAATTTACTAACGTCGATAATTCGTTTATAAATGGCAGAAATGCTATGCACAGGTGAAGCTAGTGGGAAAAGCTGCACGCACTGCAAGGTCTGATGCACACGTGTTCAAATCTCTTCCTTCCTCCATGGTACAATCTAAAGACAGGTTTTACTCAGGACTGGAGTTTGCAAGTAAGGATTATGATCAAGATTACAGGATTAAGGCAATTAGGTCCCTGGGATGGGGGCTACAATCTGGGCAAATATAAACTAGATAATCTATGGGAAGTGTTAGGCCTAAGTATTCAGGATAAACAAAAAGTATTTACACTAACAGACCAACAGGGGATTACTGAGACTCTTTCAAGGAATTGTGGAAGGGCATTCATACTACATACTTTATAGAGCATTATGAGAAACAGGAAATGTCAGGCATACATACTGGGATTGTACTGGCATGATAATTATTACCTAACTTTACAGATTAATAAGGGATTAAGGATTTAGTAGGCCTACTGGTTGACAATGAGTAAAGGAAACCAACAGCTGGATTAGGGATTAAGGGCAGTTTGGTAAACTTGCATGGATTAGATATGTTTATCATCATGGAATAGATACTGTATGGTACAACACTGTTTTGTGTCAACAAAGAAACACATCAGTGCAAAATTTCACAGCTCTGCATTATCCCTTTGTGCTAATTACCGGTAATTTACATTGTACAGCCCTAGGTAACAGATCTAGGCCCACTGTCATGCAGCTCTGTCGAGATGCAAATGTAAGGTTTTAGGTAATAAACTCTCCTTTGGCATTGTTCAAGTTCATCAGTTTCACGTACTAACCAGCCCCTTTAATGGCAAAAACTAAGGATGTGACTTTGCGTTTAATTTTGTGAACGTTTAGCAAATATTTTAAGAATCATTTAGGCCTAAACGTTCAGCCATTCACAAAGGTTGACACGTGTTCATTATGTCTGCAGATCGGTGTGATTGACATGATAAAACAACAATGGCAGTCATTGAAAATTAAACACTTTTATTGGGGCATTTTTGTGTGTGTGTTTTTTTTCTCATTTTGTTCCCCATTATTTTTCTTCAATTCACAGGGTCACATTACATGTATACATTTCATTATGCAATACTCTATACCAGGTTAACCCTTGTTTTCTTTCTGTGTCACTGCAGTACTCCGTGTCACTGTTATTCCATGTCACTGTTATTCTGTGATGATCGTCTTCCTTCCTCAAGATTACTAAAGATAAAAATTTGGTACCATTAATTACATACGTCCATGTATACAGCTGGAGATAGGGCACCGTCATTTCCTCCGAGCTTGTAAGGGGATTTTATAACGTTTGCTGGCTTGTCTTCTGCTTTCCCGCGGATGCTCATCATGATCACATTTCAAAACAAAAATGTTGCAATAAGCTCTCCCAGGAAACGCCAATGAATACATTGCTTTGTAATAAAGCTAAACATTGGTACATGTTTGAAGTATCATTCGGAATGTCACAAGAGTGACTTGCAATATGTACAAGAACATTTGTAGGGGGTGGGGGAAGGGGAAGACAACTGTATGCACCCCGAACCCCCCCCCCCCCCCCTCCTTCAAACTATTCCGCACAAGTTGTCACGAGTCAATCATAACTCAGAAAGTCTAAAGTGACACTAAATAGCATGGAAACGTAGTATGAACATACATATTTTTAGGGGGTGGGGGAGGGAAGACAAATGTATTGATGTTCCCCTATCGACCCGACCCCTCCAAACTTGTCTATTCCGCACAAGTTGTCAATATTTAGTCAATCACAACTCAGACAATCTCAAGTCACTGCTGTGGGTGGCAACTACCGGTACCTGTAGGCATTCTTTTTTCACTGCTAACATCCCTTCCTCTTGTCTACATGTCCATTTATAGGCCATCAGCCTAGGGGTTTGGTATCATGAGGGGAATTATGATAATTGTGATTTTTTGGCAATTACATTTAGGTTTGCACCCCTGTACCCCTGTAGCTGTCAAATATGTGACAGCATTTTAGCAGTACTAGCCGAATGCCAACATAAATTAAATCCCTCAGTCTATTAACACCTGAAATGAAAAGTATATGTAGTTGCAGAAACCAATCTTTCGCCATCTCCCGTCATTGCTTCCCAATCCTCAAGTTACTTCTGCATACAAAAGTTTGCCACCTCACATTCGGAACGATGCCTTCTGATGTTTCTGTCTTTCATTTCCATGAGGGGTCAAGTTGCAGAATACTATCCAGTTTGCCCGCTACTCTCGGACTACAGCTCCCAGAGTTTTATAGCGCAAGAATTTTAAACAAACTTTGACTGAGTTTGTGAGGCGCTGTAAATCAAAGACAGAAAGCTCCCCAGTACATGTTTATTGGGTGGGGAAAAAATGTCACTTGAGGTTTTCCTAAAAATTATAAGTTCAGGCACTTTTCCAGAGCTCATGCTCGAGTCCATTTCGTAGCAAGAAAACCGTGTACAATGTGGGTCTGTAAATTTGAGGCATGCAGCAATTTCGTTACTGGTTTATTACAACTTTAGAAAATTTAATGGCTTTTCATTTTGAGTGACAAAGTACCAGTACAGTGGATAGTTAAACTTGGGTGCAGAAACAAGCCTAGAATGTATTTAATGTGTCGTACGTTTACAAAGAGGTTAGAAATCCGATTGGAAATGGGCTTAAAAGGCAGCCTATTTCATACGTGTACTTCATGTGAATGCACAACACTCTTTGACATACATGTACTTGTATACATGTATTGTACGGTATACCTGAACTAGATTCATGTTGCAGTCGTGTTGCAGATTACATTGGTATTCACTATGTTCTGGCCCTAGACCAAAAAATGGACAAGAATCTCCAATAATATGGTTGGTTTAAGAATGTTAAAAACATATACTTACTACTTTCTTCGTGAGGCCCCACGCCACTCTCCTGTGCCCGAGGACATCTCGTCTCGTCAGTGCAGTCGCTGTAGTACATGATGAATGCAATGTCCAGCATAAACCACACCATGGACGTCGCGAGGACGACCTTACAGTACATCAGACGTCGCGCCATTGTGGTCTGAGTTGCAGAGTCCTCAGTTTGCTCAAAACGTCCTCAGTTTGTTCTAAACGTCCTCACAATTGCAGCAGGCAATTAAATTCTGGAATGCTTTTATTTTTCTTAATTGGCTATGCTGCCGAACAGCCAAACAAAGTTTGTTACTGATGTAATAAAATAAGTTGCTATCCAAAAAAACTTGCAGGTTTAAAATTACAACAACAAAAAACGTTTTCATGCACAACATGTATGGAACACACTTACTGATAATTTTGTTAACTTTGGTGCTCGGGCAAATTTGAAACTTGGTACTAGATTGAAATATAAAGTACTGTGAACTTTTATAGTTTTTCACAAACCGCGACGTGGTATGAAACATCAACTAAAAATAGTCACAGAGCACGTTCCCAGCATGAAGTCTTAGTGAGAAAAGGCTTGTCCGCTAGTGCTGCTGATCCGGACAAAAGCTGGCAACAAAAGTGAAATGAGAAGTAGTATCAGGGTTATACTGTAACCACAGATCTGCTGATAAACAGTCGATTTCTCATCACTCATACGGTACATCTGGGCTGACTGCACATGGTCTAAACACACACACACGTATCCGGTAGTCACTACAGTCAATCAATTGGTCCACGATGCGGCTGTGGCGTTTCACACGACTAACAACATCGGCAATAACCAGAACTATTGATCCCAGTTGCGCACGGCAATGAAAAGGTGTTGAACGCACAAGCTGGAGTTCACAGCCACAAAAGATGTCAGGGTCGCCAACTTATCCACCGAACGTCACAACTACCGGTACACAATAGGCCCTGTGCAAAACGGACTTCACAAAGAAATGGCTCCCAGTTGCTTTCCTTCAAATAGAAAAAAAAAACAGTTCTGTCACTGGATTCTAATCAAAAATCCATCTGGGAGACTTGGAAGTACATGTATACATGTAAACTGTCCAGTCATTTCGTACTCTGACAAGCAGGGCTTGCAGTAATTGTGTACAATTCCACTGGGCGTTCAGGTTCATGCAATGTAGGACACTGACTTCAGAGCGCGTGTACACTGTGCATGATGAAGTGGGCGAAACCTCTATGATGCAGAAACTAAAAGTGACGACGCAAGCTTCAACTGGGTTGCTGGCAGGGGATTTACTGCTCCTTTTTTTGTGGTTCCCTGTTTGGGGAAATAATGGGGATAAGTAGTGTTAATGAGGATTATCTTCACAGTTTATTTAATTGTTTATTTATAGGCTTGCCAGTCATGGTGTGAAGGCAGAGGGGGTTTAAAACCTTTCTTCTTATCGTTTCGGTTTGCGGTAACACCATGTGGTAATAACTACTGCTTAGAAGATATTTAGTTCTGAAAAGAACTTGTCCTGCTTATTATCAACTTCGCTAAGTAGTTTTTTGTTCTGATAAGAACAGTCCTGCTGTAAGCTCTATTAAAACGAACTTGTCTTAGAACTTACAGCAGGACTGTTCTTATCAGAACAAAAACCTACTTAGCGAAGTTGATAATAAGCAGGACAAGTTCTTTTCAGAACTAAATATCTTCTAAGCAGTAGTTATTACCACATGGTGTTACCGCAAACCGAAACGATACCGATACTCCACAATGCAAAGCCTCAAATCTTATACCTTTCTTCTTCTGTTTTCCTTGAACATGCTCAACACTGTACACTCCAGAAAAGTATTTTGTACATTTGTAAGTACAGTACCTACTTAAGTCTTTCAGAGTTTTGCAGGAATTTGTGAACTCTGACCAGACCAGACAGCATCGAGCAGGAAGTAGAACGGCCTGGTACCCCACAACATGTCAACCAAAAAAGGAAGTAAAACCAAGAAAAATCCCCCCCCCCCTCAATTTGAGAAACTCTGACAAGCTCACTCTATAGTGAATTGGCTTGTCTTTCGATACTAATTTGAATAGTTTGAGAAATAGCAATAAAAAAGCTCCCTGAATCCTACAAAAAATCATGCATGCATATGTTCAGTACAAAAATTACATGTCAACTCTGTTACATGTATCTACGGTACCCAGATTGGATGGGCAAGTTTCAATCATACCTTAAACATTATTCCTCCATGCTTTCATGTACCATGTGTGCAGAGAAAGGGGCCCCAAATAACGACCGACTCAAAATTTATTGGCAGTCAGAGAGGGAAGTTGTATACAGAATTTCCCCTCAAAAAGTATAAACAATTAACTTTAGGAATGGTCAAATTGATTCGGGCGAGCTGTCACTTGTGTCAAGAACTTTAACATGGCGGGGAAGATTTGCGACACGAGATCACTGTTATTTACTGGTTTGCCTTCAATTTATTTAATGCTGTAAATCTTGTTCTTGAAACATGTCCTGAATTTTGAGCATGGGCCATTTTAAAAGAAAATCAAGTTATCATCACTGGTGTTTCCCAAATTTAGTGAGAGGCATCCTTTTTGTTTTTAGTTTCTGGCCCCAAATCTCAACTTTTTAGGTGAACTGTAATTACATGAAGAAGTCATGATGTTGGCCTAATGCAACTATTTTTTTAGTTTATCTCACTCAGTGTAAATGTACTTACCACTAATACCAGTACATGTAATCCCATAACCACACACGAAACCACAACAAGAAGGCTAATTGTAATTATTTAATGCTGTAAATCTTGTTCTTGAAACACATCCTGAATTTTGAGAATGGGTCATTTTAAAAGAAAATAAAGTTTATCATCACTGGTGTTTCACAAATTTAGTGACAGGCATCATTCTGTTTTTGTTAGTTTCTTGCCCCAATGCTCAAACTTTTTTAGGTGAATTGGAATTACATGTACAAGAAGTACCGATACATGTAGTTATAATTTCAGTGTTGGCCAAATACACATGTACATGTACATCAAGGTGCCAGTATGGCATCTTTGGTGGATAAAACTATGATAAATACTAACTAAATTCCATCTATAGCTCCATGATAAAACTGATCAAACACAAGCATGGTTTAGACACACATCTAAAATGGTAACATACATGTACATGTACACACAAAGTAATGTACATGTACATGGTACAGGTACATGCAGTAAACTCAAGTTAAGCTACATACATATGTGTACAAACATGAACATCTACAATGAATACCTGACTAGGGGTTGTTGAAGTGTTACACGCCAACACGACAAAGTACTGGTACTCACTTGACGGGCACATGCAGTCCTAAATTTTAAGTATAAAATGTACATGTACATGACCTTCAGTCTGTCGATCTTTTGTGACTGGTTTACAATTGGGGCAAAATGGTGCACCAACACGGTCAATGGGTACAAAGTGTAATTTACAAATAACAATGGAGAAAAAAAAATGCTTTACTAGTCTCTGTACCAGAATAAATAACTCCGGGGTCTTTGCACAAGCTTGCTTTAAAACCTACCTGTATACAGTCTACAATGTAAGTAACAATTCCAACTGATAATGTTCATCCTGTACAATAAAAGCATGTGAACTTCATGGGAAGCATTCTCAAGGATTGCATTTAAAACAAAAACTACACTGCACGGGCCCTTTAAGTCGTTTTATAGAGGTCTCTAATCATTTTCCCATTACTGAAGATAATCATTTTCCCATTAAACTGAAAAGAAAAATTGAAAGAAAAAGACCTTAATAAAATAATAGAAGGATTTATGAAGTGTGAAATGTCTGTGGAAATTTAAAACCAGCAAGTTTTTTCAGGGAAAAACTCATTCAGATTTTCCCATTAATTTGATAACTAATGCAAAGGCTGATAATTACTGTTCAGTACGTGTACATTTCATGGTTGAATTACACTGGCTTTGAAAGGGCACACTATCAAATGACAAAGTGCGTTTTTAATACTGCGTACAATGTACTCGGTGTACGTATCCATTCAAATACTCTGTTATTGAACAGTGCACAATGAAGTATGGGAGTTCCTTTCCAAGCCAAGGTCACCACAACACAAATAGTAAATTTATAGTAGGCCCTACCGGTACCAGATTAGATGCATGTACAGTGTACAAATCCATACGTACATGTACAGAGTGATTCAGAATGATCTGGACCAAAGTTCACCATTTTTTTGGTGGCAAACAGAGTATATTGAGAAAAAAACGTAGTGTTTCAATAATCATATTACGTCTTCCATTCAATTTTGAATTGTCAAATTAGTGGCTGTGGTGAGAGGTTACGCCATTTTCATTTTCCATTCTACACACGGAAAATTTGATTTTACCTTTTGTAAATGTGTCAATAACTTCAAGTGAGTCAGTCACCATGACTACATGTAGGTTTTTTATTATTAAATATTACACTGCTTCACATCACTACGCAATTTCAATAAATTTGTTGAACAATGGAACCGTGGTCAGAGTGTTTTTAGCGCGTGCTCTTTGCTAACGCTTTTCTTCGAAATGGTACAATACCATAGGCCTACATGAAACTTTCACCAAATATGTCCAAAATACCAGTACCAGAATATCTCATGTGCACTTGTTTTGATAATTGCTGCATATTTTGAATATTTCCTTTAATTTGGGTCCAGATCGTTCTGACTCACTCTGTTGTAAGCTCGAAAAATAGCACACTATGGGGAACTCACACATAAACTAAACACTTTATGGGGATTAACTAACCAAACTAAACTAAACTCGGGATCTTTGAAGGGAACGGTCGTGAGGAACCGAAATAATAGAGACAGGAAACAAAATTCTAGATTTCAAACCCCTAAAAAGATATTAAAACAGGAATTTATTTACAAAAGAAAACGACTGCAATCTAAATCATCCCTAAAAAAAATAAAAATAAATAAAAGCCAAGACAGACCAAAAGTAAAGAGTAAAACCAATGACCAAAGGCCAAAACAAAGCAACCTAAAACCATAAGCTAAAGATGAAGACTGAAGACAAAAAAGAGAACCAAAAAGTGAGACTAAACCAAAATAACCTCAAAGTCAAACCAACAAAAACCAACATTGTGTGAATTCTACTCTTTGACAGAAAGCAAAGACTGGGTAGCAGATGATACACCCAGGGCATGCAGGGCAGGCTAGGCATGGCAGGGTGCACCCAAGAACAAGGTGTTCAAAAGAGAGCAGAAATGTGCAGTACTCTCTTCTCTGCCGCTGGTCTGCTACTGCAAACAAAAATAGTTCTACTTCCGGTTTCCCTACCTTACCTACCCTATATTCTGACAGCCCCTACCCTAATTTTTTTATTGGAAAAATGAGAAAATAACACCCCAAAACCATCAATTTCTACCATTTACCCTTGACTACGAAAAAGCCTCCGTATGATCGTACACACACAAAAATTGCAAAAAAGAAAATTTCACATTTCATCCAGATCAAAGTAAACCTTCCCTCGAAATTATCGATCTCTACTTATATCTCAACTCAGGTGGCGTATTTAGTAATTCTGTGGCCGTTTTGAGGGTGAAATCTGAATTTTTGGGGGCAAATACTCAGAAATAGTTGGTTCGTAAATTAGTTGAAATGCCATGTCTGACATACTCAACTTGACTTGGGCCCAATCGCATCAAATGTTAAAAAGGCGATAAGTTGGGCCCAAATTACTCAGGCTAGGCTAGATCATGATGGTCCACCATTTCTGTTCCTTGCTTATGCTATCTTATTTATGAGCATCATATTCATGATTCATCATTCATGTCTTTAATATCGCACATACTGTTTGACTGAGTGATTTGGCATGGAGGAAGGAATCAGGCAGTGAGCATGGTGAGGGAAGCAGAAGAACATGAAGAAAGGATCAACATCTGTGCCTTTTCTAGTAATCCTTACTTTTAGGACCCCGTTCCTATATAGGAAGGGAAAGACTCGCCAAAACAGTTGACTAAATGACACTCAAAATTGACATTCTGATACTTCGTGGCACATCTGAACAATTGGCAATGACACCTTCTTGACTTCTAAAGACTGCTTTAGCCTGCAAAAGTCACTTTGGTACTGGACAGACATCTGCAAAAGACAGTTTTGAACAGAACTCGTAAAAATAGAGGTGTCCTAAAAGTAAGGATTACCCCTTTTCTCTTCCCACAATTCTTGTTTAGGCCTAAATTAAATATATTCATTCATTTGATTTTGACATTTGATTGTGCATGCATGTTGTGCAAATGCACTCAGTCAAGCAGTTATTTGCGCAGATAATGGCTTAGGAAGTCAAATCAATCACCAACATCAACTTATCAATAATGACAATTATTATTGACAACGTTCTGATCTGTGAACGATCAAAAATTATTGTATTGACTTACCGTGAATTCCAAACTATATGCGTTCAGCTCAAAGAGCTGTCGCACATGAGGCACGCTTCTGCACCGTACCGCCACGTCTCCAAAATAGTGTCTAAAACTAGACTAGGCCCAGTTGTGATTTTGATGCACTACAACATGTACACTGCAGTGTCATGGCATGTCGTGTTCACGATCGATTCATCGCGCGCGATCACACCTCGCTCATTCACTTCCTACTCAAATAGCACCACCAAGCGACTGCAAAATGTATGTTGACCACGAGAGGGCGCTGTCACTCATCAGCGGTGAAGTAGGTCAGTGGCGCGGCGGCCTCGGTGCCGTTCTGGTTTCGTTTGATTGCCTTCTGATCTGCCGGGCTCTGAAGCTAAAATAGATTTGGGAATTTCCTGGAAGTGTAGCTAATGTATAGCTTTAAAAATTCTAGTCAGATAATCACAAGTTTCGAAACCTTTTCATTTTTTGCTTCTGGTTTGTCAAGTCCATTACGATGTTACAGACGGGAAGATTAGGGCTGTGTGTGTGGAGAGATCCAGACCATGGAGCACATCACTGATGCCTGCCCCATCTACAAAATCTCCAAACGGCGTCCCTGGACTCCTGGAGTTGGAATCGGACCTCTACTTAGCCGAGATGTACAGATGGATTTCTTACGAACAAGCGAAACATTTAGCCTAATGTTTTTAATTTTTGTATTCACATTAGACACCAAATGAGTTTATAAATGTTGTTTATGTATAAATAGTACACAATAGAGGCAAGGAAATGAGAGCAAAAGCCCGGGCTGTAATTTCATTTAAGCACACGTTTCATGATGGTTTTGAAATTGGTTCACCCGTGGAACAATTCAAAAACCGTAAACATTACAGCGTAGAACTTTGAAGTTGCATAAGTAATAAACATTCGCAGGAACGTTTGGTTACTTAATGATCATGCATGAATTTCAAAATTACGAAGGAACATTTATCTTTAGAAAAACCCAAACAAAATGACCGAACTGACTGTAATTGAAAAAAAAAACCTAAACATTGCAATTAGCTCATTATAGGCCTACATTCGTTCAATTCAGCACAATGTGTTTAACCTCAGCACAGCACAGCACATTGCTTGACCTCATGACAATTTTGAAGTTTACGCTTCAGATTTTAAAAATCTCAGTTCAGAAAAAAAGAGACTTCCTCTTTAACTATTAGTACAACATAATTACTCCGCATGATCCTACCTTGCACTTTTGTTTTCACATACGATCGGCACATTGTGCTATAATTAGTGGTTTTGTACGCCCCTTCAATGTTCCCAGATTAAAATTCCAATTCAAAAATTAAATCCATTATCTATAAATTCAAATGTACTACATTACAAATAAAAGGAATTTAACATTGTTTATATATATTTACTCAGCGTCTATTGTATGCATATAGCACGTACTGACGTTAACACCAATGTGTGAAAACTTTGCATGTATTACTATTTAATCAAGGAACTTGTGATGAATCACAAATCATCGCATTTCTATCTCAAGGTAACCACAAAACATCATGTATCACAACTCACAAAGCGCTGAAATGACAGTGAGATTTTCTTTTTTGACTGTTCAACAACCTGTTAATTGTGACTGGACTTGTGAATTGACCAGTGATTTACTTGATTCACTAAATACACTCTACTTCGACTACAACACTGCCGTTTGCTATGCTATTAACAATTTTCCCCACTTCGGCAAGATGAGGCTTCTTAGTTCCTCTTCTCCAGCGTCACCCAGATTTCCTCCTTGGGCTTAGTGACCAGGCCGTGGACGGACTCCACCACCTGCCCGGGAACGAGGTTGAACTTGAAAGCGCGGCAGAGGATGGCCAGGGAGGTGGAGACCCCGGCGTAGAAGTAATGCTGCCCGGGGCAGACGCGTTTACCAGCGAAGCCGAAGGGCTTGAAGGCTGCCTGCTGACGTTGCGTGAGCCGCCCCTTGCTGAAGCGCTCCGGATCGAATCTAGTTAGGCCATAATGCTCACAACGTTAGGTCATTTTCACGGATATGCTACTGGTTTAAGAGCTCGTCAACTTTAACCGACCTTACCTGCCTGACCTGCCGCTTTTCATTTCAGTTTAAAAATGGTTGTTGCTTCCAACTTAGGAACAATTGCTGTTGGATCATGCACTCGGACTTTTTAGTAACATTGCATTATTTCGGTATGGCCGGCTACATTCCCTACCTAAAGCGCGATGTTAATTTAACCCCGCTTGGGCCAATGGCTAAAATAATATCATTTCCTATAAATTAAACACAGGGACTGTAACGTGTTACCCTATGTCACTCCGAGGTTAATGTGTGTCCGTAAAATTAACCAGTTCATGATAGTTCTTCCTTCGGCCTGGTCTGGATTAAAAGCCCGCGATGCACGATTAATGTAGATCGAGATTGTTTAGACTTCTCCGTGGATCAAACCTTGATGATTATGTTTTTAATAAAGGAAGTCTTTTTAATCCCCCCCCCCGCCAATTAAAAGCAGATCATTAAAGTCTGCACGGTGTACCTGGTCCCACGGTAGGATTAACATAGAAAGTAGGGGATAGATTTTGCCAAAATGTGGCCGTCAAAACTTAATTTGCATTGACATTCCTATTGTTTTGTCAGTCTCCATTAATGTCTGTATAATATAATTATATCCTCCACTTCTTTCTTCTTCTTCTTATTATTATTTTTTTGAAAATTCTGGTGTATTTTTTTCCTGCCATTATTACTACTATTACTGTAATAGGGCGACAGGTTTTGCGAACTCCGTCCACAATAGGGCGATACACCTTATTGAGGCGACAAAATAACTGTCGCCCTTTTATGAAAACGACCCTTAGGACAAGGAATTTTGATGTCGCTAACCATATAGATCGATTCCTCATGGTCCAATTAGTATAAATACTAAATTTCGTGGAAAAAACATAAGGTGAACTTGGGTTAGGTGACAGTTTAGGTTTGTGCACAAGTCTATGGGAAAGTCACCCTATTGGGGCGAAAAGAGTTATTATTATTATTAGTATTATTTTTTTTGGAAAATTCTGGTGGTTGTTTTTTTCTGTCAGCTTACTTCTTTGGATCCGGCCACAACTCTTCGTCCTGAAGAACCACACCGAGCGCATGGAAAACTGGAGTCTAAATGAAACACAAAATCTTGTGGAGTGAATGATAGAACTTACTGAAAAGACGTTGGTTCTTGATTTTTTTTAAAATCTTTTGAGGGGGGGGGGGGCGGAGGGAGTACTTGTGCATATAACAACATGCAATTTGAAGTTGCCAACAATAAAATATGGAATCGAGTGGTCAGGAAAATATAGCATGAACGAGTGGAAGCTGATCAGAGACAAGCTTAATTTTGTTTTGGTTCCATTTCCTGTATTTTTTTTACTGCTCAAATAGCCGTATATGTTACTGATTATCTTCGTATTCTCTTCGTATACGAAGAGAATACGAAGATAATATATATATAAAGATTAGAAACGTACCCTAGGAGGGATGACGTAGCCTCCAAGCTCCGATTCGTTGTCATCAAAACGTGCTGCGTATGGAGCAACCACAGACACGCGGAGACTCTCGTCAAGCACATGACGGAGATAACTGGGGGAGAAGATAATTATATAGGCTCAAGTTTTATAACACAATTTGTGTTAGTGAAAAAGACTCAAAATACTTCCCCTAAGACAATGATTAATCAATTAATGAGTGCAGCGCTGCCGTATGAGCAATTCTTCGTCTTAAGACATATACGTACTTGAGCTTTTCGAGATGTGAGCTCTCGACTTCGTCGCAACCGACAATCTCCTTGATTTCCCGGTGCAGTTTGTCCTGGCACTCCTGGTGTTTAGCCAGGAAATACAAGGCCCAGGCCATAACTGTAAAATAGAGCGAGCACAAAAAGTCTATTCACCGCAACACAAAACAGTGAATAGTCTACATATATAATGTGATTTATCTTTTATTCGGCAAGGATTAAACATTCGGCAAGGACGTCAGGTTGGCGTAGCGGTACTTTCCTCGCCTTCCACCGCTGTGACCCGGGTTTGACTCCTGCCTTGGCCAATATGTGGATTGGGTTTTCAGTCCCTGCCTGATTCCGGTCAGGCATTTGGGTTTTCCTCAGAATATTCCTCTGGGCTTTTCCTCCCACCTCTAAAACTGTATTTTTTTCTCATTGTCTTCTCTCTACAGGTTTTCGAGCTGCAGTGCCTAGGGTACTTTTTAGGAATCCTTGGTTTCATTACTAGAAAGAAATAAAATAAAAATAAACGCTTCTGCATCGAAATAGCGAACACATTTTTAAACAAATGCGCTTTTCCAATTACCAAAGTAATTCTAAATTTAGTAAAAGCAAGCATATAGTGCTTCGAAGGTAAACAACATTAAAAATTTACTATAAAAAAAACTATTGTGTTATAGTTACAATCTGTAAATAGATATACGTACGGTATCCGGAGGTGTGGAATCCTGCCACCATGAAGGTGATGCAATCGTCTCGTACCTGATCTTCAGGCAGCTCATTCTCAATCAGAACATCAATGAACACCTGGTGCCCGACTGTTGGATTAGCTCTACGTTGCTTCACCACCTCACGAACAGTATCGTGCATGTAAGCCACAGCTACGTTATACGAGGATTGAAGTGGTGTTGGCGGTGTTTTTAAACTTCAGGTTTAAATGACTAAGCTGTTGATTCAGTGGTTAATTGGCAATGGAATCTCCAACCGTTACGTATTTTTCTGAACATTCTTGCAAAATCTTGTATTTAGGATGTTATGCTCTTTCATTTATACATCTACATTGTACTGACAAGAGTTATATTCTAGAGGCGCGCAATCTAAAACTTGGTAGTTAGCACGTTTGGGAGGCAAGTGATCTTAAGCTAACCTTCTTTGAATTTCTTGTCTCTGTCGCTGCTTTCAGCCGGCGGCCCTTCAGTCAGCCTGGCTTCCATGTCATCCCAACACTAAAATCCAACACACGAATTATGCTATCAAAAGGAAAACTATAAAGATCACCCCTAACCATAACCCCTTTTGCCCTCTTGGCTAAAACCCATCCTCAACCCTGCAAAATCCTCCAATTGCCACCATGAAAAATGACGCAGCCCCAATCCTCCAAAATCATCCGTTACTTCCTGAATTTGTTCCGCGGAGGGGTGATCATTGCCGCAATTCTTCAAAATCCTTAAATGCTCACTGCGGGTTGAGGCAGTGCCGATGACATAGAAGCAGTGCGGATGATATCGAGCACAATTACAGAGCTCACTACATGGTGTAATGCATATTCTTGGAGATCCGTAGCTCATTCGTGGTCGAAATCTCTACGAATTCGATACGAATGTCCTACGGATATGCTTGGGGTTCTGCTAACGAAGATGTATGTTTTATTTGTAGGAGAACCTTGGTCATCCGTTGCCCAATCGCAGACAACAGTGGCATTAACATCATTATTCTTAGTAATACCGTCGATATTCTTCATCAATCCGTACATATTCTTGTCAAACCGTGGTGTATTCGTATAAAGAAACCATAGGACAGTCGTGGCTTTCCATCCTGAAACCGTAGGTCTTTTAGAAAGTCAAATTCCGCTCCACGAATCTGGACGGTTCATCGTGATCGATTGATTTGTGGTATACATGGCGGGCGGGGCTCACTCACGCTCGAGAGAAAAGACCAACTCACCGTTTCATAAGCGTGGCGAAACTTGGTGATGTTAGCGTCGTCCCGGAAATAGTCTCCGAACGACGTTTGCATAAGACCCTTGATGGCGACGGCATTGCAGTGCTTGATCACCGGGAGATGCTCGTCCCCTGGCAAAGATGCAAGCTGTCGCACGAGATCATTGGCTGACTGAAATGCGAGGAATGAAATGCGAATGGACTTTAGGATTGAAGTTCGACCCCCCTTGTAATGATTTTGTTGGTATGTCCTAGCTATTTGTTAAGGCTTGTAATGCTAATAGACCTGAGTCATAATGACGTCATGCTTGCTTTGTTTAAATGTGCGCTGTCCTAACTGGGAAGGATTCCTAAGGAAAGCACAAGTACACGAAGTTCGACGTCATACATGTCTCAGGACTATTGGCCAATCAGGCCACGCTATCATTTATATTACGACGGCCCTTCCAAAGGCAAACTGTGTGTGATAGATCTTGTTCAACTACTGCGTCACGGACAACTGGCACATAAAGCGATCTGATACACCGTGCCCCCTGGAGACATGCACACAATAGGGAACAAAAGATATCTCCACAAGGTTTTCAAGAAATAGATATATGGATTTTACTAAACTAGGAATTTCCAAGGTGGGTTGATTTGTCGCAAATGGAAGAGTTTTAAAAATGGGATATTAAGTCCAAATTTCAGCCAAGGAAATTAATTCTGGTTAAAATAAGAGCATTTTGAAGCTACAATTTCAAACTCGAAAACTTTACTACACGAGAACAAAGAAATGTCTCCACAAGGATACAAAATTCAGTATTAACGAGCACAACGTTTTATCCGTTGAAGGGGCATCGTGATGTAGTACTCATTAGCTCGGATTCGTTATAGGCTTGATCGAGGCCCTGACATGCAAGTCCCGCAGGATGAGTTTGTAATACCAATACTGTGTCTACCATATTACAACGTTGTACTAAGGCAATACCTCATTGAAAGCCTCGTAGAAATACTTCAGAATCTCGTGGCCAAAAGGCTTATCGTAGATATGGCGCCTCCCCTTGCCGTCGGCCTTGTTTGCAAACTGAATGGAGTTGGCGGCCAGAGGCGCGAATAATTCGAAGAGTTCGGCTAAATGAACAAAAGGAATTCAGAAATTGAAACAGACCTCACATCTAAATCACGTAGGTTATATACAATGTCTTGATGGAGGAATATGAAAATAATATCCTCGTCGAAGGTTTCATGGAAGTCATTGTAGAACATCGGATCTTTTCCTTTTCAGTCCTCACCACTGGGGCCCTTATTTTTTTTGTTTACAAGTTACGAATATTTTGTCTCAGAAGAAGATCTTCGGAGTACTCCATGTAAACTAATCAAGCGTCACGAGTTAACTTACGAGGGCGATCGAAGAGGACAATGTGCTCCTTGAAGAGTTCCGGTGAGGCGATGCTGACGGTGTACCTAGTTCCATACCACAATGAGGCAATCGGTCCGTATTTCTTGTGAAGATTCGCCAGGAAAGGGTGTATGCCACCCGCAGCCGCAATATCTGGCAAATTGCCTTCTCTATGAATTAGTGGAGAAAATATAAGACGACTCAGGTTGCACTGAAGTACGATGTTCATCATTGAACTATGATCTTCATCGATCAAATACAGCGCAACTTAGCTCAGCGCGCAATCTGATTCGTAATTCTCACTAAATGGTGATGTGCTTGTGATTTTTGTATTTTGTTATGCACAACGTTGGGTGATATTTTTTAGTAAAAGGAAGTTGAGGTGCAACACATGCCGGTATTCCCCCTTTCACTTGATGTCCCACCCCATTACCCAGACTTCATAGGAGTCCACATACATTGTACCTTTTATCAGTTAAAACCATGCCAGGGACAGATGTTTTCTTCGATGATTCCTGAAAGAAAAAAAATAAATATGTGAATTTACCTCAAATAATTTTGGGTTATAACCCCTAAAATTTTGGGGTCAATGACCAAATATCACAGAATACGTATGTTGAGCACATTTTTGTATGGCAAGAAATGCATACCGTAGAGAGTATTGTGTAGCTAGGGGTGGTAATGGTTGACCAAAGCTAATTCTGAACATGGCAATCTTTAAACCATTACTTCTTGCTTATGCAGGGCGAGTAAAAAAAAAAACCCGAAACCCAAATGTCGGGACTATTGTTTTATTAAAGTTCTGCGTGTAGCACTTTCAAAATCTAGGACTGTACATGAAAGCCCAATTCAAAAGCTTTCGTTTGGTACAAGAATCATTCAAATCGCTCACCGTCCTTATCAAGTTACGGAATTTAGGCACAACCATCGTTTTAAAACTTCTGTCCAGGGAGCACAAAAAGGTGTGCGTTCTTTCAGCAAAACGAAAGCAATTCACACACATCCTTATGTGATTTGTTTTCGTTTTGCTGAAAGAACACTGATCCGTGGACAGAACCTTAAAACGGTGGTTGTGTTTAAAATTCCGTAACTTCAAAAATACATGAGTGATTTGAATGATTCTTGTACTAAAAGAAAGCTAAGTGAATGGGGCTTTCATATCCTACTTCCAAGATTTTGAAAGTGCTACATGCAGAACTTCACTAAAACAATGGTCCCAACATTCGGGTTTCGCTTTTTTTCACTCACTCTGTATTGTGATGTTATGGCGCGTCATGAGCATCAAGTGGTCTCCCAAACCCGCGTTTGTAACCGATGATGAGACATTAACAGAGAAATCGGGTGGCAAATTTGTTAAAAACTTACCCCGCCATACAAATAAATGACAGCAACCAAGACCAGCACAATCGTCACAGCGAGTAGGGCAAGGCTTATCATTTTGGTGTCTGTTCGGGGCAGGTGGTACGTCGATCAACTCCACTGGCAAAATTCAAGAACTTGGCATCTGTTATTATGTACGTACAACAACACCGAATACTGAGCATCAAATATCGGTACATCATTCACAGATGTACAAAAACGCCACGTACCTTGTAATTAAGTTCCGGCCCTTTTAGCTTTTTGCCAAACACTACGTACATCAACGTTGCTTTATATATACTGATTCCCATTTAAAACAAACAAATTAAATAAAAGAATAAACAACGCTATCAGGCTTCAGTTTGTACAGGGTCATAATAATTATTATAGGCTATGCCAATTAATTAAAGGACATGCATGGCCAATACGGTGAATAAGTTAACAAGGTGCATCATTATTGCCCCAAATATGCGTATATACTCTTTATTTAGGCCTACTACACAAGATCAGGGGCAGGGGCAGGGGCAGGGGCAGGGCGGGAGCAGGTCGTTTTTGACGTGAATTCTGCCAGGTTGCAGGCGCTACATAGCAGTACATTGTGAAATACAATCATGTACACAATACCCCAAAGCCACCTTAAAGCTATAGTCCATCACTGATTTGCAGCCATCCGAAAAAGTAACTGGCGTATTATTGTTGAAAAACATACTTGGTTGAAAGATAGTAAGTGGACTAAACTCCCTGTGAAATTAATCTTTCTGGCAAGCTATTATTTGAAGTAATCAACGAAAGAAGGCCTTTCCATCGGTGCGTCTTAAGACGCACCGTAGGAACATTTAAATTAGTAGTTCGTTTTGTTATTCGGCGCAGTGCGCGCAAGCATTGGCACGACGCACAGGCGCGCGCGGTTGCTATAATTCGTCGGATCAGTGCGCAACATCGCGTATAGCTGCAATTCAAAACAATTCAAAACATGATTCAGCAACTTTTGATTTGAAATTGAGATCCTAGAATGCTGTTTCTCTCGGAATATACAGCTGAAGCTGAGCTGAAACTTCATCAGGTTAGTTGTTCAGTATCCTTCATTAGATTTTGAACACTTGTTGCTTCAAACGAACAAAATGCACAAATTACAAATGATGGACTATATCTTTAAGTTCCTGCAGATCGGATATACATTATTGTATTATAAAATTATTCCTAATAATAATTTTACGACTTCGTAGAAATGCTGGGAAACACGCTGAACCGATGGTCTCTAAAGGCTAGCCCCACTAGTGTGGCCGTCGGTATGCTGCGCTGTAGCCCCACTAGTGTGGCCGTCGGTATGCTGCGCTGAACCTTTGAGGTTCAGCGCAGCATACCGACGGCCACACTAGTGGGGCTATCTAAAGGCATACTTTACCTATCTAGATTGTCCGGCCTGTCCAGCTCGTTGAAAAGAGTTGACTGAGCAGCAACAGCTGTAACTGTTGGCCTAAGTATATTGCTCACTGATATGATATAAATGCAGACTGTACACTTGTTGTGACATCCACCATGCGGAACGAGTTACACGACCCTTGTCCTACAGGCGATATTTTTTTTTTTACACAACTATCTGGGGTACTTTGTGCGCTTTCCTATGGGGCTTGGTTTTTATAACCAGGCTTGAGTGGAGGCTACTATTTTTCAACTTGGTACAGATTTCGGACTTTATTTCCCTTTTTAAAAAAATCCTCCAGAGCCTCAGATCAGGAAAAGAAGAAGGAAATTGCTGCTATACAAGTAGTATCCGACTGAAAATTTTTTTTTTTAAGATACAACTTTAAATTGTTGAAAAAAAAAGAGCAAAATCTTTGTGGGCAGCGCGAGGAATCGAACTCGAGACCTCCGATCATTAGCAAGCATGCCTAAACCACTAGGCAACGGCGGTGCTCGAAAAAGCCCTGCAATTTATAAATTATATACTTTCACACATGTGGAGAGAGTATACGCGCGCGCGCGCGTAGTAAAAGGTTACATAATTGTAGGGCGCCGCTACGCGGCGCTCTACAATCCTATAACCGTGATTCAAGTCGCCTGAAAAATGGGTACCCTGTACTATTGTGTAAATAAAATATTCGCGTCCTACAGGCCTGCATGGCTTCTGTACGGAAGCGTAAAAGGGACACGTACAAACTAACAAAAAAGAAATGTCATAATTATATTTTATCTCATAATTATGACGTATTATTAAGTCATTGCAATGACTTATATCTAGTAATAATGACTTAGTATTAAGTCATAATTATGACTTGTATCTCATAATTACTTAGTAATTGCTAAATCATAAATATGAAAATATCTCATAATTATGACTTATTACTAAGTCAATTTATGACTTATATGTTGTAATAATGACTTAGTATTAAGCCATAATTATGAGATATCATAAGTCGTAATTACGACTTGATACTAAGTCGTAATTATAGGATATGTCATAATTTTGACTTATAAATAAGTCATTATTATAAGACATAAATCATAACTATACAAAAAATGTCATAAATATGAGATATGTCTTAATTATGATGTAACAATTACTAAGTCGTTATTATGAGATACATATAATAATTATGACTTAATACTAACTCATTTTAAGATGTCATAATAAAACTATGACTGAATAATAATGCATATTATTATGACTTTCATTTTGTTTTTTTAGTTGGTATTATGTCCCTTAAACGCTTCCGTACTACTGACATGTCACATATCAATAGTTATTTATAGAGGCAGGACATTTTTGCACACGCTTTGTGTATGTATACGCTGTTCGGAATGGTTTAACAATTATACTTTATAGACTTGATTCAGGTCTGACTACATTCGAGGGCATGACTACATTTTTTTGTGTGGCTTGTCGGGGGGGGGGGGGGGGGTCCCCCTCGCGACGCCCATGGCTGGACAACTTGAGGCAAAGACACAGTGATACCGATTCACTGAGTATAATCAAAATGCGGGTTTTATTTAATTTAAAGCACAAAACTACAATGACCCGTTTCACAGGCCAAACAGACAATTTGCAACAGGGAAACCACACAGTTTTCTGTATTATTTTGCTAACGTTTAGTACCACCAAATTTAACCAAAAAATACAGAGCAATATCAAAATACAGGAGTGGACAAAAATGTATAGATGTAAGATAGACGTGTTCCTCCATTAAAACCTATATTTAAATATTCTCTTTGAGTCGTATACATTAAACTCACGATCTTAAAATTTCACAAATTCCAATTTATGGAGTTGCTCACGATCGCCACCACGTAGGCCCATCACCTCAAAAAGACAATCATATATGCCAACTTCGTCGAACTGCATCCAACCGACTACACCTATTTCTGTTAAATTTTACATTTTTTTTTTAATATAAAAAAGGCAAGAAGAAATCCATAATTGTATAGAAAGTCGGCCAGGCCTGCATTATGTCGAGTATGCAGTGTATACAAGTACAAAAAACCGGTAGTAGCCTAGGTAATAGAATTACTCGTAAGGCATTCCCAAAGGAGTACCTAAGTGTGACGTCATTTAGAACCAGAAGATGTAGTGCAAACGAATGGAGTACGCGCGCGTGTTGGTTCTTGGCATAGGGCATCCGGTTCGTTAGTAAACACGTCATACACGCGCGCACGCCACTGATTACTAGCGCCCATTGGCTGCAAACGCTCGAACTGCGTTAACATCCGGTTCAAATCGTGCAGAAAGTGCTGGAGGTGACGTCACACTAACGAACCGGATAGGGCTGAATCACGCGCTGTTTTTTACACACATTTTGTGCGTGTGACGTATTCACTTCGGTACTCCATAGTGCTGTACCAAATAAACATAAGAAAATAAGAAAAACATATTACAAATCAGGCTCTAACCCCGCTCCAATCAATGTTGTTTGTTCAACTTTCAAATTCAAATTAAAATTGTTGGGAACTGAATAATAGAATAGTAACAAAGTAACAAATGGATCATACTTTTCCAAACATTTGCCTGCTTCCTGTTTTGAAAACCAGAACTCTTTCGACACAGCCTTGTTGTACCTTAAAAAGCAACGGTGAGTATAATCAGTAACTACATGATTTAAACTCCTCCTTACCAAAGAAAATTAGAATACTGGAAAAAGTATGAGCAATTTCTGCTCATCACACTATTTACGTCCAAGCAAAATGCAACTCGTTTAGGGCAAGTTGCTCTTTGACCTTGCTCCTCTTTATTCTTGGTCGGTAATAAGTAACTGCTTCATTAAAGCTTGACAAATGCCTAGTGATAAATTTTTATTTAACTGAAAATACTGCTGGGAAAGAGGCAAGTAAGTGCTGCTTACCACATTTTGCTTGACTTCCATGCAGGTTTGCCACTCTTGGAGCATGGAGTCTCCTTGATCTCGATCCTACTTGTCATTAATAATATGTAACTGCTTCAATACAATAGGCTACCCCTTTCCGTGCCCTCAAAAAATCTTGAATTCGTGCTTATTAAACTTCAGACGAATGCCGATTAATTTCGAGTAATTTCAGACCACATTTTGCCAGCCTCCCGAGCAGCTATGCATCTAGAGGGGGCACATCTCACCGATCTAGGTCCACTTTGTTCTACGTTGGTAACAAATACGTAACTGCTTCAATTACTGCTTCAATGGTTTCTACATAGGGTGCCGCTGTTCACATACATGTACATGAGCAACACATTAAAATACAGTTAATACGAGACCCCCAAAATTGTGTATGTTCTTTGTTATCTAAAAATGTACAGTAGCCACCGAGATAAAGCAGGTTATTTGTCATGCTTTATATCATGCTTAAAAACATATAATGACCAAAAGGAAACGACCCTTCAAAAACACCGAACTCATATTATTTAACTATGCACCCTAATTGCTTATACATGTATTATAATGCGCCAAAAGCAAACGACCCTTTAAACCACTCAACTCATATTTATTGAAATGGAGAGCATAGCAGAAGACAATCTGAGTACTTTCTGATAGCCTCTCGTGCTAGCCTCATGTTGCTATCCTCCCAAGCAGGTATCTCTAAGCGAGGACACAGCTCATTGGCCTTTTTAAATGTAAAGTAGCCACTGAGATAAAACAGGTTAGTTGTTACGCATCTTACTTACTTATAATGTAAAGCCCAGAAAGCGAACCCACTCTGTTTAATTAAATGAAGGGGACTGCTGAAAACAATCTGAGTAATTTCTGCGAACCAAATGTTGCTATCCTCCTATTAGGTATGCATCTCTAAGAGAGGGCACGGCTCACTGGCCTAGGACCTCTTCTCTAGCGTCACCCAGATTTCATCCTTGGGTGAGGTGACCAAGGCATGCTTTGGCTCCACCACCTGCCCGGGTACAAGGTTGAACTTGAAGGCGCGGCAGAGGATGGCCAGGAAGACGGTCACCTCAGCGTAGGAGAAGTGCTGCCCGGGGCAGACGCGCTTGCCGGCAAAGCCGAACGGCTTGAAGGCGGCCTGGTGGCGTGGAGTGAACCTCTTCTCACTGAAGCGCTCCGGGTCAAATCTGATGAGAAGTTAGATCGACAAAAGTTCATTAGTGCATTCCAGTGTTGAAGTCAAGCCTACTGTTCAGTCATTACAAGTCTTCACGTCACCATCACAAGCCCATCAAAAGTACGGGCATCAACAAAATCTTTATCATGTCAGCAAAATCATATGCCGGAATGTTTAGCGCCACCTGTATTACCCAACGGGCTCCGTGCGCCAACGTATGCACTGCAGCCCTACAGGCTGGAATCGAACCCACAAGATCTTACGGTTAGCAACTTGCGTGATTTCAAGTCTTTTAACTATTTTTTACATTAATTTTTTCCCCTGTACTATGAGTTCATTCCAACCACACCTGTCTAATTAGTCAATGAAAACTCACTTATCTGGTTCAGGCCAAAGTTCTTCATCCTGAAGCATAACACCAAGAGCGTGGATAACTGGAGTCTGAAAAAGTCACACACGAGTCAAATGGCCTTAAAGTTATTTCTTAAGAAAAGGCAAAGGTACGAGATACAATTTGGTAGGTATTACTCGTAATCAAAACTGTATAAAAGCCAAAATGATATGACAAAGGTTCACAGATAAATGCCAATATTGTGGCACTCTAAAAGCTGTAAGTCCAAATCAAGCGTTAGTTGATATTCCTTGTTTGTTTACAACGGTCACATTGTTGTCAAATTACTGACTGGTGAATAAGTAAAAGTATGCCTTCAGCAATTAAAATGCAAAACATGCACTGATTTCCATTTGTGTCAAGTGCCAAGGCTCATCAGGTGCCAAAGCAAAAGTGCCAAAGCTCAGGTGCTGAAGCTAAAGAGCCAAATCTCAGGTGCTGAAGCTAAAGAGCCAAAGCTCAGGTGCCAAAGTTAAAGTGCCAAAGTTAAAGTGCCAAAGCTCAGGTGCCAAAGCTAAAGTGCCAAAGCTCAGGTGCCAAAGCTCAGGTGCCAAAGCTAAAGTGCCAAAGCTCAGGTGCCAAAGCTAACACGCCTTCTTCCCATAATGCAAATTCAGTTACAAATTGGCTGCATACACTTGATTACAGGCAATTAGTCCAACTGCAGAACAAAATGAGTCCGAAGGTCTTTCAAGAAATTATCTACATGCATGTGACTACATTTAAGTTGCAGTGCCATCTTTAGCTGCCTACTTACCCCTGGTGGAATTACGTGACCCCCGAGTTGCGATTCGTTGTCCTGAAAACGGGCTGCATATGGAGCAAGGACAGACACGCGCAGACTCTCTTCCAGCACTTGACGCAGGTATCTATGACAACCAACAACCAAATATTAATGGCAGACAACCTGATGCAAATAAGAGATGCGTGCATGTACAGTAGTACTTTGATCATGTTGATCAAACATATAAGGGCCAACGAAGGTGCTGTTACTTGAAACTTCTTAAAGATAATGGAATCAGATTAGAATTACTTCAATGAACTTGATCAATTGCAACCTTGTATCATACTACAAATGGAACAGACTGTCGAAAGAGAGTTGCTTGGAGTTATAGCTTTAAGAGACCACTTTCCGGTTTTACACACTTACAAGTGTTTGCTTATTTGCATAATCTCAGAATTACTGTACGTTCATGTTATAAGCCGACTGTTCACTTCGGGAGTTTATCCCAGTGCCTTGTCGGACTGTACATTGTATATGCCTGGCTACTCCACAAAAATGTGGCTACTCCAAAAACAAATGTCTTTGAGTACAGTACAGCAAAGTCCTCCAAAACATTTGCAGGGTACAGCTTCATGTATCTACATGTATATCACTATACATGGATTTCATCATTTGTGAGCATTTCCGAGATGTAAGGACTTAATAGCCACCGCTGTACAAATTGAGATGCAATCAAGGTAACAACAATTTGATGAACATCATCGATATGTTTAAAAAATACATTTCCAGAACTTACGGGAGACTCTTGAGATCTGAACTCTCCACTTCATTTTTGCCAACACTTTCCATGACTTCCTTGTACACTTTCTCCTGGCATTCCTGATGGGTCGCCAGAAAGTACAAAGTCCATGCCAACACTGCGTAAAGACATGGAGAGCCCACAGTGTCAGTTATGATTCATTTCTGTCGTCCAATAAACCGTCCCATAAACGGTAGATCATTGCGAATGATTCCTCGTTAGGGGTAAGGTAAAGGTCCCATAGCCATTACTGGCCATAAGGGCAGTGGGATGGTAGAGGTCCACTGTGTCTTGGGCGCGGCATATGAGTGGTGGGGCCCAGTCCTCTCCTCTCGCCGTCTTACCTTCCCTGAACGAATCGGGTACCAATTTTACTGTTGGGTCGTCAGAGAGAGTTTTCAAGTTTTTGGTCCGATTGGGATTCGAACCACCAACCTTGCACTCTGTAGCTCCACGCTCTAACCGCTTGGCTACGAGGCCCCACTTATTAATTAAGGGATACTTAGAGCAGTGCTAGTCGGAAAATCTAATGTACGTACATGTAGGTCCACCTCAAAAATATTTTAAGGATTGAGATAAATTGGCAAAAATATTGGCCATTTTCAAGTATTTTCAAACGAGGTAATCAGTGGCTCCGAGGAAAAGTTGCATGCCTGATTACAGTCACATGGTTTTTAGGGCTTTTGTCTGCAAAAATTCCAACCAAGTTTTAAATCACAAAACACTCACGGTATCCGGATGTGTGGAATCCGCCCACCATGAAGCTGATGCAGTCGTCTAGTACCTGATCCTCAGGCAGCTCATTCTCAATCAGCACGTCAATGAACACCTGGTGCCCGACTGTCGGATTTTCTTTGCGTTGCTTGATCACATCTCGGACAGAATTGTGAAGGTACCCCAAAGCTGCATCAGGAGTTGGAAGTATACATGTATACGGTTCAGTACATCCCCTATACATACGCACAAGTACCCCCTTAATTAGCCCTAACCTCTTTTTGCTAAGAACCATCCTCAATCCTCCAAAATCCGGCACTTCTGTTCAAATGAAGGATACCCAGTGCCTCAATCCTTCAAAATCGTCAGACATTCCTGCCTCTCAAACAAGCCAATTTGAACAAGTTTAACATCTCAACTTTTCACTGCAAAACTTTTCTAACCCTAACCCTGCTGAACCCAACATGATCCAACTACGTCAAATACCCGATGGAGCCTGTTGGATTGAGCAGTTAACCCCTTGTGTACATTCCTGATGCAAAATGTTGGATTCAGCAGGCAACTGAACCACATTAAAACGCATTGTTGGACTCCGTTGGAGTCAGCAGACAACTGAAAATGAGGCACAGTGGATTGTACAGGAAAGTCCGGTTGGACTCTGTTGGATTTAGCAGGGTAGTCCTGAGGAAGTACTAGGGGGTTAGGGTTGTACAAATCGCTTCGCATTTGTTTGTGCATGAAGATGGTTTTTAACCCTTTTCCTGCAAATTATTTCATGTCCTTACTGAGGCTCTGTCAGACACATGTGTTTGACAGACAAAACCCATTACAAGTACTTAGTGAGACCGTTAGAAGAGCAGAATTCATGCAGCAAACAGCAAAAGTTTTAATCAAAATTTACCTTCTTTAAACTTCTTGTGTCTCTCAGTGCCCTCCTCTGGCAGACCTTCCGTTAGACTGGCTTCCATCTCATTCCAGCACTGAAACAAATTTAACAAAAACCAGAAGGTTCAGTAAATTCCCACGACTTCCCCTCTAACCCTGATTGTGGTTAATACATATACTCAGGAAAACAGTAAAACAATTTTGTGGCCTCAAGGTGTAATTCACAAGATTTTCATACTCGGGAAGTATCCTAAATACGAACACATTTCAAATACAGCAAATTTCTCTTGGAACGTATTTTGACTTGAGCTGGTCCTGATAGTTGTCTAGACTATTCAAACCAATATTGTACAGCATGTCTCCAAGCTTTCTATCTGAGAGAGTGTGATCCCGTTTGAAGCAAGGAGGTGGGTTGGGGGGGGTCGGACATAATTTGATGCTTTGGACCGCATTTTATACCCACCTTCCCTATTAACTGTTCCTGCAAGTCAGCCGAAACAGCTTTGTTTTCGTTAAGATTGTTTTTGTTAATTTTTTTTCTTTTTCAGACTCCTTCCATGGGCTTTGTATAATACGCTTTTCTTCTACCATGCCACTTGTGCACTTTTACCAATCTGATCGACTTAATACTTGGCATAATGGATAATAACAAAACTGGCTTTACATTGGGAGGTTTGGGAGAACCATCTAAAAAACAGGCTTTTCTCCAATGGAATTTAGTTAAACTCTGCAGAAACATAAACATGTACTCACAATTTCATAAGAGTGGCGGAACTTGAGAATGTTGGCATCATCCTTAAAGTAATCCCCAAAGGATGTCTGCGTGAGGCCCTTGATGACGATGGCATGACAATACTGGATCAGTGGCAGATGCTCATCTTTAGGCACGGAAGACAGCTTCTTCACAAGCTCATTGGCTACCTGGAATGTGAAAAGTATGCCTACCGGTGTTTCTATGTTTGGTAAAAAATGGATCAAATCTGCAGTGACCCAAATCTGCTGCTTCAATCAAACTTTGTGAGTACCTACATGTATGTAGCACCATACATGTAGGCCCACGCATGTTCATGTGCACACGATATGTATCTCGATACCGACTGAAGTTCTAAAATTAAAAGTGCAATTAACTATTTGTGCACAGAATCTTGAAAATATACAGAGTATACATCCTGCAGGCATAAAGAGTACATAGAGTATGTAAACATTCAGAGAATGTACAGGGTGTACAAACTGCACTTTATGAGGACAGATATAGTGTACAGGGAGTAAATTTCTCCATGTACATTGTGTGCACACGGAGAAAACAATTTTCTTTTCGAGGTCAATAATCACTAGTTGCCATCAGCTCGATTCTAGGATAAAATACTTCATTATTCATACCTCATTGAAAGTCTCATAGAAATACTTCACACTGTCATGCCCAAAAGGGACGTCGTAGATGTTGCGCCTCCTCTTGCCGTCGGCCTTGTTTGCAAACTGAATAGAATTCTTGCCAATCAAGGGCTCAAACAGAGCAAAAAGCTCAGCTGTTTGGAGGAAAAAACAAAAGGAGGATTAATCAACATTTAACACTGCAAATTTCACAGCCTAACTTTATTATAAACTACATTTGCAGCTATCGCACACTGAAGTCTTCGATTTAGCCAAAACCCGTTTTTAACAAAAAAAAGTCTGCGCAGACACGGCTTAAAAGGTTGTATTAACTTACGAGGGCGATCAAATGGCCCAGTGTGCTCCCTAAAGAGCTCTGGCGAGGCGATGCTGACGGTGTACTTTGGCCCAAACCAGAAGGAAGCAATTGGTCCAAACTTTTCGTGGAGGTACATGAGGAACTCATGCAAGCTTCCTGCAGCTCCAATGTCCGGGAAATTGCCTTCCCTGTTCAAAAAATAACACAAAAAATCATACTTAATTTCATGTTAATGGCCCTCCCTTAGCAGTCCAACGGTATTCCTTTATATCTGAACAATTCACTCTGTACGTCTATCCCTTGTTACATGTATGTCACACTTTCCAATTCACTCCAACTTTTCGAATTTTCACTGTTATCATGGTTATAGTATGATCAGAGGGCACTGGCAATGCCACCGAGTACACAGACCAAAGTATAGGAGTCTGTAGTGAGGTTCCAATTAAGGCCCTCCAAATCCCTCCAAATCAGTATCATTACTGACCGGCTTATAGCACTTCAATGACGTTGTTTTTGTTTAAGCTCCTTAATTCACTTGGCTGGTGAGTCAAGCATCTTTCAATACACTGTAGCTGAAGTTGGCACATCCAATTGATGGCAGAGTCTCTTCTCTACCATGTGAAAAAAATATGGTTAAATTTGGTTTTGCATTATTGGCCATATACCCAAGTGCTAGGTACACTTTGCTGAAAGGCAGACTTTTGGCCAAATTTTATTCACCTGAACTTCCTATGTCCTATTTGCTAGGAATCATCCTCATCCTGCAAAATTCTCCAACTGGTACCAAGTCAAAACAATAAAATAAATAAAGGATTTTGCCTCAATCCTCGTTGCTTCTTGAATTTGTTATTGGCGAGACTACTGCCTCAATCCTTCAAAATCCTCCAACTACTGTTGAGGCAGTGCCAATGACACCAAGGAGCAGTGCGGATATGGCTGAGCATAAAACAAGGCAAAATACAGCCTATGACCTTGAACTGATCGACACATAGTTTGCCATTCTTCCCCAATCCTCTGAATCCACCAAAAATGCCCGACTCATTTTGGAGGATGCAGGATGATAAGGGTTAATCTTCACTACCCCTTAAATTTCCCCATATCTCTTCCAAGAATACCACCTTCCAAGATACCCTTCCAAGATGTTGTTTACTGGTACGTACATTGGATCTGAGGGGTCCATGCCAGGGATGGTGCTCTTCTTAGCTGATCCCTGAAAGAAACCAGTGCAGATCGATGATTAAAACCAAAATTGAGCCAGCTCACACGATGTTCGTCTGAAATCCCTTTCTCATGTTTGTTTTGGGACAAAATGTCTCAAGCTCATGCACTCTGTGCACAAGCACCCCCTCAGCAAGTCTTACAAAGGGAAAGTTAGGGAAGACTACCGAAGAGGACAGTCGAACGATGATCTATGACACTTAATGCTCATGCAAAGACACCGATGGATGTGTCATGCTTACTTTGCACCATCCATGAATGAGCCAGTACACACAGACAGTGTGTCTCTCCCACTTGGCAATAGATCCCTCTCATATGACGTCACTTCCTACAGATTGTCACATGCGTTGGCATTTTGGTCGTCAAATTTTCGTGAGGTGCTATCAGCTGCACCGTTCTTGCGAGCAACATGCACGCGTGTTCAGAACAGGCTGCACACTGCGCGATTACTGATTGGCGTTGAACACGCAGTTGTAATTTTCCTAGGAAGATGGCTGTCTATGAGAGGGGTCTGATTAGTCAGTCATCTAATTCCCTTACCGGATATAGGTAAACGACGGCGATGATCAGCGCCACCACAAACGTCACGGCAAAGATGGCAAAGGCAAGCATGCTGAGCAACTTGGATCCTGATGTCAACACCAAAGGAAAATTACATGAGATGGCGACATTTCTAAGTTTTTTTTTCCCCAACCCCCCCAAAATAAGAATATTCCTTTTTTGTTTTTATTATTTTACATGTGTTAACATGTCTCAAACATTTTATTGCAGAGTATACATTTTCTTTTTCAGATTTGTGGCTCTGGATTGTTTTTAAAGGGAAATAAATTATAAAGTCCGAAATTGTAAAATGGTCTGATTCCCATGTTGTGAATACGAAGTTACAACAATATTATGTTGGCACACACAAAAAACAAGTACAAAAAAAACCAGTAACTGCGCATGATTATTTTTTGGGTTGCAGATATAGGCCCCTAATCTGTGAAAATTCAACCACTAGCACTACAGCACAGATCTATTCTAGACATCAAACAGCGATCATTCAATAACCTTTCTGGCTGTGAAGATGATCTGATGGGCACTTCCTGAAACTCTTATGTCGACACTCCCCAACACGAAAGCTACAGTACTAGTGCGCACACGTCTCACACGACACTAGCACATGCACTGTCGGACTAGCTATATATAGGCTAGGCGGCCCGGGAAGCTAGCTAGCTAAGGCCAGCCGATTTCACGAAACTTTAGTTTATGGCGTAACTCTACTTGCGCCACATCGAGAATTAGATAGAAATCGGCTGCAGGGCATCATCACTTCCTGGCAGGGTGACCGTAAGGTCAGAGCCAAATTCTGCTAAATGCACATCAAAAATCTGTCAGATTTATCAAAAATACGCCAAATCAGTCCCCAGAATTACTCGAAATACACTATAAACACTTAAAATCACATGCAGATTGGTAGTATTTCCTTAATTAAGATCCAAATTGCATAATAAACAATCTAGTCACATAAAGATGATGTGAAATTATTGGTTAATTTCAGGCAAAACACGGCCGGATCCGGCCACGAGGAAGTCCGTTTCCCAGTGAACCTCAGCACCTAGACCAGCCAACCTGTTCCATTATGCAAGGGTTTGTTTGAAAGGATTGAAGCTTTTTATTTCAAATGTACACTTTTTTTGTTCAAATTTGCTGTTTTTCTGTCAAATAACCATTTTTACATAATTCTGCCAGAAATCTGCCAAAAAAGCCATTCTGTCCAATTTTCTGTCAAACTCGTTTTTTAACAAATATCCTGTCAAAGTTAGCCGAAAATCGGCTAAAACGGTCACCCTGCTTCCCTGGATTCCAAACCCCATACAACAACAGGAGATTATGCATAATGCAGCAGACACGAATGCGTGACCTCTATCACCCTCCTTCACGAAATTGATATTGAGATAAAAAAAAACACAAACGAAATAACAACAAACAAACAAACAACAACAATAAAGCAACTTTCAAGTATTGAAATTTAATGATTTCTACCAAGATCAAAACAAAAAAAGGTTCTGTAATGCCTTATTGTTACTCCATATACAGAGCATCAAAGGGTTCTTTTAATCTTAGAGCATCCCAGGGTTCTCTCAGAGACCCAGGATGTTCTCTTACATCATCCCAGTGGGTTCTCTTAGAGCAACCCAGGGGGTTCTCTAACACAGGGGGTTCTCTTGGAGCATTCCAGGGGTTCTCTTAGAGCATCCCAGGGACGGTTCTTTTAGAACATCCGGTGGCACTCTTACTGGAGCATGCCATTAAGGGGGCACTTTTAGAGCATCCCAGGGGGTTCTCGTAGAGCTCTCTTAGAGCCTGCATCCCAGGAGGTTCTCTTATAAAGCATCCCAGGGGCTCTCTTAGAGCATCCCAGGGGATTCTCTTGGAGCATCCCAGGGGGCTCTCCTAGAGCATCCCAAGACGTTCTCTTAGAACATCCCATGGGGGTTCTCTTTGAGCATCCTAGGAGGCTCGATCTCTTACAGCATCTCAAGAGGTTCTCTTAGAACATCCTTAGAGGTTCTCTTAGAGCATCCCGGGGGCTCTCTTAGAGCATCCCAGGGGGTACCCTTAGAGCATCCCAGGGGTTCTCTTACAGCATCCCAAGAGGTTCTCTTAGAGCATCCCAGGGGGCTCTTTTATACTAATGGAGTATAGATTTAATGAATGTGGCGAATAAAGAGCCCGGGCAGGGGAGGGGTGGCAGGGACAACTCACACCCCTCCCTGGTTACCAATGCATTTTGGCCTTTCGTTGAAAGCGGCACTTCACAGCCGCCGTTATTACCTCATTGTAATACAGTAGCGTATATCCAGCGGGGGTAATGGGGGTATTCCCCCCCCCCCCTTCCCCACCCTGAATATTTTGTAACGAGTGCCCTTTTTTCCTGAAGTGCCCGGCTTTTTTTCACGAGCGCCCTTTTTGTTTTTAACGAGTGCCCTTTTTGGAAAGTCGCCCCAACGTCTTCAATAAAATTTGTGCCGCAATGGCATTGTCTGGCAGCTATAATAATTCGAAATTTGTGAAGAAATAATGCAATGACGAAACGTCGGAGGATTTTTTTGTTCAACGTCTCATTCAAAAGTGAATAACTGTTACATTTAGGAAAGAGCAATTTAATTACTTATCTTTATTTTTCGAGGTGAAACTCGAAACAAAAAGGGGAATACATCTTTAATACGCTTCTCCTGTGCGTTCAACTTTTGACGCCAACTTTTTTACTTTACCTATGCCATCCTCCCGTGTAAAAAAAGTTCGTCAATGCACGCTCTTCCGACTTAGTCATCTAATGATACCTTCGCTTCCTGCCGTGATGAACTCCCAAACCGGCGAGTCGACTCAATTTACATGACGTAGTTCACATTTCCTCACCACTTTCAGTTTGAAATGGGAAACCTGCCTGGATTCCCAAAATCTCACAAAAGCTGAAAGTGAAAAAGTGTTTTGTGTTGTTGTTCTTGTATGAAGCACTTATTAAGATTTGTTACTTCCTCGAACATGTCAAAAATGGAACCGAAACATGTGCACAACGAATGCTACTATAAGGTATTGGATGGAAGACGGACCGACTGTTATCAATAGCACGATGGAGGTTGACATGAATGCAACGATCCAAACGACTACGGTTGATACTCCGGCCGATATTTTAAACTCATCGGCTGATAAACCAACGGCGCTTCTCGTGACCAAAAACTCCTCAAACTCGTCTCTCCTTTTATCAGATGAGACGTTGTACACCTTCCCTGAGCTGGTCTTCTGTGCCGTCGGGTTCTCCATCCTGATTGTCGTGTCACTCGTCGGTAACATCCTGGTGCTGGTCGCAGTGGCCCGGACCAAGAAACTCCAGAACGTCACTAATGTGTTTGTTGTCAACCTGAGTGTCTCTGATTGCTTGTCCGGAGTGGCTTTCCTGTGGAGCATACCGGGCATGGTGAGCGCGACATCGGGCTACCCGTTAGCGACAGACGTTCCCTGTATCGCCTCGGCTGCTCTCGTGTTCATCGCGGTGTCCTGCAGCCTGAACAGCCTCGCCTACATCGCCCTGAATCGTTGCATCCTGATCACCAGGCCAAAGGAGACTTACCAGTGGCTGTACACACCCAAGAAGACTGCCTTGATGGTCTTGGTTGCATGGCTTGTACCCTTTTGCGCCATTGTGGTGCCCCCGCTGGTCGGAGTCGGCGATCTCGGTTTCGATCCTCAGAGCCGAACCTGTACCGACATCGACACCCACCCGAGAGCTGCTACTTACGATAAGGTTCAGTTTGGAGTCTTCTACCCGCTCCCGTTGATCGCGATCGTTGTGTCATACATCCTGATCTGGCGATACATCAAGAAGCACTTCAAGAAGCGCCGGCAGAAGTTGAGCCGGTCTGCGCAGACGTCCACGGTCATGCCTTCAGGACCACTTTCGTCCGTGTCCATGTTGGACCTAGATGACACCATCCGAAGAGGCACTCACCGGTGTCAGCTTGGATCGCTTCGACGCAACAAGACCGACCAGCTGGCGATCACCAAGAACCTCTTCGTCGTAGTGTTCGCTTTCATAGTGTGCTTCACTCCCCTCGCCGTCATGGTGGTTAGTAAGAGCAACCGTTTCCAGCTGTATGGAGGATTGATGCTTTTCCTGAGCGGCTGCATTAACCCTCTCATATATGCCGCCAAGCATCCACATTTCGGCCCAGTGTTAAGAGCCTTGGTGCGCTGTCGATGTTCGTCAGATGAGGTATAGGTCTCGTTCAAATGACGTCATGAGCGTCAACTTGCATAACGCGCATCGGCTGCGTCGTATTTCGAACATATTTCGTGCAACAAGCGAGCGTGTTTGGAACATTTTCAACACTGCGCAATGCGTGCTGGATTGCGTAAAATACGCAGTTGCAGTTCTCCTACAGGGATGTCCGTCATTGAACGAGCCCTATTTCTCAAGTGGTTTCGTAGACCCCCCCCCCCCCCCCCCCACTAACGTAACTATAATGTGATGGCTGTTATATTCTGTCCCTCTCTTCGTCTTATCCAAAGTTGCATTAAATTTAATTTGTTCCAGGGATAAAGCAAGTATTTCCAATGCGGAGTATCCCACTTGATCGTTAATATGTGATTTTAGACTGACATTTTTAAATTGTGCCCGTGAAGATTTTACCTCGCACATCACATTATTAAAATTAAGTAAACCAAAACAGTACGCAAATAGAGTTGAGGTATAACTTTGGCTGCCTTAAATACATTTATAATAAAACACCCAACCGCATGTACATGTGCAGTACAATTATCATTAAACCTGACTTAAGATTTCAGCAGTTTTGTAGTTGCTGAGTTTGTTTAACGCACTTTATCTTTAAAATCGTTCAAATTTTCTCTTCACAGCCCCCCCCCCCCCGAAAGGCTGAGCTAAAAAATGCCTTTAAAACACTCTTAAAAGTGAAAGGATTTTAAAAGCACAACCACCCCACCGCATTACTTTTGGATTAATTGGCCGGCCTAAAAACCGAAGCTGCCATACCATTTTCTAGTCAATAGTCCTCGTGTTTATTAGCTGCTCATATAAATTTATTTGCACTTCGCTTTGTTGCAAAACCGAAAGTCCCAAGCGTTGATTTAGCTGGTGTGATTCCATAATATTATGACAAGCTTTTGCAAATCAACCCCCGAAAGGTTTAAAAAAAAAAAAAACCCAAAAATATCACTTCTAATTTTGACTGACACCTAAAAAAACAAAAACAAAATCGGGAAGTTGTTTTAACCCAGAAATTGTCATCTCCTGACCTTGTTTTCTTTGTCAACAATTTTTTTCCAGATGGTTGTGTTTAATTAAAGTATACAAACGCGTAATGTATACCCATTGAAAAGTTAAGATGTTTGATTTAAGGGATACTTGTAGTTAAGGTTTGGCTTCCAAACTTCTGTTAATGTTTTGACAGTGTACTGGAAGGAGAATCAACGAAGATGATGGAAATCATGCAAGAGCAAAATGATAAGGCGTTCTGGCAAAAGACAGAACTTGGACAGAGGTCGCAATGAGGGTTTGCGGGTATAGGAAAGAGAATAGAAATTACAATACCGTTTTTTTGCACTTCAGTCAGACATCCGTTGACTTGGCTGTTTAAATTTCGCATTTATAGACACGTCCAAAAGTTGACTACCGAGAAAAAGGCCTTTAGAGTCTTGAATTTCGTATTTGTGAAACTGAAACTTGCAATTTTTTTCTAGGAACCTGTGCCCACTTCCATCTCATGTTGCTAGAACGACTCACAATATTATTATGGCCAACAAAAGGAAACGCAATCAACAGCTATTGTTCCCCTTTTGGGTTATACACTCAACCAAAAAAGAAAGTCCCCCTTAATACTTTTTTGTCTATCTCAAAAACTACTGGGCACATCTTGCTCAAATTACGACTGATCAGTAGAGAAATTCCTTAGCAATCCAGCCCTACTCTTTGTGTGGCCCAAAACAGTGATAATGTGTACAAAATTATGCAATTTATGACAGACGGTACCGAAAAAAAAAGTTGCACTTTTGTATACGTGCAAGGTGAGTGTGAACCACAACTTGCACGTATACAATTACTGTTTCCGGTGTCATTTATAATAAATTGCATTAATTCGAACACATTATCACTGTTTTGGGCCAGTTAAAGAGTATGGCTGGATTGCTAAGGTATTTATGTTCTGATTAGTCGTTATTTTAGCGAGAGGTGCTCAGTAGTTTTTGAGTTAGACAAAAAAGTATTGGAAGGGGGACTTTCTTTTTTGGTTGAGTGTACATGTATGTAACTGTATATAGACTTTGTACTGCATTTATCTGTTTTGAATCTTTATGTGTACACTTCTCTTCTTTGTTTTAGTGAACTAAATTGCTTATGTAATATACATTGGTATTTTTAATGTACAAATTCATGAGTGTCCAAAAGGAATTCTCCATATTAATGGATAATCATTATAAACTGTACTGAATTGAACTGGATCTTTTAATTCTCGCGCATGTGAATAAAATGTCATATCCTTTATATTAAAAATTGTTTGTTTTTTAAAATGAAAGCAGGATAAACATTGCGTGTGGAGTCTGCATAATCTCGGTTTCGTTGTGTTTCTCAAATAACATGCAGTTAGGTACTAGACTTCTAAGCTAATGAACTCATTGATATTTTGTGAAATTAACTTCTGTTTAGATAAATTGTGTTTTTATCGCCACTTTGGTGAAAAGTAACCACATGGATACATTTTTAACTTGGATAATTTTTCCAGCTGTTATTCTTATGCATCTCGTTCCGGTTTAAAATAATGTCCCTGATTATACTTTAATATTACGTGTTAATGTTATAAATATATACAGATTTTCATTCATTGTAATTTTACTGCAGATATTAGCCCGCAGCGGATCGACTATACGGTCTAGAAAATTAATAGTCACAGTGTGTGCACAAAAGAGGAAGCTAGCTACGCAACTAGGAGTGGACACATAATGTTGATGGTTCACACACATCCCTATGTGATTTGTTTTCGTTTCGCTGAAAGAACACTTACCTTTGTGTGATTCGTGGACAGAACTTTAAAGCGGTAGTTGCGGTTAAAATTCCGGAACTTGAAAAGTACATGAGTGATTTGAATGATTCTTGTACTAAAAGAAAACTTATGAATTGGGCTTTACATCACAGATTTTGAAAGTGCTACATGCAGAACTTCACTGAAACAATGGTCCCGACATTTCGTTTTTTTTTTTTTACTCACCCTTTATAGGCCTGGGCAAGTTCCATGCGAACGGCAGATTGTGATTTTTTTTTTATTTCAATCATAATACAAATTCTGAATCATTCTAGGCTTGGTGGGTTAATTGTTTGTTTCTTTTGTTTGTTTTCTTGCTATTTTCACAAACGATACTCGTGTAGGCAAGTGGTATTTTACAGTTTTCGCGCGTTACCATGGAGCATCTGTAGCGTTATCGCAGTACTCTTCAAAAGAGCGTAAAATAAACCGATAACCTGGGGCCAAAATTTGTCACGAGGTAAAGTTCTATTTGCAGCGATAACCGCATTGAAATGATATGACAAAGATGACACGGAAAAGTCATTGGAATGCAACGTTTGCATCCCCTCCGGACATACATTATTCATACCAGTAGTTCAGGGCCATTAAAAAAACCAATAGGATATAAAAAAGCTTAAACCTCTTTTTACATCTGTAAAACAAAATGGTAATTCAAAGTGCGCGGAACAAGCTATGTACTTACAAAGGTCAACCAGAAGTGTGAATGAAACAAAATCCAGACGCCTTGATGAAGTAGTTGATTGTGTGTCATCACCGGATGATATGACTTGTTATGACACGTGCAGCAATGGACCGATCCAGTAAGCACCACCCCATGGTGTTCTGACCAATCACAACCGTGATTTATGTCCGACGTGCGTGCACTAAAGTCCGACATGCGTGCACGCGCGTATAATGCGCGCGGAAGGAAAATGCAGCGCCTGGTCCATCCGGTTCGTTAGTGTGACGTCACCTCCAGCACTTTCTGCACGATTTGAACCGGAAGTTAACGCAGTTAGAGCGTTTGCAGCCAATGGGCGCTAGTAATCAGTGGTGTGCGCGCGTGTATGACGTTTTTACTAACGAACCGGATTGGCTGAGTGGCGTAATGTCGTTTGATAAATACATTATGTAAATCAACCTTCAAATATAACGTGCGCCAATAATAACAACATGCACTCTTAAAGAGTTGACATTTGATCCATGATTGTCTAGTGCGATTGTTCTAGGTTGAAGCCAGCGAAACAGAGTTTGTAAGAAGTCAAACGTTGCTGTATAAAGCATCGATACTTAATTATCATCTTCACTAGCTGCTATACTCGCCGCATCAAACACAGTTGAACAATCTCTATATGTTTTAGTAGGCTTTCCTGATTATTCAAGGTACCGTTTATTCTTACCATCGATCAAAATGCTCGGAAATCATAACTTGATAGAGAGTGCAACTGTCTGGTTTTCTTCTGATGTTTTGATTACTGGCAGATTTAATGAGAACATCCTGATGTCCTGGCTATCGGCCAATGCAACTGTTGGCTTGGTATTCGGTCATTCTCATTTCCCCGTACAGAATTTACAACCAAAATCTTCATGACGGAAGGTTACAAAAAGGACGTACAAAGATTGACACTGTATGGTTTTACAATTTTATGGCATCCATATTACAATTTCGGAAAACACAATCTCAGAATACATCACTGTCGACCGTGGGATGCCGTGAACCCCTCTTTTAAGACATAACCCGAGCATAGAGCTTAGGTTTGTTGCCGTACCAAGATTTAAACTCTCTCATCTCTATTGCGTGCGGCGTGTGTATGTCATAAAACCTTTCAGGCAGGAAATTATAAAATCCTGGTATGAACTTATGAAGAGGACCTGGCATTTATAATGTAAGTAGCCTCATGTCTTTTGGCTAACAGTGAAAGTTTAGGTTCAGATATCTTCAGCTGTTTGATACTGCGAGTTTACTCATATCGACAGCAATAAAATTACTATACGCAACAACAGATGCAGCTCGAGACGATTTTAGTATAAACTAGGCCTAATTGGAAGAGACAGGTTGTGGGCATGATTTGTGCACAAACTGACCAGGGTAAATAAAACGTTTGCACGCATGTTGCATTCCGACTAATGGGCAGCTTCCGTGGGGCAGCCGCCTGTGGGATCTTTCAAATATTTTAGAACTCCGGCTGTTTGGAGTTCAAAGTTGGCAGACTGGATCGATCGGCTTGACTGCGTGGATGCTTGCTATGCTGAGGTCCAGCTATCTAGTAAGATGCTGTTTATCAGTTTGTTCGTGATCTTTGCCGTGATTTTTCTTATCGCTTTCCAGCACATATTCTCGGTAAGTGACTGATGATTCTATTCAATAATAAAATACATCTCGATATTTTGAAATAATGAATTGTTTTTCATGTCCATGAGCTTTTAAAACCGATGATCATGATGACACGAACCCTTATAAGAGTGTGTAATCGCACCAGTGAACGTGGGAGCATACCCAGGCTAGTACTTACGTTACGTCGGACCGATCCTGGATCAAATTTCGTTTGGATATTAGTTTTTGATGGAAGTAAACAGAAATACACTTTGGTCCTAAGTCCAAGTAAAAAAAAACCACCAGTTGATTGTCCGATTTTTTATTGAAAAAATAGTCGAAAATAGCCATATTTAGCTTACACGATATGTGCCTTATAAAAAGGAGGAGGCCCTATTTATTTGATAGTTCTGGGTAGTTGTCTACTAGTTGATGACCTCAAAGTGCTTATTGAACATTAGTAAAGCTATAAGAAGCATATCTGAGCTTCTGAAACATCTTTTTTTAAAAATGTTATGCTTGAAATAAAAAAAATGATGCAGCCTAAAAAAAAAGGAATAAGCGTACGGAGACAATCAACTGGTATTTCTTTTACTTGGCCTAATACGCGCAGTGGACGGAAACCTCACCCCCAAAAGATCTTACTCTTATTGTCTGTTTGTTGTTTGTTGGGGTGTTGGGGGGGTGTTTGTGTGTTTGTTTGTTTGTTTTTTAAAGATGTGGGACATACGAGGGACGCACTTGAGCTAAATGGGTCCGAAGAAAGCTACGATGCCTCAAATGTGTGATTCGACATTCTCTACCTCCATGGTTTGACCTTCACCATCGTGATGATCTTCTGGAGTTTATATATACGGGTTTTGTTTGGTGCAAAATCATCCATATCAAAGCTTGCGTTGTTTCCAGTTATGTTGTGTTGGTATACTGACCCTTCAATCAAATCACATTTTGTTTTCATTATTCCAGGTTTCCAAGTCTCCTGGAAAAGAAAAGATTCCTGGAGCTAGACCCTCAAACTCGAGGTACCGATAAAAATTACTTATACCTCAGGCAGAAAGGGATGCAGTCGAATAACACTTTTAGAGCGAATCGAATCCTCACCTTGTATATATATATATATATATATGTCTAATTATAATGAAGAATAAAAACATAGTTTTTCTATTTTGCGCTTCTTCTTTATTTTAAATTACTTTTTCGCACGAACAGATCCGCCCTGCGAGTAGAATGGCTACTGGCTACCACATTATCGATTTTTATAGGTGGCGCCACCAATGTTCCTCCGAGAAAACTTACTTATTGTCGGGCCGCAAAAAGTTCGACATCTTATAAAGTAATTATTTCGTAACTCTACGTGAGCCGACGTTTATTTCCATTCATTGTCTCATTCAAAGTGACATTTGTATTGCTAGAAAAAAAACACAGTTTTTTTTTTCGGGGTGAAGTTCGAAAAGCACCCACTGTCAGAACATCATTTAAGTATTTTAGAAACTGTTGGTACTTATATATGCGGTACTCTTGCAGGGATGGAAACAAGCCTGACATTGCAGCCGCTGGTAACATTCATAATTACCTTCTTGATCTGCATGGGAAATATGGACCTCTAGCCTCGTTTTGGTACGGCCCCAAGTACGTTGTCAGCATTGCCTCTCCAGAGCTATTCATGGAACATCACGTGCGCATGACATCGAACCGGCCCCGTAAGTCATGGATATATAGCCACGATAAAGATTGTGATGTGAAATTCCCTCATTCCAAAAATCCAACGACTTGAGTCCAGCCTATATTCTGATGCAATGACTCGAGTTTAGTCGAATCATCTTATGGGCAATGACTCGAGTCAAATTGAATCATTCTGAGACAGTGACTCGAATCAAATCGAGTCATCTGAAGGTAGTACTCAGTCGAATTATCCAAACAGAGCCTTTTGCTCGAGTCGAGTCTTTTACTAGCATAAATCGAATCGTGTCTATCATTTTCGCAGAGTGGGTCGAATCCAGTAATGACTCGATTCGGGTCACCGAAAATTGCGACTCAAGTCGGACTCGAGCCTCTCGGGTCATTTCAACTCTTGAAAGCTCCGTTGTCGGATTTTGTGAAAACTTTTTTGTGTGGTTGCTTTATGGGCAAAAAAGTTTCGTGTGATCGTTCCTGTCATGAATAGATAATGACATAAAAGTTTGAGTTATGGTGGTTTGTTGTAATTTTTCAGCTGACATGATGGAGATGTTAGGAATTCTCTTTGGGAGTAATGCCATCCAGTTTGCAAAGACCGATGATGCAATCAGAAGACGAGAACTCTACGATCACACCCTGAGACATGAGACGCTGACCCATTTTTACCCAACCTTCAATAAGGTAAGATGAACCTTAAACTAACGTTAAATTGAACTAACCAAAATATTATAACCAACAATGAACAAATTGTACTACCATCCCTTTCCAGAGTCGCGAACGTAGGTACCAAAGTTAGGGGGACGAATGATTTGTTTTGGACAATCAGAAGTATCCTCACAAACTTTCCATCCGCACAAGTTTATTGTTCGCACTTGGTAATTTTAGTTATTTTGTAAATATTTGGGTTTGAGTTCCGTAAGCCAATAGGCATCCCCATCCTAGATACTCAAACGGAGAAATGTTGCACCTGTACATAAACGGGTTTTCTATTCACCTTGAATAGGTGGCTCGTGAAACTGTGCAGGCGTTGTCCGGCATCCCCGAGGGTACCCGCATCCCGCTAGTCCATCATTGCATTGACATGAGTATCAAGGGGATTGTTCGCACCTGCTTCGGGGACTATTTTAAAACCGAAGAAGCCGTAGACCACCTCCGTGAAGTCTGGACCGCGGTGAGTGTATCAGTGTACTCTTAAATAGTCACGGGTCCGATTCGATCCGGAATCCGGAACAGATTTTTGGACTGACACTCTTTTGGGTCAAAATGAGAGTTTTTCCGTTACAAATTTGGATGGCAACTGTTGAGTTATAACAATTGTGGTGCTTCACAAGAGACTTTTGGTTTTTTTCTTTAATCACATTATAAAACGTTTTTCTTTGTCAGTGCTGGAACGAACTGGAGTTACTCCAGATCAAAGGTCCACCGAAACCAGGCAGCAAACGGGACAAAACTTTCAAGAAAGGTATGTGGCAGGATTGGTATATATCATGACAAAATGGATTTTGTAGAGAACACGACGTGATGAAGGGAGTTCAAATGGGCACTCTGAATGACAAGTGCGAGCTTCATTATGTCGAGGTTTAACAGTTACTTTACCAGCCAGGCAATAAGGCGAGGTAGTATTTAATTGTGGTGAGTAAAATAACTCGAATATTGTCATAAGTGGACAACAAACGAAACCACTGACAACATAGGAATTTGTCTGAAAAAAACTTACTTAAAGATATTACTATACCTTAGTAAGTTCATTTTGGCAGTTCCTCAAAATAACGTTGCTTCCAAAACGCCGGCAAAATCCAGGCTGTTTTTTTTCTCAATATATCATTTCCTTCAACAGACCTGGCATCTATTAAAACACTGGGTCCGAAAATGATTCAGCATCGTCGAGACAACCCCTGCTTTCTTGAGTACCAAACTTTCATTGATGCTCTCCTTGAGGACGAACTGCCTGAGGAGCAGATGCATGATGACTGCGTGGGCTTTCTGATCGGTGGACTACAAACTGTAGGGATCTGTAAGTCCAATCAAATGTAGAATTTAGTCCCGAGGTGTTTGATTCATTAAATATGTTTCAGGTGTTCAAGTTCAAAGAATTTAAAGGAAACATGCAATAGGATAAGGAATATGATTTTATGACTTAAATACATTTAAAACAGCTTTCTTGCCATGTAACTATGACTTTTCACCACCTTTGAAGTAGTAAAAGGGAGAAATTCTAACAGTTTTGTTTTTATGCTAATGACAATTTCCATATTCAAGAGCAAATGCGTGATGTCACTCAAGGCAGAACAGTAGTGTCTCCATAGCATTGTGAACAAATAATATTAAACTGTTCTTCATTTTCTTGGAGTAAGTTCCACCTTTTACTTGCTTATCATGTTAAACAGCTTGTTTGGACAGTAGTAGTGGCCACTATTTCTTCAAAACTACGTTACAAATTATTAAATAATGACATTATTAAATAATAACAAATTATTAAATAATGTTAAGTAAAGTTAAACTCATAAGGAAAGGTACATTGGTGAAACATACGACGAACATTAATTTTTACAAATACGAGTATCTCAGAAATATTAAAGACATTAAAGCTATTATACGCATTTTAAACATTCAGATATAAAGCATGAAATACTGATCACGGGATGGGTGAAAGCCCCACAAAAACCTTTTGGGAGGAAAAAACACGGGGAAATTCCCGATCCGGCTCCAAATAATTCCAACTTAAGTTAAATGATGCAATCCTAAATATTAATCGTTTAACTTGTTGATTGTTATGTTAACATTACCACACAGGGACGTTTTGGGCACTGTACTTCTTGGCTTCTTCCCCTGACTGTCAGGAGAAACTGTACCTGAATGTGATCGAGGCAGTTGGGCAAGGCGACGTTGAGGATATGAATCATGAAGATCTTCGGTAGAATAAACTTTTCAAGCTCGATGACAAATTGAGGGACTGTTTTTTTTTTTTTTTTTTTTTTTTACTTCCCAAGACTTTAAACACAGGTAGGCCGAACATGCATATATAAACTGGATGTACCAAATCGTGAATTAATGAGGATTCAGATGAATCGTTTGATGACAATTATTTTTCATACCTTAGAATATACCAAATTACCGGAAACCAACAAGTGACACTATATAGAAGTGTAGGGATATATTTCCAACATTTGGTAATTTGCAGCGATTAATCAGAAGCGAAATCAAGGAATCATCATCCATCTTTAGTTCAATTTGCAGTGGAATCACTGTTTGTGACGAATTTTTCGTTTTGGTCGAAGGGGGATTTCTCTTCCGGCTTTAAAGTACAACCCTCTTTTTTGAAGAGCAACAGCGTTGGCTGCTTCTTGTAATTAATTAGACGTCTACAAAAAAATGAAAGACAGAACTACCGTCCTCAGTTTTTAAAAGAATTATGAACATTTCCTTCTTTATTCGACCGAGCAAGGTAATGAAATTACCGTGGAATTTGATGGCTTTCTTTGCTCTGTATTAGATACGTAGGCCAAGTGATTAAGGAGACTCTTCGTCTATCTGTGCTTTCTACGTACACCTGCCGCTACCACGACGACGATTTTGAGCTTGCAGGCCACGTCCTAAAGGCTGGGGTAAATAATACGTCTTTAAAATTAATCTACAAAAGACATGCAAAGAAATATATTTTTTTTCACCCTTAGTCACTATGCCTGAAAGCGCCCGAGCACTATAAAGTTAACTCTCGGTATTACGAGCTCGGCTAGGACGAGATCCGGTTAAGACGAGTATATTTTGTCAGTCCCGACCAACGAAGTGTGCACATTCCTACGAGGAAAAAAATGCTCAGTGCAAGCTTTGGTTATACGAGATTTCTGTTAAGACGAGCGCTTTGTATTGTCCGTTTGAATGCAACTGTAGCGTTTTACCGATTCTTCAGTGGGTAAACACAATGAAATACAATGTATTAAAGGTGCTTATGGGTTAAATGGCTGCCTAGAAATGTCTATTGCTTGCCTTTAATGTAATAGACTAATGCGGCGAACACAAATTATTAGCCTTTTTGAGGTGGCGCCATGCACGCACATGCATGCATGCATGCCGCACATGAGTACAGGTTCTTAAACACAAAGTGCGCGCGCATTTTGGTAACCCTATTGGCCGAAGGAGCCTGGAGTGCATGCGTGCTACCTGAGTGCGAACCTGGTGTCACCTCATAAAATGGCTGTCTCCGAATTAGTCTATACACGACTCATCCTCTTACTAGCTTTGTTTAAATTCTTAAGTGATGTTTTCTTTCGTTGTTAATATCATGTCCTGCCCTACAGACGACGACTGTTCATGCCATTGGAGTGGTCATGGAGGATCCAGTGCTTTGGCCAGACCCGAGCAAGTAAGCAAGTATACATGAATGTAATTTGTAGACCTCTCTGTCCAACATTGTACTGATTCGTATGAATGTTGGGTGATGCTGCCTTCTGGCCAATAACTCGGGAAGAAAACATCAAATACAACATTTTTTACTAAAAATGATGCGTAATTTGTGCGAGCATGCACTCTTGGATCTACAATCCCGGCCAAAATGGTTGGGACACATTACTCAGCCCCAATCCGGTTCGTTAGTGTGACGTCACCTCCAGCACTTTCTGCATGATTGGAACCGGAAGTTAACGCAGCTCGAGCGTTTGTAGCCAATGGGCGCCAGTAATCAGTACTGCGCGCGTGTGTATGACGTTTTCACTAACGAACCGGATAGCAACCCACACACGCGCGCGCGCGTATTATATACATTGTGTATAAATGCGCGTGCCTATTGTGTAACGTGTGTTCTGTAGTGTGTGTATGCAGTGCCCCGCGTATTTGAGCTTATGTCCGTTTGCCTATATCAACTTATCATCATTATAGCCTTGAACCACCGTACGGTCACCCACTTCCCTGCTCCGCCGGTCAATGTTGTTTTCTCCAGCTGACGGTGCACACACCGCGCAATGAGAGACAACATTGACAGGGTATCGGGGGGGTTAGGGGCCCAGCGAGATTTGGCCTGGATTGTAGGTACATTTTACAAAACGGATCTAGATCCTCTGTGAGTTCTTCTTTAACTGAAATACCGTATCGTCTTTTTCATAAATTCACTTGAGAAGTTGATTTGCTTGCGACTTCAATGCAAAGTTTTGCAAGTAGAAGTTATCGTGTTTCGCATGGAATTGGCATAACTGTTATGCATTCATTCAACTTGATTTGATGAGCATCCTCCTCGTCTACAGATTTGACCCCGAGCGATTCGACATTCACCGCATGACAGCCCGCCAGAAACGCGCCTTCAAACCCTTTGGTTTCGCCGGGCAACGAACCTGTCCCGGCCAGCATTTCGCCAAGCTGGAGGCCGCGGTGTTTATTGCCGTCCTGTGCCGCGCGTTCAAGTTTCGCCTGGTGAAGGGACAGAGCGTGAAGAAAAACTACGGTCTGATTACACGACCTGACTGCGAAGTCTGGGTCACTCTGGAAAAGAGAAAGTAGTCGGCACGAGGGAGAGTTAATTAGCTGCTGGAAAACGAAAAGCCACTGCGTTTTGCATGATCAGGATTCACTATTCAAACAACCATTGTTTTGAAGATTGTGCAAAAATAGGTCTAAGGCATCTTCCCAGCTTGTTTCTAGAAATATCATTTTTTTCAGCGAAATACGAAAAAAAATGCAAGGGGTTAACCTTACATTTTCATTAAATTTGGCCAAAAATTGACTTGTCTCCAAACAACTCAAAAATGCCTTTCGATACAAGATGATCATGATTTAGTATTTTTTTGACACGTAGTGCCAACTTTAAAATACTTTTGTTGAGATAAAAATTGGAGATCAATGAGCACGAGTCTGGACATCATCTGACACGTGGTGGCGCTGTTTGATGGGGGATAAGGCACCGATGTTGTCTATTATACATATTTCTAAAACAATATTTGAAATGCTAAAATGCAAAATATTCAGAAAGCATGTTCTCTACAGGGCAAGTTTGATTGTTTGTGAAGAAGCAATACATACTAATACGTCTTGTTTATATACACAAGAAGTTAACAAGCTAAGAGTTTATGATGTATGAGTCTTGTTTACATTAGCCAAACTCCAGAAATAACTTATCACTTGTTTGAGTTGTTACAGTATAATAAATTTAATAATTTGACAGGTTTTAACAGTTGTGTACAAACATCAAATCCAACAGGTAGAACCTACGTGGTTACATATATGTAGACAGTTGTCAGTCTGAATGTTACAATAAGTTTAATAATTAAAGCTATACGTTTGATTGAACATGGTTCTAGCAAGTCAGCAAGAATGTTTACCTCCCCCCCCCCCTCCCCTCCCTTGCACACATATATTTTTATGGGAATGGAAAAAAAGAAAGATTTACGATGGAAACCCAACCAGCCAACCCATCAAACTCAATGGTTAAGACGTCTGCACGCTTCTCTACGCTCCTAAGGGTAGGAAGAACTACTTCTTTGGTTGCCTGGAATCTGTCTCCATCCTTGTACACCATCGATGCTGACGCGGGTGGTTTTAGACTCCAGCATCTGGAGGGCATACTGGTCCTGCTTAGAACGGGTGACTTCCTTGTCGTGGGTGTAAGGGAAAACATCTGCCTGCCATAACATCTGCACATGGCATTTGTAATGAATTTATATGAAAACAATTGACAGAGCTGGTGTTTTTTTTTTACCCCCCAACCCCTACCCCCCTCCCCTGGATATTTCATGGCATTGTTGCCTGTAACGCCGACTAATCAGGCAATTCTTTGTGTATAATCTATGGGTGTTTTTTAACTGCGAAAAGTGAAGGAATTGTGGACTGTGAAGTTTTCTAATAAGGTCTGAATATTTCGCTTTGACGGGGACGGTCCAGAGCTCAAGACCTCAACGCATGTTTATGGTTTGCTGGTGATGACCAGCGACCACTGCGTATATGCCGTCCTTGTCCAGACAAAAACACTTTATGCACAAGGGATCTGGTTTCTTTATGTTGACCTCTTCATCATGGACTCTTTTATGTCGTGTCTTCAACAAAAGTTAGGAAGCAGCGAATCAGCTGAACTAAGCATCACCGTCATCAGGGACAGCTAGTGTATAAGCACGTCCTTGTTGTGTGCAAGGAGAAAATCCTCTTTATACACGTGTTAACAATGGAACAAAGAAGGCCAGATAGTGTCGTTTTTTGGGTCCAAAATAAAGGAGCGAGTAGACCGTTGATAACTACATGCAGCTCCGGGAATGCAGTGGGGAAGCGCTTGGATGACATACTTTAGTGCGTAAACAGCAATAGGAGAGATGGAGGATTTGTGGTCGGTGCGGTGTTTGATAACGGCTGTTCTTGTCGTCTTTGCAGTTGTCAACTGCTCATCGGGATCATTGGCTGTTGAAGGTAACTGATATGAGATCGATCAATACATGAAAAGATGTTTCAAGTCTGTTGCGTTGATGAGATTTTTGCCGAGTATCAATGGGAAAATGTGTGTATTTTACATCGTACAGGGTACAATATGAAGGCTGGTCCTCAACTCTGTAGCGTAGGCCTAGTCAGTGGCGGGCCCCGGGGGGGGGGGGGGGGGGCTTGGAGGGCTTGAGTCCGTCCCCCCTATAATAGAGGTTTAAGTGGCGCCACCAACGTCAAATAGTCCTCCCCCCCCAAAAAAAAAAAAACATTTTTGGGCAAACTTTTTGAAAATATTTTAACTTCTAAACAATTTAAAAAAAAACAGTTGTGAGTACCCCCCCCCCCCCCCAAAAAAACAACCCGCCACTGGGCCTAGTACGTTTATTGTGTGCATCGCCATAGCAGTACCAACTGTAAAAGATATATTTTGGTTGTTTGTGCTCAACTTCACTGCACGGGCTCAAACTTTCGAACGCAATTATAAGAATAGAATGTAGCAACTTGAAACGTATGGACATCGGTCCTTCACACACTAATCCGCTTCTCTCTGGAACTCTCTCCCACAACACATCAAGACTGCGAGAACTGAAAAAGAGTTTAAAACTGTACTTAAGACTTACCTACATGTCATTATTTTGTATTGTAAAGCGCATTGAGACATTGTGTGATGCGCTGTATAAGACCCGTTTATTATTATTGTTTATTATTATTATTAATGCTCCTCTATACAGATACCACCAGACCAGTATCACCCACTAATGTGCCGATACCTAGGCAGTATTATGGTCTGCAGAGAGTTGGTATCGTGGTAGCTATGATTCTTGGATGCATCATCGTACCACTCGGACTACTCGGGTTTCTGGTGCTTCTGATCAATTATTGGTGAGCTTCCCATTGACATTTCCTACCAATAGAGGGCGATACCTATATTGATTTTACCCCCGAAATTATTTTATTATGTTCACAGTCAATGATGCGATCAAGCTACATGAGTCGTTTGTCGACCCTGGTAAAAAAATGTATTACAGATTTTAAAAGAGCACATTCTCAGCATTACTGATGTGAAAACCGCATGCTGATACCATCTTTATAGTTCAAAAATTACGGAAGTGGGAACACCAAGAGATGTGATGAAGTGGCCCTTTTTTGGCCTGTATCTCCACATAAAAATTCCCGATAAACGACTCATTTAGCTTGATTGCACTACGCGTCCAATGCAAATGAATTAATAATACATAAAGGTTTGAATTTCGCTTTCCAATCTCTAAAATCCCTTAAATCGAGTAAAGACAAATTGCACACTGCAGCTCCAAGCCCGTACTAGAACCTTGTACTCAATAGAAACAAACTCTTTTCTCCGCTAGGGACTTCTCGACAACTTTAATACAAGAGTACCCCTTGCAACCATTTTTAAAGGAGAAACATGAAGGTCGGTGTGGCAATTTTGTTCTGTAAACTTCGCCATATCAAACTTTAATAGGAGAATTAGTCCAAAAACAAATCTGGTTTGGTCAAATTATAAGGACATCGAAGATCATCATTGCGTATGGCAGGTCATCGTTACAGGACAGATGGCAAAAAAAGGATGATACAGAAAAAACACGAATGTGGACAGTTAAAAAGAAGGAAATAAGTTTTGAATGAAAAGGAATGAGTGAAGAACTTGAAGGTCGTGCCCAGGTATATGTGTGGGAAAGGTTGAGTTTAAGAGTGGATGCTTTATACTGGGTATGAAGAGGGCCAGGGTAGGTACGGTTGTGAAGGGGTACAGTCGCATTAACCATACGTGATCAGCTACAGAATCCGCAAAGGGGTCCCTAATACATGTACATGTACTGGGTATTTATTCTTTCCCGGACACACCCCTGAATGAACTTTTCAGTTCGTAATCGATGCCGATATAGCACAGGAAAAGTCGGCCAGAATCCCATCTATATCACCTGATACAATGGGCATATTGCGGATAAACTTAATTGTCCGCAATTTTTCCCCGTATTTAATGAGATGACTGTCTTAATTATTTTTGCCCGCATAGCAACCTGTCTGTGTCTATTTTGTTTATGCAGCTACACGTCCTGGAAGAAATCCCGTGCTGCCACTGAGAGCAGCAAAGCGCCCCCTAGAGAGCCCAGCGACCATTCGAGCACCGCGCCTAAGCTAAGCCAGCAGACGTCTACCTTCTTCATGTACGTCGAGCCCACTGAAGCACCTCCGAAGCAGCTAAAAGGATCGAACGGGCTACATTAAAACAGCGGCGGATCCAGGATTTTGTGCAGGGGGGGGGGGGGGGGGGTCATCACCAAGTCATTGCTGAAATGTAGACACTCAGGTTTGTTTTGGTCCGGACACTTGGCCTCCGTTAAATCAATATAGGTGGGGGGAGGCTTGTCCATACTTTCAATGGTGGCGCTGTTCACAGGCGGACATTATTACCGGTACATGTATATTATTTTGGGTGTCAGAGCGGAAGGGGGGGGGGGGAGGGCGCATTTTTGAATTTATGAATAATGAATTTATTTGAAAAATTACCCCCAACCAACCCACCTCCCAGGATCAGCGCCTGAAATGCATACAATTACAGTCGAACCCTGATAAGAAGAGCACTGTTAATACAACATCCTGCTTATTACAAGCACAATTTTCGGTCACAAGTCTTTGTTTTTCTTTGTTTCCCATTACTGTTAATACAAGGTACCTGTTATAACAAGGTAATTTGTAAAGTCCCCAGAACCTTGTTATAAAGGTGTTCGACAGTCGAACACCTTTATAACAGTCACTGTATTCATATCAATCTGTAAAATGTATTGAATAGGGCTACCGGATGGATTAGGATTAAATACATAGATTTTGTATTTGAACATGGTTATGATCAGTAGTTATGCTTTAGCTTTTTAAACATAGGCCTATGATATGCCTTCTTTCTCTGTTGAACATAATTATAAGTATTCCAAAATGGTATACAATTTAGTCTGCTTTTTAAACTGTACAGTGGAGCTAGCTGTGTAAAAATAAACACCTTCATCATCATAACGCTGCACGAGCCTCGTTGATTATATTAACTATATTACGACAGAGAAGAGGATAACGGTAACATCCTTCTGGACGTTTGAAATTCATACATTCTGCATTTTTTTTAGGGGGGGGGGAGCTGACACCCCCTCTATCGACGTATGTGCATATGGGCCTTTTTCATTATTATCGTCTTCGTTCCGAAGATAACGCCGTTTCTTATGCATGTGTAAAAATCCATGTTCTTAACTCGTTGTAGAATACTAAATATGGCCGGTTAGGATGCCAATATTGCTATAACATCATTATTGTGATAGGCTTGCAACTGAGCATTCTGTCTTGTGCACTTATTGTCAAAGACATTGGTGGACAACAGGAAACTAGATTCCCAACATTAAGAACAAGTAATTTTGCATTGTGAAGGCAATAGTGAATGAAATTCACTAATGTAATACACTATAATCATCGCGGAGGACGTATGCCTTTAACTTATCTCTGTTTTCATTTCCGACGGAAACTGTCGGATCCTGTGGTGATTCTATGTGGTGATTTTACATTTTCTGTTATAGTTATGAACATCTAATTACCGTCTTGCATATTCCTTTTCCACAATTTGCATGATAATACGCAGGATGATCATTGAAAGCTAATTGACTGGGTTTACTTATAATACCTAAAAGCCCCATCGATCTTAATACAGTGGAGAGCTCCAATAAGCGATGCGCCGGGCCGCGGGCAAATGAAGCGTGTGATCGCTCCTGCGTGTATGTAACGCATTACCGACAAGCAGCAAGTGAAAAGTGACATCGAACGCGCGCTATTGGATTTTGATGCAATTTTTGTACACGAGCGAACACGGTAGGCGAGGCAACAGCTCGATTTCCCGTCAGAGGGTCAGAATACGGAAAAAGGGAATGCGCTCACGACGTGCAACTTATTAGTAAGGTGAGACATAACATTCTACTCATTTTTATTATTCTCTCGGTGTGTTTTGTCACCTCGTTTGATATAATGTTATTATATGTATGTCATTCCCAATTTCTGCTCTTGTAATTCCTTCCTTCCCGGTTGGCCAAGTGTCTTATTGCCTCCGCCTGTTAGTAGCTTTGTCGACTGCTGTCTAATCCTATTCTACCTCCGTATTCGCTCATTGTCAGCCCCCACACACTGCTATATTATCCGCTGTCCGCACCTGCCCTCCGTATTCCTGCCCCATATACCTACCAAAAATGTAGGCTACACCTCCTCATACCAGGATTTACCATTATCCTTTACCCTACCAAGAAGAGGCCTCGCAGCCGAACGCAGCGTGGGGCTAAAACTGGAAAACTCTCTCTGACGATCCAATTGTGAAAAAGAAACGGGTACCTGATTAGTCCAGGGAAGGTAAGACGGCGAGAGGAGAGGAGATGGGCACCGCGCGCCACTCATTTGCTGCGCCATTTGAAACAGTGGACCTCTAACATCCCACTGCTCTACGGCCAGTAATGGCTATGGGATACCTTTACCTATATACCCGACCAGGCCTTATACTCAGTCCTTTAACCAATCTGCCGTACACCCATGCCCTAGGGCCCCTTGCCACGCCTTGGGATTATCCTGCGCTATATCACGTCCTGCCCCACACCATATACATACATTATACACAGGCCATATGCCCTACGGCCTGCCTTTATACACTGCCTTCTAACCAGCCATATACACGGGCTGTACCCTAATTTTCCCAATACCTATGTTCCACCAAATCCTTAGGGTTAGGGTTAGGGTTAGGTGGAGGAACATAGGTATTGGGGAACATAGGTATTGGGGAACATATATAGGTATGCACTCCCATATACCACAGCCTATACTGTTTTATTGTACACCATGCGTGCCCTCATGCCCAGTGGCGTCGCCAAGGGGGGGGGGGGGGGGGGGGGGGGGGGCAAGGGGGGGGGGCACGTGCCCCCCCCGGAAAACCTAGTGCCCCCCCAAGTGCCCCCCCCATCAAATGTTGGTGCCCCCCTATCCTCTGCAAAATTCTGCGCGTTGTTAAAATCATTACCTCAAAAATAGCAATTTCTTGAGATATCTTCAGATCGAATTTAGCATCAAATGTGGCACCATTTTGCATCTAGCCCATCCTCCGTATGCGAAAATTTTTTCAAAGGGGAGGGGGGCACCCCCTCCCCTTAGACCCCTCCCCCAGGACGGCGATCCGTATCCACCTAAGTGCCCCCCCATCAAATGCTGGTGCCCCCCCCCTGTGCCCCCCCCCCCCAGACTGAAAAGTCTGGTGACGCCACTGCTCATGCCGTACAGCCTGCATTTGTATACTCTGTCCTAACCTGCCTTATACCTCGCCCAATACCACACCCTTGCCCTGAACCTCACACTGTCTTGTACCCTGCCCTAAATCCTGCCCTGCGTTATAGCTGCCCTAGACCCTGCAGGCCATGCCCAGTTCCACTCTAGATGGCCATTCCCCAGCGACCTATCCCCGCTCCTACACGCAAACCCTGTGTGCTCTTCACGTTGATAATTTATTTTCCCCAATTCGTCTTGTTTCAGGTAAAACCACATAAGACAAAATGCACCTGAAACCGCTCGCAGCCGACCATTCGGATGCCTACGGAGAAAACTACAAGCCCACGGACCCTCAAAAGAAAAGTGGAAAAACACTCTGTTCAACGGTCAAGACATTTGCTCTGGACGAGACGACAGCACATGGCTTCCCCAACATTTTTCGCGCCAAGACCTCCCTCGGGCGCCTGTTGTGGACGTTCCTCTTCCTGATCGGGGTCGCTGTGACGTTTTACCAAGGCACCCTCCTTGTCTTTAAGTTTCTAAGTTACCCAGTCAACGTGGAGGTAAGCATAATTCTAGCACAAAATGGTAATAAAACCAGTGAAATGCTTAGTATGGCCATGGATGCAGACCGGATGTATAGAAGCCATTAAACGTATAGGATTAAATGTGAGTTTGGGAGGTGTTAGAATCACATAGGGATCGATGTGTGTGAATTGTTTTCGTTTTGCTAAAAGAGCGCGCACCTGTTTTTGTGATGCGCGGACAGAACTTTTAAACGGTGGTTGTGTTTAAAATTCCGTAACTTGAAAAGTACACAAGTGATTTGAATGATTCTTGTACTAAAAGATTGCTTAGGAAGTGGACTTTCATATCCTAGATTTTGAAAGTACTGGATGTAGAACTGCACTAAAACAATAGTCCCGACTTTTGGGTTTCGCTTTTTTTTGACTCACCCTGTTTACATAAGATTATTGGCATGTAAAGTGGCAATAGAAATCTGCAATTTACTTTGGATAACACAGAGTAACGGTATTTATTCAGCAATTACAAACCACGACAAAGCTCGTATTTTGTGGTGAATCGACAGGTAAAAATCGTCACGCAACCTCATCTCGAGTTCCCGTCGGTCACAGTGTGCAACACCAACAAGCTCCGCCATTCCGCCATCGAGCAGTCCAAACACAGACAGATGCTGGTGGTGGATCAAGCTACCTCTTTGCCGTATTATGGTAAGCTGAAACAATCGATACGTTTACCTATATTTTTCATTTTCCATTATATAGGTTGTCAATCATGTTTCGGTTTTTGGCTGCGAGCAGCAGCTCAACAATGTCTCTCTGTTAGTCCGTACGTCAGTTAGTTCGTTCGTTAGTTAGTTAGTTCGTTAGTTAGTTAGTTAGTTAGTTAGTTAGTTAGTAAGACATGCTGACATTGTCGGTGACTGCTCTATGTTCCGACACCCCTATGTTCCGACAACCCGCACATAAGATTGTGTTATTCCCGGTTAGGGTTAGGGTTGGGTTAGGAATTTGTGCAGTCGGAACATAGTGTTGTTGGAACATAGGGGGGGGGGGGGTGTCGGAATATAGAGGTGTAACCGACATTGTCTGTTGCTCCTACATTATTCTGGCCGATTTCAACCAACCAAACTGTGTCAAAAGTATCAGTAGCCCAGCACAAACATGGGGTCAAAGGTCAAAATAAGGTGAACACGAATTCGTTGGCCCGCAGCTTCCGAGATCCGATCGAGATTTTTTTTCATTGAAATGAAATCATGCATTATAGGCATTCGAACCATCGATCACAATTATTGTTTTACCATCACCCATCACTATATACGCTCAACCTCATTCATCACCGAGAAAGCACATTAAGTGCAATCACTCATTTTATATGATAATACCTAATACAGTTGATGGATAAAAGATGTCCATAATTTCTACTGACATCCCGCGCCTATAGACTCACACTCAACGCTCTTGAGTTTTTATTCCCGGTGGACTGTCTAAACTTGCCAAGCGATCCAGAAGCGACAGCAGGCGCCTCCTTCACTTTTCAAGGCTGTGTACACTTTCAACCGATTACTGCCTAAGTCAATATACAGTTTCATTTATTAGCCTGGATTCATAAACACGCAATATCTCATCACTTTTTCCCCTTCTGAGCATTTAGGGTTTATTCAGAGGGCATGTCATGTCCTGCATGACTTACTGCGACTTTTGTGAAATCGAGTAATAAGGGAACAATCTATCTTCACTGGATTTTTAATGAAAATGAACACAGCTGCTGCAAACTGCTTTCTGACTGCATCGACATTGGAACAGAAGTAGGGCACATGTTAATAAAAGGGAGATATCTTCTGTTAAGGTTGAATCTCCTCTTTAAATGACACCCTGGTCATGTCCTTACATTCACGGTTGACTGAGCAGCGATCAATTTTATGAAAGGGTCTATTTAGAGAATTGCGCCACTTTTCGTAATGAAATTTTTTCCCCACCTGCCTTGATTGGCAACCATAGCCTTTCACTCTGTGACAAATGACACCACAAAACCACAATTTAATAGTGTTGGCGCAATTCTCTAAATATCTTCATAAAATTGGTCACTACTCAGTCAACCGTGAATGTAAGGACATGATCAGGGTGTCATTTTGAAGAGGAGATTCAACCTTAACAGAAGATATCTCCTTTTGATTCACATGTGCCCTACTTCTGTTCCAATCAGCAATAATATCTCGGTTTCGTTTTTTTTTTATCCAGCATCGGTATCATGCTCTCACTGTCAAGTCGACCGTTGCCTATAATACCTGGCCATTATCGAACCTTAATTAAAATGGCTTTGCTGCCTACGGCAAAGATATACATGTACACTCCGTTTTGTCAATCTTCCGCTTATTTCCTTTGACTAAGCTGATGGATGGATTGCGTGCAATTATCTGCGGTATTTCATCACTATACCGTGTGAAGATGTGAGACGCGGCTCCGCGACCCAACCCATGACACATAGGCGACAGACCCACGTAGCTTCTTGATTAATTGTTCTACAGCCGTGAAATTACACACTCTGGCATCATTCATTTCGAAATTAACTTTACACGTCTGCCACATTTTTAAGGAATCATTTACTCATTAACCACAATTCATAAATACCTAAGCCAGTTTACGCATTCCTATTGGTCGAGAGCCCGTCACGTGGCCGGTCTTAAACGGATGATAAAAACATGGCTAGCTGGTCTTAAACACTTTTCCAGTGTCACAATAAAATGTGGACTCCTAAAAATCCAGTGCCTCTTATCGTTTCATTGGTTGAACGTTCACAATCCTCACGTAGGCATGCGCAACACTACCAGGGAGTCAGAATTTTATATTTCTATTCCCTTATTAACAGGAATAACTTAAATGAGGCTTTTGCATTGTGCTGAAATCAATGAGGCTCGAGAAGTATCTTTCTGAAGAAATATTGTTTATTATCAAATCATGCCAGTACAGATTTGACCTTACTTCTCGAGATCCGATTGAGGCTAAATTCACTCAACCAAATTAATACTTTTTGTCTCACTCAAAATCTACTGGGCACATCTTGCTCAAATTACACCTGATCAGCAATCCAGCTCTACTCTTCGTTTGGCCTGAAACAGTGATAATTGTGTAAACAATTATTAAATTTATGACAAATGGTACCGGAAAAAGTTGCACTTTTGTATACGTGTAAGGTGAGTGTGAAATACAATAAAGAGTATGGCTGGATTGCTAAGGAATTTCTGTACTGATTAGTCGTTATTTGGGCGAGAGGTGCTCAGTAGTTGTTGAGTTAGACAAAAAAATATTGTAAGGGGGGGGGGCTAAAACCACAAAAATTACGATTCTACCCATTTTGGAAAGCAGGAGTTGATGGCTTGCGTGTTGTTTTTCTTATTCGAGAAACGTCTGCAATGCATTGTCAGGCTTTTCCGCACTGTGGCACAGTCACAGCTCATTAGACAATACCGGATGGATGGGAATACAAATACATTTTATACTGGCCTTCCCTATATACACGGAATGGTTGTGTGTCTAGGCTCATGAAACTCCATGTAAGCGCCATACAGGAACTCGATTTTCGGGAAATGTTAATGTATGGCTGAATAATAATAAATTGGTGTCGTAAGATGCTCCCCCCCCCCCCCCCCCCCCCCCCGCTTTTCGAATTCCACGGCCGGGCATGTTTGGCATATCCTATCACCACACTCGCTGACACGGATTTACGTTATTAGTCGCAATCGAAAACTTTTGAGTGGCCAAGCCTAGTTTGCTAAATCCATTTGCTTCTGTACGATCACCACATACCTACCATTTATGCACTTCGTCTCTGTTAGCACATTTTCAAATGGCTTTTATATCGCCGAAAGGAATTTCGAGTCTTTACAATATTGAGTTGAATCGTTCAAGCTCCTAAAAGATCATATGCTCCCTTCAATCAGCACATACCGAACATAATATGCACTTCATCTCTATTAGCACAAATTAAAATGGCTTTTATATCTCCAAATGGATTTTAAAGTCTTTTCAATATCTAGCTGAATCATTCAGGCTCCCGAAGACACGCTCTTGTCAAGTATATAAGCAATGGCACGTAATTTGCTTCACCTTGAAGCCATTATACTTCCTGCCTTTCTGTATTCATCACTCAATACATGTATTTTGCTGATGGAAAACAAACAGCGGTCATGGTTAAGAGCACATCTCGAAAGCCAGACCGACAATAATGCAAACATTGGATGTTTCAGGCCGGTAATATACTGCAGCGTTTATTCCGTTGGGAATTTTAAGTGCTCGTGAACCACACACCAGCTAAATTCTGTACTTTTTTTTCCTGGGTCAATGTCAAGATGGAACCTTTTTACTTTCTGTTTAATTTCTTGTTAACTATCTCTTTAAACTTCCAAACTTGTGTAAGTTTTTTTTATCCTGGAATTACAAACATACAAAAAAAGAAGAGATTTCATTACAGCCTCCGTAGAGATAATATAAGTTTTCGCAACTAATTTCTCCAAGTTTTTATTTAGATTTAAATTGACAGAACACACAGATCGGCAATCCTTTCCCTTTTTTTTCTTTTTCATTCAGTTTTGTAATTATTTTTTTTAGGACCGACAGGAACTTGGTTCCCCTAATTGCCACGACAGTTTGCCATTTTTCATGTAAATGGTATTGTAGAAATATGCCTTTGGACGGTATTTAAATAGTTGAATTACGGTTATTACGGGTGCACGTTTTTAACAACCATTTTGTGCATACCATCCCTTTAGCTGCTTTCAAACTGAACATTTTGTTCGCGTCATTGCGAATCGAGAAGTGGCCCGAGTCCCGTTGAGAGTGTTATGTATTATTGTTTGGCTATCTGCTTGCTTGTTTGTTTCATTTGATTTGTTATGACACTCCTAGCGCCTTGCCTTCAGGACGATTTTGCCTGTGCGGATCGACCAGTGTGCATCAAGAGGTACCTGCTTTGTGATGCCATAAGGCAGTGTGGCGACAACGACGCAAGCGATGAACAAAACTGCGATTATGGCAAGTAGTCATTGCATTAACATTTTTTTTTGAGATGTGGCGAAAACAATAAAGTTATGGATGGATATCGTGTCCTGGAGATTTAACGTTTACAGGGTGAGTTAAATAGTCACCAAAATCACTGTTGTCCACGTGTAGGTCTAGTGTAGAGTGTTATGTCTTCCAAACAAGCTCCGGAGCTCAGTCAAGCGGATGGAATAAAGCTGTCCGTAGACAAACAGGTTTGGCACATGAAATTTGTATAACTGGCATATTTAACAGATAGCCAAAAACAGATGTCAAAAGTTGTTTATAGTGCGAAATGAGTCGTCCGAATTTTGGCTTTACCTTCCAACGAGAAGGGGGGGGGGGAAGTCAAGTCTGTCAGTATCGGCACCGAGGGAGTAGCAGTCACTTTTGCAATATACTCTCCTCAAAATTTACCATATTGAATCGTTAATCGCCGCGCCGCTGGAACTCAAATTATTATTATCAAGTTTTTGGCTATGGTGCACATTCCATGTGGCTATCGAAATCTGTGTACTTAACATTCCTGAATTTCTGCAACAAGCTGCATTTCGATTTGAGCGCTGATGTGTGAACTCCATTTGTATCGCTTTATTTGTTGTATTACACCCCAATTAGATTAATTGTCAGGTGATTAAAATGGTTCTCAAAGTTTGAAGTCTGACCTGTATGCAAATCCTACACTAATTAAGCAAAGACATTAACAGTGTAACCAACAAGCAAAAACTGTGATAAATGCTGATAGCTATTTCAATTTTTTTTGTGTGGTCAGAATCCCGTACCTGCACCGACCGGCAGTTTCGCTGCGGCATTTCAGGCAGCCGCATGGGCATGTGCATACCGCTCAGGAAGAAATGCGACCGGCGTCCGGATTGCTATGAAGGGGAGGATGAAGATGACTGCGGTGAGATTCTTGAAAAGAAGAGCATAAGTTAACACACATCCTCAAAAGATATACATTTATAAACTAACTATAGAGCTATGTCTGATTGATGAACAGATCATATGTTTTTTTTCACTTTTCACGTTTATCGAGTTTATGCTTTGTTCTTCCATGCGCAATCGTGTTGCATAATGTTCAATTTCAAATATGAACAAAGTTAACCATTCAAAATAGAACATCATTCATATTATAGCCATGTTTCTTTGATTGATAACCCCCAATTCTTCGTTTTCCTTTCATTTCCTTATTGTAAACAAAAGGGGGACGTGCAGTTTTAAAAGTGACTTTGAAACTGTTTTGACTTTGAAACTGTTTTGACTTTGAAATTGTTTTGTCAAGAAAACGATACGTCTGCATTTGCAGTCTATAGGCCCTATTCTGTCAAAAAACCTGATAGTCTTCATTTGCAGTATGATGTCATGTAGGCTATATTCAGGAAGAGGGAAACTAAGTCGCCACCATTTTTTTTAAAGTTCTAAATGTCATGGGTTCTTGGGGAACTTTTACTGCCTCTCAATCCCTTTCCATCTGCTGTCTTGTTCATCGATTTCATAAAAGGAGTAATCTAAAGGTGTCCCAGGCGATAAATTTATTGTTAGTGACAAAGGTGCATTTTGAAGGATAGCATTAAACAAACTGCATTACATTTGGCCCTTTAAACCAGTGCTTGTTCAAACAGTCTCGGCTGTGTTGACAGCCCCCATTCGTCTTCATTCGCAGTCTATGTGATCTGTTAGAAAATTAAGGCGGGGATGGGGTCTCTTGTAGTGTGCTTAAACGTCAGGGGCTTAAGATTGAGCGATACGCTATATCTTCCATTTCCCACTATGCCATCTTCACGACAGTACCTTTTGTATGTGCCAGACGGGGTGTAAGTGATGAAGTACTACAGAGCAACAACGTACGGACCTGATAACGAGTACTATTGTCCACCTTATTAAATAGACAATGAAAATATTGAATTGAACAGGAAGATGTGAATTATGCTCAAAAAGGCTATTTATTAACCGCACATAAAATGAGGTAATGACTGCATCACTCAAATTCCAAAGACAGAGCTTTTATTGATGACAATCAGCTTTATGTATACCGAGGTCGCTATATAATTATGTCGTCTCATTGTGCCTGACATGTCAAGAAAATCATAATAACAGATTGCGCCAAAAGGCCCGTCAAAAGCCGCTATTTGTTTTGTTTGTTTACTGAATTTAGATATATATATTTTCATCTTTATTCTAATTATTACTACACGGTGTTCAGTGAACATTGTGTCGTAGATGATACATGTCGCTGCAAAAACACATGTACCGAAGGTCTCGTAGAGCAATAACTGATCTTAAAACATAGCAAATAACATTATTCAATTACTGAAATTACCTCAAAATATTTCTATGATTTATAAAATACATAGGTATCAACTTTTTTTTGTTCATTGGTGGAGTTTTTTGGGGAGAAACACAATCTTTTGGAGTTGGAAAATCACTAACTGTTCACAAAACGTGACCGTTAAAGTCCGGCGCACAGAACAGCGCCACCAAGTGACAAGGATTTAAGGCACAACTGCCGTCTCCGAGGAAGATGATTATGTATATAGTTAAGATAATTTGATATTGTTTTCCTTTAAAGAATGCAAGAAGTCGGAGTTCAGATGCAAGAGGCGAGGTGGTTGTATTGCAAAGACGAGGGTTTGCGACGGACGAGCGGACTGCTTTGATAAAAGTGACGAAAGCGTCGAGATTTGTGGTAAGACATTTTGGCATGTCCATTGCCGAGAGGAGATTTGATATGTCGATATACCTAGGATAGCTGACAGCAAAAGACATAGATTTCACGAAGCTCTTGTTAACATGCCTGGATTATCCAATCGGCACAGTAGGCACTAAGCCTAGGGCCTATACGAAGAATTGGAGGGTTTAAAGAAAATACCACAGTGTGCCAACATGCATTTAGAGCTACAAATTTGAACTGGCTTGCTTAGGCCCCCAAAAAAGTCTCCGGTTTCTGGTATGCGCAAGCGTCGCCGTAGCCATGCGCGTCGGCAAAATGAAAAAGTTTTTTTTTTCAATGAAAGATGATGTCTCAAAACCGCCAAACTCACTGGTTTGACTGGAATCCGGCTGCTGCACAATTTTAACGTGTTTTTAGTTTGGGTTATGGTCGAGAATAAGCTTTATGTGGCCTCTCTGGACTCCCATATATTTGCTCTAAGTTTAGTCGGGCACCATTTGCAGTCATCAGCCGACTTTTGAAGCAAAACAATCAGGTAAAAAAAAAAGCCGCGTCGCCGCACCACTTTTTGGGCAAGCTCCATACCAAAAACCGGAGACTTTTTTGGGCCTTAGTACAGCTTAGCATCAACATGACATTGTTGCTGGTGCCTAGCGCGGTGCTGGTGCCTGGTTGAGTTGATGGAAGGGACCAATGAAATGCAGCGGTTACCTGATGAATATTTATGAGGCATACGGAACACTGGTGCCTAGGGCCTGCGGAACACTGTCTTAACCCGGCCCTGTTTGTTGATACCTGGTCGCCTAAACACGCCGTAATAAACCGCTGTCCTGAAAGAGGAATCGTCGGCGAGCACAAGCCACAACATTACAGGGTATATCAGTCAATATTACCAGACGACGGATTACGAATGTTGTGCAAAACTTGAGAAACAACTGGAAATGTAACTCGATACAATAAGCCATATCGATATTTGCAGTACACTTTTCATTCTATAATTTTGTTTGTGCTGAAACATAACAGCAAATACATGATCTTGAGAAGCATTATGTCCTGATAATTGTATGACTTATGCATGTACAGCCTTTATAGTTTTCGATGCAATTCAGTCATGTGCCACTAGTTTTAGACGCAATTCAGTCTTGTGCCACGAGAGGTTTTTCACTTTCCTTTTGAGATATCGTTTGAAATTGTTTTTGCTCCTCAGGTGTTTCAAATCGGACCTTTCCCGATTGTACCTCGTCGTCCTTTTTCATGTGCCCATCTAAAGCAGGGTGCATCCCTTGGAAATTTGTCTGCGACAAGTTCGCCGACTGCTTGGACGGATCGGACGAAGAGCCTATTTCAATCTGTGTAGACAACAGACTTGAAATTTTACGTACGTACGTCCTTGTCATCCTCATTTGATGTATATTGTAGTGCAAATACATATAACTAAACATCATATATATTTATTATTATTATTGTTGGTTTATTGAAATTGAACTTGTAGCCAATGGCTAAATTGCATCAATTTTTACAATAAAAAAGCAACATAAAACATTAAAAGACAGGGTAAAATTCCATAACAAAATTGAAAATACTTCCTCAGAAAATTAAACATGTTATACACATACACAAGACACCACAAGTTACTTACAACAATAAAATATATATCAAAAAAAATACAGAGCAAACAACGCTACACAATATCAAAACTCAACACAAAAATAATTATCTTACTTCTACTACCCTAAGACCCAAACCATATGTATGGAGAACCACTCTATAGAAGAAAAATGAAACCAGTAGTTTCTGTTCTAGAGCCTTGTGGGTACGTGTGGTTTAGCGGTGGGGCAGGCGCGGTTCTATGGGGGGTTTAACAGCCCCCCCCCCAAAAAAAATTTTGTCTAGCCCCCCCCCCAAATAAATTCCGTAAAGAAAATTGCATTACCAAAAAGAAGGATTGTGATGTACATGCGAACGCTCTCCCCCAAAGAAGAAATAGCGCTGACAAGGGTGCATTAGTTAATATAGTGTGAATGATTTTAGGATTTTATTGGCGCTCTCCATTGAAAATATGGAACGAGCCCCCCCCCCCCCCCCCCCCCCCCCCCACCTATTGATTTTCGGAGGCCTAAGTGTCTGGAAAAATAACTGGTAAACATTTCAGCACGTCTCCCTGAAAAAATTCTGGCTTCACCGTGCTAGCCCCCCCCCCCCCAAAAAAAAATGGTTCTAGAACCGCGCCTGCGGTGGGGCACAGGATTCATGATCGTGAGGATGTGGGTGCGAGCCCTGCCGTGACCATGCGTGTTGTGCTCTTAAGTAAGGCACTTTATCTCAATTACTCCTCTCAACCCAGGTGTTAAATGGGTATCGGCATTATTCAATGCTGGGAAGGTAACAGGCTCGCTGTGGAGGAGGTGTGGGACCATGGGCGTCGCCAGGATTTTTTCTAGAGGGGGGCAAAATTTTTTTTTGCCAAAAAATGCTTGTATTTCTCAACACATTCTCGATTTATCAGTTTTAGAGGGGGGCAGGGACATGTCCCCCCCCCCCCCCACACTCATTAAATTTACACCACTTTGTCTTCGCGCCTCTTTTTCTTCCTTTTTTGTTGTTGTTGTTGTTGTTGTTGCTTTTCCAGGGCGGGGGGCAAGTGCCCCCTTGCCCCCCCCCCCTCGCGACGCCCATGGTGGCGACCCCCCCCTCCCCCACAGCAGCATATGAGTCTGGCCCAATCGCCAATGTTTTCTTCATTACGGTGAAATACACACCGATCCAATATAATTATGTTGTTATGTTAGAAGTGAAGTGGCCGGGTTTTACAATTCTTCATTTCAGCACAAACGTTTACGGATTTACGGGCGATACAAGTTGCACATTATTGAATATTCAAATGATGAGCATGCAATATTATGATTTTAACTGAGGATTTGACTAATTTTTGACTTTTCTCAACTGTTACGTTACCTTTCATTGACAAGAGCAGTTCAAGCATGCATGGAAATTATTATTTCATTCAGAACTTAATTTAAAGTTAACATCCACTGCAATGTTGTTAGTCCAATATTTAACAAAATGAAGTGAAGCTCAACATCAAATTGGTTTAGCCACACTACTCCACGAATGATTTGTCGGAGGCGATTTATTCACCACTGGCACGTCTCCGTGTATATGTAGTGAAAATAACACACTAGCCTGTGTCAAGCCTATAACCCGTCGCAGCTGCTCTCCACAAATACAATGCAACATGCAGTACACAGTACACAACGTGTGTACGTTCTACTTTTGTCTTTCAATTATAATCTCGAACTTATACAAAAAAACCTAAATATCCCCAGGGACACCTTTCATTTAGATCTAACCATGCATGTTACATTACTCGGTGTTTCCTCGTCTCCTGTAAACGTGTTCTGCACCGTTGACCACGGGCGATCCTCGAGCTTGATCACATACCCTGGGATGAACTCGGGCTTAAATTTTTACCGCTCAAATTTGGTTTGGTCATATTTGCATCGATTTCAGTTTGGGTTCACACAGTCGTTGATGCCTTCTTCAAAATATCAGGACAACTTCACCACTTTTATATGTTAATGCTGTTTGGACCTATGATTACGTCATCAGTTACCGTAGTACGTTCCTTGTTTCAAGGCTTCGACTGTGTCAATCCATTATGCGCGTCTGTGCTGTACTTTGTATCGGTCTTTATCCAGCTGCCACCATTTCAGTCATGTTCCCTGTATCAAATAAAAGTACTGAATGATAATGCCTCTTTTGTGAAAAACAGAACCAGTCTATTTGTCCCCAACTTGTTCACCTGGTGAATTCATGTGCAAGAGTGGAGAGTGCATCCAAGAAGGCTGGGCATGTGATGGGTCTTTGGATTGCAGAGATGGGTCCGATGAAGCACTGAAGCTATGCGGTAAGCATAGACTTTTGACAGTGGCATTAAACGTTTCGTCCGAGTGGCAAAGCCGCAAGGCGACTTGATGGGAGACAACAGAATTTCGCAACTTGATATGATTGATATAAATACATGTCTCAGAATAGTCTCAAACCTGAAGATAATCAGTTCCATTGAGCTTTGTACCAATGGGTTAAAGAGGAATCCCTAAGCTGTTTTCGAGTTTGATCCTGAGAAAAAAATACATACCTTATCTACAACTTGAGGGCGTAAATCCCGGGGGTGGTGTTGGGATGGGAAGGATGTACCCCCCCCCCCCTTGGCCGGGGGTGGGGGCCTTAATCCAGACACGACTTGAAAAACTGTCACCCGTTTACGGAATTCTGTAGATTAATACAGAGATTAAACATTGAGTTTGGTGAAGAGCACAGGTGATGCAATTTTAACCAAAGTTAATAACACACTTGATCACTGCCTTTGTTCAAACTCAGGTCGACCATTATGCACACCACCGCAGATCCCCTGTCCTGCTGGAGGTTGTGGAACACTGTGTGACCTCAATCCCGAGTGTTTCAACGGATGGGATGAAACGAATTGCAGTAAGTTATCTTCTGTCAGTTGTTTGTTTTCGCATTTAGCATGGGGTCACGCCCCCCCCCCACCCGCCTGGAAGACCAACGAGACCCCAAGTCTGACCCGAAAGATGCGACAGGTGTGCCGCGTTGAATGCAAATTTCAAACAAAGAGGAAGATAATTATTTGGCGTTTGATGTCTATTTTTTTTGTAACCGCCGCCGTGTGACCCACAAAGAAGCTGCTGCGATTGCTGCATTTCCCCCGCTTCGACATGCCAAGGCCTATACCCCTTCCAGTCCAAAGGGACCCGGTGTCCTTTGAAATTCAGTTTGCAGAAGCATGATGCTGCCTCCGAGTTATCGCACATATTCGTAAACCAAAGAACAAGCATCATCCCTGTGTTTTTGGTGGTCAAACGCATTTACTTTTCAAGCATTCAATGATATTCTTTTCTCTCCTATATATTTTTGTAGCTTGTCAGGTACTAGACGAGGAAACCGTCATAGAAGAAATCAAATGCAAAAATGCGTCTTCTACAAAGTATTTCAAGGGTAAGAAATAAACAGATGTTCCTCTGTTGTTGGTTAGCGCTCAAGTCGAAGCTTAACAATGTCCACACAGTTTTAAACATTCAGAAACTTACGAATGTGAGTAAACAGCCGTCAGGGGTTACCATTTGATTAGTTGAAACAAGTGTAATTGTTTTACCTCTGTCTTGAAAACTGTATTTTCATTGGCCTAGAACGATCATGTGTTAAGTTTATAAAAAGTCATGGCACATTCCCTGTGGGATATCACGTACCTTATATCCCACAAGGAGTGTGTGCTATGACTTGGTACGTATGCGGCACGTACGGTGTGAAACGCTTGTATCGTTGGTACCCACGCTATTTTCACCATGTTTTCACTCACGAGTGGGAGCAGCGAACTAGCAGACGATCAGACGATAAGCGACATGCATGTGGGTTGCCGTTAGATTGTCATGATTGTTGTGTTTACTGCCGTTTGTTTTCGTGATTTTTACATCAAAATCCAAAGAATCCAAGACAGAGGTATAACAAAAACAATTCGCCTCGGGTGTTATGCGCCCCTCGGGTGTTCAAAACGTCATATCCCACATCACAGCAGTCAACAATTGTTGAATGTACATAAACATTATTTGGTTTGAATACTGTTATGTCAATTGCGAACTGATTGCGAAATAATTTTGGGTTATTGTTCATACAACAAAGCGCCAAAATAGACCTTATCCACCAGGAAGCCATATTATTCGATCGTGTTCCCTGTATTTATTTCATAAATTGTAATTTGTTGAATGGGATGGTGCCAGACTATTTCATGATTCCAAGTCCAATTTCAGTTTTGTTTTGTTTTGTCTGAAAGGTATCATCAGAACAGACTGGTTTTTATTTGTAATGAACTTGTATTTTACCCCCCCCCCCCATTTCTACTTGCAAGTTCCAAAAATGACGAGTTTATCTCGCTTTCAATTTATGGCTGACTTGTGAATACAGTGCATATCGGTGACCGAGATACAGTTGGGGTAATCACACTGTGCGGAAATAAATTATTCGAGATGACTCCATAGCTAAAGCCAATAGGCGTATTTTGCTTGTTTAAGGTGCCGAGTACCCATACCTAACAGTCTGTGCTACAGCAACCCCGTTCTATCGTTGTGATGGAGGGTTGGAATGTTTCAACACTACATCTAAGCTGCCGGAGCATTGCAAAACAGGTTGGTTAACCTTTAGATCAGAAATGTCTCATGCGTTCTTTTATTTTTTTTACAAACTTGAAGGGGGAAATGGTCTCATCGTAATTTATTGGCTTTTCTGCCATCATCGGAAAAGCCTTTGTTTTTATATCCTGTATTCCCTTAAACTCTCATTTGCTTGCCAAAGTGTACTCCGAGTGTTACATCGCCACTAATGGATGGGACTACAGGGGCACTAAAACCCAAGACGATTGTCTACCGTGGTCAGACCCACGGGTTGCCCTGCTCAACTACACGGGACAGAACTTCAGGGAGCTGGAGGGAGTGAAGCCGGGCTCGACGGTGGGGCACAGTCTCTGCCGGAACCCAGGAGGTGAGAGGGACACGATCTGGTGTTTCGTGGACTCCGGGAATGGGTCACTGGAATATAAGAATTGCACGCCTCTGCCACCTCCAATTCCTCTAAGAAAGTCTTGTCATGATGGTGAGTCTACGTGTGTCAGGTTGGTGAGTTTGATGTCGACGTGTTGCCCTATATTTATGCCTACTTTATGTTGTGGTTTACTGTGAGCTTGGCGAGATTGTGGTGAGTTTGGAGCTATATGGATGTGACTTTTGTGTTTCGGTGGTGACTTTGTCGATTAATGTTTTGGTAATGGGTTTTGTCTTACGGGGGTAACTTTGACTTAAATTAGTGAGCTTGATGTTATGGTGATGAGTGAATCGTTCTGGTGGTGAGTTTCTTTAGTGTTATTATGGTAAGTGTTGTGATGTTGAGATTGGTGTTATGGTGGTGAGTTTGGTGTTATATTGGAAGGGTGTTTCAATTTAGCAGTGAATGGTTTTAACGTACAGAATTGTATCTTACATTTAGGCTTGTTCTCAGACTTTAATTCGATAGTAAGGATACAAGGTTTAGACTCGAACTCGTATTTTGTTTTACTTTTGGACATTTTGACTTTAAAAGCCTGTTCACAATTGGCAACTAACTCTGATCCCCTGCCCTGGCTTTGTCATTATCTTTGATAGAGTTGTTTAGTGTGGCCCTATCGCAAGACGACAGTTCTTCCGATCCTACCCAAGGGCGCGTAGAAGTCAGCTTCAAAACGGGCGCCGTCGGCACGATATCCGACCCTGACTGGACTCTGGAGGATGCCAACGTGGTTTGTCGACAGCTCGGTTTCCCAGCAGGAGCGATCGTGAACTCGACCATTGACTTCGGACCGGGTACCGGGCGAGTGCTGCTCAGGGATGTCCAGTGCATGGGTATCGAGGTGAACCTCATCGATTGCCTGTACAGACTCGCCTCGGATCAGGATACCAACCACACGTATGATGTTGGCGTGGTCTGTAATGATACGGACGCTGGTAAGCTTTGCAAGTTTACACTATTTTATTTAAGCTATAAGGAAAAATACCGGAGTTGAAACTTTTCCTTTCAAAGATCACAAGATAAACCTTAAACAGACTTGTTGGTTCAATTGTATGTAACACTTCGACTTTTTTCATTCCCTTCAGTTCCAAGAAGGCAGAAGCGAGGTGTGGCCCCAACTTCAGACCTCATCAGCGACGCATGCCCCTTTTGTTCCAAGAAACGACTGAATTCTGAACCATCTCCTGATACAACATCTCGTAAGTTACATTGTACTGTTAACCTGCCCAGATGGGGTAATATAGGTGCATATCCTTACAACACATGTGCTGGTCATCCTAAACCAAGCCGTTCTTTTTTGAACACGATCTGTTGTGATTCACTTTTGGATGGTTTCAGACCTATGCCACGTTGAGCACGGTGCCTAAGTTCAGCCCAAGATTTAGGACTCGAGCTACAATAAGTGCATTTACGTCCGGATTACATTACGGTCCGGGTTTTAGGTCTCAGGTGATATACCACATATACACGTGTACTCTACTATAATGATGTGCAAGGCCGACCCGAAACCGAAACCGAAACAAATTAGGCAACCTTCCCAAAAGAATTTCAGGTGTCACCCCTTCTAAATATCTTACCTAGGGCTATAAGTATCTATCTGCCAAGTTTGGCGCTTTGGACCAGTCCTTCATTATCTTGTCAAAAATTGGGTTTAAGCCACCTGACTAATAGGCACAATTAAGCGAACCGGGCCTGCCGTTGTTTCCCATTTTATGTAACCAACTACCTTGTGTGGATTTTCAGCCTTGTAATTTTCAACTTCCAATAGGTAAACAAAACACCGAAAGATGAACCTTTGTAGCATTTTAACAGAGTTATAGCTGCAAGCAGGTATTTGCTTTTTATGCCACCTAGAGTCACTTTCTGACAATTATTATGACTTTTCCGTCAACTTCAAAATCGACTTCACTTCTAATTACATTAACTTTGCAAGCGGATTTGTTTAACCATAGTGAATGAATGAAATAGGTACAGGAGCGTATAAAAGTAGGTTTAACTTGTTTTTTTTTGCATTTTCACATCGAAACAAGCATATTTTGTTAATGATTTATGAAAACTATAACGCATGTTTAGAAAGCACTGTTGGTGAGTACCTGAAAAAAAAAATCAGACTTGGAGACTTAAACTTGGAGACTTATATTGTTTGTTAGCTTTTTGGTAATAAGTTTGGTTTCGAGAGCAAGCTAAACAATATATATCTCAACTAGCTGTGTCAAACTTGTCGAGATGCCAGTCCCTAAATTTGGTATCGGTTAGTGGAATTGGTAATGACCAATCGTCGCTTTTTGTATATTTAATCTTCAATCAATACTATAAGTTCACTCAAAGTCACTCTTATCGGATTCTGACAGATTTCAATTCCATCTTCCTATTCTACTGATAAATATTTTTTTACCAATTCAGCATGTAAACACGAAGAGTTTCAGTGCACAGAGCGAAAACCAAACGCTCCAATAAAATGCATCCCTCGGGAGTACGTGTGTGACAGATACAACGATTGCAGCGACAACGGGGGACTTCTAAAGCCAGGCATGCCCATGGACTCGGACGAACAACATTGCACTCTTTCCGGTAAGTCTGTTCGACTATAAGAATTGCTGCAATCGGAGGACACATACAACGGAAGGCCAGAAACTTCGTTTTCAACGCTCGTGTGGATTCTGAAATGATGATCCATGATAACTCTTTCAGTTGTTTACATTCAAGCTTGTCCATATATCACTGTTGTCATATTTTCCTTTTCACTTAGGCAGCATATTGAATAAACATGTTTTGTTGCCTCATGAATAAATGTCTGAAGGTGTTTGCTTTGCGGTCAAACTAGTCATTCCGTGTCTCACTATTATAAGGGCCAACCAATGGCATAAATACAATAATATCAAACATAACATTTTTTTTCATAGTGATTTAACACTTGCAACCCTTACAGTACACTGCAGTGCACACCCCCGGGCAGATTCAAAAGAATCTTTTTCAGTTTTGCAGTTCGAACTTTCCTGCTCATTTATAACTTTAAAGAATCACTTTGTTTCAGCTGGAGATTGTGGGAATGGCAATTTCAAGTGCCGCAGTGGGGAGTGCATCCGTTACTGGCAAACTTGCAACAATTTCCCCGATTGTCAAGACGGGAGCGATGAGATGCTGCCAGAATGTGAAGTTAGAAGAAGTGGTACGTATGAGCTTCAATCTTTAATCCCAGATCCTATATCATTTCCATTCATTCCGTTTCCCATCATGTACGCAATCCTTCTTTACTCCGTTTGCATTATCATTTTACTTATTCCTTGTTTAATGTAACGGCACCGCAGATCAACGTAATGACAGCAAGTTTTGTGACCAATTCACATAGAAGAAACAGATACTACATGTATAAATGATCTCACCGGCTTCCAATAATCCGAGAGCATGGAAATGCAAACACGCATCTTTTGATTTAGCTAAAAGAACCCCTGTTCAATTTTGCTAGCCGTAATTGCATCTGGAGTCGAGATCCTGGATTTGTAAGACTTTTTGACGTTCTTTGCTGATCTTCTCACGTATTCTCATAGTCCAAAGGTTCCCAAGCTTGCAACCTCACCTTCTATTCTGATTGATTTGTCCACTATATAAACTTTTTTTTCAAAATGCTCCTGCCTCTTTTTCGACCTGTATTCCTAGTTTTATAGTTAAAAGCATTCACTTTTATCAAATGTTGACAATTTTTGCCACTCATTCATTTCCACCCACACGATGAATCGTTCCCAGCCTGCCGACTCCAAGAGTTCCAGTGCACGGAACCTCTGTCAGATGGAACCTACAAGTGCATTCCTCGGAATTTCGTGTGTGATAGATACAACGATTGCGGCGACAATAGAGGGCCACTTACTGCCACGATAACGAGGGCTTCTGACGAACGCGCGTGCATTAAACCCGGTGCGTATATATTTTGTTGGATATTTGGCTGGTTTCCCCCACCACCCAGTTTTGTCCCCGCCCTCCCCCAGTTTGGCCCCGGCCCCTCCTGAGTTTTCCCCGAACACTCTATCTACATGTCGATTAATTATGTTTGTTTTCGTCGCTGTAAAAATTCATAACATTTGGGGCCAATGAAAGCATAAAAAACACGCCACACATGCATTTATACAGCCGTAGGAAGTGTGTAGCCAACGTCTTTGTGCATTTTAGTTATACACCATTCTGCGGTTTGATACATTTCTTATTCATTAAAACGACTACACCTCTAAGTTGCTCTAGTGGCTTATTTTCGGACCATTGGCAATGCGTACACAGGCTTGGGATTGTTTTTGATTGCCCCCCATTTTTTTCCTTGGCCCCCCTTCCCAATTTCCCCCAAAATTTGAGAGTCTGGCGCCGCCACTGCCTTTTCTATTCAAATGGAGGTTTTGTTGATAAGTCTGCTAAACACACCGACCTCAATTGAATTGTTTTTAACAAACTGACTGTGAATGACATGATATACTTTGCAATACGGGCGATTCCCAATAGTGCGCCTCCAAGAGTTTGCAACGCGTTGGCCAATCACAATGCACGAAATCAGTCGACCTTTTCCAAACGCGCATTGGGTCGACAGATTTTGCGCATTGTGATTGGCCAACGCGTTGCAAACTCTTTGAGGCGCACTATTGGGAATCGCCCGTATTGAATATAATCGGGCAATAAAGCTCTTACAGTTTTCCACAGCAGGACCTTAATTCAAATACCTTTGACGGAGTAGTCTGAATGGTTTGTTTTTCAACTGTGCTCATTTTAGGAGAGGTCCCGCCCGATAACTACTACCGTTGTCGCGACGGCATGGAGTTCATCCATGAGTATGATGTCTGCAACACGGTAAAAGACTGCAAACAAGGAGACGATGAGGAGAATTGTTACTTGGCAGGCAGATCTGGTAAGTGACTTTTTCGGTCGTCGTGGTCGTGATGGTGCCAACTGTGAATTCAGCGGACAGTGGAACCGGAGCATATCTATACAAACATGGAGCTTAAATAACCCAGCCTCTTAAACGCTTGTATTTTGTGCTTCTGCGCACTCCTTATGACCTTTTTCAAACACAAACCAAGGGACACACAGACATCAGACAGACAGACAGACAGACAGACAGACAGACCGACATCAGACAGACAATGTACGAACCTTTAATATAGGATGCGCTTGCATTGACCGTATCTAAACTTGATTCAAGACGAACAGCTTCGTCAGAGTAAACACAGGTATGGGAACATCAGTACCTTGGTACTGATATACTTTCCTCATGGTTATCAGGAAACTGTTGGTGTGACGTGTATCTCCCGGTTTTGTGCAGTGTGGGTGAGGAATTTCCTCGCCAACATGAGACATCGAGTAAAATACAAATGTGTATACTCTGACTGGATTGGCTTACCTGGGATAGTGCCACAAGGTACCATCATTGGACCTATGTAATTCTTGGGTATGGTCAATATGGGGCAATAAGCTTATCTTTGAATGATTTGAACAATGTGGAAATATTGTTGATGACCTGATAATAGTTGAAATAGAACAGATGGTGATGCCAGTTACATGCAAGACCATTTGAAGATCTTGCAGGAATGGTCCTATTGTTCCTCATCATCGATCTTTTGTTTATTTTCTAACTTTTTTTTGCAACAGCTACCATAGATTTTGTACACGTTTTCTAATCGAGTTCATCCTCGATTTGACCCCTGTCCTCAGATACTTGTTAATGCTTCACATGTTTGTCCTCGAATTACACCATAAACATGCGCAAGCCTGTTATTTTACTTTCTCCAATTAAAACTTACACAGATCCATTCGGTGGCCTATTTCAAGATCCAAAGTGGTATTTTCCATATCTGGTAATGGTGAGCAAGGAACACCGCAGCCACCTTTTCGACAATTTCATGGAAGATTTCAGGGCGCCCCCATTCGGCCGGGTCAAAGGTGATTACCCCCCGGACTGGAACGGCTTCGTGACGTTTAGCTCCACACCTGATTACAGTGACCTCGTCGGAGTGGCAAAAATGAGCAAGGATGAAGTCAGTCGGTACGGACACCAAAAGGATGACTTCATCTTGCAGTGCACGTACGAGCAGAGGAAGTGTAACATGAGGTAAAAGTAATTTTGATACCACGATATGCTGGGAAGTTTCATTGGTTGGGAACTGTTCACATGATGACCTCACTGTCTTCGCTGAGTAAATCACATCATGTAAACCCACATTCTTCACCTGATCAATCTTTCACAATTTTCGTCCCCACTGCTTTGAACAAGACGACTACAATAGACTGTGCCCAATGTGGATCGCTTACCAACGCGGACCCGCGCACGCGCACTGCGCACCCGCAATACCAAAACGGATGTCAAACGGAATAACTTTGACTTTGTGAATAATGACCTCCTTATTTATCCTATATTTACTTTTCAAAGAGGCAACAGAGTTATTGAAAATTATAACAATGTAATTATTAGTGGCAGAAAATTATAACAATGTAATTATGGAACCACAAATTGTCTGTTTGATCAGGTTTCAGGCGTAATGGCACTTTCGTTTCCGCCTCAGGTGCCATTTGCATGTACTCCTTAGGCGTACAAAACGCCATATATATAGATTACATCACAACATACAACACTTGTGTAGTATATTCTTTTCTTCAAAAATATAGGCCTGCCTATTCGGCAAACCACGTATTTTACGAGCTTGCACTCTCTAGTCCGCGACGAACGCATCTGTATACGGCCAAACGTTCAAAAAAAATGTTATGTTAATGTGCATTGTGCAGTAATGCACACATTTTTATTTTGTCAGGTAAATTACAACGACAATATTAATTTCGATGTTTTAACATTGAAGTGTGCAGTTGTGAAACAATCCATAATCCTGTATTTCTTTTTTCCCCTTTCCAGCAATTTTCAGTTGTTGCAAGATGATAATTACGGTAACTGCTTCACCTTTAATGCCGCAATAGACAACCCAATCACTGCAAAGAAAACAGGCTCCAGATACGGTAATTACGGCTGATTAAATTATTTTGTTATTAAATAATTATATTCGAATTTATAGTTATTGGACATGATAGGGTTTTTTTTTATGAAGACAACTGATTGCCATAAAACAATGTGATACCTCTTTTCTCAAGTTGCCACAATTAAAATTTCGCATGTGAACAAAGATAGAGGACGGATGCTTGGCTATAGGATCGGGTATGAACTACAAACTTGCCTCTCCCTGGTAATATGTGAATCCCTGCTATTAAAACCGACATTAATACAATGTGAACTGATCTATACTGATGTGACTCAATTTACCCGGGTACAGGTCTCCAAATGACACTCTTTTTGGAACAGAGTGAATACATTAGTATATTCGGACCAGAGGCTGGAGTGAGAGTATGTATTAACCCCCAACACATCCGGCCCAATCCGACCGACACTGGAATGACTGTCAAGCCGGGAACCGTTACCTCTTTAGGTCTCAGATATGTAAGTAATTGCAGTGGGCCGAGAACCATTAAAAATTCACACAGGCATTCAGTAACAGATGAGATCATTTGTTTCAAGCCTGAAACATGTCTACGTTTGGAATATTGACACGGTCATGACATGACAATAACAAATTGCTCTCATCTACGAATTCTCAACCTTTGCAATATCTTCGTGTAAGTTGCTCAACTCTCCCATTTAGACACTTTGATGGATTAGTTTTTGCAATCGCTGACATCACCGAAATATCCCCTTTGTCACAGAACGATGTGCTCCGAAAAGGGTTTCCGTATGGAAAGTGCTTGAAGAAAGTTAGGAACACCAAGATTATTGCTGATGGCGAGATCAAAATCTCTTCATTAGATTATTACGATAGAGAGGTGAGTTAGTTCAATATATTGATATATTAGTATGATATATCAGTATGATCATCAAAGTTCATATAAGTTTTGACACCGGTACTCACTTTGAGGGCGTTTAAAAAGTATTAACTGTTAATCTTCTTTGAAGTATCTTACAATTACAGTTTTAAAGCTAATTTGAAATATCTTCGAAGAAATACTTTTCCCGACCACTGCGAAATGTTGTTAAAGTTAAGCTTAAAAGACATTTTTTAATACAATGTTTTAAATGCCTCTTTTTATTCAAAAAAAGTTATGTAGAAGTTCAGTCAGGATCAATCTAGGACCTATTCACTTTGAGATGGAAAGAAAATGTACATCGCACTGCTGACACCAGTTTTGTCAATGTTTAATTTCTCCTAACAGCTGTGTAAGAAAACATGCATTCATGAGCACATTAGAAAATACTGTGGTTGCTCGGATACACTAGAACTCAATGGTGAGCGATGCAGTTTGCTGAATAAGACCCAAGGTAAATCAGGATATCAAGAACATCATAATTTATTCTGGTTCTTACACAACCTATAAAGAATGTAACTTATTTGGAGATGATGCATTGAACACTTTAGTAAATACTAAACCTGACTTTGACGAGACCATCATGTATGTTAGTTTGTTGCTTGGTTGGTTAGTTAGTTGATTTGTCTGTTAACAAGATAACTCAAAAAGTTATGGACAGATATTTGCATATAAAAAAATGGGGGTGGTCCTTCGAACAAGTACTAATCGATTAGACTTTGGAAGTGATCCGGACCTGGTCTGGATCCAGGATTTTTAAGTATTCTTCACCATTTATGCGAGTTTTTCTTTTGGGTGTACTAACAATATGGCCAGGAATTGTTAAGCCTTGGCGGAGGTTTGCGCTGTCTGAGAGCTTTCTAGTTTAATTCTGTAACAGTGGTTGTAATCATCCTATCACCAGTTGCCATGGGAAGGGTCTATAACTCTCTATATATGCCATTTTATTCTCACACTTCTGGGTCAAAATAGCAATTTGTGTGTGGGAAAATTAGGTAATAATATTATCAGTTCATAGATGTCTGAATTCAAGTTTCTCTTTTTTTTTCACGAGTAGAAGTCTGTGTACAACTGGTCTACTATCTTAGTCAGCACAACAACTTAACCTGTTCCTGTCCGCAGCAATGCAGGTAGGCTTGTACATGCCAAGAGTGCATTCCCTCCCCAACACTCGAAGCAGTATCTTTGTACTACTACAAACATGGGGGCAGACCCGGTGATTTATGTTAAGTATATTGAGATTTTACAGTACATTATACTTGCACATTATAATTTGAATTCTACGGACTAAAATCACAAAAAATCAAGGTAGTTTACCATTATCTGTTATAATGACAACCTTTCGTTAGGTTTTGGTATTTCTGTGTCTGAAAGTTGTGGCCTACGGGAATGGCCCTCTTTCATATCACTCATTTTCATTCACATTCCCAACTTCATCGTTGTTTCTTATTCATTCCAGTGAGGTGTATTACACAAAGACAAGTTCGATGTCAAAGTGGCCCTCACAAAAGTTTGCGGTAAGATGGACTTCATTCCTCACATTGCTTTTGTCGTGCTTCCAGTTTTTCGAATCGTGTTTACTCGGGTATTTACTTCTCCGTTGTATAATATATTTTTTTAATTTCAGAAACACCTGTTGAGAAACATACATTCAATCAATGAGAAGACGCTGCATTTGAATGAAGAAAATTTGTTGTAAGTAGGCCTATACACATTTGGGGCGGAAATGTAAAGAATGAATTATATTTGTGTTTCCAAATACAGAATTGTAAAAACTAATTTCCTAGTTTCAGATCGGGGAACAGATAACACAATTTGTTTGTGCATTAAGGCCTACGATATCGATTGTTTGAAATGCACAAGAAATAATTCAAGCAATAATCAAGTGTTACTGTGAGTGTGGTAAAGAGTATCCATTAGTTTTCATTATTCCCATTTTGGTAACTGTGCACGATATACATGAATGCACTCAATTTAAAGAATTACATGTATTAGTGAATAAAATACATCAATTTGTTCAGCGATTAATGAACTACCAAGAAAGGGATGTTTGGCCGTAGAGCTGGCTCGATATATATATATATAATAGTGTTGCCTGAAACCATAAAAAGTGACTATTGATCAAAATCTTCCAAGAAGGGTGACACACAACTATCTGTCCAAGACCGAGGGTAATTTTGTGGGCTGCATACCAATGTTCCCCAATACCGATGTTCCCCAATACCGATGGTCCCCGAAATCCCTACCCTATAACCCTAACCCTAACCCTAACCCTAATCTTAAGGATTTCGGGGAACATTGGTAGTGAGGAACATCGGTATTGGGGAACATCGGGTAGACCCCATTTTGTGTCTGTTCTGTCCGAGTTTAAGTATCGAAGACATAATTTCGTAAGATTTGGGTCTGAGTCTGATACCAAAGTTGTACGAGTAGCCTATAATACAGACAACATAATTGGCAGGTATACAAAACATCCCATTTGCATTATGTTTTTGCAGTGACAACATTGTGAGACTTGAGATTTATTACGAGGAGTTGAACTATGAAAGCACTAAAGAGGTGCCAGCTTATCAGGTTTGTTTTGATTAATGTTATTAATTTTGCATAAAATATACGACTAATATTGGTAGTAATCTTTGCAATTACATGACACAAGTTATTCAACTTATGCCCCTTCCCCATGCTTTATCGTAAAACAGTGCGTATCTATACACAACTTTGAAATGGGTTAGATTTGTATCTTTGAAAACCGGGTGCAATTTAATTGCTCTGCTATAACCAACAGGGGTATTCGAAACCCCGTTCTCGTGATGGATGATACGAGAACGGGTTCCGAAAAACGAGAACCAACACGCGAACGGTGTTCGCGAACAGGATTTGCACTCCCTACTTATATGGGAGTAAATGAAGAATGTGACATTAGATTGCACTAACATTAGCTTAGCACACAAAAAGTTTGGGTTATACAATCAGGTTACCAGCTAAAATTCCATGTGATTTTCATGCTAAGCAAACAACATCTGAATACCTATCACAAGCAATATACACCACATTGGTTGGTAATCTGTTTTTGCTTAGGCAGACTTTTCATGCTAAGCAAATTGTTGGGCTTAGGTACCAGGATGCCAAAACCCTTTGGAAATATATATTTTTTTACTGGTGTCAAACCCATGACGTGTTTTAAATATTTATTCAATTTCTTTCTCGATGTCAGGAGGCCTCGCTGTTTGGAGACCTTGGCGGTATCGTAGGCCTCTACATTGGCTTCTCTCTCATAACGGTCTGTGAGTTCATCGCTCTATTCCTGAAACTCATCAAAAAGTCTTGCTGCAATCGTACCGTCAGAATATAGGAATTCGACTCATCCAATAAATGTATTAATAATTGCGGCAAAGAGTACCTTTAAGAGACACTTTATAGACGTGTACCTGTGCACAAACAAATCCTAACTCCAAAGACACTTAACCAGAACCTTAGCTGTACCTACCCTCACCAAACTATTATGTTTTGCATCACAATGAATCGATTTCAGTCTAGAAATAAGACTTGAAGCGCTAGAAAGACATTCAAACGTCTGCCTAATGTACCTTGTCTCACATGGTTATGGTTATGGTTAGGGTTAGGGCCTAAGGTACAACTTTGTAGGGAAATGTGTCTCCTAGCTAATGGACCTTTATTGAGACTAGAAAACTGGATATGTTTTGAAAAAATTGAGGGTTTCCTTGACAATAGATCCCGATGTCTAATAAACTGAAGTTCTAGGATTGATAAATATGTTCCTTACTGTTTTGCCTTCATCAAGTCTGTTTTGAAATTTAATGTTAGTTAGTAAGAGCTCAGGTAAGTGTGTAGTAGATTTATGTAAAGTCCTTTCAGAACCTCTTATTCGATATTCGATGTGTCTTATTCCTCTTTAATCAAGGCGGATCATCAAGATTGTGCGTGAAGAATTACTGCCCTGCATTTCACCCTTCCTGAACGTTTAGGCAATTGCCCTACATGGGAATATTTATATACTTTCGAAAAAAAGTTTTAGAAGTGTTTGTCATATATTACCATCATTCAAGACTCTGGTTAACTTATTGACGTGTTGATTCATGTATTGCAAGGTGGGTGCCTACACATGTGCAAATTGTTGGTGTAAACTATACTTAAAAAAATTGTATCTTCTTCTTTAACTTTGCAAAGAATTTACAAAAACATGTATCCGAGACATGAGTTTTCAAAGTATTACGAAGTTGACTTTTATCAAAATACTGCGCAATCATCACTTTCAGTGAGTCAAAACACACACAATTTTCCTCCGTTCGGGCTTCGATTATTTGTAGCACGTTGAGATTGTAAGTGCAATAGGGGATGTTTTATACCTTGTAGGTGATCAGTCTTATAAGTGATCAGTGTTGTAGGTTTAGAAACCAAGCAAGGTGTTGGCCTCGATCTCTGACCTCCAGATCTTGGACTTACAGATCTCGACTACAACACTGATATTTATCATTCTTGTAAGCCATGGTGTCCTCTGAATTTTCAATTCTTTCTATTGTCGAAATCAATTTCAAATGATAACCCTTATAAAACCTTAGTAGTATATTTAAGTCTGAGTTTCAGTAAACTAGTGTGAGTTTTAGTAAATAAGCGATGAAATTGTTAGAATGTTTTGCTGCGATCTTTCTACATTAGTGTTTTCGATTTTTTAAGAGAAATTATGCATTTTAAAGCATTTTGTCACATTTTGATATTAATGGTTAACATATAATTCGTTTAGTGTCACTGTGTGCAACTGAAAACAATTGAGTAAAAGAGAAATTAATTTGTGATCTTCGTAGAAAAGTTGTTGATATTTGTAATGGTGCACACTGAACGAAATGGAATGTGTTTGAGTGAATGTTGCATGGTCAGGTTTTGAAGTTGTTAGCACTGTGAGGTTGAGGCATTAACATTACAGAATAAGCGCCTGCGTTGCCTTGTGCAAATTGGATCTAAACACGAAGTTCGAATCAAGGTCTGTCGATTATCAAGGAGGGGGAATGGTCCATTTTAGGCACAATTAAGTGTATCATTTTAACACTTACAACTTCTTGGATGCAACACTACTTTTGAACCAGCTTTTCATCCACGGACTTTGAGCGAAGATTAAGACATCCCTGAGGTGTCGTTAATCCAGGAAGAGTTGGAAGTTTGGGGAAAAGGTAAAGCTGTACGTAAAGTCTGACCAAGTAATTATGCCCATTTTTGATGGGAATCCACCATTTTTTTATGGGAACCCATCATAAACAATGGGGGCGTCACGAGTGTGAGGGGCTTGCGTATATGCAAATAAATAAAGGAGAGTACCACTTTACGCATGTTTTTTATTTAGTTTGATTTGTATAGTATACATTACGCGGTTTTCTGCGGGATTCTACAAAGTGATGAACCGCCGTTACGATTAAAGATCGTCAATAATTTCGTGGATATTTGTACAAAAACGATCCTCCGAATCATCCATCAGGCATCTGTGCTGCCACTGTGATGGATGAACCGCAGAACAACGGTAGCAGTTCTTTTTTGCAACATACCCACTTATGACCATACTATCCTAGCGTACAGTCTTATAATACAAAATAAATGCAAGCGCGCTACGAAGTGATGGTCTACAGAGGGCTCGCAGGTATCGCGGAATATGGCCGCGTGTTAGGGCTGGATTCTACTGCAGTTGTTGCTGAAGATGATGGTAGGAACCTATCACTTTTCTCCTACATGTTTTGCTGCCCCCGCTACTGTATTTGGGTTTTATTTTCTTTTCTTTAAATGAAAGAGCCAGAGGGGTTCAATAGTTATTTTAAACCAAACAAATAATCTAACCCCCACCCTCGCTTTTTGATTTGATTAAGTACTTAAAAGTAAGATGGGCTTTTCGAAGTAGTAAATTATTTCTTATAAATGCTAGGCCAGGCTATTGGTTTTGTCGCTGGGTGAATACTAGATCAGCACGTACCTTTTACTAAATCTTGAACATCAGGAATACAGAAGGCCTACCAAGTTATCAGGGAATTGAAGAGTAGGCCTAAAGAGTAGACCTTTTTCGCCACTGGGGCACAAAACAAATCTGACGTTACTGACACCCCCCCCCCCCCGCAAAAGTTCCTGGATCCGCCATGCCATATATTTTTGGGTACAATGAGGATATTGTGTGAGTGCATGCCCTACCTTACAATAACATGCCTCAAACCAGCCAACTTGTTAAGGCTTTGAAAGCACGTGGGAGTCGAAGTGTGACCCGCGAACTCTTGCTTTTGTCAGCCTCACAACGGGGCACTGTCATGCACAAAATAAGCACGCATTTGCGTTTGCCCTAAAAGTAACCTATGCTGAATTATTATCAAAGAGCTCCTTTGGACTGAAGCTTTAGTCGTACTGGTACTAAAGACCCCGTGAAATCATTCCGTCTGGTTTGCTGTGGTTCAGGAGAACAACACAAGAGCAAAATAGGTAGGTAATTGCCAACTGTCAATTGATCAGAGTGAAAGATATAATACAGTCGACTCTCGTTAGTACAAACTCTGTTAATACAAAATTCTGGTTATAACAAACATAAAGCCTTGGTCCCGACTGTGCATTTATGTGCACGATGAATGGGACTTATGTTCCTCTTAATACAACATTCTGATATAACAAACAATTTGGCTAGGTATAACGAGACTCGAATGTACACGTAATTAGGCAAATTTAAACATTACATGATCAGTAATTATATTTCGGATTATGAACAGAGTTGTGATAGTTGAACACGTTGTGATAGGAAACTAATTGAATTCAACAACTAGTAGAAATACGTACACTACGGAGAGGTTAGGCGAGCTCAAAATTCAAGCCTCCATCCATCACGTATCCGTATGGATTGTGCGTATGACGTGCTTATGGGAAATGTGATACGAAAAGCACGTGTGAAAGCCATTTGATACGGGAGCGGCACGTACGAAAGTTTCTCGATTTTACACCAAACTTGTGCCAAAATGATGTCTCTAGTTACCTCTAACTTTTAAATTACAGGACGCGTAATACATCTCACATTGCTTTGGGAGTGATTTTGAGGGTAAGTATTGCGGGAAGTTTCGTAGATTTTTGAGGCATGAAAGTAGTCTGGTTTATGCATATCGTTTGTGCGTTAATCAAATGGAAAGCTTGAGGCCAGCGAAGCGTGATATTATGTACATGTACAACGAACTGTACTACTAGGCCTATATTTTGTGTGTGGGAGTTCGAGACAGACACTAGACGGTGCCTGCGGCCTTTTGTTACGAATATACATTTCGGGTCCTCAGAAGTTCTCTTAAATTTAAATGTAGGTCATTTGTTTCAGAAACACATCTATTATTAGGCCCATTTGATAAATAAGTGTATGTCCACATAAGAAGTGGCAAGGTCTTTCTACGTACTTCTGATAGAAGGTAATTAATAAAACAAAAAAGCATTTATAAGACACGGGTAGGCCCTTAATAATACGTGTACGTGGCCGCGCGATGCAGAAACTGAGTTTTGCACATCCTGAAGAAGGTGCACCGCACCGAAAGCTCGGGAGTAATTTTACCGGTGATCACTCAGTCTGTAAATATTTATTACTTCTTGTCATACGGATACGTATACGAATACGTGAATTTTTTCCCGTCTGCCGAACCTCCCTATATCCGCCGTTACAGGTGTAAACAACTGGGATTGTTTTTATACATATTTTCACCAGAACAGTAAGACATATAGATTCCTTTCCCTCAGGCCTTTGAAAGGGGATAAGTAAATAATCTAAAACATAACATTTTCTGCAATATCTGGATTTTTTCTAGAATGGGACGATGTACTGCCCTTTAATCACGGATCTTACACATAAGGATTCATGACTGTTCAGAAATTCAGTACAAAGTGCACTGAATGCACTTACCTTCATTAAGCATTCGCCCCGCACTAAAACCTGCAGTATGCCATTTTCGTAGCGCTGGCAAGCCATGGAGGCCCACATTTCATGTTGAAGCTGTACTAAGCTATGAGGCGCCAAGTGTAAATGATTTATTTAACAAAATTATTTATATATAATTCGTTATTTATTTATCGGTCCCAGCTCAACTCGGTCCCATGTCAACTCGGTCCAAGGTCAACTCGGTCCCAAATGAACTCGGTCCCACTTCAACTTGATTGGGAGAAATTGATCTAGCAAGGCACAAGGGTGAAAATCAATATGAAACAGTTGGCACCGTGGCCCTTTTTTTTTTTTAAATAATAAAAGAATAACAGCGTCGATTACTCTACGATGCCATTATTTTGTGTGCATCGTGCTATTTAGGGTGGCCGTACCATAAGTCCGACGCCTCATAGGTCCGACGCCTCAATACATTTAGTATGAGGCGTCTGACTTATGAGGCGTCGGATGTATGGGCCTTTATTTAGTTTGGGGATGCGATTTTGTCGGACTTATGAAGCGTCGGGCCTATGACGCGTCGGACTTATGAGCGGACCCCTATTTAGTTACGTAAGGCCAGGTTAGTGTAGAACGCTTGACCACGGCAAGGCATGACCCATGGAGCTATTAAACATGACCTCAGCGGTGTATGACGTAACCACTTTAAGGTTGATTAAAGATTACCCTAACATGGCATGGCGCGGAGCAATTTGATTTTCGCCCTTGTGCCTTGGTAGATAAATTTCTCCGAGTCAAATTGACCTGGGACCGAGTTGATCTGGGACCGAGTTGACCTGGGACCGAGTTGACCTGGGACCGAGTTGACCTGGGACCGAGTTGACTTGGGACCGTGTTGATCTGGGACCGAGTTCACTTGGGACCGAGTTCACTTGGGACCGAGTTGACTCGAAACAAACTCTGCAATTTGATTCACAGAACGTGATCTATCTATTTGTGTGGCAGCAAGTGGGTCGTATACCCACTACACAGTGCAGTCACGCGCTGATATGCGCCCAGCCATTGTAACTTGTGCTGTGCACACCAACATTCTCTGTGATTTTTAAGAATTATCGACTTGAAATACAGTTAACATTAATTGAGAGAAGGTTTTATCACATTTGACGGTAATTTCGATAGCTTTTGTGGCGCAAATTAAAATAATTCAGACCCAAAATACACAATATACACTACATGTTTCCTATAGCGAGCGCGGTGCGCCAATCCCGCATTGCACACAGTCATATGATATGAATTTTTAAAACATAGGCGTGTCCTAGTGTAGGTAATTTGCATACCAGTTTCATTATTTATTTCAGAAAACCATTATTTATAAATCGAAACCATTATATATAATTCATAGCCTCGTTCGCTTATTTAGAAATTAATGCGTGTGGCGCAAACATTTATAATAAACGATGAAAATGTCAATTATGTACAAATTGCCAAAATATTATATTTAACTAATAATAGTTTGCACACAATTATTTGTAAATCAAAATGTTGCCAAAAATTTAATAATAATAGTAACATTACGATGACAAATAAAATGTTAATAATTAGGTTTCAAAAAAAATATTTGTAAATAATTCAGTGGGACAAAAATTGTATTTACATATAATGCAAACTGCCAAACAATTATTTATATATAATTGTCCGAGAAGAAATTCTTGATATGTAAATAATGCATTATATGTAAATATTAAAGTAAGCCTAAATAAGCAGGGGAAAAAATGAATTATACAGGTAGGATTAAAAAAAAACGAAACCGAGATATTATTGCTAATTGGAACAAAAGTATGGCACATGTGAATCAAAAGAAGGTATCTTCTGTTAGGGTTGAATCGCCTCTTTAAAATGACACCCTGATCATGTCCTTACATTTACGGTTGACTCAGCACTTTCAGGAGTGACCAATTTTATGACAGGGCCTATTTAGAGAATTGCGCCACTTTTCAATTGTGGTTTTTGTTGTGTCAGTTGTCACAGAGTGAAATGATATGGTTACCAAGCAAGGCAAGTGGGGAAAAAAGAAGAGATTTCACCATGAAAAGTGGCGCAAGTCTCTAAACAGACCCTTTCATAAATTGGTCACTGCTCAGTCAATCGTGAATGTAATGACATGATCAGGGTGTCATTTTAAAGAGGAAATCAACCCTAACAGAGGATATCTCCCTTTGATTCACATGTGCCCTACTTCTGTTCCAATTAGCAATAATATCTCGGTTTCGTTTTTTTTATCCACCCTGTGTAATAAATAACGAATTGTATATAAATAATGTTGTTAAATAATTTATTCACATTTGGCGCCTCATACTAAGCAAGGCAGGTCAAATTGGCTGCTCTATAAAAGCCTGTGTGCACCGTGCTTCAAAACGACAATCCTCAATTCTATAAATACATGCACATGCAGCTCAACAGCGTCAGTTGGTGAACTTGAAAATGAAGAGAGAGAAGCAAAAACGTTTGAAAAAATTCCCCGCTAGGGTATAGGGTGTGCGTGTGGGTGTGCGTGTTTTATCGCACACTGTGGTATTTTCGTAGGCCCTCGATTCTTTTGTAAGCCCCCTAGTGTGCCGATTGGATAATCCAGGCCTGCGACACCAGATCGAGCGCAGAGCCCTGCAAATTTGAAAGCTGCCGCGCTCAGTCAAGCGGTTTGTCTGGGTCGTTGTTGACACAAGTATTGGTATTACATGTATTGCTACCTGTACGGGCCTTTATCACGCGTCTATATAGGTGTACTCGAAACCCCGCTCTGAAGTGACCCACGAACAGTGTTCTCGGGTTACCGATTAGGAACGCCCAAGTGCGTGTGGAGTGCAGCTGGGCAAAAATTCAAGATGGCAGCCGCCATATCAAAACACCGAATGAAAAACAAGAACTCGGGACAACTATTGATTGAATTAATACGAAAATAACTGAAAACCCGAAAGAGCTGCAAAAAAATGGCTAAGACAAGGCTTTAAGAAGTGTTAGCGTAAAATTCAGTGCGGCATAGAATGATTAGAGAAAAAGATATTTAGAGGCAACCTGGGGACTGAACAAAATGAAATCATTTCTTGAAATTTATTAGGTCACCAATCTTTGCAAACAATTTTTTTTTAAATATTTCAATAAAGAAAACTCTTTGTGTATTGAATGTTGGTCTGATTTTACCCGCTTTAACACATGTCTGTGACTTTTGTACAGGACACTGTGGACCTTTACAATTTTCATGAATAATAAAGGTATACTTTCTGTATTCTGCAACTGGCGAAAAGTGTCATGATTTTTGGTGGATTTCAGGAACAAAGTGTACTACTATACATATACTGACTGCATCACCTTGATGTGGACTATTATTATGTGAACTATTTATGTCCCTTTCAATGAGAAATCAACCTTAGTATTTCTATGTCTTGTCCAAGCACTGTTTGACGGGAACATTTCGCATAATGTGTGCTGTACGGCTGTCAAGCGAAGTGCTCAGTGAAACGCGTGATTTAATTAATTTCTATAAATATACTAGATGAGGCAAAATAACGACCAGCCTGTACAAATAAAGCCAGAAATGATTACTCCAGATTTTTTTTTTTATTTACGCCAGGTTTGCACAATCCTTTAAAAGCTTTTAACCAGCGCGTAAAACCCTCTTATTACAAATTGTAATTCTATAAGAATATTAAGATTTTTTTAAACTTACTATTATGGTTAGCTTATGAGGTCTGTGTTCTGTATTTTTCTCTTTTTGGCCGATCATTAAAGACAAATCATTGTGTGTGTTATCACTAGTGAATGCAGTGATGAATTATGTTATTTTCATGCTGATGTAATACAATCTGGAAAGTGTTATGTCTCCAATTAAAAAAAAAATCCTTGAAAACGGGTGTCACAGTCGTTTCGTAGTAAGTTTTTGATAATTTTTAATTATCTGTCAAAAGTATAAACTCCTTTCTCCGGGCACGTTCCACATTTCACAATACTGCATGACTACAAGGTCATGTCAAATAGCTCTCAATGATCATCCGGTATACACTGGAGCCATTTGACATGACCTTATCTAAAAGCCCCATCGAGAATTATACCATAATGTGTATGCATAAGCTCCAATAAGCGAGGGGCTAGGGCGGCAGGCTAATGAAGCATGTGACTGTTGGGTGTAACTAATGATCGACAAGCAGCAAGTGAAAAGTGACAGCGAGCGCTAGTGGATTTTGATACCATTATTTTGCACACGAGCAAACACACTAGGCGACAAAACAGCTCGATTTTTCCACCAGAGAGCGGAATATAGAAAAGCAAGGAATGCGCCAGCGATATGCAGAAGGAAGGTGAGACATAACATTCTACTTAATTTGTTTTTTCGAGGTGTATATTTTTCGCTCTTGTAATGCTTTCCTTATTGGCAAAGTGTCTCATGCATTGCTTCCAACTATAGAAGCTTTACTGCTACCTCCGTATTCTCTAATTATCTGTGCCCACAGTGTTATATTGTCTGCTGTCCTCCCTGTCTTCGTATTCCTGTCTTATACCAAACACTGCCTCACACCCTGCCCTACCCTACCGTACCTTAGTGCCTACAAATCCAATTCTACATTGTACCATGTTCTATATAAAGCCCCCCCCCCCAAGCCCCGTCACACATCCAAGACCAAAGACCAAGACCCCGCCAAGACCATGAGATTTAAACGTTAAATGCAAATCTCGGTGTGCTCTTCACAACACAGCTTTAAAAATGATTGATCTCCCTCCTAATTCGTCTTAGTTTATGTAACACAGGATACACAACGCGTCATAAGACATGGACAACATGCACCTGAAACCGCTCGCAGCCGACCATTCGGAGGCTAACGGAGAAAACTACAAGCCAAAGCACCCTCAGAGGAACACTAGAAAAACTCTCTGTTCAACGGTTAAGGCATTTGCTCTGGACGAGACGACAGCACATGGCTTCCCCAACATTTTTCGCGCCAAGACATCCCTCGGGCGCCTGTTGTGGACGTTCCTTTTCCTGATCGGGGTCGGTGGGACAATTTACCAGGGCACTACCCTTGTCTTGAAGTTCTTAAGTTACCCAGTCAGCGTGGAGGTAAGCATAATTTCAAATTGGTGATGAACCTATGCTCAATAAAATGGTTAAATAAAAAGCTTATGTGTGCAGTTGTAGAGTTGTGGGCATGCAGTAAAAGCAGAGCCTGTGGGTACGGGATCCTTATCATACATGTACATACGTTTCTTTATTCACACAAGACTGTCGAATGGGACCATATATCTTTTGCACTGCAGCCAACTTTGTGAGCAACATACAGCGTATCCCAATAAACACTGTGCATGAAGAAATCGCTGATTTTCTCAAAATTTGGTCAGACTACCTAATCAAATTTTATCTTGATATTTTCATCAATTATAAGCAAGACCATAGGCTTTAAAATCATAATGTTATTACCTATGAGTAAATGAGCCACTTCTTCATGCACAATGTTTATTTGGACACTCTGTATGCATGAGCGCACGTGTCGTGCATTAAATGATTTAACATAACCAATGCAATCGATCTATACGCCAGGACGAGTTCGTTACCCAGATTATACAATGCGAATTTCTCTGGAGTGCATGGAGTCACGGTAAGTATCACTTCAAGTTATGTCAATCGAGACATGTGGATAAAGCTCGTATTTCGTGGCGAATCGACAGGTGAAAATCGTCACGCGACCTCTTCTTGAGTTCCCGTCGGTCACAGTGTGCAACACCAACAAGCTCCGCCATTCCGCCATCGAACAGTCCAAACACAGACAGATGCTGGTGGTTGATCTAGCTACCTCTTTGCCATATTACGGTAAGCTGAAAGTTTGAAACAGTATTCTGGATATTATTTGCCCATTGTGTCTTTGTCCATTGGTTAGGTTGTCGATCACGTTTCGTTTTTGTTGTATTTTTAATTTGAAATGAAATAATGCCTTGGCATTTCCTCATGCAATAGTTCCAAACACATTCAGCGTTGGAGCCAAGATACTTGTGATGGATCGATAGTCATCAAGAATTCATCTCATATCAGAGACAGGTGATTCAGTCTCAGGTCAACTGACAAGCTACACATTTAAAAAAAAGAAGAAGGCATTTCTGTGTTTTCGGTCATCAGGTGTCTTTTCACTGTAATAACTTGTATCAGAACTACTTGTAACAGAACTACTGATTTACTGTAGATTTGTGCAAGCATCGACTCGTCCATTCTTGGCACGAATTTACAGTTCCTCGTCCATCCTCGTCAACGTAACTCAACTTCAACCCTAAACAAAATGTAACACATCTGGCAAGGATTTGGAGAACCCAGTCTCTAAGTAACCTCCACATCCCATCTCCCTCCCTACCCTCACAATCAGTATACGTCATTGACCAGATTGTTTAAAAAAACATTTTTGACCCCAACAAGTTTCATTTTGACCCTAGCAATGATCAGGTCAACTAAGACGCAGGATTTCGGGTCACATCCGTCCCGGGACTTGTTAGAGTGTAGGCGGTAATCGAACACAGTTTACGAAGCTTTAAATGTGAGAGTATGACTGCTTGATTGAGACTCACAGATTGCATTCAAAGTTTATTCAGAAGACCTTTAAGGTTTATCAAATCTTAATTAAAATTGCTTTGCTGCAAAGATTACACTTCATTTGTTATCGTCACATTTGTACGGACCTACTTATTTCCCTTGAGTATAGGAAGACGGATGGGCTGCATGTAATTTTCTTCGGTATTGCATCACTACCGTATGAAAATGTGAAACACGGCCCCGCGCCCCCATCCATGACACATTAGGCGGTAAACGTACTATCTTCAGTAATTGTTGTTGCACCGCCGTGAATTCACACACGTATGTTGGCATCATTAATTTCGGAACTATAACTGTTCATGTGTCCCAGTTTAAAGGGATTTTTTCTCATCGCTTCAGAACGCGATTTTAACCAATTTGTTGAACCACGGAATCGTGGTCAGAGTGTTTTTAGCATGTGTTCTTTGCTAGCGATTTTCTTCACAATGTTATAATGAATATTTATGAAACTTTCACCAATATATGTCAAAAATACCTGGCTATAAACATACCCCTTTACACTTGTTTTGATCATTGCTACATATTTTTTTCTTTGATTATAGCCCAGCTCATTATGACTCACCCTGTACATGCACTTCGTCTGTATTAGCCCAAATTAATACAACATTCACTTCACCAAATTGATTTCAAAGTTACGTCTGTGTCTTAGCCGAGTCATTAAGGCTTCAAAAGACATCGTATTATGCTCTGTCAGGTATATTAGTCGTGAAACGTGATCTACTTCACCTTGAAAGCCCGACTTTCAATTAATATTCATCACTCAGTACTCTGCTGATGGAAAACAAACGTTAATGGTTAACAGGACATGTTAAAAGCGAGACCGACAATAATGCAAACATTAAATGATTCAGGACAGCAATATACGGAAGCGTTTTCTATGTTGAAAATGTTAAGTGCTTCTGAACCATGCACACATCCGCTAAATTTTTTATCTTTTTTCCCCGTGTTTTCAGGGACAGCAGAGGTACGGTGCCCCATCATAATATCCACGTTAGTTTTCATAAAAAGTGTCAGAAATGTTGGTTGGCCAATACTTTATTTTTTAAGCTACGGCTATTGCATGGACGCCTTTTGTTTGACCCTTATGCATACAATCCTTTTTAATGCTTTCAAACTTAGTTCATGTACTTGTTTGTTTCACTGTAAATCAAAATGTATTGTATAGTATTATTGTTTTCTTATTTGTGTTTGTTGGATTGTGTTATGATGTTTCCTAGCGCCTTGCCTTGAGGACGATTTTGCCTGTGAGAAACGACCAGTGTGCATCAAGAGGTACCTGCTGTGTGATGGCATAAGACAGTGTGGCAACGACGACTTGAGTGATGAACAAGACTGCGATTACGGCAAGTAGTTGATGCATTAATGTTTTTGAGAGTAATGAATTTTAACGTGTACTGGGTGATTTCCAATTTCAGTGTATGACGTGTTTTACATGTGCATTGAAGATTGGTAAAACTAACATCTTATACAACTTTGAAAAAAAAATCATGTGCTTTCTGATCCCATCACGCTGCATGATTCTGTCTATTCCCATGACATGGCATACTAAAACAAACATGTCCAGGAACCAGACTTTCCGTCAGGCCTAATTGCATGTGCAAGATGTTTGAATATGTAAAGGGTGAGAGAGTAAGCTGGGAGCGTACCGCAGCTCGTCACCATGGGGACAAGGTTGCGGACACGGTTGCGGGGGGGGGGGTTACCATCTTCTTAAGTGGATAATCATGAGTACCAGGCCTATATTGGACAACGTGTGATGCTCTTTATGGCGGCATAATTGCCGGAGTTCGTGGGACGTTAATATAAAGATAAAGAGGGCACTCGTGTTAAAATATTAGGGGAGGGGAATAACCTATCGCCCCCTCCACTTTACCCCCCAACTACTACCCCAATCTTCAATGCCACTGCGTTTTGGCTAATTTTGTTTTAAATATTGAAATATATTTCGCAAAACATAAAAAGCTCTTTTATTGTATTTCTTGTATTTTTATTGTTTTATTACTTCCTAACTATAGCTTCATTGTCAGGTGATAAAAGTGGTTAGGCCTATAATTTTTTTTTAATTTTGAAGTCATTTTTCAATTGAAATGGTATACTAATTAAGCAAAGTCATCAAAAGTGTAACAAACAATATCGAATGTGATTGCAACTAATATTTTCTTTTTTATTAATTGTCAGAATCCCGTACCTGCACCGACCGGCAGTTTCGCTGCGGCATTTCAGGCAGCCGCAGGGGCATGTGCATACCGCTCAGGAAGAAATGCGACCGGCGTCCGGATTGCTATGAAGGGGAGGATGAAGATGACTGCGGTGAGTTTCTGGAATTGACCTATCGCGGTCGAATCGCGTTAGAATCGCGTCAACGCAGCTCGTGAAATATTGTCCAATTACATGATTTACAAATGGACGCGGAGCGCGCAAAATCTGAGACAAACAAAACGTAGTGTACACAAACTCCATAGGGTTGTCTAAGGGGCGTGGCTAATTCGCAAACGGCGATAGGTCAATGGACTGATCCAGTAAGCTCCTCCCACTGCGCACGTGGGCAAATTAACACGTGCTCCTCTCCAATGCCACACTGAATTTTCGCAAACGGCGATAGGTCAATTAAAGAGTATCGTAAACAAAAACACCACATCAAAAGGTATACACTAACTACTCATGATGCCAAACGGTCATTCCCGGCTCTAAGTATGTCATGAATAAAAAAAAAAATCATTGACAAACAAAACTGCCAACTGTGTAAAAAAACCATGCACTTGCATGACATTGGTTAAACATCACCCTTTGCAAAATAGAACATTCATTAATGTTTCTTTGTTTAACAACCCCCGATTCTTCGTTTTCCTCTCATTTCTCTTTTTCGCGCGGGTGTTGTCAAGAAAACGATACATCTTCATTTGCACTCCATGCTTTGTCAAGAAAAAAAGAAAGGTCTTCATTTGCAGTGTATGCTTTGTAACGAAAGAAAAGAAACGTCTTCATTTGCAATGTATGCTCAGTCCAGAAAACCACACGTCTTCATTTGCACTGTATGTTTTGTCATGAAAGCCATTCGTCTTCATTTGCAGTCTATGTGATATGTTCAAACAGAGGAAAATCAGCTACAACTAGCTTTTATTTATTTACTAATGCTCTTAAATGTCATGGGCTCGTGAGAGAAAAGAAAAAATATACTCCAAAATACTGCCTCCCCATTCCGTTTCGTTTGTCTTCTCGTTCATCTCAATTCCATGTTGAGATTGCAGCAATTCCCTCAACTGGAAATTTAAAGGGCCAACGCAGTTAAGTTTTTGTGAGGAACAACTACTTGTACCGTGTTTAAACCAAATCAAATAGTACACGCCCGTTGATCGGTCACATACTGGAGGTCAAAAGGCTTGCATAGTAATCTTTTAAAAGTATTTACTGTGGAGATGAGGGAGGAAGATAACATTTAATAATAATGGTGTTACCCTTTAGTACTTTGTGATATTCTTCTCTTTTAAAGAATGCAAGAAATCAGAGTTCAAATGCTGGAAACGAGGTGGTTGTATCGCAAAGAAGAACGTGTGTAATGGGAAGGTAGACTGCTTTGATGGCAGTGACGAAAACACCGAGAATTGTGGTAAGTCAACGTGCATCACTGCCTTGGGCGCAAACATTTCGTCTGCAGGCTCATATGCCATTGGAAGGCCAAAACCTATTTTGAGATACTGTATTAATTACCATAAAAAATCCAAAAGGTAATTTCAAGAACAATATGTATGCACAGAGTACGTAACGGTCTCTGACCTCTCAAAGGTCACCATGGATCAGATATGAAATGCCTCCACAACTGAACATTTTCTTCATGGCATGAACACATAACGTGCAATGTTTATACTTTAGTCACAATAATGTAGAAAAAAAGAAACCAACACATGTCTAAAATTATTCTATTTTATGCCATCCTTCAGGTGACCAAAATCGTCCCTTTCCCGATTGTACCTCGTCGTGGTTTTTCAAATGCTCCAATGAAGCACAGTGCATCCCTCGCATCTTTTGCTGCGACGGTTTTGACGACTGCCTGGACAGCTCGGACGAACCCCCTTGGTGTGATTCTATAAGCGAAGATATAGGCCTAGGTATGTACATGCTCTTCGTGTGATGTGGGGTTATAGTGCAATGCCATTGGTTGCTTGAAACCTGTAGACAAATTGTGACATGCGCTGGCAGAAGATGATCTAAATCACGCAGTTCTTTTGTGATCTGATCAAAGTAACGGAATAGGACTAAACTGACTCAGTGACCAAGGATTTGGCTTGGTGGTGGGGGATGGGGTCACAACTTTTTTTTTTTTTTTTTTTTTAGGGGGGGATGGGGATGGGCGAAGGTGGACTAATTTGACGTTAGTTGCGCCACTAACACCCCTATTGTGCCACTTACGACCCAAGTTTACTACTCGAAAAAGGGCACACATCACCAAGGTCAAATCGTGGGACAAAAAAATCCCCCAAACCCAAAACAAAACAAAAGAACAACCTGTTGGTGGGGGGGGGGGGGGGGCTCAAGCCTGATACCTAAATCCTGCATATTTTATGAATCTTAAAGTTTCAAATTGTTAATTAAAAAAGGACCAACTCTAAACGCGATTATCTCGAAGGTTTGTTCCGACAGTGAAATACTAAATTCGCCTCTTCGTGAAAACGTTGACGAAATATTACATTATTCTAAACCATTATTAAATGTACGCAACGCCAGCAATTTAGCCAGGGAAAGCTGAATATCAACTCTAGGCGTTGATGATGGTAATGTAGACAATTGACCTAACACTTAAGACATTCACCTCAAGCATTGTTTCCACCCGCCGTTTGTGCATTTTTTGGTATATGCAGTGCCGTACATCCCAACTTGTCCGTCAGGTCAATTCATGTGCACGAGTGACGAGGAGTGCATCCCTGAAAGCTGGGCTTGTGATGGGTCTTTGGATTGCAAGGATGGGTCAGATGAAGCAGTAGCCCTCTGCGGTGAGCATATAGCCGTTTGACAGTGACATTGGATATTTTGACTGAGTGGTGAAGCCGCAAGGCGACTAGTCCTGGCCCATAATAAGTCAATGATTAAGGGCAACAGTTGCAATGTTCTGTAGCGCCATTGCCATTTTTAACGTTCACAAATCATTTTTTTTTCAGCCATACATGGAACATTTTGACCGGATGTGTGTACACATTAACCTCATACGACAAACAGATCAACAGACCATATTGGGACGGGCTGAAAAAATACATACAATTTATGTCGAGTTCAACCACCCTAAAACAGGATGTGCAAAGTTTTCAAATGATGTCAGAAAATGAATGACGAGCGACAAAGAAATAACAAATCGCGAAAGATCACATTTCGAACTCTCCTCCGTAGTTGAACTAGCTCCTCTGGATGTAAAAGTCACGGAGGTCATACTCTGAGCTGTTCCGGACGTGCTCCAACGCCAGGGCCCAGTTGTTCTCATGCTGCCGGTAGCCCTTTTTTATGTGCCCTTGCTCTTCTGGGGACATTTTTGTTTGCTCTTTAATGCTGTTTTGATTCTCTTGTGATAGCCCAACTTGATTCATTTTCATTTTTTTGTGTACGTCTGATGACGGTGAATAAACAACAAACGCATGGGCTTGAATTAACGGCACTGATATCACCAGGGAGAAACACCCAACTGGATTCTTGATTATAATATACAATTTTTGTGGACAAAAAAAGAGAGGAAAAAATTAATTTGTTGAACAGCACTGGTGATACAACTCTAAAAATTAAACAAACTGCTTGATCTCTGTTTTTTTTCCTTCAAATACAGGTCGACCATTTTGCACACCACCGCAGATCCTTTGTCCTGCTGGCGGTAATTGTGGAACACCGTGTGACCTCAATCCCGAGTGTTTAAACGGATGGGATGAAACGAATTGCAGTAAGTTTTCTTCTGTTAATTTGTTTTCGCATAATTACAATTGATGGCGCATTTAGCAGAGGAAATGGGGCCCCTCCCCGTCCTGAAGCCTGGGTGGGGGGGGGGGGGGGGGGGGCAAGGTCAGATCAGACCAACTCTACTCATTCTGTAGCCGGCAAAACTGTCATTGGACAAATAAACAAGGTCCTCAGTATTTTACAATCCAAGTTTGTTGTCTAAATTCAATTTACAAAGAATCATCTTCGTCATTTTACACTGGGAGTGAAGCCAAGCGATTTCAACATGAAGCTAAAGACAAGACTGGTGCATGTCCAACTTGTTGCAAGAATTGATCCTGCAGTAGTCCGATGGCATGACCATAGATGTGTAGAAATAAAGCTAGACACCAGACGTTTCTTTGACACAGTTCATCGATGTAGTGCTGAAGGGGTGTTGGACTGTTTGTTTCATGGACCAGTCTATTCTCACAGTTGCATTTTTCTTCAGTTCCTTTAGTTTTGGGACTCTCGTAAACAGTATTGAGAGTCCCAAATTTTCGGACTAGCATCACCTTGCTGGTTTCTTTCCCCTATTCAAACGCATTTACTTTTCACTCATTCAATAACTCGTTTTTTTCCACTATAGCTTGTCAGGTATTAGACGAGGAAACCGTCGTAGAAGACATCCACTGCAGAGGTGTGTCTTCTGCAACGTATTTCGTGGGTGAGATATGTGCAAATATTTCTCTTGTTTTGATTCTTCATCAGACAACAATAAATCCGTTGGGAACCCAGGTCACAACCATCGTTCGTTAACAAACCCTTTTGAGTGCACTGGTTACCCATTGTAAACGATTTTGTTTGTGTTAATGTACTTAGTACATGTATCACCATCATGTTGGCATCTGGTGAATACTTGTGGATGTGGGTTTTTCCAGACCGCTCCCCGTGTCCGACAAGTCCTGAAGAAGAATTTTCGATTACCTTAATTTAAAATTTAAGTTATTTATTCGATTATAATTGTACAAAGAAGAAGAGAAATTCCCCATTTGGAATGATATTTGTCTGAAAAACTATGCTTTACTCCAGGCTGGAATGGGATCAGGTTATCAGCAACCAGTAATTACCTTACCCCGGATGATTCATGCAGCCGAGCGTTCAAATATCGGTGACCGGGATACCATCAACTAGGCATATCGAATGGGGAGGGGGGGGGGTTGAGGTTTCTTGCAACTTTTCCGAGATATCATGACTCTTTATTATTAGAAAACATTAATTGGGTGTTTTTCGTTGTGTAAGGTGCCGAGTACCTCTACCTGACATCCTGTCTTGCGATAACACCCGTATATCATTGTGATGGAGGATTGGAATGTTTCAACCCTACAACCAAGCTGCCAGACCATTGCAAAACAGGTTAGTTACATTTCAGATGCAGATCAGATCCAGTGTCTTATACATTCTTTTCTTAAAGGGGGAAAATGGTTATCGTAGTCTCACTCTTTGCAATTAACTTCTGAAGATACTTATTTAAACTCAACCGCAGTTAAATAACACTTGACGTGAAATGGAAAAACGCGAAGCTCATAGACTTCAATCTTTCCTTCATAACATTTCATCGTGGAGGATAAGGTACAACGTTTGCTTACGTATTCCCTGGAAACTCTCATTTGCTTGCCACAGTGTACTCTGAGTGTTACATCGCCACTAATGGATGGGACTACAGGGGCACTCAAACCGAAGACGATTGTCTACCGTGGTCAGACCCACGGGTTGCCCTGCTCAACTACACGGGACAGAACTTCAGGGAGCTGGAGGGAGTGAAGCCGGGCTCGACGGTGGGGCACAGTCTCTGCCGGAACCCAGGAGGTGAGAGGGACACGATCTGGTGTTTCGTGGACTCCAGGAATGGGTCACTGGAATATAAGGATTGCGTGCTACCTCCGAAGCCTGCAGCTAGGGTTTCTTGTCATCATGGTGAGTCTGGGTGTGTGTCCGGTTGATGTGTTTGATTTCGACCTGTTGCCATATAGTGGTGGGTTTGATTTTATGGTATTGAGTTTGGTGTTATGGTGATGAGTTCAGTGTTATGGTGGTGAGTTTGGTGTTATATGGTGGTGGGTTTGGTGTCGAATGGGATGTTACTCCTTATAGCATAATGATTGCTATGTTCCGATTCGGACTCGTATTTTACTTTTGGACTGAACAGTCTGATCATATGTTTTCATAATTGGCATCTGACTTCTATCCCATGCCCTGACTTTGTCATTATCTTTGATAGAGTCGTTTAGTGTGGCCCTTTCGCAAGACGACGAGTCTGCCGATCCTACACAAGGGCGCGTAGAAGTCAGCTTCAGAACGGGCGCCGTCGGCACGATATCCGACCCTGACTGGACTCTGGAGGATGCCAACGTGGTTTGTCGACAGCTCGGTTTTCCCGCAGGAGCGATCGTGAACTCAACCAGTGACTTCGGACCGGGTACCGGGCGAGTGCTGCTCAGGGATGTCCAGTGCATGGGTATCGAGGTGAACCTCATCGATTGCATGTACAGACTCGCTACGGACCAGGATACCAATCACACTTATGATGTTGGCGTGGTCTGTAATGATACGGACGCTGGTAAGCTTTGCAAGTTTACACTATTGTATAAGGAAAAATCAATGGAGTTAAAACTTTTTTGGGCAAAGATCGCAAGATGACTCTTAAACAGACTATTTGGAGAATGGAATATAGGACCATTCTTTTACACAATGTAAACACTTTCTATCACTGGGTTATCTTTAATGTATCCAGTTATTTAGATTTGATTTCTGTAAAATATTTTCAATTTACCTTTTACGTACGCTTACGGGTATTTCCCAAACAGAAAATTGTCCCACTTTCTGGGACACTTTCTTCAGTCCCATAATAATCAAATGCTTGCCGGTCAGCACTTGCTGAAGCAAATCAGGTACTGAATTTGTTACGTGAATGTGTGGCTTTCTGTCATGCCGCACGGAGCTTGATATTCTACACATTTAACGTTACAGAACACACAATGTTATGAAGGTCCGTATATTAGCCTCTGTCAAACAATAATACTCTCCTGATTTGTTTTCGCCAGCCAATGCTGTTGACGATGGCTATCAAGAGATTTAAAAATGTTGTCTGACATTATTTGTTTCTCTTTTACACATCGACGTCTTGCATTCAGCTCTAAGAAGACGGAGAAGAGACGTGGACCCAGCGGCAGAGCCAGTTACCGATAGGCCAACACCCGGTACGTTACAGTGTACTGTAAACCTGCCAAGATGGGGTAATTGAGGTGCACATCTTTACATCACCTGTTCTGTTTCTGCTTTTAACCAAGTGGTTCTTCTTTGAACACAATCAGTAATGATGCACTCTTGGATGGTTTCAGATTAGGCAATGTAGGCCTTTACTACGTTGAAGTTGTACTCATAGACGCCGGTGTACATTTAGGTGTCGTGTACAGTTAGGTGTCTAAACCCCTTTAAATTCAAAATATTCCATTTTATTGATTAACATTCTACCAAATCAGCATGTCAACTCGACGAGTTCCAGTGCACAGAGGGAGAACCAGACGGTACCATACAATGCATCCCTCGGGAGTACGTGTGTGACAGATACAACGATTGCGGCAACGATAAGGGGCTTCTGAAGCCAGGCATGCCCATGGACTCAGACGAACAACATTGCAATCTTTCCGGTAAGTCTGTTTGGCTAAAAGCATTGCTGCAATCGGAGGACACATAAAAAAGAAAGGCCAAAAACTTCTTTACATACGACTTAAAGCTTTCATGGCGGATGACATTAAAAAAACACACAATTGCGCGTAAAACCATGTGTAAAGAAATCTGTCCTTGGAAGAAGTGTGGTTCTGAAAAGAACCGGTTGGTTGAGTGTAGAACTCGACGTTTCGAATTGGGTGTTTTGTCCGTCCTCTGGAATGTGAGATGACGGACAAAGCACACTGTCCGAAATGTCGAGTTCTACACTCGACCAATCAGTTCTTTTCAGAAACACACTTCTTCCCAAGAAGAAATTTCTTTCCACATTGTGCTACCCGCCATTTTGTCTTTTTTCTGCCGAAAACTTCGTTTTCAACGCTTGTAGGATTCTGAAATGATGATCCAAGATAACTTGTTTAGATGTTAACATTTAGGCTTGTTCATGATGCTGTGCAGATTCCCCCCTGCAGATTCAAACTATTTTTTTTTCAACTCAAACCTCGCTGCTTATTTTCAGTTGGAGATTGTGGACATGGCAATTTTAAATGCCGGAGTGGGGAATGCATCCGTTACTGGCAAACTTGCAACGAATTCCCCGATTGTCAAGACGGGAGCGATGAGCTGCTCCTAGAATGTGAAATTAGCTGGACCGGTACGTATGAGCTCAAATTTTTAATCTCAGAAACTCATTTCCATTCATTCTGTTTTCTTTCCTGTACACAGACTTTCTTTAACTCGGTTCGCATTACCATTCCACGTATTCCTTGTTAATGTTACAGGTATTCCCTGTAACGTCAAAAAACTTTGTTCGCCAAAAACACGCAAAAGAAACAGGTACTAGATGTATAAATCTCACCTGCTTTCAAGGGAACCCGAAAGCATGGAAATTCAACCACAGCGCATGTGGTTTAGCCAACATAACTCCTTGTTCAATTCTGGTAACCGTTGCCTTTAGAAATCCTGGATTTTGTGACACTTTTTGACGTTCTCTGCAGATCTTAGGTTTATGATGTGGATTCTATGAATCGGAGGTTCTCAAAGTATGCTCATGTGTAGTCCAGAAGTTCCCTTAAAACCACAGCTCCTATTATGATGTCTTTATTCCACTATAACAATTTAGGAAATGCTCTCCTTTTCCCCGAATTTCCTTTATGACCTATAGAGTACAGACCTATTTTTATAGTTTTCCTTAGTAGTGTAGGGGGACTGTCTGGTACACTTTGACCTTTGGCATAAGAAATATGTAAAGGTCACTTAAATATGTAAATATGTAGATACATAACTACATGTATACTGTATTGTTAGGGCTAAGGTCAAAATGTACTATAAATTTTATATTTTTCCCCATTACATATATGCAATCTGTCCCATAGAATAGGTCAAACTGTACCCAATTCCTTACCCTCACCTATTCCTTATTCATCCCATCCATTCATAAGGGGGTCAAACTGTGCCAGAATTTCCTAACCCCATTCATTCATATTTATATCTGTATCTACATATTTACATATTTATGTGACCTTTACATATTTCTATGCCAAAGGTCAAAGTGTACCAGACAGTCCCCCTACACTACTCTCCTTTACCTTTCACTTTTATCAAATGTTTACAATTTCAACAACTCTTTCATTTCCACCCAAACAAATCATTCACAGCCTGCCAACCCAAAGAGTGGCAGTGCCTAGAACCTCGGCCCGATGGGACTGTCAGCTGCATTCCTGGGTCCTTCCGATGTGATAGATACAACGATTGCGGCGACAATAAAGGACCACTGACTGCCACGTTAACTAGGGCCTCAGACGAACGAACGTGCCATAAACCCGGTGCGTAGATTTAGATTTTGGTCCCAGAATGCAAGCCTATAGTCCTCGTTGCCCCTGACTAACTGAGTTGGATTTGCACAAGGCTGAAGTCTCCTACTGACTTCAGCCCCTTGTGAACAAAACTGGTAAAAACCATTGCCTAATGGTATCACATGTGAATAAGACTGATTACCTATTCCAGTCACGTTACAACCATAACTTATTCTACTAACCTGTAAGTCAATTGCATAGAGTTGTGTGCATTCCGGGATCAGCCATGGGCCAGCCTATTTTTTTCAATTATTGAAATCGCATTACACATCAAGCTTAATTATTTAAATGGGCCGCATCGCCGTTCTTACGCTTTTAAAGGAGCTGCACATCAATTCTGTCAGTAACCAATTACTTTCCCTCTTTTGTTGAGGTGGATCTTTGTTCTGTTCATAACATTGCTAAACGCGCCGACCTCAATTTAAAAAGCAATGTTTAAGGCTGACTATAAAAACTGTTTGTGAAATTGAATATATTTTGGGCAATACATCTCTAATAGTTTTCCACAGCAGGCCAAGTATTCCCTTAAGTCAAATATCTTTGATGAAATAGTCTGAATTTTTCGTTTTGTGTCAACTTTGCTTATTTTAGGGGAGGTCCCGCCCGATAACTACTACCATTGTCGCGACAGCTTTAAGTTCATCCATGAATATGCTGTCTGCAACACGGTAGAAGACTGCAAACATGGCGACGACGAGCAGAATTGTTCCTCGGCAGGCCGAGCTGGTAAGTGGGTTTTTTTGTCGTTGTCATGGTTTGCACAAAGTATATGACTGATCGACAGTCTCCTCACACTCATACCCAGCTTCTATTTTGCAAAGCCGTAAACGCACTGTTTTTTTTTCTGCAACCAAGTATAGTCAAAGAGAATAATGCGCATGCGTCAGTTGCTAACGCATTTGGTCTCGTGGACAAGTTCCATAAGGTTTGTACATGAACACCTTCTGAGGACTTTGGGTCAGTTCCTCTTGGTTATTGATATCATAGGTAACCCATTGCTCCAAGTCCTCAGACGTAAAGTATCATTGCCAACCAACCTGATCAAAACAGCATGCTATTTTACTTTCTCCATTTCACAATTATGCAGATCCATTCAGGGACGCTTTCCAAGATCCACAGTGGTATTTTCCCTATCGACCAATGGTGGACAACGAACACCGCTACCTTTTCGACGATTTCATTGAACATTTTAGGGCACCCCCATTCGGGCGGGTCAAAGGTGATAACCCCCCGGACTGGAACGGCTTTGCGACGTTCAGCTCCACACCCGATTACAGTGACCTCGTCGGGGTGGCAAGACTCAGCAAGGATGAAGTCAGTCGGTACGGACACCAGAAGGAAGACTTCATCTTGCAGTGCACATACGAACAGAGAAAGTGTAACATGAGGTAAAAGCTATCGTTATACCACGATTGGATGTATACGTTTAATTGTTTGGGACAGTTATTCGTGACGTACTACAGACGTTCTTTCATCATGCCCCATTGAGTCCGCATAGAACGTCCCATCATGTAGTGATCATTTACCCAGAAGCATCACCTTGATCGTTTTTTTTTCTTAACAAAGGTAATATTTTCGTTCCCACCCCTATAGTACAAGACAGCAAGAATACACAATAGGAACAAGTAGATAATGTTCCCAAGGGCGTGTCAATACCAATTTGCACACACCGGACGCGCGGACGGGTAAACGCAGACCCGCATTGTCAAACGGATGTCAAACGGAATAAGCGTGCCTTTGTAAATAATGACCAGAAGAAAATTACAGCATAATACAAAACAAATTGGGGCTGTTTGATCAGGTTTCGGGCGCAAATGGCACTTTCGCTTTCACCTCTGGTGCCATTAGTACTCCTCAGGAAAGACAAATGTCACAGACTACATTACAACGTGCACAAATGGTACGAGCTATTCTATATCGGCTTTCTTATACAACAAACCAAAACTTTTCGGAATTTGCAAATTGCAATATATATATATATCTATTATGGTTTTGAAGGATCTTCAATAGAATGTAATGTTAATATGCACTGTGCCGTAATGCACAACTATCACTTAAGTGTGCAGTTTTGTAAAACTTCATGAGCTTTTACCTCTGTTTTCTTCTCAAGCAATGTCGAGTTGTTGCAAGATGATAACTACGGTAACTGCTTCACCTTCAATGCTGTAATAGACAACCCAATCACTTCACAGAAAACAGGCTCCAGATACGGTAATAACTGATTAAATCTTTTTTAATGATTTAATAGATTTGATATGTAATGATTTAAAAAAGTAACTATATTTTAATAGGCCCCTTTTCATTTTGATAATCTGTGATCGACCAAAGCGTCATTGTGACTTACTTGTACAGTTACAATTCAATATCATGATACCTCTTTTCTCAAGTTGTCAAGTTAACATGAACTAGAAATCAACGGAGCGTTGTATACGCATATAGGTATAACGTGCAAAGTTAACATTTGAACCCGAAAATGAGATACCTGTATTTATAATAGGGATATGTCTATCTCTAAAAAAGATATGAATATATCTCTGTATTTGAAATAGCGATATCTCGATTTATATAGAGGTAGGACTATATATGTTTTTCGGGGTGTTACATTTGCACGCCATATAGAGCTTCTCGTAGAATACCGCGTCTCCGTTTACAGTTAGCAGGCTACATGCATGTGGCCGGATCCGATACGACTTGTGTGACTCGTGACTCGGACTCGGACTCAAGTCCCATTTTCCGTGACTCGGACCCGGGTCGTGATGACAAATGACTCGGACTCGACCGTGAGGACTCGGTATTGGACTCGGACTCGACCAGCGTGACTCGGGACTTGACCAAAATTACCTCACGTCGTTTATTTTGTGTTCAACAATATAATTACACATTATTTTGGAGACAATCCTCTCCAACACATGCGATACAGTCTGTGCAACTGGCTTGTTTCTGATATATTGATGTTGGAAATCAATGTATCGAAACACGTGAACTCGGACTCGGACTCGGACTCGACCTTTGTGACTCGTGACTCGACCTTGGACTCGACCTGCATGACTCAGGACTTGGACTCGGACTCGATGTTTGATGACTCGTGACTCGACCTGCATGACTCAGGACTAGGACTCGAACTTGGACTCGACCTTTGTGACTCATGAATCGACCTGCATGACTCAGGTCTCGGACTCGGACTCGGACTCGATGTTTGATGACTCGAATACAAGTCTGGATCTGATTCATAATACAGTGTGCCACGAGCCACAGCAATATTGGCATGAGGAGAACACTCTTTCTGAACAAATTTGTTTAAAAATTCGGAAAAATTATTTTCAAAAAATTGCACTGAAAGGTTCTATTGTTCCCCCTCGTGTATTGTGAATCCAATGTTCTCCCACGCGTATTAAAAGTCGTACTATAATTGTATTAATTTCTGACGAAAATGTTTAAATTTCATTAAAATAGAGGCAGTTTTCTGTGTATACCCTTTTGTTAGGAACATTTTGCTGATTACGCGCTATTACATAAGGAGTTAGTAATACAATGTTAACTGTTCTAAACTGATATGACTTAATTCACCCATGGGATACAGGTCTCCAAATGACACTCTTTCTGGAACAGAATGAGTACATTAGCATATACGGACCGGAGGCCGGAGTAAGAGTGTCCATCAACCCCAACCACATCCGGCCCAATCCCGCCGAAAATGGAATCACCGTAAAACCCGGAACCGTCACCTCGTTAGGTCTGAGATATGTAAGAAACAGCAGTTTACCTTTCAAACAAGTCCCAACCCACCAAGTGGCGGATCCAGTTTGATAATAAGCCAGCAGACATCCAGAAAAAAATGAAGGCTACACTCTCCACTTTCTCCACTTTCTTGTCTAACCGCATTGTTATCAACCCGGATCCGCCTCAGATGCATCCTACCGCAAACACTGATATTCAACTTAATCTTGAAAGTTCAAGCATCAAGTACATGTCAAAAACTCTCGTTAACCCAAGACAGTAACAGAATCTAGACATTCACTTCACGCTTGGTAGCTTTTAGTACCCCTTTTTTATTTTTTTTTTGCATTTTTTTTTCAATTTGACCAAAATTTGATAAAAAAGTAAGGCTAACCCCTTCCATTTTTTTTTCAATTTTGGCCAAAATATGAAATTGCTTGAAAATCGCTAGGAAGATGCCTGATGGCCCTTAGAACGCATTTCCAAAATTTATCATGCCATATGTGGTGTTGAAAGGAAATATGGCGTCAACAAAGTTGGTAAAAATTAATTTCCTTTATTCAATTTTTTTTAATTGTCGCTTTTTTTCAAAGTTATTGCTTTAGAATGATGAAAATATGCTCATCATGCCTCCTCAAGTGATTTTAGTGCGTTTCCAGAAAAGTCAAATTTTGACCAAAATTTGATAAAAAAGTAAGGCTAACCCCTTGCATTTTTTTTCAATTTTGGCCAAAATATGAAAATGCTTGAAAATTGCTAGGAAGATGCCTGATGGCCCTCAGAACGTATTTCCAAAACTTCTTGTGCCATATGTGGTGTTCAAAGGAAATATGGCGTCGACAAAGTTGGTAAAAATTAATTTCCTTTATTCAATTTTTTTAATTGTCGATTTTTTTCAAAGTTATTACTTTAGACTGATGAAAATATGCTAATCCTGCCTCCTCAAGTGTTTTTAGTGCGTTTCCAGAAAAGTCAAATTTTGACCAAAATTTGATCAAAAAAGTAAGGCATTTTTTTCAATTTTGTCCAAAAAATGAAATTGTTTGAAAATTGCTAGGAAGATGCCTGATGGCCCTTACAACGTATTTCCAATATTTCTGATGCCATATGTGGTGTTGAAAGGAAATATGGCGTCTAAAAAATAGGTAAAAATTAATTTCCTTTTTTCAATTTTCTGCCAAAAATCCTTTTTTAATTGCCCAATTTTTCAAAATTATCACTTTAGAATGATGAAAATATGCTCATCATGCTTCCTTAAGTATTTCTAGGCCGTTTCCAGAAAAGTCAATTTTTGACCAAAATTTGATAAAAAAGTAAGGCTAACCCCTTGCATTTTTTTTCAATTTTGGCCAAAATATGAAATTGCTTGAAAATCGCTAGGAAGATGGCTGATGGCCCTTAGAACGCATTTCCAAAATTTATCATGCCATATGTGGTGTTGAAAGGAAATATGGCGTCAACAAAGTTGGTAAAAATTAATTTCCTTTATTCAATTTTTTTTAATTGTCGCTTTTTTTCAAAGTTATTGGTTTAGAATGATGAAAATATGCTAATCCTGCCTCCTCAAGTGATTTTAGTGCGTTTCCAGAAAAGTCAAATTTTGACCAAAATTTGATAAAAAGTAAGGCTAACCCCTTGCATTTTTTTTGAATTTTGGCCAAAATATGAAAATGCTTGAAAATTGCTAGGAAGATGCCTGATGGTACTTAGAACGCATTTCCAAAACTTCTTGTGCCATATGTGGTGTTCAAAGGAAATATGGCGTCGACAAAGTTGGTAAAAATTAATTTCCTTTATTCAATTTTTTTAATTGTCGCTTTTTTTCAAAGTTATTGCTTTAGAATGATGAAAATATGCTAATCCTGCCTCCTCAAGTGATTTTAGTGCGTTTCCAGAAAAGTCAAATTTTGACCAAAATTTGATAAAAAAGTAAGGCTAACCCCTTGCATTTTTTTTCAATTTTGGCCAAAATATGAAAATGCTTGAAAATTGCTAGGAAGATGCCTGATGGCCCTCAGAACGTATTTCCAAAACTTCTTGTGCCATATGTGGTGTTCAAAGGAAATATGGCGTCGACAAAGTTGGTAAAAATTAATTTCCTTTATTCAATTTTTTAATTGTCGATTTTTTTAAAAGTTATTACTTTAGACTGATGAAAATATGCTAATCCTGCCTCCTCAAGTGTTTTTATTGCGTTTCCAGAAAAGTCAAATTTTGACCAAAATTTGATCAAAAAAGTAAGGCTAACCCCTTGCATTTTTTTCAATTTTGGCCAAAAAATGAAATTGTTTGAAAATTGCTAGGAAGATGCCTGATGGCCCTTAGAACGTATTTCCAATATTTCTGATGCCATATGTGGTGTTGAAAGGAAATATGGCGTCTAAAAAATAGGTAAAAATTAATTTCCTTTTTTCAATTTTCTGCCAAAAATCCTTTTTTAATTGCCCAATTTTTCAAAATTATCACTTTAGAATGATGAAAATATGCTCATCATGCTTCCTTTAGTATTTCTAGGCCGTTTCCAGAAAAGTCAATTTTTGACCAAAATTTGATAAAAAAGTAAGGCTAACCCCTTGCATTTTTTTTCAATTTTGGCCAAAATATGAAATTGCTTGAAAATTGCTAGGAAGATGCCTGATGGCCCTTAGAACGCATTTCCAAAATTTCTGATGCCATATATGGTGTTGAAAGGAAATATGGCGCCAACAAAGTTGGTAAAAATTAATATCCTTTATTCAATTTTTTTAATTGTCGATTTTTTTCAAAGTTATTACTTAAGAATGATGAAAATATGCTAATCCTGCCTCCTCAAGTGTTTTTAGTGCGTTTCCAGAAAAGTCAAATTTATACCAAAATTTGATCAAAAAAGTAAGGCTAACCCCTTGCATTTTTTTTGAATTTTGGCCAAAATATGAAAATGCTTGAAAATTGCTAGGAAGATGCCTGATGGCCCTCAGAACGTATTTCCAAAACTTCTTGTGCCATATGTGGTGTTCAAAGGAAATATGGCGTCGACAAAGTTGGTAAAAATTAATTTCCTTTATTCAATTTTTTTAATTGTCGCTTTTTTTCAAAGTTATTGCTTTAGAATGATGAAAATATGCTAATCCTGCCTCCTCAAGTGATTTTAGTGCGTTTCCAGAAAAGTCAAATTTTGACCAAAATTTGATAAAAAAGTAAGGCTAACCCCTTGCATTTTTTTTCAATTTTGGCCAATATATGAAAATGCTTGAAAATTGCTAGGAAGATGCCTGATGGCCCTCAGAACGTATTTCCAAAACTTCTTGTGCCATATGTGGTGTTCAAAGGAAATATGGCGTCGACAAAGTTGGTAAAAATTAATTTCCTTTATTCAATTTTTTTAATTGTCGATTTTTTTAAAAGTTATTACTTTAGACTGATGAAAATATGCTAATCCTGCCTCCTCAAGTGTTTTTAGTGCGTTTCCAGAAAAGTCAAATTTTGACCAAAATTTGATCAAAAAAGTAAGGCATTTTTTTCAATTTTGTCCAAAAAATGAAATTGTTTGAAAATTGCTAGGAAGATGCCTGATGGCCCTTAGAACGTATTTCCAATATTTCTGATGCCATATGTGGTGTTGAAAGGAAATATGGCGTCTAAAAAATAGGTAAAAATTAATTTCCTTTTTTCAATTTTCTGCCAAAAATCCTTTTTTAATTGCCCAATTTTTCAAAATTATCACTTTAGAATGATGAAAATATGCTCATCATGCTTCCTTAAGTATTTCTAGGCCGTTTCCAGAAAAGTCAATTTTTGACCAAAATTTGATAAAAAAGTAAGGCTAACCCCTTGCATTTTTTTTCAATTTTGGCCAAAATATGAAATTGCTTGAAAATCGCTAGGAAGATGGCTGATGGCCCTTAGAACGCATTTCCAAAATTTATCATGCCATATGTGGTGTTGAAAGGAAATATGGCGTCAACAAAGTTGGTAAAAATTAATTTCCTTTATTCAATTTTTTTTAATTGTCGCTTTTTTTCAAAGTTATTGGTTTAGAATGATGAAAATATGCTAATCCTGCCTCCTCAAGTGATTTTAGTGCGTTTCCAGAAAAGTCAAATTTTGACCAAAATTTGATAAAAAGTAAGGCTAACCCCTTGCATTTTTTTTGAATTTTGGCCAAAATATGAAAATGCTTGAAAATTGCTAGGAAGATGCCTGATGGTACTTAGAACGCATTTCCAAAACTTCTTGTGCCATATGTGGTGTTCAAGGGAAATATGGCGTCGACAAAGTTGGTAAAAATTAATTTCCTTTATTCAATTTTTTTAATTGTCGCTTTTTTTCAAAGTTATTGCTTTAGAATGATGAAAATATGCTAATCCTGCCTCCTCAAGTGATTTTAGTGCGTTTCCAGAAAAGTCAAATTTTGACCAAAATTTGATAAAAAAGTAAGGCTAACCCCTTGCATTTTTTTTCAATTTTGGCCAAAATATGAAAATGCTTGAAAATTGCTAGGAAGATGCCTGATGGCCCTCAGAACGTATTTCCAAAACTTCTTGTGCCATATGTGGTGTTCAAAGGAAATATGGCGTCGACAAAGTTGGTAAAAATTAATTTCCTTTATTCAATTTTTTAATTGTCGATTTTTTTAAAAGTTATTACTTTAGACTGATGAAAATATGCTAATCCTGCCTCCTCAAGTGTTTTTATTGCGTTTCCAGAAAAGTCAAATTTTGACCAAAATTTGATCAAAAAAGTAAGGCTAACCCCTTGCATTTTTTTCAATTTTGGCCAAAAAATGAAATTGTTTGAAAATTGCTAGGAAGATGCCTGATGGCCCTTAGAACGTATTTCCAATATTTCTGATGCCATATGTGGTGTTGAAAGGAAATATGGCGTCTAAAAAATAGGTAAAAATTAATTTCCTTTTTTCAATTTTCTGCCAAAAATCCTTTTTTAATTGCCCAATTTTTCAAAATTATCACTTTAGAATGATGAAAATATGCTCATCATGCTTCCTTTAGTATTTCTAGGCCGTTTCCAGAAAAGTCAATTTTTGACCA